CAGTGGTCCTGCCTAGCTTGTACGTGAGCACCGGGTGCGCGTTGCGCTCGAACGCACCCTCGAAATCTCCAGCACAAGCACAACCACGAGTGCCTGCAGCTACGCGGGGCATATCGTGAGCCGCTCGCGACGTGCCTCATAGCGAGCCCGTCGCTGCTGCACGGGTATCGCAAGAAGGGCGGCTAACGGGTTGCGCATCCGAGATTACCAGCCGCATGTCCTGCGCTGCTTCCTGCGCTGGATGCATAGCGGTCTTAAGACTTAGATGAGTGATGCCCCCGCAGTTCATATAGTATTATTCTGACTTGCTATACATTATAGATTTACCTTTTGTGTCTATCCCCTACCACAGCAGAATGAATCTAGTGTAGTATACACCAACATGTACCGTACAGTTGTGTGCCTAATATATTTCTTCTGTTAATCTATTCCCTGTGAGTGAGTGTTCAAAGCCCGGGAGGCCGTCTGCTGGTATCTACAGGCAGGCTGCGACAGCGCCGCGGTGTGCTGCTGAATGTTTGCAGGCTGCCACGGTGTGCTGCCAAACTTATGCAGGCCGCCACGGGTGCTACGGAGGCATGGCGGGAGACTACTGGTTGCAGGGTAATAGGGGTCAGTTCCACCGGGCTGCTGGAACTACGGAGCTCACGGGGCGCTTCTGGTCTCAGACTTTTTTTCCTGATGTCTTATCCTACCCAAACATGTATAATTGGACATTTGCCCCCGGCAGATGAGAAAACATGCAGGAAATAAGCTAGGCCTCGGCATTTTATTACGTCCATATAATTTCGCGGACTCGTAGTTTCACGGACGCTGGCAATAGTGCTCACTGCATATGGTCTCTGCTTTTCCCGCTCTTTCACTTGCCTTTTCCGTCCTTACTCGCAGTCGGGACGACACTTCATGGGACATTGTTTTTGGTAGCCACATAGCATAAACGTGACCATGTCTGTTAAGTACTGTAATATACAGCGGGTCACGGTAAACAGCAGAGAGGTAACCTTCCTATGGGCTTGGCAAGTTGTCTTCGTGGCGTCCTAGTCGCTGCTTAGGTAAGCGTTTGTTGTCGCTTCCGAGCCTACACGCGCGGCTTTCTGACTTGGACGAGTCCCAAGTCATTCGGGTCACTCATGCTCCTCGCTGCAGGCTTCAGGCCTTCAAGTTGTAGATCTCAACCTCAGGGGCAGTGAGTTTGATACGGCTGCAGTGCGGCACGCTCACAGGCTCGCTCCGCCGTTCGCATCACATCAACAATGTAGCTGCCAAACGGGCGCGTCAGATTGCACACTCACGCACGCCTTGCATCATGAGCATCTACGCACTTTGGCAGATCCGAAAGCCCGCTCGAGGAGACCCCTTCAGACCGGCGCGAGTCCGAAACCCAAGAGATGTGCCCTCAAATGCAAGGTTCGCACCGGAGATTAGATATGGGCGGGTGCCGTGATAGTCAGGAATACTGTCCAGCCCGTTTCATAGCACCCTCGCTAGCCTGCCTCGCCGAGTCGGCTGACCTGCAGGTTCACCCCGGCGAGATACGAGCTCGGCGCCCATTCACCGCCTCCTTCCCTAACCGGCGATACAGCTTCATTGTCTAGTCGGCTAGCGGAGATGATTGGCATCGCACTTTAGCTATCCTGTGGGCAGGCTCCATCATCGGCGGCCGCCACTAGCTGCGGGGATGCGAGAGACGCTGTGTCATTGGCTGCCATGGCGTCTACGGTGGTTGTCACCGCATATTGCTGTGATAGCCTTCGCGCCCTGAGCTGTCTTGCGGTAGCGATGCGACAGCCACCCTAGACAGGCATTAAATACAGGTGGTAGTGCAAAGCTGATGCTCCCAGAACGCCATCTCCCATCGGCTCCATCCTCCTCCCAGCGCACATGTCAGCACCCGTCTCGTTCCCTGCACCCATCGGTGGTGTGCCCTTTGATAGTGATTTTGCGCCTTCCCTGTTCTTTACTGTGCTATATGGCGTTGTATGCTTGTTGGGGATCTGGCGTATGGCCCGGAAGAGCTCCCGCTCGATGCTCGTTGGGACAACGCTCATCTTCATAGTGGAGCGGTATGTTCTGTCTTCTTCCCGCTGGTGTTTTTGTCAAAGGCTCACCTCTGGGCACAGTACCGTAATCTGGTCTCTTCGCACGTGGCAATCAAAGACGCCTGCCGAGGACACCGACCGCTTCCTCACGTCGTACTGGCAGATGTCCTTCACCGCTGGCTATATCGCGATATACGGCAAGCTCCTGGCGTCGCTGAAGGGGCTCATGATGGGCGCGTTCAAACCCTCCCGGGCCACCTCCGTGCCGTTCGTGCTCGGGCCCAAAGACTTCGCGCCTGACCCCGAATCATCCGCGTCGCTCTTGCACTCCACGCTGCAACAAGACAAGTACACCGAGGTGCCCTCCGACGAGTCAAAGGCCGAGCTGCTGGAGGCCCCGGAAGACCCCGCGGTCGCGCGCAAACGCAAGATCTTCAAGTACATCTTCTTGTTCTTTGGGCTGCAATCGCTCACGCCACTCCTGCTGGGCATCGTTATGGGCCAGCTCTACGTGAGCGCAGAGACGAATGCGGGCAACGCCGCGATTGTGGGGCCGCTGAGGTACGTCGCTTCAGTGCTATTGCTCAAGTGCTTGTAATAACACTGTGCAGATATGTGATCGCAAGCGTTTGCCTGGCCCTTCTCCTATCCTTGCAAGGGTTGCTTCTGTGGGCAAGCCGCCTCCGGCGCACCCGCAAGTTCCCACTGATCTTGCTCTTTGCTCTCGCACTTATCCTCGTATGTGTGTTTCTGTCCCTGAATGCCAGCTTAATCTGATCGCTTCGTTATAGACTATCATTCCCATCTACCATTTCATCATCATGGGGAACAAGACGACGTCGCTTATCTCGACCGCACCAGGCTCAGACAACACGCCGGCCGAAAAGACGGCATTCTACCTCTTCCAAGTCGTTCCCGAGCTGATTACCAGCGCGACACTGCTGGGCATCAACGCAAAAGAGGTCTTCAGCGCGTGATGGCCTGCACAGCGTGGTGCTCCTTGTTGTATGTATGGTCTGCATTTGTTTGACTTTCGAGGCGGACAATAGGCATCTTTTACCCACGCAGTAGCTGTATCTGTATATTTCGCCTGGACTTGCATCATCGTACATTGAATATCACTGCTTGACTTGACTCGATGTCCATTTCACAAGCCCGTGGGAGAATCGAAGCTGTTGTTACAGAGGATCTGATTTCTTCTACACGCCGCCTAAGAATGCACGTGATTTCGTCGGTATCGCATGCTCTTACAGCTTCAGGCTCAGGTTGACATGGACAGCCTTGACCTGAGTGAAGGCCTCGAGAGCATACTCGCCCAGCTCCCTGCCGTGGCCAGACTGCTTGTAACCGCCGAACGGCACCTGTGGGGACTGTATAGCAGACTGGTTGATCTGCATCGTACCCGTCAGCGTCTGCTAGCTGCAACTAAGCATGTCAAAGCTATACACTCACGAAGCAGCTGCCAGCCTCGAGTGCGTTCGAGACGCGGATCGCCCGGCTAACATTCGTAGTGAATACATAGCTCGACAGGCCGTACTGAGTGTCATTCGCAGCCTCGAGCGCCTCCTCCTCAGTCTTGAATCGAGCCACGACGCCAACGGGACCGAAGATCTCCTCCCGCACAATCCTCATGTCCGGCTTCACGTCAGCGAAGATCGTCGGCCTCACGAAGTAGCCTGATCCCTCAGCGCGCGAGCCGCCAGTGACGATGCGTGCACCTTCCTGCTTGCCGGACTCGATGTAGCCGAGCACGCGGTCGAGTTGCGTCTGGGAGGCGATGGGGCCCTGCTGGGTCGCTGTCTTGAAGTTGTCGCCCAGCTTAAGCGCCGCCGCTGCGTCAGCAAAGGCCTGCAAGAACCGCTCGTAGGTGCCCTCCTGGACGAAGATGCGCGCGCCGGCGGCACACACCTGGCCGCTGTGGTAGCTGTCAAGTCCCGGGGAGTGAGCACCTGGCTAGCTGGCAGATGACGGTAACGAGTCTTACAAGACGGTCGCACAGACCCACTTGACGGCCTGCTCGAGATCCGCGTCATCGAAGATGAGCACCGCGCTCTTGCCCCCAAGCTCCAGTGTCACACGTTTCAGATTCGTCTTCGCCGCAGTCTCCATGACCTTGCGGCCGATGATTGTGCTGCCGGTGAACGACACCTTCCCGACCAGCGGGTGCTCTGTGAGCGCCTGGCCTGCGGTCGCGCCGTAGCCGGTCACCACGTTGAGGACGCCGTCGGGGAAGCCAGCCTCCTTGACGAGCTCGGCGAGCTTGAGTGCAGAGAGCGGTGTCACCTCGGACGGCTTGAGGACGATGGCGTTACCGGTCGCAAGCGCGGGAGCGACTTTCCAAATGGTGATTGTTACTATGTATTTGTGTTAGCGTGTGTCGATCCAGCGAACCAGGGGGAACGAACGTGGGAAGTTCCATGGGACGATCGCACCCTAATGAGCTTTTCAATACAGTAGATCCTATGCAATGCTAAGGGCAGGACTAACCACGACACCAATGGGCTCATGCCGAGTGTAGGCGAATTTGGCTTCAGTTGTCTGGAGAAAATTTGTAGGCGATCGGAGTGCGCAAATTGAGCAAGTGGAAGGATACCTCGATGGTCTGACCGTGGTTCTTGTCTGCCCAGCCAGCGTAGTATCGCAGGCCATTGATGGCGTTCTGAACGTCCCGATGCCTCGCGAGAGTGAAGAGCTTTCCTATGTGCGCTGAACTCATGGGCTCCGTATTCAGGGTATGCAAACATACCGGCATCAAGAGCTTCGATGGCCGCAACTGTATCGGCATTCTTCTCAAGAAGGTCGGCAAGCTTGTACAGGAGCTTGCCACGCTCGGAACCCGGCACCTTGAGGCCCCAGGAGCTCTTGAAGGCGGCCCTGGCAGCCTTGACGGCAATGTCGATGTCTCTCGCGTTCCCAATGGAAACCTTTGTGATCACACTGCCGTCCACTTTGAACGGGTTGGCATGCACTCTCTCATGGACAGCACTCCCATGGCCGAGGATGTGGCTTACCGGGACTGATGACGCTTTGTAAGACAGCGTCAGAACATATGAGACACAAAGACAGACACAAAGATAGTGATGACGTACTCGATACTCTCGCGGTCGACGGAATCAACAAACTGTCCGTTGATGAATAAGCCGGTGTTCACCGTCACGGTGCCATTGTAGAGCTCTGTGGCGAACTCGTGAGTGAAAGTGCCTGGCATTGTGGTGGGTCGGCTTTGAAGATGTGGGGACTACTAGTAGATGGAAGAACAATGGAACATGGCGCGTTTCGCGCGCTGACTTATATACATGGGCCTCCGGGAGATTGTGTATATCCGGGTCCCAGAGGATTACTAAACAACTGCCCTCCCAGACATCAGCGCGTCAGCATCGAGGGAGGCAGGAAAGTCGTGTTCCAGTGATAACAGCTTGATCCTCCAAGCGACCTCGGAGTCAGGTCGGTCTCACATCGCGAAATATGCCAGAGGCCGATCCGCACCAGAAATGGCCGTCGGGACGCGTGCCAAAGCTCGGCCACCCGACTCAGAGTCCGACGTGCCGTACGGCGCCGAAACCCTCGCAGCTGCCGAGCAGGCTCACGTAATAAGCGCTCACGTACCTTTCCGCACACAGACATCAGTCTGGGTTATGTATGGCCTTTTTAGGTCTTTTAGATGTTATTAAAGCATGTAAGATGCTGTATACTTTGAGGCCAACAAAGGGTAGCAGCGGGCCGAGGACCATTATCTGACCCAGGCTTATCGAAGCGATAATCAAGCGCCCAAAGCTTCGATTATCTTATCGAGAACCTACGTGTTCGGTGATGGCGAGCTCAGCGCTCGCCCGAGGTGCGATTCCCCCCCCTCCCCCTAAAAGGAGAAGATACATAAGTGAGAAGTATTTGGGACTGCCAAACCTGCCGCGGACTGCTGTACATAGTGCTGTAATGCCATTTATCCACATCGTCGTTAGCTCTACAGTGCTTTTGCAGGCGAGATTACAACATAAAACAACATTGCAATTCATGCACCAGGTCTCAAAGCATATCGTGCGCAAGCTTGCGCCGCCCACCGCCAACCTCCGGTTGGCTGGGTGGGCAGCGCACCTGCGCACGCGGCGCGGCAAAGCAGGGCGCCAAAGGGCGCGCGTCTATTAGGCTCCTGTCCAACCTCCTATCCTGCCACCTCGAATCCAAGATACCGATTCCAGGGGGAATCGCAAACCCTAAGTTGTTCAGCAGCTACAATGTCAATCTTTGGGAGAACACGCTCTGCTGGTAAGACACACGAGCTCAATCCAGTATATATCACTCTTGATGTTAGCAGCCCAAGGACTGCACTGGTTGTGTATGTCACCTTATAATATATAGCGAGCAAGTACTAGTACTTCATTTGACTTCTAACCTCGTATACATGCAATATCAATCAATTATTGAGTCCTAGGCTTATGCTTGAAACATCAAACAGCACGCACCCCTTGCAGATTTGATGCAATAGATACCACGGAGAGGCTTTAGCTGCGCGGGTGATTCTCTGCTTAGCGACGCTGCCGGACAGCTGCCAAGCGCGTTTATTCCATTCGGGAACTGGCGCGACGGCATGTAGTGCATATCGCGCTAGGGCTTGAAACATACGTTGGGATGGAGGAACATATGCCATTTTGGGTGTAACGCCTGCCGTAGCCCTTGCCCGGTAGTGTTGCCACGGCTTGACTTGGCTCGGCTATAGCTTGACTGCTGATGGCTTTACCTTTTTTGGATCGGTCGAGCCAAGCCAAGCCGCAAGAAAGCCGCGACTTTGAATGGCTGTGGCTGTGAAGCGGCTTGAAGCCGATTGTTCGTCCAAAAATAGTAGTTCACACTGGTACTGCAAAAGCTGACTCGTAGCTACTTCAAAGACCCTATGTGTCCTTCCAGAGCCAACCTGCATGTAGATGAAGGGAAGGGCTCTCTTACAAAGCTTTGGAACAAATACACTAGGATATTTAGCATGTGTATAAAACAGTGTTTTATCTCGGCACAAGACCGAAAAAAGCCGTTCTTGTTCGGCCAGTTTGAGCCAGGTTATACGAAGAACAATGCTTCGCTTATCACCCTTTGGAAGCCGTCGATGCGGGATCTGATTTCGTGCTTAAACCACAAGTATTCTAGTTGGTATGTCTCCCATACGCTCTCATAGTTTGAGGCTCAAGTTGACGTGGACAGCCTTTACTTGAGTGTAGGCCTCAAGAGCATACTCGCTCATATCCTTGCCGTAGCCCGACTGCTTGTAGCCGCCAAATGGTACCTGCGGGCGCATCAGTATAGCCTCATTGATCTGTGTCATGTCCGTCAGTGTCTTCTAGCTGAGACTGTGTCAAAGCTATACTCACGAAGCAGCTGCCGGCTTCGATCGCGTTCGAGACTCGAATCGCGCGGCTAACATTCTCAGTGAACACGTAGCTCGACAAGCCGTAATCAGTGTCATTCGCAGCCTCAATCGCCTCCTCTTCAGTCTTGAATTTAAACACGACGGCAACAGGTCCGAAGATCTCCTCCCGCACAATCTTCATGTCTGGCTTCACATCAACAAAGATCGTCGGCTTCACGAAGTAGCCTGGTCCCTCGATGTGCGAGCCGCCAGTGACGATACGTGCACCTTCCTGCTTGCCGGACTCGATGTAGCCGAGCACGCGGTCGAGCTGCGTCTTGGAGACGAGAGGACCTTGCTGGGTCGTTGCCTTGAAGCTATCACCTTGCTTGAGCGACTCCGCTGCGTCAGTGAAAGCCTGGAGGAACTTGTCGTAGATTCCCTCCTGGACGAGGATGCGTGCGCCGGCAGCGCACATCTGGCCACAGTTATGGCTGTTGAGCCCAGGGGCGTGAGTGCCCGACTAGTTGAAAATTATTGCAGGACACTTACAAGATGATCCAGCAGACCCACTTGACGGTCTGCTCGAGATTTGCGTCGTCGAAGATGAGCGTCGGGCTGTTGCCCCCAAGTTCGAGCGTCACACGCTTCAGATTCGTCTTCGCCGCAGTCTCCATGACCTTGCGGCCGATGGTTGTGCTGCCGGTGAACGACACCTTCCCGACTAGCGGGTGCTCTGTGAGCGCCTGACCTGCAACCGCGCCGTAGCCGGTCACCACGTTGAGGACGCCGTCAGGGAAGCCAGCCTCCTTGGCGAGCTCGGCGAGCTTGAGTGCAGAGAGCGGTGTCATCTCGGATGGCTTGAGGACGATGGTGTTGCCAGTCGCAAGCGCAGGAGCAATTTTCCAGATAGTGATATACACTATAGATCGAAGTCAGCGTGCGTGTCAATGCAATGAAGCAGAAGGGACGAACATGGGAAGTTCCATGGAACGATCCCTGCCTGAGAAGCTGTCAGCGCGGTATTTCCTATGCGATGCTGCGAGCATGGCTAACCACAGTACCAATGGGCTCATGTCGGGTGTAGGCGAACTTAGCTTCAGCTGTCTGGAGAGTTTTGTAAGCAGTCAGAGTGTGCAAGTTGAGCAAGTGGAAGAATACCTCGATGGTCTGACCGTGGTTCTTGTCTGCCCAGCCAGCGAAGTAGCGTAGATTGTCAATGGCGTCCTGAACGTCCTGGCCCTTTGCGTAAACGAAAGGCTTGCCTGTACGTGATAAGCCCAGTGAATTCATATCGAACTATACAGACATACCAGCATCGAGAGCCTCGATGGCTGCAACTGCATCTGCATTCTTCTCAAGAAGGTCGGCAAGCTTGTACAGGAGCTTGCCACGCTCGGAACCCGGCACCTTGAGGCCCCAGGAGCTCTTGAAGGCGGCCCTGGCAGCCTTGACGGCAATGTCGATGTCTCTCGCGTTCCCAATGGAAACCTTTGTGATCACACTGCCGTCCACTTTGAACGTGTTAGCATGCACAATCTCATGGACAGCACTCCCATGGCCGAGGATGTGGCTTACCGGGACTGATGACGCTTTGTAAGACAGCGTCAGAACATGTGAGACACAAAGACAGACACAAAGACAATGATGACGTACTCGATACTCTCGCGGTCGACGGAATCAACAAACTGTCCGTTGATGAATAAGCCGGTGTTCACTGTCACGGTGCCATTGTAGAGCTCTGTGGCGAACTCGTGAGTGAAAGTGCCTGGCATTGTGATGGGTCGGCTTTGAAGATGATGTGAGGACTAGATGGAAGAGCACCGGGGCAAAGTGCGTTTCACGCGCTGACTTATATACATGGGCCTCCACAGAATTACGAATCGTCGGTGCCGAGGAAGGCAGGAAAGTCGCGTTTCAGTGATAGTAACAGAGCATGCGTAAAAGTTCGCGGCTTCGCTTTTGGAACGGAACCAACAAAGCATCTGAGAGATCCCGGGGAACGGCGGCGTGTGTCCCCTCTTCCCAGACTGCACACGCACTCCACGCTATTGACCGGGAACCCCAAGCATGTCATCAGTCCACTCTTGCTCTTCTCTGCCATATATTCCTACCTCACGTCAGCAAGCTTGTCTTACACCCACAGGTCCTGTTAATTATGATAAGACAGTTATTAGTTTTCATACGTGCCCCTTCTTGCGCGTGTCGCCTTCGTGAGCAACCTCATGGAGCAGCCTGATTAGGAACCTTAGGTGGTCTCTTAGTGAAGTCTAGGATACTTATTATACTTCAATCTAGTACTAATTAGCTCCGGGCGTTTCTCCTGGTGTGCTGCGTCTGCTGCATCTTTCAACACATCGCGATCGAGGCACTTTTTGGCCAGTTTCACGCTAGTACTGGGTCTCACCATTTTTATCTCGGCGCGAGACCAAAACATAGGCGCCATGTCGTAGCTTTGTTTACTTTGGAGCAAAACAATGTGAACACCTGCCTGACTGAGCACAGTAGTGATGAGCAAGAAGCTTGACCAGTTTTGGCCAAGTTACACAGCGGCACTTCGCTTGGAAGCTGTCGATGCGGGATCTGATTTCGTGCTTAAATTACAAGTATTCTAGTTGGTATGTCCCCCATACGCTCTCATAGTTTGAGGCTCAAGTTGACGTGGACAGCCTTGGCTTGCGTGTAGGCCTCAAGAGCATACTCGCCCATCTCCTTGCCGTAGCCCGACTGCTTGTAGCCGCCAAATGGTACCTGCGCGCAAAGCAGTATAGCCTGGTTGATCTGTGTAGAGCACCTGTCAGTGTCTGCTCGCTGAGAGCATGTCAAAGCTATCCTCACAAAGCAATTGCCGGCCTCAATCGCATTCGAGACGCGGATCGCGCGGCTAAGATTCTCAGTGAACACGTAGCTCGACAAGCCGTAATCGGTGTCATTCGCAGCCTCAATCGCCTCCTCTTCAGTCTTGAACTTGATCACGACGCCAACAGGACCGAAGATCTCCTCGCGCACAATCTTCATGTCTGGCTTCACGTCAGCGAAGATCGTCGGCCTCATGAAGTAGCCTGCTCCTTCGGCGCGCGAGCCACCAGTGACGATGCGTGCACCTTCCTGCTTGCCGGACTCGATGTAGCCGAGCACGCGGTCGAGCTGCGTCTTGGAGACGAGAGGACCTTGCTGGGTCGTTGCCTTGAAGCTATCACCCTGCTTGAGCGACTCTGCTGCGTCAGCAAAAACCTGGAGGAACTTGTCGTAGATTCCCTCCTGGACTAAGATGCGTGTGCCGGCGGCGCACCCTTGGCCACTGTTATAGCTTGTCGAATCCAAGAGCGTGAGCGCCCGACTAGTTGACAGTCATTGCAGGACTCTTACAAGGTGCTCCCGCAGACCCGCTTGACGGTCTGCTCGACATCCGCGTCGTCAAAGATGAGTATTGGACTCTTACCCCCAAGCTCCAGTGTCACACGCTTCAGATTCGTCTTCGCCGCAGTCTCCATGACCTTACGGCCGACGATCGTGCTGCCAGTGAACGATACCTTCCCGACCAGTGGGTGTTCTGTGATCGCCTGGCCTGCGGTCGCGCCGTAGCCGGTCACAACATTGAAGACACCGTCGGGGAAGCCGGCCTCCTTGACTAGCTCGGCGAGCTTGAGTGCAGATAGCGGCGTCACCTCGGATGGCTTGAGGACGATGGCGTTACCGGTTGCGAGCGCGGGAGCGGCTTTCCAAATGCTGATTGTCACTGTGTTTATGTTAGCGTGTGTCGACGTAGTGAAGTAGAAGGGACGGACATGGGAAGTTCCATGGAATGATCCCTGCCTGATAAGCTATCAGCGTGACTTACCCTAGGCGATGTTGCAAGCAGAACTAACCACAACACCAATGGGCTCATGTCGAGTGTAGGCGAACTTGGCTTCAGTTGTCTGGAGAAATTCTTTGTAAGCAGCCGGAGCGTGCAAGTGAGCACTAGTGGAAGAATACCTCGATGGTCTGACCATGGTTTTTGTCTGCCCAGCCAGCGTAGTAGCGCAGGGTGTCGATAGCTTCCTGAACATCCTGACTCGCGTGAACGAAAGGCTTGCCTGTGCGCGGTCATGATAAGCCGAGTAAACACGTGTCGAAACTATGCGGACATACCAACATCAAGAGCCTCGATAGCCGCAAGTGTACCTGCGTTCTTCTCGAGGAGCTCGGCAAGCTTGTACAGGAGCTTTCCACGCTCGTAACCTGGTGTCTTGAGGCCCCAGGAACTTTTGAAGGCAGCCAAGGCAGCCTTGACAGCAATATCGATGTCTTTCGCGTTTCCAATGGAAACCTTTGTGATAACACTTCCGTCTTCTGTAGACGGGTTAGCATGCATACACTCCCATGGACGAGAGTATTGCTTTACGGGGGCTGCAGACACTTTGGAAGACAGTGTCATCAGGACGTGATAGACACAAAGATACTGGTAACGTACTCGATGCTCTCGCGGTCAACGGGGTCGACGAACTGTCCGTTGATGAATAGGCCAGTGTTCACCGTCGCGGTGCCCTTGTAGAGTTCTGTGGCGAACTCGTGAGTGAACATGCCAGGCATCTTGGCGGATTGGCTTTGGAGTCGAGGCTGCAATGTGAGGCGGAACACGATTCATGCGCTGTCTTATATACGTCTTTCCTATGTCGTCCTGGAGCGTTCTATACAAGGATATCAGACGTAAATTATCTTCGCAAAGACTGTTCTGTTGGACACTGGCCTACCCAGTGCTTTGGCCCTTTGAAAATGTAGGTAGATCAGATAATAGCGCGGATAATCCTTGCGCACACTTGGCCAGGGTCGATGAGTACTCATACCGGCTGCTGCAGGCGCTTGATTAATCTATATTCGAAATTTAGTCAGTTTATCTGCTAGACGCGGCAAACGACGTACAGGAGAGACACGTACTCATGCGCTGCCGGCCTCGAGAGTGTGGTCTGTAGGCGGAGGAAAAAATATTTCAGCGGATAGCTGTTCGTTGAATAGCGTCGGACACTTCCAGATTGACAGTACGGAATTTGCGACATGGGTCCGTTGGAGTGACGGGAACAACATTGACGAACCCTTGAGTGATGCACGTGTGAGTCAGTCTCTTGACGGGGATGAAGTGGCTTGCAGGGGTGGGTGCGGTGGTACGAGATGGGGCGAGTAAAGAACCGAGACACTTTGTATAGATTCCTTTCGCAGCCTTGGATTTGCCGTGAGAAGCGGTGAAAGCTGAGATGGCCTAGCCGCAGAGGGGTTACTAAACTGGGACGATTTACGGTACAAGCCATGATTTTCTGGTTTGATCGTGTGCGTCACAAATGTTACTGTCCACCTGAAGCAGAGGATAAGTACTCTCCAGTGCGAGTTCACACCTCTGCCCCTGTCTCATCCACTTCTGTGAAGGTGGTCTCGTCGTTGTAGGGTTCATCGCTCCAACCATCGTACAGCGGCCCCCCAATGTTGCCCAACCGATTCATTGACCTCTCGAACTGCAGTGTCGACTGTCCTTGCTGCCAATCGGTAACGCTTACAGAGCAGTCCGGCACTTCCGATTCGACCGTCCGCAAGTTTATCATGAAGCGATTGATGAGCACCGGGGGCTACATGGTCAATTGGTGAACACCAAGAGAACAAACGGAGACTGACACACACGCACCAGGACCGCGACAAACGCACCCACAGGCGACGCGACGAACACGCCCACAGGCGACAGGTCCTTGAGTACACCATCAGCCGCCCGTCCGTACACTCATGTCGGAGACATACCGCAGAGAAATTGTAGGTAAGCGGCTGGGCTATGTTTATCACTAGCAGAGCTCTACATTTATTGTCGCCTGTAAGTAACTACTCCTGATGGACGGTTTTATCGTCATGCTCACATGAAATAGATCGTTCCTTTGTGTGCAGCTGGACTTCAGCAGCAAGAAGCACGGGGATGCAAGGAGGGCTACTGACCGTCGCGCAGCAAACACGTCGTCAGCGACACTCCGATATTGGCACGGCGGACGTCCCTCCAGTGACCAAACGTCTTGATCCAGGTCAAGACGAGAACGATTGTGTCGGCAACGATAGATGAGCCGCGGCTGACATACAGGACTGAACAAGTGTTGTCAGAGTCTCCAGCATTTTACGGGGCTCCAGTTGCAGGACGTACGTCTGTGCCGCAGAAGTTAGCACCCCAAGACTGCATTAGCAAAACATGTCTACCCACATGCTGGCTGTTTCTGCAGACACTGATATCTCCGAAATGCACGCTGCACCGACAAACGGATCCACGACGAAACCGTACATCGACACCACCGCGATGGTCTGCACAAAAGCGTTAGCCAGAACATACACGGAGCTCTAGCAAAGGTGGCACAGACCAGGTACGTCGCGAATGATACCATACTTAGCGCAAACACTATTAGCGACCAGATGTAGCTCTTATTCCAGATCGCAAAGACGCGCAAAGCGGAGAAGACTAGCGGGTGGAAGTAACTGGACAGCTTGGATTGGAGCAGACTGTGTGAGGCATACCTGCGGTCTGAATAAAGCCAACGAGGATAAGTACCCAGATGATGTAATTAAGCAGTGAGCAGCTGTACATCAGGCTCCGGTAAGCGGTATGTCACTCATGGGCTTCAAACGAACTGAACTTACTTCTATAGGAGGGATCGCTTTAAACTTGATATAGCTGATGACATTCTAGGCTTACGTTCGGAGTTGGTTGTGTGAGGCCCAGAATGGTCGAGACGAGCAACGACCATCGCACTGAGCCAAGAAGCACGGCGGATGCAGTGATAGGTCTCTTCCAGACAATTTTAATCTCGTCAACGATGGTGATTAGGAATTCGTAGATGACGAGGGCTGAGGGGCAAATATTGTGAGCCGCGCACCAATGGGAAGCGAAGGATGGACTTGCACGATGCAGCTGCGAAGGCATGTTGTATTGTAAGGCTGGAAGACAAAGGCATGAGCACTGACCGGCCGAGCGCAAACAAGAGAGATGCTTACTATTGCGAACCGGCTTGGCCAAGAGTCTGGTTCGACTGTCCCGACATGGTGAACGGGGGAAATGCAGGGAAAGTGAGCTGTATCGGAGGTAAGCCGACTTATGAGCGACTTGGCGGACCTCCCGTCAATGTCTACGTTGTAACCATCAGCGTCTTTGCCGTAAACATCAGCGCTACTGTAACCGCTTCCATCATGAATATGTGACATACGCTAGCAGGGATTTGCTAAAAACTGTCCGGAGCATCAGCAGAAAGAGCTGGTCCACGAACATGCATACACGTCCGGTTGCAAGTGGAGGCCACATCACCTTAGAGGGGCGAAACGCTACTGATATTCTCATGAACGACAGCCGAAACAGATTTTCTTCCATTACGATCTCTTTCACGTTGCTAGTCCGCGCCATCCGGTCCATCCACTAGACAGTTAGACAGCTATGCACAATCTCAATGTCTAAGACTCTACTTACTCGTCAAGCTCTTGGGCCCAGGGACTGCACTTGAAGTGCGGACAACCGTGGCCGCGGGGCCGCGTAGGTAGAATACATTGTAAGTGAGTTGCCGGCAACCGCGCTCACAGAGTCCACACATGCTGCGGTGCCCCGGAACGTTCCGCATCGTCATCTGAGGTTAAGAAAGACCTGGTTCTAGTCTCGTCACACTGTGACAAGCATGTGATCGTGCGAAGAATGTAATGTAAATTCCGAATATGTACATAGATGGAGCAATACAATACACCGTGAGATCTGTGGTAGCACACCGACCTAATAGTCGCTAAACTTGATAATTATGTCAGCTCCGCTGCTTTATTCTTGCAGCTCTATCTTCTTGGGAACGGGAGCAATATTGCTCAAAATCGAGGCACAAACTGTTTATTAAAAATATTTACTAGAGAACTGTGCCTCGATTTTATTCTCTGCTGGAGCCTGCGAAGAGGAGATAGATTTAGCAGGCGCATCCTCTGCGAAGCGTGACGGCGCTTGAGCACGTGATGTGGTGGGGAATGAACGCGGCCTTTCTTAGCACCTACCCGAGGTTGGCACCTGTCCGAAGACTGCGCAGATTTAACCATACCTGTGTAGTATCAATGTCCTCGCTGGTTACCTAGTCCCGCTAGAGTACGAATCATGTCCAAGCTAATGAGCGAAGGGTGTTCGTGAATTTTGCGCAATTCTTGGAACCCCAAGCTTCAAGCCTCGGGCCCCGACAACGAGGGTACGGCCCGCACGAAGGCTGCCTGGAACAGGGGGATCGGCCGGGACTGTCGGTGATGCCTAGGTGGCTGTTAGTGAGCGGATGCTTCCACGTGTCAAGGAATGTAATCAAGCGTACTTCATGTCATTGGTCATGATAATTCGCGAGCGCGGAAAACGGCATTTGTCAACTCCGTCCGGAGAGGAAGGCAAGTTTTCCGGATTAGAAAAACGTTTCCCCATCGGTATTTGCGGATTTGCACGACATATGCAGTATCGAAACAGAGGCAGAGACTCGGTAGCGTCGGAAAGACCTATCTGTCTGACATGCGACGTGAGTACTCATAGTGTGCCATGTGCTCCGTCGTTCGCTGTAGACTTGCAAATGAAGGTCAACGCTTCCTTCAGACCATCGGGTCTGCCGAGCAAGTCTAGACCTCCGTGGACCTGCTCAGCCTCTACAAAGAAGAACGTTGGCTTACCCCTCCCGCAATTTAAGAGGCTGGTTCACGAGCCTAGGGACAGTCGAAGCTGTTGACACGGGATCTGATTTCCTCTACAAGTCGCTTAAAACTACAAGTGCTTTTGTCGGTATGTCGCCCATACGCTCTTACAGCTTGAGGCCCAGGTTGATGTGGACAGCCTTGACTTGAGTGTAGTTCTCGAGAGCATACTCTCCCATCTCCTTGCCGTGACCCGACTGCTTGTAGCCGCCAAACGGCACCTGCGGGCAGAGCAGAGCAGCCTGGTTGACCTATACCATATTCATTAGCGTGCCCGCCGAGAACGTGCCAAAACCGTTACTTACGAAGCAATTGCCTGCCTCAACCGCGTTCGAGACGCGGATCGCGCGGCTAAGATTCTCAGTGAACACGAAGCTCGCCAGGCCGTAATCGGTGTCATTCGCAGCCTCAATCGCCTCCTCTTCGGTCTTGAACTTGATCACGACGCCAACAGGTCCGAAGATCTCCTCCCGCACAATCTTCATGTCTGGCTTCACATCAGCGAAGATCGTCGGCTTCACGAAGTAGCCCGATCCTTCGCCACGCGAGCCACCAGCGACGACGCGCGCGCCCTCCTGCTTGCCGGACTCGATGTAGCCGAGCACGCGGTCGAGCTGCGTCTTGGAGACGACAGGGCCCTGGTGAGTCGTTGCCTTAAAGCCGTCACCCTGCTTGATCGACGCCGCTGCGCCAGCGAAGAGTTGCAGGAATTTGTCGTAGATGCCCTCTTGGACGAAGATGCGCGAGCCGGCGGCACACATCTGGCCGCTGTGGTGGCTGCCAAGTTACAGAGTATGAGCGTTCGGCTTGTTACCGCGCGATAGTGGAGAAGGCTTACAAGATGGTTCCGCAGACCCACTTGACAGTCTGTTCAAGATTCGCATCGTCGAAGATGAGCGTCGGGCTCTTGCCCCCAAGCTCCAGCGTCACGCGCTTCAGATTCGTCTTCGCCGCAGTCTCCATGACCTTGCGGCCGACGATGGTGCTGCCAGTGAACGATACCTTCCCGACCAGCGGGTGGTCTGTAATCGCCTGGCCCGCGACTGCGCCGTGGCCTGTCACAACATTGAAGACACCATCAGGGAAGCCGACCTCCTTGACGAGCTCGGCGAGCTTGAGTGCAGATAGCGGTGTCACCTCGGATGGCTTGAGGACGATGGTGTTGCCGGTTGCGAGCGCGGGAGCGATTTTCCAGACGGCAATCATCACTGCAGGTTACATTCAGTACGTGTGGATCCGGTGATGCCGAAGGGACGAACATGGGAAGTTCCACGGGACGATCATGCCCTGATGTGCTTTCAGCGTGACCGATATCATTCAACCGTGCAAACAAAACTCACGACGACACCGATGGGCTCGTGCCGGGTGTAAGCGAACTTGGCCTCAGTTGTCTGGATAGGATGAGTCAGTAACCCAATGCGTTCGCTTCGAGCAACTGGACGAGTACCTCAATGGTCTTACCGTGGTTCTTGTCTGCCCAGCCGGCGTAGTAGCGCAAGTTTCCGACAGCGTCCGTAACGTCAAGGTGCTTCGCGTGGACAAAGGATTTGCCTGCATGCGTTAAGCTCGTGAACCCTATGTATTTAAGTCATGCGGACATACCAGCATCGAGAGCCTCGATGGCTCCAAACGTATCGGCATTCTTCTCGAGAAGATCTGCGAGCTTGTTCAAAAGCTTTCCACGCTCGGAACCCGGCACCTTGAGGCCCCAGGAGGTTTTGAAAGCGGCCTTGGCAGCTTTGACGGCGATGTCGACGTCCTTTGCGCTCGCAGCGGAAACCTTTGTGATCACACTGCCGTCCGCTTTAAATGGGTTAGCATGCACATCCCCATGGACGACGACGCGGCTTACCGGGATTGAAAACGCTTTTGAAAGACAGTGTCAAAATACGCTAGACATGGAGACACCGATGACGTACTCGATAGTCTCGCTGTCAACGGGGTCGACGAATTGTCCGTTGATGAATAGGCCAGTGTTCACCGCTACGGCACCCTTGTAGAGGTCTGTGGCGAACTGGTGGTTGAAAATGCCTGGCATTGTGGTGGGTCGGCGATATGAGGATTGGATGGAAGATGGATGGGGTGTGCACGTTCCATGCGCTAGCTTATATACCCCCTTCCCATGCCACCTCGGGGCGCTCTATATGGGGACATCTGACAATGCCAACTGTCTTTGGGGGTGTCGGGCCTATTGTCGTGGTAAGGGAAACTGAACGGTCCTTGCCCACGCTCGCGCCAGGCCGCAGATGTGACGCCATGCTTATCAGTCATAAGCGCTGGCAGCGTGTACGGCCTCTGCACGGAGCCATGTCCAGCTGCGCAGAACACGGGCTATAGAGATTACAGCTCGGAGACCGAGTCAGGAGTCTGTGCCCGACTGTTACGATAAAGACGTGACTGCAAACCTCGGTGATTGGCCTAAGCGGTGTTGCACGGCATTGCAGGGTCACCTAGAAGCACGGTAGCGTTCATCTCCAAAACCCCTGCTCGCACAAACGCACGCTGAACAATCCTTCGCTGTCACATGAAGATCCAGACTCATCTTATATATTGTGTCCCTACTATACATCCGTTTAAGCTTGGCTCCCAGGTATACAGAGACATTTCGTCAGTTAGAGCTTGAGGCCGAGGTTGATATGAACCGCCTTGACTTGGGTGTACCTGCACTGGCATTAGCAAATGAGAAATCCGGAGCGCAGCATATGGCACGCACGATTCGAGAGCGTACTCTCCCAGATCCTTTCCGAAGCCAGATTGCTTGACACCGCCAAAGGCCACCGCGAAATCAGGAATAGATGCTTGATTAATCTACAGTCCAAATCAGTCACCGCATCTGTCAAGCGCGGCTGTGAACAGGAGAGACACATACGTATGCACTACCAGCCTCGAGCGAGTGGGCGACGCGGAGCGCACAGTTGAGGTTCTGGGTGAAGATGCTGGAGGATAGACCGTAGACGGTGTCATTCGCGAGCTCGATAACCTCTTCCTCGGTCTTGAACTTGACGATGACGGCGACAGGGCCGAAGATCTCCTCACGGACAATCTTCATCTCCGGCTTGACGTTGGTGAATATCGTCGGCTCGACAAAGTAGCCCGCACTACCCGTCCTTGCGCCGCCGACCTCCAGCTTCGCGCCTTCCTGCTTGCCAGATTCGATATAGGCCAGCACGCGCTCAAGCTGCGTCTGCGAGACCAGAGGTCCCTGATTCACGCTCGCGTCAAAGTTGTCGCCGCGCTTGAACGACTGCGCCGCGCCCTTGAAGATCTCGACGAACTTGTCGTAGATGCCTTCCTGGACGAAGATGCGCGAGCTGGCGGCGCAGACCTGACCACTGTGCACGAAGATGCCGCCCGCGGCCCATTTGATCGCCTGCTCGAGGTCCGCATCGTCGAAGATGATCCCCGCGCTCTTGCCGCCGAGCTCGAGTGTGATGCGCTTCAAGTTCGTCTTCGCCGCAGTCTCCATGATCTTGCGGCCAATGAGTGTGCTGCCCGTGAAGGAGACCTTGCCAACATCCTTGTGTTCGGTGAGGGCCTGGCCGGCGACGGAACCAACACCGGGGACGACGTTGAAGACTCCAGCGGGGATTCCAGCCTCAGCGACAAGCTCGGCCAGGCGAAGCGCGGTAAGCGGAGTGACCTCAGCGGGCTTGAGGACGATGGTGTTACCAGTCGCGAGAGCCGGGCCTATCTTCCAGCTAGCAAGCATCACTGCAGGCAAGTGTGAGACATGCTCGAATAGGAAGGTCGATTGCCTAAACTTACATGGGAAGTTCCATGGGACAATCAGTCCGCAAACGCCGATCGGCTCGTGACGGGTGTAGGCAAATTTGGCTTCGGTGGTCTGAAGACATACTGTTAAGTACAAGAATAGGTGTGAGTATATGGTACCTAGCGCACCTCGATCGTCTTTCCAGAGTTCTTATCGGCCCACCCAGCAAAGTAGCGGATGGAGCCGATGACACTAACCATGTCCATGGTCTTGGCCTGGAGGAATGGTTTGCCAGCATCCAGGGCCTCGAGAGCAGAGAGCTCGTCAACGTTCTTCTCGATGAGGTCGGCCAGCTTGCTGAGGAGACGACAACGCTCCTGACCGGGGACCTTCAACCCCCAGGAGTTCTTGAACGCGGTCTTTGCTGCCTGGACGGCAAGGTCTACGTCCTTGGCGGATCCAGCTGCGACTTTGGTGATGACCTTGCCGGTCGAGGGGTCGTAAACGCTATGGACTTGTTAACATAGTGGGATGAGAGAATGGACTGATACCACGTACTCGAGAGTAGCTCCATCGACGGAGTCTACGAATTTGCCGTTGATGAACAAGCCAGTGTTGACAGTGGTGGAACCTTTGAAAAGGTCACTGTTGAACTGGTGGGTGAAAGCGGGAGGCATAGTTGGGAGGTGTAAAGAGCTAGATGTCACGGATGGGGCCTTTATATCCTCTGCAGGGGTAAAAATATCGTTCTGCGTGCGAACACGCGCACGGCAGATGGCAGATGTATACGAAAAGGCCCTTGCATGAGGCCTTAGGTTTTGTCTTAGGCATGCGCCCAGGAGGCACCCGCGATTCAGATCTCCTTGAAACTCTTTGCGCGGATACATTACCGCATATAGTAATTAGATCAATTTCTGCCCACCCCTACCGGCCAAATTTTGGATCCTGGACCCCATGTCCGATTTTGTTCGGATGCTTCGATTCGCCGACAGGAGCGGTTTATGGGTTCTACCTGCTCGGCATCGTCGTATGGCATGCGCGAGGCGATGCCCGAGCTGCTTCTGGCGGCCAGCGCTGGCGCTGAGTCATCAAGAAACAGGACTTGGCTCCATAGTGCCCCAAAATGCTCCTGTAGCACTCTGTCGAACTGTGGAGCCAAGTTGTTTTCCTGACGGAAACCCCACTCTTCCCTGCAGTCTTTTGCACCTGAAACATTGCTTGAGTGCCCACTGCCCGTACAAATTTGCCTTGCCTAGTGCTGCAATTAATAGTCATAAAAGGGTCACAAGCCGACAAGATTGTCGCACTGGCCTTATTATGGCCAGGGTTGCCCCGCGACAGCTTACTGCAATGTGCGAACGTTGTGAACAGCCATGCCTACCTTTCTGGTGTCTTTAGCAAGAAATCTTTGAGGATTTATGCTCGTGCCTACCGGTGCTTGCTGCTGAGCCAAATCCGCGTGTAGCCTTTCATCCCCTGGCGTTGAATTCCGACCTAATGTCATTGTATTTCGAGATATACATAGCCACAGAGTTGTTCGAAGGCAATATTTGTACGAAACAAATATCCCGACAAAACCATGTTTCATATGCAAGCGACTGTAAGGTCGAAACCTAATCCCTCCCGCTTCTGAAACAAGCACGTCTATTTGTTCGAGACAAATAGAGACCGTTTCCTATAGGTGTGGTAGAAGGGAGGCAAGTTGCTCAACGCGCCATGTAGTCTGCAACAGAGAGAAGAATGAGCCAATGCCACAAAATAGTGCCTTCAAGCTAGAAAGAGAATCCATAATGTCGGCACGGGATGACAAGCTGGTATCAGGAGCACACCTCACGGAGAGCTTATGACGACGAGGACAACGATTTCAAGAACCCGAGTAATAGGACAATATCACTCAGGCCCTCATGCTAGTGGCCCTGGGAGAAATGTCACGGTAAAGCTCCTCCTCGACTTACTTACCGGTATACATCGCGGGCCCTGTGACCACGTGTGCCGAAATGCACAAATCGATTCTAGATGGTCATGGCACTCGCTTGGCCAAACAGATATTTCTATCACGAGTTCTGGCGTGTGGCTTGTATCCGCGCGCTTTCACACTGAAGACGCTGTATCGCAGGCTCGGCGGCCAGACGTTTGACCAGCTCGTGCGTCCGCTTTTGTCGCACCCTATGATTGAATGAATGGGAAGGTAGCCGCAACTTGTAGTGCAAATTCAGCTCACATGCTCCCTGTTACGATTTGGCAAGACACTCTCGACGTAGCTCATAAAGCGACCGATCTAAAGCGGTCAGGAGCTCGACGCTAACCAGTTCTTCGCCGTCGTGGAGATCCAGACTCATCTAGCTTTACTATATCCCTTATTATACATTTTTATAAGGTTGGTTTCTAGATATACAGAGACATTTCGTCAGTTAGAGCTTGAGGCCGAGGTTGATATGAACCGCCTTGACTTGGGTGTACCTGCACTGGCATTAGCAAATGAGAAATCCGGAGCACAGTATATGATACGTACGACTCGAGAGCGTACTCTCCCATATCTTTTCCGAAGCCAGATTGCTTGACGCCACCGAACGACACCGCGAAATCAGGAATAGATGCCTGGTTAATCTACAGTCCAAATCAGTCACCACATCTGTCAAGCGCGGCTGTGAACAGGAGAGACACATACGTATGCACTACCAGCCTCGAGCGAGTGGGCGACGCGGAGCGCACAGTTGAGGTTCTGGGTGAAGATGTTGGAGGATAGACCGTAGACGGTGTCATTCGCGAGCTCGATAACCTCTTCCTCGGTCTTGAACTTGACGATGACGGCGACAGGGCCGAAGATCTCCTCACGGACAATCTTCATCTCCGGCTTGACATTGGTGAATATCGTCGGTTCAACAAAGTAGCCCGCACTACCCGTCTTGGTGCCGCCGACCTCTAGCTTCGCACCCTGCTGCTTGCCAGATTCGATGAAGCCCAACACACGCTCAAGCTGCGTCTGCGAGACTAACGGCCCCTGATTCACGCTCGCGTCAAAGTTGTCGCCGCGCTTGAACGACTGCGCCGCGCCCTTGAAGATCTCGACGAACTTGTCGTAGATGCCTTCCTGGACGAAGATGCGCGAGCCGGCGGCGCAGACCTGACCACTGTGCATGAAGATGCCGCCCGCGGCCCATTTGATCGCCTGCTCGAGGTTCGCATCGTCGAAGATGATCGCCGGGCTCTTGCCGCCGAGCTCGAGTGTGACGCGCTTCAAGTTCGTCTTCGCCGCAGTCTCCATGATCTTGCGGCCAATGAGTGTGCTGCCCGTGAAGGAGACCTTGCCAACATCCTTGTGCTCGGTGAGGGCCTGGCCGGCGACGGAACCAACACCGGGGACGACGTTGAAGACTCCATCAGGGAATCCGGCCTCAACAACGAGCTCGGCCAGGCGAAGCGCGGTAAGCGAAGTGACCTCAGCGGGCTTGAGGACGATGGTGTTACCGGTCGCGAGAGCCGGGCCGATCTTCCAGCTAGCAATCATCACTGCGGGCAAGTGTGAGACATGCTCAAATAGGAAGGTCGATTGCCTAAACTTACATGGGAAGTTCCATGGGACAATCAGTCCGCAAACGCCGATCGGCTCGTGGCGGGTGTAGGCAAATTTGGCTTCGGTGGTCTGCAGACATACTGCTCGGTATAGGAATAGGCGTGAGGATATGATAATTAGCGCACCTCGATCGTCTTTCCAGAGTTCTTATCGGCCCAACCGGCGAAGTAACGAATAGTGGAGATGACCGCGGCCAGGTCCATGGTCTTGGCCTGGAGGAAAGGCTTGCCAGCATCGAGGGCCTCGAGAGCAGAGAGCTCGTCGACGTTCTTCTCGATGAGGTCGGCCAGCTTGCCGAGGAGGCGGCCACGCTCCTGACCGGGGACCTTCAACCCCCAGGAGTTCTTGAACGCGGTCTTTGCTGCCTGGACGGCAAGGTCTACGTCCTTGGCGGATCCAGCTGCGACTTTGGTGATGACCTTGCCGGTCGAGGGGTCGTAAACGCTATGGACTTGTTAACATAGTAGAATGAGAGAATGGACTGATGCCGCGTACTCGAGAGTAGCTCCGTCAACGGAGTCTACGAATTTGCCGTTGATGAACAAGCCAGTGTTGACGGTGGTGAAGCCCTTGAAAAGGGCATTGTCGAACTGGTGGGTGAAAGCAGCAGGCATGATTCAGAGGTACGAAGAGCTGGGAGTAGTGGTGGTGGACATGTAGGTGTCACGGAAGAGGTTTTTATATCTTCTGGAGACGTAAATTTATCACCCTGCATGCGACGAGGGGATGGCAACAGAATCGATGAAGGTTCGCTTATTCGTAGAGACACGCTAGGTCCCTGGAAATCGTCGTATCACGGGATGTCGTCACCTCTTCCTAGATTGGAGCGTATAAGCTGAAATATCACAGTAGAAGCAGGTCGAACCACGCGTGTTAAAGATTGCAACATATTTGCAAGGCTCGGTGGGGACTACGCCCGGGGCGCGGGAGGGGCCCAGACTCGTAGGCATCGTCGAGTGAGTTGGTGTACCTAGACACATGTTTGCCTCGCTGTGATGGATAACGGCAGGCGAAGACGACACGCAGGTTGGCAGAACCAAGAGGCAAGGCTATTAGCGAGATGGAGGTGAAAATTTGACCAGCAGACGACGAGAAGCGCGAGCCGGCAACCAACGGAGCTAGACGCCTGAAAATCGCCTCGCGCGACTCCAACGCCCGACCAGCAATCCTCGACAATGTCCTTCACGTCCGTCCTTCGCCAGCAGACACGCACCCTCCGGACAACAAAAGCACTGCGTCTTGTCGGTGCCGTTAGATATGCCTCGTCGAAACCCGACGCCGTCCTTCCACCAGTGCACGAATGGCGAGAACTCTTCAAGACTGCACCCCTCATCGTACGCGACCGAATCAGCTTAGCGAACGTTGGCACGGCGCGAACGCTCGCCGAGGCCTTCTTGTCAGGAAAGAGTAAAGCTGCCGGTAGAGGAAAGACTGTCATCGAGGCCTTCCCAGGTCAGTCTCTTTTACCTGACACCATCCCCGAAGGTCCATTGCTCACCCTCAAGCCAAGGCCCTGGCGCGCTTTCAAGGGGACTTTTGCAGCTCGACCAAGGCATCATCGAGAAGCTCATCATCCTCGAAGACTACGAGCCATACCTTGAGTGGCTTTATGTAAGCTTAGGGACTGCACCCTAGCTTGTCCTGCCTCACCCCATTTTACAGCCTCTCGCGGAAGCAGATCCCAGAGTCAGTGTCGTGCCCCGATCTGGCTTCAGTTGGGACACTTATCAGTACCTTGAAGAGCAAGGGCTCATGGATCACATAGAAAAGATCCCTTTTGAGACCGGCGGTGCGTACCCGTTTGCGCTTTTGCGGTTCCTGACCTGGACGTCACTGCCAGTACACCCGCAACTCCACTTCATCTCGCACATACCACAAAACATCAAGGGTGAACAGCTGGTCGCCCAGCTCTTCCGCAACATCCCAGAAAAGTCATGGCTCTTCAAGTACGGGCGCGTGCCGATGAGCTTCATTTTGGGCGAATGGATATTAGAGGTCTGTGCCGGCCTAGCGTTTCAAGAACGTAATGCTGACGACTTTCCAGCGCGTCTCTGCCGGCCGCAAGACCCTGCCGCGCTGCAAAGTGAGTGTCATCGCCGAAGCAACCGCGGACCTACAGACCGCCGTGCGTTCCGCAACGCTGCAGCCGTACGACAACCACTTCCACCCGGTGCGCTCGCCCGACTCGCAGTCCAAGAAGCCCGACTCGCGGCGCATCGGGCACCCGCTGGCGGCCGTCAACGTCGTGCCACACGCGGAGCAGGTCATCGCGCAGGGCCTGCTCGAGAAGTGGGACTACATTCTCCGCCGGCTGTTCGTGCTCAAGAGCACGCCGCTCAAAAAGGCGATTGGCAGCCTCGCGCTTGGTGCCGAGTCGCTCCTCAAGCCGCTCACGGACCCGAGCCTCCCGCCCGAGCAGCGCGTCGACGTCAACGAGCCAATCCGGAACCTCACCATCAACGATTGGACGCTCATCGCTCGTGCGTTCGACAATTGGCCGTTTGCACCCGAGGTTCGTCCCAGCTCTCGCATACGCTGTACATCGTTGACCAACTCTCTGCAGAGCCTGGTGATCACAGATGGGATCAGCGGGGACTTCGACCGCCGCGGGAGATAGTCCTAGCCCTCGTATGCACGCCTGGTTTTGGTCATACAGTCGATTACCGTATATTCAATTAAATAGTACACAAAAAGTCTGGGAGCAGCACGACAGCTTATATCACTTTAAGCAGACACCTCCACCTCTGGCAACGCAGTCGTCCCCTGCTCAGGCGACTCCGGCCATTCTATTGGCTCGTCGTCGTCTTCGCCTGCAGCGCCCGAGGGCTCTTCGGTGATCTGCGGATCCGTTTGAGCATCCCCCATGACCACGTCTGTTGCTTGGCTGTCTTGAGTCTCTTCGGTTTGCGAATCGATGACGGTCGCTTGTGAGTCTTGTGTCTGACTGTCATCAGCAGAGGTCTTCTTTTTCTTTATTGGTGCCGTCTTCTTGTCGGGCTGCGCGACTGTTGGGAGGCCAAAGAGTGTCGTCTGCCTGCCGCCTGCTTCCTTCTTATCCTTCGCTTTGCCCTTCGCGGCTCCTACGACGAAAACTGAGAACACAGAACTCGGCACGAGCAGAGACACTCACGTTTGACCCCCTCGTTCTCCACAGCGTCGACCTTGGTGAAGAAGCTCTCGCTCTTGTGCAGCGACTTGTTTATCTCCGAACTCTTCATGAGCAGATTGCGCACCGCGTCCGCCTGTGCCTTGCGCGCGAACGGGTTCGCCTTCCCCTGCGTCGCAGGGACGCGCATCGGCACAGCATCCTCCGTTGCGCGTCGCTTGGCGGCGCCCGCAGGCTCCTCGGAGCGCTTGCGCTTCCCATCTGGGGTCGCGGCGGCATCGTACCCGTCGTCGTCCGCTGTAGCAGCGTTCGACTGGAACACCTCCGTATCCTCTCTCGCAAGGCCGGTAGCGCGCATACGCGAGGACCCCGCGTCGGGCGCAGGCGTTGCCATCGCGCGCTCCAAGCCGGGTCTGTGTATCGTCGGCGGGGGGCGGAAGTCCTGGAACGCCTTCGTGCGCCGCTCCTCGCGCTCGGGGGCGACGGCCCGCGGCTTGGGGACGATGGTGAAGTCGGCTGCGCGCGCGCGTCGGTGGTCGCGCTGGGTCTCGAGGCGGTCGGCCTCCTCGCGCGCGTCGCGCAGGAGGCCGAGCTTCTCCTGCAGGCCGACCAGATGGTAGAAGCCCGCGACCTTGGCGGCCATGTCGAGCGACGCAGGGTGGTGCAACAGACGCGCGAGGTCGAGCGCGCGGGCGAGCCGGTCGGCCTTGCATGCACTCTGGATGAGCTGGATCAACTCCTTGTCGAGCGCGAGCTCGCGCGCAGAGATCGTGTCCGTCGTTAGCTCGTCGTCATCGAGCTCGTCGCGCAGGATGTTGAGCAGCATTGTCTCGCGGGCGAAGCTGCATCGAGTGAGCTTTTGGTGTTTAAATGAAGGGGAAGTGCTTACTGCTCCTCGAGAGGACCCTCCTTCGGGTCCGTCCGCTTGAACGGCAATCGAGTAGGCAGTTCCTGGATGAGTGGCCGCGGGAAGCCAGGGTACTCCTGCCGTCCCTTGAGAATGAGACACATGAATGTCTCGCCTGAGACGCCGACAGGCCAGTACGACTCCTGCTTGCCCTCCTTACGATCGAGTGTGTTCGTATTCAGCATGCGTGTCCATGTCGCCTGGAACGGTAACCTGAAGCGCGGGAGCACGTTCAGGATACCCGACGAGTCGTACATCGCCGGCGCGCCCTCCTCCGTGATTCCGATCCACGTTAGCGTGTGGTGTTTTGGCAGAGGGAGCGTGTCTTTCTGAAGAAGGGTGAAGTCGTCGAAGGTGATCAGCCGGCCGGTCAAGTTTTGCGAACCTAGTAAGGACGATTAGTGTGTTTCTGCAGACATAAATGACAAAGGCTAACCGTCCATGGTCGTCGACCCTTCGCGCTGCACGACAAACACCCACTCTGCGCCAGCGACCATGCAGACGAACTCGCCCTGCAAGCTCATAACGTGTCTCTCCATGCCGCCGCCACTCAGGAACACGAGCTCTCCTTCGCTAGTTGCGACAACGACGTTTCCATGGCCTTCCAAATCCGCATCACTTGTACCGCGGAGGGACCTTCGCGGAGGCACACCACCTGCTGCCACACCAATAGCACACACATCAGTCGGCAGCTCGTACGTCCAGTCCGCTTGTGCAGCCCAAGTACCATACGGCCTATACGAGAGATGCGCGGGCTGCGAGCCCTCGGGCGGACACGCAAAGACGGCACCCCGCTCGCCGAGCGCGGCGAGGTCGTACTTGAAGTGGTCCGTGAAGTGATATCCCTTGCGTGTGCTGCGGTCGTGGAACTCGACGTTCACGATGTGATGTGTGTCCTGGTCCGTGACCTCGACGACGCCGACCATGTTGTACGCCAGGTAACGCTTCTTGTTCGCAAAGGGTGTCGCGCCGGGCTGGAACGCTGGCTGCGCCTTTGTCACGCTCACCATCTCGCGCACAGAGCCGCCGCCCCAGCGCGCGTCCTTGGTGGTTTCGTCCTCGTCGTCCATGCCCACGCCGATGTCGTCCAGGATCCAGTCGTCGTCAGGCATGTCTGCGCGACCTGTCCGTGGCTTGTCTCCGTCCATGTCTGCGTCGGGGTCGTCAGCGATTTCTTGTGCCTCCGGAACATCGAGGTCAAAGTCAAAGAGGTCGGGCGTGCCCTTGCGTTTCGCGGCCTGTGGCAGGGGCTTTGACGCTGCGAGCGACGCGGAAAGCTTCACCGGATCGACACCATCTCCGGGCACGGGGTTCTGCCAACGAGTCAGCACACCACCTGTGTCTGTCCATGCGAGGAGGTTTGCTGTGGGTGACCAGGCGATCTGGGTCAGCGGAGCCGTGATGCTGTCTTGGAATCGGTACATGAGCCTGCGATTGTGGGTCGCCCAGACGAAGACGCCGCTCTTGCTCGCAGACGCGATGTAGACTCCGTTGGCAGATAGTGCGAGCGCTGTAATCGCACCCGAGCATGCGTCATCTGCGAGGGTTGAGGTCTTCGTCCAGTCTGCACGCGAGATGGTGACCAGCTCTGAACGCAGCAATGAGCATGGAGTTGAGCAACAGACGGCATACACCCATACCATGTGTGCGTGTCGCGACATAGAAGTATTGACCTGAGGTATGCCATATAGCTGAACAGTCGTGACGCCATTCGGGCGATCTAGGACCACACGTAAGAAATGGAAACAGCTCGGTTCGTGCATACACACTCTGTGTCTGAGACGGCTGGGATGATGCCATCTATCGTCGTCACCTGCTTTGGTTCGTCTTCCGAGACGTCCCAAACGATAATGTTGCCGTCCGCTCCACATGAGGTCTGCGGATGACTGTCAGCAAATAGCATTACAACAGATAGAGACGAACCAAGAGGGAGCCAGAAGGATGCCATGTTACTCTTCGCACGGCCTTAGTATGGCCTTTCAAGACTGTGAGCTTGGTGATATCCTTGATGTTCACAATTTTGATGGACGTTTCGCTGGTTTTTGTTAGAGTCACGCAAACGTGTGCAACACGGAGACGTACTCAGATGCGACCGCTACCCGCTCACCCTTTGGGTCGACGGCGAGCGAGCGTATGGCAACACCCACTGCGCTCGTCACGTTCCCTAGGAGATTATCCTTCCCTTTTGCATACTGGCGGACTTCTGAATCTTCGCTTCCTGTGAACCAGCAGTCGTCCTGTGGAGAGGATGAGCATGGCCCCCAGGGGCGATTCTGTAAGACGCACGCTAGCTACGACTGCGGTCACGGGCTCTCCCGCCTCCATGGCAGCATCAGGATCCTGGTCTGTGCCGACATTTGTCTTCCATATTCTGGCAAGGGAGTCTGCCCCGCCCGTGTAGATGTAGCTGAGGCCCGAGAGTGAGCGCGACCATTCAGTGAGGAAAGAGGACAACATACGAGCCGTCGCGAGAGAAAGCAATGGCGTTTCCGCCTCCATTGTGTGCAGAGTTAATGAGTGTCTTTCCTACCATCTCGAAAGAGATATGGAGGGGATAGCTTGGTGGAGGAAAGGATGAGGGCATGCAACAGTCACGCGTCACGTTTGCAAGACGCGAGTCGTAACGTGTTCGTGATTTCTCGTCACAGCTCGTCACACCTTGTCGTCGGGGCAAGCGGCGGTCGCGCTCGTTGATTGCCATCCGCATCGTCCATATGAACTGCAAATACTGGGAACTATAGTACCAGCAGAGGCCCTATGCAAAACAGTGTACTGTCCTCTATCGCCATAGGACGTACCCGTCCACTTCAGAGCCATCGTAGAGTAGCTAGTAATTCCCGCTTCCCATACCCCTTCCTGTCGTATCAAAGTAGTACGCTTTACTACAAAGTCGCAGGCCAGCATTCTTGGTCCAAGTTTGAGATTAGGGATAAGTCTGGACTCTGTAGGTCTGGAAGCGAGGGCAACTACCAAGAGTTCGCGAAGCTTCTGTACCCGCAGGGAAGCATCTTGAAGGAGAGAATATGAGCATCTAAGAGATGGATCTAGACAACTTTAACTTTGCTGAGAATTCTTCCCCGCTGTTAGAATTATTGACTCTAGGCCGCCTCACCACACCTTGGCGCTACGCCTCCCGCCAGAGCCGACGGAATGCGGCCAAGCGCCGGCGGTCAGCAATAAAATACTGACGCGTTTGATCGACGTCGATCGTGTCTCAGTTTTTAGTTCCGAGGCAAGCGAGACAGGTCTTTGGCCTTTCTATCTTACCACCACCGTCGCAGCGAAGGACGGCCACAGGGTACTTCGTGGCGGATTCTTGGTCTGAAGATGACGATGCTATGCATACTTCCAAGCTTCAAGTATAACGCTAATCGCTAGGCAAACAGCGAGAAGCCCAGAGGCCATAGAACCCTAGAAGTAGCTGCTCGTGTGAAGGACCATCAACAATGCACCAAGAGTTTGGCGATACATTGTATGGACCGCAAGCCGCCTCAAGCACAGTGCAGGACACTGTCAGCGACAAGACATAATGGTCAATGGGGCAAGATGTCTTTGTTGAGGTCTCTGGGAAGAGGAGAGGAGAGTATTGAGCTCGGGCGAGTAGCGCTCTCTATTGTCGTCTATTTGGGCGTCTACTTACCGAACAAGTACCCCAACATGAGGCGGCGTTCAACTCTCCCACCTCGCCTTTTTCCTCTTTGCTACTGCTTCCTTACTCTAACGACCGTGATACCCTCTCCGCGCCCTTGTACTATTCCATCTGAGACAGATATCTGCGCCACCCAAGAACACACACAGGTCGCTTGACTTACTACCCCCACTCATACCCCGCGCCAGACGATACCTTTTGAAATCGAGTAATTGACCCGCCATGTCTGCACTAGGCTCTCCCCCTCCGCAGGCGGATATAAAGACCTACGTGCTAAGGTCAGCCACCCCTGCGTCGAACGAGAAAGGTACAGTCAGAGTTTTTATCTGCACAACGATCAGCTCATTGATGTCGCCCTCCAGTCCTGCTGTACCTGGAGGGCATGCAGAATGTACAGCCCGACAACGACGACATAGACCGTTTTGAAGAAGCCCCTCCTTCCGATGCTGGATCCCGCGTCAGCTCGCATAAACCTCGCTCACAGACGTCGCGCAAATCCCGTTCTCAGGTGTCTCGATCTCAAGTCTCCAGACGCAGCCGCGATCCCGGCATCGAAACCATCGAGGAGATCAGATCCGACCTTCAGGATCACGAGCAGAGCGAGATGGCAAAGACCATACCCATTCAATCTGAGGCTGCTGGCGCCAACGTGAGTCCCCCTTCGCCTTGCTTTGCATCCTGTTCGTTTTTTTCTTCCTGTTGTGGCGATCCGCCGAGCGCATGCCCTCACATCTCATCATGCAGCAAGAACACGGACAGTTTCTGGAGCCCCCGGACTATCGTGTGAGGAAGAAGTTCGAGTCTTACCAGACGGATCAGACTTGGGGGAACAGCGGTCCCATACCAGGGACCGAGCCCCGTGTACGGGAGAAATTCCAGTCGAAACAGACGATACACACGTTTGGCTTCACGGCCTCCGATCCGCCGTCTCTTCACCCTTCTGACGAGGATCCTGTGTCTCCGCCAGGGCAGAGACCAGACGCTGGGCAGGTGCGTTGAGGATGTCTTGCCCCTCAACTTGAAGCTCTCTTTCCGCATCTGTGCAACTCTACAAGTCCAACTTGTGCTGACCTACTTTGCGATTGAATACAGTGGTCCAGTCCCATTACCGCTGCTGGTATTGGGCTTCCTCCGTCCGTTGCTAGTCCAATGTCAAGTAGACCCCATAACCCCTTCCAGGTACGTTTCCTGTTGGCGCATAAGAACTCAAGCCTCATGCACTCTCTTGTGTCATCCTTCGTTTCCTTGCCGCAGGAGTTTGGCATGACATCTGCATTCGGTCCCGTTGACCCCTACGAGCCCGTGCACATTCAGTCAAACGGGGTAAGTCAACAGAACTGGCACGTAGTCGCAAAGCTCATTTATCTCAATGTGACAGGCTATATCTCCGAAGGCGACGTCGCGTACCATGTCCCCGGCGGCTCGATCTGCCGCGACCACTCGCTACCCGCCATTACCCGACTCTACCATGTCTCCCGGACGAACTATGTCTCCAAATGTTGTCTACGACATGGATAGAAGACATACGAAGACACCAAGTATTGCTCCGAGCGAAAGCGCGTCACAAGTTCCGAAAGCGAGGAGAGAAAGGGAGAGGGAGCCTTCAGTCAAGCCTGCGAGAAGTGAAGTTGAACCACGAAGTGGCGGGTCCCGAGGGGAACGAAGTCGCGTCGAAGGTGAGCGCATGCTTTCAGACCTTGTTGTTTTCAGTTGTTGATCCTCGTGGTTCCATGTCCAGGATCCAATCTCGCGAGATCACAAGCTGCTCCTGTGTCTCCTCCCGCGCGATCCCAAGCTGCTCCTATGTCTCCTCCCGTGCGATCCCAAGCTGCTCCTATGTCTCCTCCCTCACGATCACAGGCTGCTCCCATGTCTCCTCCCTCACGATCACAGGCTGCTCCTATGTCTCCTCGTTCCCAAGCTACCGCGCCACCCCCGATGCAAATGCCCATATCTCCGCGGAGCCAGGCATCGCGTCCCCCAGCAGCACCGGTTCTTTCTCCCGCGCGCTCGAACCGCACCATCCCGCCCTCTGCCATCGCGGCTGCGAACGCGTACTACAGCGTGCAGAGCCCCGAACCCATCCCCATCCCTATGCCTGCTCCTGTCATTGAGCCGCCTTCGGAACCCACCCCAATCCAGTCCCGCCCTGCTTCTCCCGCTCATGACCTCACAAGCGAAGAGCAGAAGCTTGTGGACAACTTCTTCACTCACACAGGCACACTGCGCCCGGTTCCCACCGGTGGGACGATGCCTGGTGAGATGAGGACGAGCTACGCCCCGAGTGCAATGGCACCGAGCACTCTTGGACCGGAGGTCGTGAACAGCCACTATCATGACGGCGAGCTGTGCCAGCTCTTGCATGCGCTGGACCAGCCGATGGCAGAGCCTGTGAAGAAGGCCGTCAGGAAGGCCGTCAGAGCTAGGGTTAAGAAGTTGGGAATGAAGTACGACAACAAGGTCAGAGGCGCATTTTACTTGTTAAAATTGGCGGCTGGTGATTGACATGTGGGCACAGTCGATAGAACAGTATAGGCGATCGTACCACGACCACGACCCGTCTGTGCACCTTTCGCCAGCCCCTCCCTCTGTCCCTCCTCCGGCGGGTCCCGATCCTCAAGTGCTCGCAGCACAGCTTGCAGCAGCGTCCTTCGAGGAGCCGCCCACCTGGGCGCAGAACCTTCTGGACAACGTGATTCACCTCACCGCGAAAGTTGACCAGGTGGACACCAAGGTCGACCGTGTCGTAGAGATGCGAGGCTCCCGCCGCGGCGGCTCGGTGGCCGACAGCCAGTACGACAGCCACCACCGGCGGGAGCGCGAGTATGTGCCGAGCCAGAGCGAGTTGAACCAGACGATGACGGTGATGCAACCGCAGACGGTCATGACCGAGGGGGACGACGACATGTACACGGAGCCGAGGCACGAGCAGCCGCACCTCCACATGCACCACCCAGGAGCGCACTTGCATGACGAGGACGATTACTACGACGAGGACGACGGCGCGCGCGGGACGACGCAGCTTGAGGGTGAGGTAGAGGCCGACATGTCTCGTGGCGGCCTGCCGAGCGACTACAGCCCCGGGCAGCAGTACCTCGAGGAAGAGCTCTACAAGCTCCGCGTCAAGCCGCATACAGGCGCCGCGAGTCAAAGCGGCGCGACGCACAAGACTTGGGAGGTTGCGCGCGACGACGGCGGAGACTTCCATGACGAGGGCGACACCCAAGCTGCTGTCACCGAGTCGGGATTGCCCGAGATCCCTGACGCGCACACCGCTGGAGCATACACAGAGCGCAGCCTCCCACCTCTGCCCAGCGGGGGGTCTACCTCCGGCGGCCCGCCGCAGGATGAGCAGCTGTTGCACCCGCAGTGGCCGACGGCGTATCAACCCGAGCAACAGGGGCCGCCGCCGTGGCAGCGGATCCACCAGCGGCTGCTGAGCTGGGCGATCGTGTGGCCGATGAGCGAGCTCGAGCACGCGCTGAACAGCACGACGCGCGGGCGCCAGGTAGACGAGATCGCGCTGAGCATCTGGTCGACGCAGAGCTACAAGCGCTACGTGCGCACGAAGATGACCGAGAGCCCGCCCGAGCGCGTCGACCGCCTGTTCGTGCCGCCGAACATGGCCGAGGCGATCAGCACCGCGGTGTACAACGGCAGGCACGGCGACGCGTGCGGGATGCTCAGGGACTTGTGGGCGCCCTTTGGGCTCGAGGGCATGCCGAGGCTGTTGGTCGTGCTTGCGAAGCATAGGAACGACGACAACCATTGGGTCGTACACCGGTGAGTGCTGCCGTCTATTTATTCTTAACTACGTCTCACATATTTTTGCAGCTTCTCTCTCCCTGATGGATCCTTGACCACTTACGACACCTACCCTGACAAGTCCCTGCCCGACGGCCGGCCTCTGGGCTGGTGGTTCGCCATCCGCCTCGCCTGGCCCGACACTGTCTACCCGAACCCCGAGCGGCTCATCCAGAAAATGGTGCGGCTGCACCGTCCGATGCAGCTCGCGATCGACAACTCCGTCGCCGCCGCCGGCATCTGGCGGAACCTCTTGATGGGCTCGCGGGCCGAGCGCAGCCTTGACCTGGAGCGGCTCCGGGACTTGATCAACCAGGAGGTGAAGAACCTGCGCCAGAGGAAGGTCCTCGGGAAGCTGTCCGTGAGCAGTCCGAGGCCGAACTGGGAGGACATGCATTGAGACCTTGACCTTTCTTCTTTACGAACGAGACGAATTCACGACGAATCTTTTGGGATGTATTCACGGGTAGAGTTCGGTAGGATGTTTGTATTTGCTCTTTTGCTTTCGAAGTGGACAGTGACATTCCGTCTCATGCTGTTGCTGATGACGAAGATGCTGAGATTATTTCTGTTTGTAATTTCCACGTAGTCGTACGCTACATTGCTGTAGTAGTCAGGAGACCTTTTTCGCTTTCAATGTACCAGGACGCTTTCAATCACTGGCCATGGCCATAGACGACGCCAGTACTGGGTTTGTTCAAAGAAGATATCAGGATCTGACCACGGAGTGCTATCAGAAAATCCATAAAAAGGATACATCCACGTACACTGATACCCGCCACCACAACGCCGTAGTGGGTGTAAAGCGGGCTGCTCTAAGAGCAAAGAGACCTGATACCAGGGCGCCTGTCCAAAAGCACTTTGTTACGTGGCTTCAGTGCCATATATCGGAGGTGCCCATCTTGACGTTCAAAACTACACGCCAGGCCTGCAGACGCTTACCGTCACTCGCGAACTATCACAAGTACGCTCAGTGATTCAGTCCCAACTTCTTCGATATACACTTGGACGCGTTTATTGACAGGTACCCAGGCAACACCGGTCTCGGCTGCTTCCTCGAGGCGGTCTTCGCAGTGTGTCTCGATCTGGATGTGAGCTCTCAGAAACTGCATGATTCCATGGCACGATTCTACCTAAGCGGCTCCTTGGCGGTTACCTGCATAGTCCCAAAGCTTGAGAGCTCGATGAGTGAGTGGAGTCTTGGTCAATCCTGTTCACGGCCTTGTAACCGTATAATGAGTGGGCCGGCAATAAGGTCTCGTATTTCAGCGCCAGCTGTCATTCGGACGCGCTGACAGAAGACCCGCCAAGCCACTCATAAACCGTACGCCCCGGATACAACCAGCCTCTTTGCATCCTTCACGTTCACTATGTCGGAGCAGGCTCTTGCCCAAGCCTACTCACAACTGTGAGCAGTACTTCTGTTCGCACTTGATGTATTGATGAACTAATGCTCTTACCTTCGTTTACCAGCCTCCTGCGACACTATACCTTTGTGGCTGCCTCCCATCGCGCCGCTTACATCATTTCCCCCTAGTTCTTGTCATCTACGAGTTTCTCATCACCATCGTTGACGAGATTAACATTGTCCGGAAGAGGCCTGTCACCGCGTCCGCGGTGCTCCTTGGCTGGGCACGATGGTCGTTGCTCCTCGCGATCGTGCTGGGCATCGCGCAACCAACTCCAAACGTAAGCCCAGAATGTCATTGGCTGTGTCAAATACACAATGATCCCTCTCGCAGGAGTAAGTTCAGCCGATTTGAAACCTGTGTAGCACATAGCTTACTAGAGTCTGACACGCAGCTGCTCACCGCTTAATATCTCCATGTGGGTGCCCATCCTCCTTGGGTACATTCAGACCGCAGGTATGCCTCATGCGGTCTGCTCCAATTCGAAATGCTCATTGATTTCCACCCTCAAGTCTTCTCCTCTTTGCGCGTCTTTGCGATCTGGAATAAGAATGACGTCTGGTCGTTAGTAGTATTTGCGTTGAGTATGGTATCGTTCGCAACTTACCTGGTGTGTGCCTCTCTCGCTCGAGCTCTGCGTACACTCTTGCTGACGCTTCTATGCAGACCATCGCGGCGGTGTCGAGGTACGGTTTCGTCGCAGATTCGCTAGCCGGTGCGGCGTGCACCTCGAAGATATCGATATCTGCAGAATTAGCCGGCATGTGGGTGGAGCACGTCTCGCTATCGCAGTCTCGAAATGTTAACGCTTCGATACAGACGTACGTCCTGCAATCGAAGCCCTTGAAAATGCCGGAGACTCTGACAGCACCTGCTCACAGTCTTGTATGTCAGCCGTGGCTCATCTCTCCTCGCCGATACGATCGTTCTCGTCCTGACCTGGATCAGAACATTCGGAGTCTGGAGAGACGCACGCCGTATCAATATCGGAGTGTCGCTGATGACGTGTCTGCTGCGCGACGGTCTGCAGCCCTCCTTGCACACCCCCTGCCTCTTGCTGCTGAGGTCCAGCCGCTCACGCAGGAACGATCTATTTCATGTGAGCATAACGGGAAAGCCATCCGCCAGTAATGATTAATCACAGACGACAATGGCTGTAGAGCTCTGCTAGTGATAGGCGTAACTCAGATATTGACGTACAGATTTTCTGCGGTACGTCTCTGACATGAGTGCATGGGCGGACGGCTGACGGTGTACTTAAGGACCTGTCGCCTGTGGGTGCGTTCGTCGCGTTGCCTGTGGGCGCGCTCGCTGCGATCCCGGTTTGCGTTATACCCTCTGTTCGCCCTCTTGGTGCTCATTAGTTAACCATGCAGCCCCCGCTGCTCACAGAAAGTCGTTGACTTCGTCGTTCCGGCCTTTCCGCGTTCCGAGTTCCGGATTCCGCCCTCATTCGGAATGTTCCGTACCGTTGGCGCCTGATCTGCTCTCGCACTTATACTCGTATAGACTCGTATGTGTGTTTCTGTCTCTGAATGCCAGCTTAATCTGATCGCTTCGTTACAGACTATCATTCCCATCTACCATTTCATCATCATGGGGAACAAGACGACGTCGCTTATCTCGACCGCACCAGGCTCAGACAACACGCCGGCCGAAAAGACGGCATTCTACCTCTTCCAAGTCGTTCCCGAGCTGATTACCAGCGCGACACTGCTGGGCATCAACGCAAAGGAGGTCTTCAGCGCGTGATGGACTGCACAGCGCGGTGCTCTTTGTTGTATGTATGGTCTGCATTTGTTTGACTCTCGAGGCGGACAATAGGCGTCTTTTACCCACGCAGTAGCTGTATCTGTATATTTCGCCTGGACTTGCATCATCGTGCATTGAATGTCACTGTTTGACTTGACTCGATGTCCATTTCACAAGCCCGCGGGAGAATCAAAGCTGTTGTTACAGAGGATCTGATTTCTTCTACACGCCGCCTAAGAATGCACGTGATTTCGTCGGTATCGCATGCTCTTACAGCTTCAGGCTCAGGTTGACATGGACAGCCTTGACCTGAGTGAAGGCCTCGAGAGCATACTCGCCCAGCTCCCTGCCGTGGCCAGACTGCTTGTAACCGCCGAACGGCACCTGCGAGGACGGTATAACAGTCTGGTTGATCTGCATCGTACCCGTCAGCGTCTGCTAGCTGCAACTAAGCATGTCAAAGCTATATACTCACGAAGCAGCTGCCAGCCTCGAGTGCGTTCGAGACGCGGATCGCCCGGCTAACATTCGTAGTGAACACGTAGCTCGACAGGCCGTACTGAGTGTCATTCGCAGCCTCGAGCGCCTCCTCCTCAGTCTTGAATCGAGCCACGACGCCAACGGGACCGAAGATCTCCTCCCGCACAATCTTCATATCTGGCTTCACGTCAGCGAAGATCGTCGGCCTCACGAAGTAGCCTGATCCCTCAGCGCGCGAGCCGCCAGTAACGATGCGTGCACCTTCCTGCTTGCCGGACTCGATGTAGCCGAGCACGCGGTCGAGTTGCGTCTGTGAGACGATGGGGCCCTGTTGGGTCGCTGTCTCGAAGTTGTCGCCCAGCTTAAGCGCCGCCGTTGCGTCGGCAAAGGCCTGCAAGAACCGCTCGTAGATGCCCTCCTGGACGAAGATGCGCGTGCCGGCGGCGCACACCTGGCCGCTGTGGTAGCTGTCAAGTCCCGGGGAGTGAGCACCTGGCTAGCTGGCAGATGATGGTAACGAGTCTTACAAGACGGTCGAACAGACCCACTTGACGGTCTGCTCGAAATCCGCGTCATCGAAGATGAGCACCGCGCTCTTGCCCCCAAGCTCCAGTGTCACACGCTTCAGATTCGTCTTCGACGAGGTCTCCAAGACCTTACGGCCGACGATGATGCTGCCAGTAAACGACACTTTGCCGACCAGCGGGTGCTCTGTGATTGCCTGGCCTGCGGTCGCGCCGTAGCCGGTCACCACGTTGAGGACGCCGTCGGGGAAGCCAGCCTCCTTGACGAGCTCGGCGAGCTTGAGTGCAGAGAGCGGTGTCATCTCGGACGGCTTGAGAACGACGGTGTTACCGGTCGCAAGCGCGGGAGCGACTTTCCAAATAGTGAGTGTTACTATGTATTTGTGTTAGCGTGTGTCGATCCAGCGAAGCAGGGGGAACGAACGTGGGAAGTTCCATGGGACGATCGCGCCCTGGTGAGCTTTTCAATACAGTAGATCCTACGCAATGCTAAGGGCAGGACTAACCACGACACCAATGGGCTCATGCCGAGTGTAGGCGAATTTGGCTTCAGTTGTCTGGAGAAAATTTGTAGGCAATCGGAGTGTGCAAATTGAGCAAGTGGAAGAATACCTCGATGGTCTGACCGTGGTTCTTGTCTGCCCAGCCAGCGTAGTAGCGCAGGTCATTGATGGCGCCCTGAACGTCCGGATTCCTCGCGAGAGTGAAGAGCTTTCCTATGTGCGCTGAACTCATGGGCTCTGTATTCAGGGTATGCGAACATACCGGTATCAAGAGCCTCTATGGCTGCAACTGCATCTGCATTCTTCTCGAGGAGCTCGGCAAGCTTGTACAGGAGCTTGCCACGCTCGGAACCCGGCACCTTGAGGCCCCAGGAGCTCTTGAAGGCGGCCCTGGCAGCCTTGACGGCAATGTCGATGTCTTTCGCGTTCCCAATGGAAACCTTTGTGATCACACTGCCGTCCACTTTGAACGTGTTAGCATGCACTCTCTCATGGACAGCACTCCCATGGCCGAGGACGTGGCTTACGGGGATTGATGACGCTTTATAAGACAGCGTCAGAACATATGAGACACAAAGACAGACACAAAGACAATGACGACGTACTCGATACTCTCGCGGTCGACGGAATCAACAAACTGTCCGTTGACGAATAAGCCGGTGTTCACCGTCACGGTGCCATTGTAGAGCTCTGTGGCGAATTCGTGAGTGAAAGTGCCTGGCATTGTGGTGGGTCGGCTTTGAAGATGATGTGAGGACTAGATGGAAGAGCACCAGGGCAAAGCGCGTTTCACGCGCTGTCTTATATACATGGGCCTCCGGGAGATTGTGTATATCCGGGTCCCAGAGGATTACTTAACAACTGCCCTCCCAGACATCAGCGCGTCAGCGTCGAGGGAGGCAGGAAAGTCGTGTTTCAGTGACAACAGCTTGATCCTTCAAGCGACCTCGGAGTCAGGTCGGTCTCACATCGCGAAATATGCCAGAGGCCGATCCGCACCAGAAATGGCCGTCGGGACGCGTGCCAAAGCTCGGCCATCGAGCTCAGGCCAGAAGTTCCGGCCACCTGACTCAACTCAGACTCAGAGTTCGACGTGCCGTACAGCGCCGAAACCCTCGCTGATAAGCTCAAGTGTCTGGTGTAAGCTTGAGAAGGAGGTATCCAAGAAAGTGCAGATCGTTATTTGGGACGCAAGCGCGCGGGATGCGAAGGTACGCACACATTTTTATTGAATCTGTCTAGTATTTAGTACTCATGCCACTGCAGGAACTGCCCCGTCTACTCAGCTACCCTGTGCCACCCGGCAACGTTCGACCTAACGGAGAGTTGGCCGTCAAGATCGACGCAGAGCTGCTCAAAGCCTGGGGTATGGTCCAGCCTCCTGTTGGCCATCCGGCCGCGCCCTCGTACCAGCGGTACGATCGCGCAGCTAACAGCGGACGGGGCGGCTGGACCTTCGTTCCGTACAACGAAGCCCATCCCGTGCTTAAAGGCGGTGAGATTCATATTCGTACTCTCGGCGAAGAGGGCGAATGTGAACTCGAGGTCAAGCAGCGGATCGATGGTCGTATTTCCACCCCGCAGAAGACCTTCCGCTCTCTCCTAAAGGAAGAGCACGACTAGGGCAGACATCCGATTACCTGCCTTCCTCGGGCTCTTGCAGCCCCGCTGTGGGGAACCCACAGTGGCCTCACGACTTCCGTGTCGTCGATCTCGCGCCGTACTTCGACAGCTGGGACGCTATGGTCAAGGAGAACAAGAAGAACAACGAACAGCGCTTGCTTAGGATTCGCAAGGGCTTTGATGTTTCCGGCGACGAGGTCACCGCGGCAAGAAGTGGACGAATTTCTACGACGCTCTTGCCAGGTGGAAGACCGCACCACCTGATTTCCGGGAGCGATACATCGCTCACGCCTACAACGACGAAGGGTCGTGGGACAAGTTCCGGCGTGAGGTCCCGGATCCTGGCCGTGAGTATCGGATGGCCGACCAAGTCGTGGCCTTCGACGTGCCGGACGTTCCGGCTTCCGAGTTCCAGATTCCGCACTGCTTGGCGTCTATTAGATTAGATTAGGATAGGCGCTTACACTTGCTTTCGCGGCCCTCCATTGGCTACTTCCGTGGCTTCCGTTGGGCGCTCCGATGCCGCCAGATTGCGGCGGGAAGCGCACTGATGCGTGATGCGCCTTTGGTTCTGATATTATGGATAGGATGTATGGGCAACAGCTTTGTCTGATGTGGTGAGATATAAGCTGTGGACATGCAGGCTGACTCTTGTAATGATTAGTAAGGTGTCTAGAAGTAAGACGAGTGACGTGTCCTACCAGTCAAGTCACCGATGCAGTTATGTACTGGTCGCGCTATGCGGTCGGATACCGGTGATTCTAGGCGAATCGGTCATCATCATCCTGACATGGAAGAGGTCCTACCGCCGGCAGTAGGACTTCGTCAATATTCGTGGTCCAGTCTCGTTGACGCAGACTCTTATCCGGCACAACGGTAGTATCTTACTCTTTCTGCCGTCGCACGATACTGACCACGGCCTTCAGGAACTACGTATCTCATGTGACCGCCCACACACTCGACTTCATCTGCCATCGCTGACGAGCTATGCAGGGCCATGATGCTCGTTGATATTGCTGAGGTATTAGTTGTTACACATGGTCCGGTAACTGGGACTTCATTTGCGCTTCGTGATAATGAACTGACGAATCGTCTTTTGCGCCGTCAACGGCCTTCGCGGGACCATTCTTGGATGCTCTGGTAAGTCGCACGGCTTGCTCTGGCACTACAACCCGCGATTGATACGCCGCTAGTACAGCCGCCGATCCTCGTACGCAGGCTTATAGTGAATCTGCGGCGCTCATCGATCCACTGAGGCTACACCAAGTATTCAGATATCGAGCTTGGTTTGCCCAGCACGATGCAGACGAAGTCAGCTGTGCTCCGACATTCCAACCAGGGGCTGTACGAGTTTGAACGCTCGTTGTACGTCGGTCAGCTCCACACACGAAGCAGCTCGACAGTCAGCGGGCGGAGCCGGTGCTGTCTGAGTCTACCATGGAAGGCTACTCAGACGAGAGCGGTATCGCTCTTACAGTGTACGTGCGTCCCAGCCAGAAGCTCGTCGGCGACGCTGATTGTGCCCTAGAATAAGACGAGCTGCAGACAGTGCACTTCCACTACATTGATGACAGGGTCAAACGACGAGTTATATTTCGCACTCTGAAAGGGGCGAGCGAGAAGAAGATTGTGTACATAGACCCAGATGTATTATAAAACAAGATCACAACAGACAACAAAAGCAGGGATACAGCAGCCAGATATACTAACAGAGTATTCAAGTCCGATGGCTCACACTACAGTTTTTGAGATCGAGATGGACTCGGAAGGGGCTGTTCACGTGGCGGCTATGGCAGGCTCAGGAGTGAGCTGAGGAGCAGCGGCACCGTTGGCCCCAGTGGCGCTATCAGCAGGGGCAGCAGCCTTAGCAGAAGTCGGAGCGGGATAGACCGCCTTAGTAGGTGTGCCGTTGGGTTGCGCATGACCATTGGCGGCGCCGTAGGGCATGGCGACGGGCTCTTCTTCCGTGGGGGCGCCGCGGTCTGCCACCGGTGTAGTATCGACCCTGCCGTCCTTGTCGATCGTGTACTCGCCACGGATCTGACCGTAGTCCCGCGCCTTCAGCTTGCCGTTCTCGACTGTGGAGGATGTCATCAGTATGGGATATAGGAGGTGTGAACGAGATAGGACACACCCCACTCGGAGTACCACCTAGTCCTGTACTTGACCCACTCTGCGACGTCGAGCATCGGAGGTCGGACCATGTCTGTGGCAAGGCACGTCAGGTCCGATTCTATGACAAAGCCCAAAAATCAACCACGCACCCTTGTCGAGATCGAGCTCGCAGATGAAATCACCGGCACGGGTGATGACGGGAGCGCGAAGCTTGATGGACTGGATGCCCATAACACAGTACTCCCAGGACGCCTCGAGGAGGAGGCGAAGCTGTCCGGTGACGAGCGCATCGAGGGCGTCGCTCTTGAGCGACAGGTTCTGGAGGTGGATGGTGCTCGGGTCGAATGTCCACGAGTCGGTGCAAGTCTCGATGGTAGGTTTGACCTGGACGGGAATGCGGTCGACGACGATCTTGAGGCCGTTGGAGGTGTCGAGCTTGATCTTGGCACCCCAGGTGCCGACAGTGGACCGGCTATATGGTAGTCGTCAGCATGCTTTCGCAACAAGCGAGAAGGCACTTTTACGCACCTCCACTTCTGGCCGTTGTGCTTGCCACCGACCTTGACAGTGGTCTCGCCGCGGAGGTCGAGCTCGATACCCTTGGGATCGAACACAGTCGGGATGATAAGCGAGTTCTTCGTGTTGCCTGCATTAACCGTGAGCTTCCAGCCTGATCCTCAGCTGCGGCTGTGGGTGTGTACGTACAGTGGAGATAGTATTCGCCGTTAGCCGTGTCCTCATGGTGGCCCTCATGCTCGTGGTTCCACTCGTCGCGGTACTTCCACTCGTACTCCATGAAGTCCAGCGAGTCTGCCTTGACCGGCTTCCAATAACACCCGACCTTGGATTGGTTCCGCGTCGGGTGCAGGTACCATGTCGTGAGGTCGACGTGCCAAACATCGTCGACAACATCGACGTTCCTCGGGACGATCGTCGTCATCGCATTGACATTCTTGAGCTGCTCGAGGATGTATCGCTGCAGGAAGATCTCGCGCGACAGGCCCAACGTGCCGACAGAATCGCGACCGACAGCCTGCCAGCCGGCAGCCCACTTGCCACTGAACGTCGGCATCCTGGCACCACCGGTGACACCGTAGATGACGACGAGCGGAATCTCGGTCTCGAGGGTCTCGAAGTTGAGGCAGGTGTCGATGGTGATCTCCTTCTTGGTGAGGACGCGGTGGTCGACATCGGTGAACGCGAACAGGTCCGAGGGTTTGTCGGTGCGGGGAAGCTTGCAGATGGGGACGGTGTGGAGAATGTTGTGGCCGTAGTGGGTGAGGGCGGCGAGGTACTCGGGGATGTACTGCCTGATGGTGTTGAGCTTCTCGAGCGAGGTGTCGTCGGTACCGAGGTCGGTGACGATCGAGAGTTCCTCGACGTAGCGTGCACCTGTGAGTCGGGGTGTCAGCAGCAGACATCGGAAGCCCCGGAGAAAGACATACTCTTGAGGTTCAAGATGAAGTGCATGAGATGGACAGCATCCACCGCGATGGTCTGCTCCACATCTCGGCTGTGCTCTGTGCCGCTGACGGTGGTTTCCGTCGTTGTCGTCGTCGTCTCGGTGGTGGTGGTGGAGCCTGTGGGGCGGGTGGCGGTGGCGGTGTGCGAGCGGCGAAGCGTCTCTACGAAGCGACTAGTCCAGGTCTTGTAGTAGTCCGTGACGACGGTGTCGACCTCGACGATGAGGAAGTCATGCGGGACCTTGGAGATGTCGACCTCATACGCGAGCGTGACAGCCTCAAAGTCGACGGTGTCGAGCTGGTCAGTGGGCTGAGGATGCAACCAGAACAGCCTCGTCCACCACTTGAGCGACTTCTCCCGCCTGTCATACAGTCAGTCAGTCAGCCCACTGATTATCGTCGAGAGACGGCGCGGCACTCACTTGCGGACTGCAATCATGCCGTTCGCCTGGATGTAGATGATCGCCTTGCCGCTCGTCAGCAGCCGGACCTTCAGGTCTAGAATGTTGATCGAGAACAGATTGCCGATCTGCCACTCCCGCACCGTCTCCAGACGGCTACGCAGGACCCGGTTAATAGTCTCCTCCGAGAGTGCAACGACCTCGTGGCAGCCAGGGTAGATTGCCGTGTTCTGGATCCGCTCAGACCACATCATCGCGTGCGTATGCTTCCTGGCGAAGTGGTCACCCTCGTTCTCCTCCGTCTCGGTCCACTCGGCCGCGTAGTCCCTGCCGAAGCTGTCCGGCGAGAGGGGCAGGCCGAGGATGATGTGGAGGCTGAAGCGGGCGAGGATGTCGATGTAGTCGTGGGAGAAGAGCTTGATCATGAGGTCGATGTAGTGCTTGGTCTGCTCATCGGGTTCGCCGCCGCCGAAGAACGAGTCGAAGCGGGAGAAGCGTGCGGCTGTAGTCCATGGTGTTATCGCCCTGGTATATACACTACGAATGAAACTGAAAGACGTACTGTCGAAGTCCAGGGTCACCACGCCGAGGCCTTCGGCCCTGACACACTTGACGATGAAGGCGAACTGCCACTGCTGGTCAGAGAGGTCCACCTTCGGGGTCACGCTGGGTTAAGACCTTGGTCAGAACTCGCAAGGTATATGAAAAGAAAAATGATGTAAGCATGGAACTCACGTATCGTTAATGCCAGCCTTCTCGAAGAACCCGAGCTCCTTGATATTGAACTTGATGATAACCTCCTGGTTGCACAGAGGCTCGACGGTCGGAGAGTGGAAGTTGATGAAGAAGTGGATGTTCTCCAGCGTGCACCCGTTAATCCAGTCGCTGCAGATCGTCGCCAGACACAGGTCAAGCTTGCCCCATGCCGGTCCATTCCGCTTGCCACAGGCATTCTGCCAGTGCATCTGGTAGAACTGCGCAATCAGCGCCGGGTCAACCTTGTCAAAGATCCTGATGTCCTTCCGGATCAGCTGCCGCAGCTCATCCGTACTCTCCGTCCGGATCACCGAGTAATCAATCCGCGGACGGTGCTTAGAGTCGTCAAAGTCGGCCAGATCGAACATCACATGGTTACCAGACGTCTGCAGGAAGTGCAGGTAGTGCTTCAGGTAGAACTGGAACGCCTCCTTGGCATCGTCATTCAGCTTGTTGTCGCCCAGCGTGAACCTCACAAACTTCTCCTCTACAGCATCATGAGCAACTGATCATATCTGCGACGGACGGCTGCACTCACGGTCGAGAGCGAGGATCATCATCTGGACAAGGTGCCTGACACCAAGGTTCCCGATCTTTTCGTCGCGTCCACTGATGTTGCTGCGCAGAATCGGAAGCGCGAACACGACCTCGACGTCCTTCAACGCAACGTTCTTCGAGCTGCGGCGAGGACATTAGTAGACGTTGGTCAAGATGCCTCGCAAACGTACTGATCGGCGCGTGCACTCAGCTTCGCCGAGTCCTTGTAGGACAAGTTCAGGTGGCCCGACTCGATGTTCAAGCGAAGGAAGACGGTGTGATTGCACAGAAACTTGAGCTCCGGCATGGCAAACTTGGCCGAGAAGAACAGATCTTCCTCGCGCAGGCCGGTGGTGGCGCGCCTGGTGAGGAAGTGGAACTCGCGCAGGGCGCGAATGTACCGGCTGCCCTCGTACTCGGCCGACTTGTAGTCGTAGTGGACGGCATGCGGGGCGCAATCGTTCGCGTTGTGCCAGAGGGCCTCGAGCTGGGCGGTGACGTAGCGGATGGAGAGAGGTCCGCTGTTGCCGTCGATGCACATGATGAAGACGAGGGTGAGGTAGATACGGTGCGACTGTACAGTGTCCTCGAGGAGAAGAGCTGCCGTACATGAGGAAGAAACTCGAGGCTTTATACTCCAAGCGTAGGACGCGGAACGAGGCGTCGCGAGACCACCTACAGTGGCTGCGCCCGCTTGACCAGTTCTTAGTCGGCACACAGATGATCGTCGTTCGACCTCGCGTCGGCTGTGCGGAAAGACCGCACCCCAGGTTGTCTTCTAGACCGAGCCGTCTGTCGGTTTGCCGTCGTTCTATATCGCTTCACGAGGATACAAGACAGTGACGCTTGTGACGTTCATGTTTGTGCACATATGTGGAGGTATTGCCCGAAGACCCGTTCGCCGAGATCTCCCTATGCGAGCCTGTGTCCACGGGATCTGAGGAGGAGCCGCAGGTTAGGATGCCGATCATCAGCTGTGTGGACAGCTGCATGTGTCCGTGAATGCTGCCGACGACGCGTCCTCTGACGTCGACCGATGCATGCTACGTGGCTGAAACTTCGCGCGGTCGTAGAGAAAGCTCCGTGACAGTGCCGCTCTCCAGTCAGACAAGGCAAGGGTGATTCTGATGGCCACGCGACCCCAGGAAAACGACCCCGACGGCGGCGCAACTCCAGGAACAGCGTCAGCGGCTAGGCAGCCCCGGGACGAGATATTGACGTACAGCGGTCAACGGGAAACGCGGTTAAAGTGAGCACACGTCCTGTTGTCTTGCAGGCATCCTCATAAACCTATGTTGCGGGGACACTGAGCCAGGCGACGTCGCTTGTCTCGCGTCGATCTAGGCCCCGAGCACTGTCCATGGGTGACATACCCTGACAAAATTCCCTACCGCGAGGTGGTCCGTCAACAAGCTGGCCATCACGTACGTGGTGCATAAATATGCGTGGGAAGCCCGCGCGCCGTAAATCTAAACTCCGTCATAAGAATGATAAGTAGCTTTTGTAAGTGCCCTCAACTCCGCATTCTAACAAAAACTTATCACCATCAGCTGTATCGCTCAAAGTTCAATGTTCAACACTGACGGGCCTCCACCGGGTCCAGAGTGAACGGCTTCTTCACAGCTTTCGTCGTAGAGTCAAAGAGTCACCTCGAACTGCTTTCTAGACTTACGGGGGCTCTCTTCCCTAGCGGTGCTTGCAGCAGATCGGCTGCGCTCAAGTTATCATGTCAATATTGACTTGCGTCTGAGCCGAGTTTCTGATGCAGGACGGTGCGCTCAAGGCTGCGCGCGCACGGACGTACGGTACTGCCGTGATGACGATAACAGATCGTGCGCGCCCCGCTCTGCACTCAAATGCTTTGCACAAGTTTGCACAGCGATGCAGGAAACATTCCACAGCACAAATCAGAGCCGCTTTGCGTGGCGTCGTTTGTGGCGTCCTAAAGAGGGTGGTCAGCTTAAACCCGCGCTTTGCTAAGTCGGCTGTGACCTGGGCGGCCCTCTTCAATGGTAGGTTATGCGCAGCAGTAGCAAGTTCGGATTCCACCATCAATTAATCCCTATAATTCGCCTTAATTTGGCTCAGGAGACATTGCAGTGCACGTATTGCCTGTACACGCGCAACGGCGACCTTTGTCTAGAGAAGCATAGGTCATACGCCTCAGGCGACGAGCGGGATGACCGCTTGGGCGGACACGTCTCACTTCATTCTCTAACGCCTGCGGAGTTTGCGAACTCCGTGTTCTGTAACTTGGCCCGGGGGGGGGGTGTCTATCGTTCTAGATACAGCTGTGAGGATGGCGCCCGCCGCACATCTACTGTAGCGGAGCGAATGGTACAAACCGTAACGCATAACGCACCCCATCACCGGTTTGTAATTCCGGTCTTCTTGTCACGCTTCATGGCTTTTCGAGGGTCTGAAGGGAGCACAAGCTGGTTTTTATAGGCAGTATGGCTATTTCTCTGGCCTTTTAATTACTTTCAAGCCTTCAGCAAGGGCTGTAGTCGCAGATAGGATTGTCAGAAGCACCTAATTAGCCGATATCTTTCCCCACAAACTAACATGTCACGCATAACCCCAGGCCGGTTTGTAGCATGGAGGGCAAGTTAATTGTCACGTCTCCCTGACCGGTTTGTACCGTTCACTCCGCTACAGTACTGTGCAGCCCGTGATGCACACGTGGAAAATCGGCGAACTGGAGGAGGTTGCGGCGCTGTTGGGAGACTGGCGGAGGACAGGTGAGCGGGGATTACGTCGAACGAGCAAGGTCGAAAGCTCCGAAGCGGTGACGTGAGAAGTGAGCGAAGAGAAATAGTATATGAATCTGGCTGTATGTTTGTGTGCTTGTTCAGCAGATGTCTCACATGTTCTCGGGATAGATCATTCCAGTAGGAGACTAGTGTGCGCATATGTCATTGCAGAATGGAAAATGACCTTGGAAACTCCGTAGCTGCATACCTTACCATACTCTGCCTGCCTCCAAGCCGGCGTAACGCTCCTGTTGATATCGTTGAGACAAAACGAGAACGTATTCTCGCAAGCGTGCCCTCGATGATCAGTCCTAATCGCGCCGCTCTCCTGCGCCGTCTTGAGAGTCGAGACTGTCTTTCCATTGAGCACTGCGACGTCTGTGTCGAGCTGCAATGTGGGAGATGGCCTGAGCGTGTACGGGGACGGGCAACGGGCGAGAGTGGATCGCATCGTGCATGAGAAGGTCGCGGTGACGGAAAGGGAGGGGATACCCACCAGCCGACGATTTTCAGGACGTGTTTGGGAATTCGTTACGTACTCGCATCGGGCCCGCCCCGCGAGTGTGCACGACGGCAGGGACGTGATGGGAAGCCAGAGCGAGCCCTTCATATATGATCTCCTTCCTGTCACTTAGTGTTGGCAAGACGCCTTGGTGCAGGTATTCGGTGATGATGAGCGAAATCCGCGAAATACCGTATTGATTGCGGACCTCGTTGAGGTCCTAGACCTGCGCCGTCTGTACGGCGTACGCTGGACGTTGAATCACCAATGGCATGCCCGACGATGGCTGGCTCGAGCTGGACAGGCTTGGAGCATGTCCAGCCTCCTGTAGGCACGGTTATTACGGGCACTAGGAATACGACGACATGAGATAACTTACCAGCAGCAGACCGACACCTTTGCAGGCATGAGGTAGCTCAGCGAAGAAAATCTTGCCAGCACAATAAACCCAGCGCTAGCGCATGCGGCGCTAACGAAAGTGAGCAGACGCGCGCAGCACAACGCCTATAGCTGGCGCACCTCAGTTTCTTCTGCCACTGTCTCTATATTCTATAACTCCTTGCCGCTCTTGCAAAAGTACGACCATGGCAGCGGACGTCCCAACACTCAATATCACGCTGCTTGGCGCAGGACAGGAAGTCGGCCGGTCCTGCTGCGTCTTGCAATATAGGGGAAGGACCATTGTCTGCGACACGGGAGTGCATCCCGCGTACAGCGGCATTGCCTCGCTGCCTTTCATCGACGAGCTAGACTGGAGTACCGTGGACGTCATCTTAATTACTCAGTATGTTGCTCGCCTGCAAGTCACTGTCATGCTGAAGCTATAACTTGTTCAAGCTTCCATCTAGACCATGCTGCCGCTTTGACATATATCACGGAGAAGGTGTGTTTGCGTGCTCCCTACCACATCTGAAAGCTCACTTGCGCGTATAGACGAACTTCAGAGATGGAAAAGGCAAAATTTACATGACACATCCGACCAAGGCCTTGCACAAGTTCATGATGCAAGACTTCGTCCGCATGGGGTTCGCTCCCTCTTGCTCGTAATCCCCACAACCAGCTGACGGTCAATCTTAGCTCCTCTTCTTCTGATGCTCTTTTCAGCCCAATGGAGCTATCAGTGTCTCTCGCTTCTATCATCCCTGTCTCCGCCCACCAGGTTATTTCGCCATGCCCCGGTGTCACGTTTACGCCGTACCACGCGGGTCACGTCCTCGGTGCATGCATGTTCTTGATCGATATTGCTGGCCTTAAAATCTTGTATACTGGCGACTACTCTCGTGAAGAAGACCGACATCTCGTCAAGGCCGAAGTGCCGCCCATCCGCCCTGACGTGCTCATTGTGGAAAGTACCTTTGGCGTTCAAACTCTAGAGGGCCGGGAGGAAAAAGAACTGCGGTTCACCAATTTGGTGCACAATATCATCCGACGTGGTGGACATGTCTTGCTTCCGACCTTCGCCCTGGGTCGTGCACAGGAGCTCCTGCTGATTCTGGACGAGTACTGGAAGAAGCATCCCGACTTGCACAACGTTCCAGTTTACTATGCTTCTAGCCTGGCACGGAAGTGTATGGCCGTGTACCAGACATACATCCACACCATGAACTCGAACGTACGCTCTCGCTTTGCCAAACGCGACAACCCATTCGTGTTCAAGTGAGCTCCGCTTGTTTCAATGTACCGCGATTCAGGACTGATGCCATTCCTCCAGACATATTTCAAACGTGCCTCATAGTCGCGGCTGGGAGCGAAAAATCGCTGAAGGCCCTTCGTGTGTCGTTCTTGCTAGCCCCGGTTTTATGGAATCGGGTCCGAGCCGCGAACTCCTGGAGCTTTGGGCCCCCGACTCTCGGAACGGCGTTATCCTCACCGGTTACTCTATCGAAGGTACAATGGCCAGGGTGAGTGGCTATGCAGTCTCCCGGAGGGCGTGTCATGTTGTGTACGATATCTTGTCTTGTATGTACATCACCGCAAAACAATGTACTTTTTCTTTCCGTTCAGTCCTCCCTCGGGCTACTTGAGCTATCAATTGTGAACCGGCCGTTGAACTTATGTTTGTCCCTAGGATATTCAAACAGAACCGGATGAGATTCCATCGGTTAAGGGACACACGATCCCGCGCAAGCTTTCCATCGATGAAATCTCTTTCGGAGCGCACGTCGACTATTCTCAGAATTCTGAGTTCATTGAGCTGATCCACGCCCAGCACATCGTGGGTTGTCTTGCCAGAAGTCAAGCTCTCGCCCGTACTCAACCTAGTAATCTCTTTTAGGTTCTTGTTCACGGTGAACAAAATGCGATGGGCCGTCTACGTGCTGCCCTGCAAGACCGCTACAAAAACCGTGATGAGGATGTCAAGATTCACACGCCCCGGAACCTCGAACCATTGCAGCTGACGTTCCGCGGCGAGCGAGTAGCGAAAGTAGGTGGCCCCACTTATAACTCGCTTTCTTCCTGACATGAGTCTCGTCTAGGCCATTGGCACACTGGCAGCGAAGCCTCCACAACCCAACGAGGTTATATCCGGCCTTTTGGTGTCGAAGGACTACTCTTATACGCTTCTTGACCCGCGCGACCTCCGCGACTTTGCCGGCTTGACGACGACGGCTGTGACGCAACGGCAGAAGATTGCTCTGAACGTCGGCTGGGAGCTCGTTCGCTGGCATCTGGAGGGGATGTACGGCAAGATTGAGGACGGTGTCGACAAGGATGATGTACCGACAATGCGGGTAAGTGACCGAGCGGCTTCCTGACAGGATGCATACCGATTTTTGCTGCAGGTCATGGGCGCAGTAGACGTGAAGCAGACGTCGGAACATGAGTTGACGCTTGAGTGGGACTCAAGTGCGAGCAACGACATGATCGCGGATTCTACGCTTGCACTCATCACTGGAATCGACAAGAGCCCCGCTTCAGTCAAACGTTCGCCCATTTACTTGTCTTTCTGCTGACCCGCGCTAATTCACTTTCCCAGTTACCGCCCAACCACACTCGCATGAGCACTCGCATGCCCCGGCGCTGCCTCACCCCCACGCAGACACCGAGGATGAGCAAGCAGTGAACATACGCATAATGCGGCTTGCCATGTTCCTAGAAGCCCACTTTGGCGAGGTCGAGCTCCATATGCCGGACGATGCGTCTGCAGATCCCGAGCTAGGCGAGAATCCGCCCGAACCAGCGCTATTGGTACGCCTAGACGAGGCAGATGCGGTAATCAATCTTTTGTCTATGGTACGTCTCTCCTACGCGTGCGACACCTTAATCTAAGGAGCTGGCCTTTGCATAGACAGTGGCGAGTTCAAGTGACGCGCTCCGGAAACGGGTCGAAGCGGTGCTAGACATGGCGCTGTCAACCATCAGCTCCCTCAACGAGTCCTTCACCTCCGCGGCGCCGTTTGGCACAGAGGAATACGCACCGCCGACCGAAAAGGAGAAGCAAGGTTCTGAGGTAGATGCGACCGCCGATGCAACCCAAACCAACGGAACGTCTGGCTTAGATAACACGCCGCCCGTTGCTATGAACGTGGATTCGCCGGTACGGGACTCGCACGCGGCGTCAAAACAAGAGTTAGAGACGCGCTCAGCATCGGAACCGACAGACTCTCAGGAAATGACTGAGGACGATGGTGCTCCGTCGCCCATGGATGTCCAAGAAGATACACAAAATTCAACAGCTGACGCTCGAGGTGTACCGTCACAGCAAGACCAGGACGCCTCGTCGCAAGGTCTTGCGGCCACGCAGGGCAGACGCAGGGAGCGTCGTAGGGCAAAGCAAGAAGGCAACGACAGTGAGGAAGCGTCATCAGGTGACGAGCCGGTACCGGAAGTCTGTAGCTGAGACACATATGAGTTGTTTGTTGCGTGTGCTGTCTTCATACTGAGTACATGGTTATAATGATAATTGGCCGGCAGAGTATAGTTGCTGGCTTCCATTCCATGGTCGCTCTACGAGAAAGCTTTGATGCGCCAAGGACTGCACGGGTAATAACAGGTTAATGGAGGCATCGATAACTGAACAAGATAGATTACGCACCTGTTGCGCTTTTTCGTCAGCAGGCAATTACCGGAGAGATATATGTGAGTCTCAGCGCCGCCATCATTGGGGCCTGGTACCTTCCAGTACCCGGTGGGTACCTTGCGATATGGCAGGCCGGTGACCACCTCTGATAGGAATATGCTGCGATCTACAAGCACTGTTGGTTCCATGATGTACTGCCACGGAGCTGTAGCTTGCCGGTCCATTGCCTGGAAAGCGTGACGTAAAGCGGGTGGCGAGGGGAAGTCGAAGATGAAGGCGTCTATGGGAGGGTATATTCCGACGTTGGGTCGGATCCTGAAAATAAGCATTCGTTTGTGGCTGATATTTCCTCCCAGAGAGAAAGACTCGTTGCCGAGTGTGCGTATAAGCCGGGTGTTGGCGGCCCAGTCGTCCCACGGTATCACTTGTTGGAAGGTCCTCCCGGTGCACAGGTCCACCAAAGTCCCCGCATGAACGAAAAGACAGAATGTCGTGCTATGGGACCAGGTGATGCGGGATCTCCGATAGCCGTAGTCTTCGCCATTCTCGTCCAGTACGTCTTCATCGAGAGCGGGTGAAAAGGATTCTTGTGAAATGCAGGCGCTGGGCATGCTCGGGGAGTGCAGAACCCTGAACTGAAAGCCAATCATTCGTAGAGCCGGATCTTCTACGAATGACAAGCCTTCGCTTGACCTTTGAGTGTTACACGCGTCTGCTACAGAATCAAGTTCCCTGTAGATGGCACCAATTGCAAGCTTCGGTAACTGGAATGTCGTCAAGTGCGGAGTGTGGTGGTAGGTATTTCTTCCGGGTATTCTGTGCCTGCAATCGAAAACATACAGAGCCGCCTCTCTTCCTCGGACATATGCATTGCCTGTAGTTCCCACCATCGGGACCATGATCATATAGTTGTTGAGAAATTCGAAAGTGGTCACTCCAATGGTCTGAGTCGTCACCGTCACAGCAGAGATGTGATATGCATTCTGCGTGTAGTAGTTAGCTAAGTGGAGCGTTTGCCGTAATAACACGGGCCACAGACGTACCAAGCGCAATATAGAAGATCTCCAGTCCCAGACATATAATTCCGTGATGGCTTGCCTGGACGCCTCTTCACCGATTACCATAACAGCTAAGAGGTCCCCGTTGACAGAGATCCTGTGCTGCGACCAATCAAGAGTCGCATGCTGAACCAATATGGCAGGGTCAACTGCAGCTGGGTGGTGTTCACCTGTGCTCAGAGTCGACAATGTCACCGTGAAGCCAGTATTGGAACCCTCCGCATTATATCTAGGATAAGTTTGCGTTAACAGATGTGAGTCAGACTCGCTTACATAACAAGAAACAGTTCTACGCACCGCTTTCGGGTCAGGGCGACCAAGTCTTGCCTAGGGCACATTGAAATTTCAGTCACATCATCGGGGTTGATACCAATACTCCAGTGCTCCGGATAATCTTTATGAAATCCAGGCTGTAGCTGATAAAATAATAGCGAGTTTACGCCCGAGCAGACCATGAGGTTACCAGAAAAGCCAAGAAAAGTTTCGCTGTCGTGAGGAAGTTGCAGTTCCGTCGATAGTAACTGATACGACTTCCAGTGGGACTCGCGACGTTCCAAACAGGTCAATGAACGGAGGATGTCCTGCTCGCCAAGGGAATCGGCTGCTATCATACCAGATAGGAATAATTGAAGCTTGTATTGCAAAGTTGGGGTTGAGTCGACGAGAGTCTTTGTACGATGATCCACCTAGGTGCGGTGTTGGGTGGTTATGCCATTATAATTGCCGAGAGACTGCTTACTAGTCGGCAGCGCACCATGTCGACGGGGGGTAGCAAGCCCAACAGCTCAATTGTGATCTCGTTCGGCAGAGAGCCTATAGCGGAAGGTGCAATAGTGTCCATGCTTGAAGGATACCCAGACGGACGAACGATCTGTCGTAGCGAACGTTGAATACAACTCGTGGCATTCCCCAAACGTTTTAACTCTTACCTACGTCTGGCACGCACACTTGTCTGAACAATACGCGACAGTCTCTTCAAGCCCCCGCCCAGAAGCGCAGCCTGAGATGCACAGCGTCTGTGATCGTGAATGTATCGATGAACGGGTAAGAGAAGGGTAGCATCGACATCGAATTCGAACTGATCGATTGATCTAACTCAAATGCCGCAAGGTTGAGCGCATTGAAATGTAAAATGAAGTTCATATATACGAGTAAGAATGAACGCGAAGAAAAGGAGGAACAGGAAAAGATGCTAGTATATAGGAGAAAACTCTCCAGGCTTTTCTAGAGTAAAGGACTTGCTAGTATGCTGAGAACAATGCGAGCGAGACAAGAGATCCAGGACCGCGTAGTAGACCGAGAAAGCGAAAATGCAATGAGCCGAGGTGCGAGTGGTTAGGCAGTAAGAAGCATGCGACGGAACGGCAGGGGCGTCAGAGAGAGCGGCGATGGGGCGTGAACTTCTCCTTGAGACGGTCAAGAAGACTGCGGCGCTTGCGAGTAGCGTTGTCGCAGCTAGGAAAATCCCAGTCGCCGTGGCCGTCCTCGCCAGAAGCTGTGCGAGAGGTCCCTGGGATATCAGTGGCAAAAGGCTTGTCGATGAGAAAGTTGTCGGCGACGGTGCATGGGAATGGTGGAGACGTGGGTGAGCCAAGTGGTATATCCTCGAAGGTGCGAGTGCAGGAGACGATGATAGCAGCAATGTCGTCCTCGGGAGAGGGAGTACGGAGAATGTCTGAGTCATAAGAGGTATTATTGCCAGATTCAGAATCTGTAGACTCAGTTGGAGACGGAGAAGAAGGTGCGGTTGAGTAGTTTTCAATCAGAGAGGAAGGAGGGTCGCGATTGGCTTCGGGAGCGGATGAATGAGCGGCAGCAGGGATAGGAGAGAATGCAAGAACGTCAGAGACGAAGCTGAATCCAGGGAAGGGATCTTCGTCGCCCCACATGTCAATACCGTCGCTGTAGGGGCAGTCATCCTCAACGGGAATGAGCTCTTCGTCTTCGTCGTCGGTGGACATCAAACCAGGACAAAGCAGCTTGCCAGCAGCAAGTGCAACCCAGTCGCTGCAATAGCGTGTCAATACGAATATATGGATGTACAGTCTTCGTGCCCACATGTCAGCGAAGAAAGCGTGATTCTTCAGAGTTGTAAGAGTGGGGCGGGTGGCCTCGTCAGCTTCGAAAATCTCAGCGACACTTTGATTAGCAAGCGAAAGATACCAATAAGAAGAGATCTTACCGAGGACAAGAACGTGTACAAGTCCTCAGACATCTCGTCTTCGCCAATCCAGTCCTCGAGACAGGTGCTCGCCATGAAGACTTGTAGCTGCTGAACCGAGGTAAACTGATCCGGATCGAACAGTCGCTGCAATCAGAAACAGTCAGACACCAGCCGGGTCGTCTAATAGAAACACTTACACGACCAACCGCCATCTCGAACAAAACGGCACCGTACGCCCAGACGTCGGACGCGAACGAGAAAGCGTCGCCGCGCCAGATCTCGCGCGCGACGTATTCTATGGTTCCACAAAACTGCCTGCACGCCTCCTCGTCGGAAGCGAACGTAGCGAGGCCAAAATCGCCGACGACGAGGTGGCAGTTCTTGTTGAGGAAAAGATTGGCGGGCTTCAGATCGCGGTGCACGACTCCGCGAGCGTGGATGCTTTCAAGGCAGAGCAACTAGAATAGAATTAGCCAAGGAACGATGAAAAATAATAGTACGTACAAGCTGTGCAGCGAAGAACTTCAGGAGAGGCTCGGGTGGGCATCCCATGCTCTCGAGGAAGTCTTCGAAATTACCTCCGTGGCAAAAGCGCTGCGCACTCTGGTCAGCTCTAGTAAAGGCACAGCGAGGACAAGACCCACTGTGACGATGTAAAAGTATGCGCCATCGTGGAAACTTGCGAGCAAGTCCAGCACGCCGTTCTAGCCTGCTACCGCGCGCAGCGTGTCCTGCTCGCGCAAGACCTGGATCTCGGTGCTGATGACCTTCGCTTTCTGGATAGACTTGATTGCGACCTGCAAACCAGTCTTGCGATGGCGCGCAAGATGGACTGCACCCCATGCACCCGAGCCGATGTATCCATCCTCGACGAAGTCGTAGATGTTGAGACTGCGCTTTGAGCGCACAGGGGCGGCAAGCTCCAGAGTAGGCGGAAGGGGAAAGTCGTTAGTGTCAATATTGGCCGGGACAATAGAGAAGGATTCTGGAAGTGAGATAGTCGAGAAGGAAAGATCGGTATTAGGCGCAATATCGACAGCTACATCTTCGATACGACAGAATTCGAGGAGAGGTGCTGGTGTAGGTGCGCTTGTGAGGACTTCGCCTTCAAACTCGTGCTTGAGCTCAGTCTGTGCGACGACTTGCTCCAATCGGATAGCGCCGATGAGGACACAGGCCACACGCTGCGGCATGTCAGAGACAGTGATGAGCCAATTATACTACTACGTACCGTCTCCCGGTAGACTTTGGGAGCCGCCTCGAGCTTGAGATCGGCCTTGATTGAGAGCACTTGAGGGTGATGCGTGGCCTCAGCGAGAAAGTCGATATAGTGCGTCTCCATAGTCTTCATGGTTGCCTGAATCCACGGTAAGCCAGAGCCCTGCAAATCAAATAGAGAACAACGTACCAGCCGCACGAAAGGGGCCGGCTCGGATTTCGCCTCTTCAGCGACGACTTCGTCCTGCTGGGAAGGCGGGGACACTCCCGGCGCAAGTTTGGCCTTCGGCTGCTGAGGCTTCGCCTAAACACCCAGTTAGCTGACTCCACAAAAGACGCCAATCGGGTTACCCACTTCAGCCATAGCGATGGTCTTTCTCTTCTTTAATCGTAGGGCAGTCTTGAAACGTCTGAGAGCGGTGAGTAGAGTCATGGCCGGAGGTCGAATATACTTGAAGTGAGCTTGAAGGATGAGTGGGGAGAGGAGACTCAACGAGGCTTGCAACTCGCTTGGAGCAAAATTTAAATCTACGCGGGCTGTCCGTCAGCTCTGGCTGACAAGGACGGCGGCGGATTGCAGGCTAACGGTCCCAATTGCGACCGGACGGCACCGCAAGCCTCGAGTGGCTAGCATCCCCAGGCCTTCTTGGCCTGGTGGCTGTGAAGACCTAATTGAAATAAAAATCAAGACAGCTTTCGCGAATGCTACGCCGGAGTGGCTTTTGTGTGATTGGGGAGGCAGCTCTTTGGGCTCACAAGAGCTGTACCCGTGATTGCCCCACTGCAAGCACAGTGCGATCGCTCATGTACTGAAATCGTGGTGGGAAAGCCCATACGGAAACCGGTGACAAGTGGACGTGAAATATCGCAAGATCGCAGCTTCGTCGCATCTTGAGCGCTGAGCTACGACAGGCACCAAACGCTACAAGGGTGCTCAAAAATAGCATGGTTGCTCAGGCTCGGCAAACAATCCAATCCTAGGACAAATGGTGACGTGAAGTGGATATATCGGTCTAACCGAGAACAGTTAGCAAACGAACGCAAAAAAGGATAGGAGTAGACTACACCTAATGCTCGGGTTCTTCAGAAGGCACATCTTCTTCTGCCTCGAAAGCGCAACAGAATGCGTCCTTGCTGAGGAGAACAAGCCCTTTGCCATCCGGCGACCATCTGACGTCCTTCGCGTTGAAGTTCTCTGCAAAGAATCTGCAATCAACTAAATCAACGGACAAGAGATGGAAGCCACCTACGTGCCGGGATGCCAACGCACTCGGCGATTTCCTGCACTTCCTCGCCGCTGTTCTCGTCCCACACCACAGACTCGTCTCTCCACAAATACATGCTCTCGCAGCCACAACATAGAGCTACAGCCCCAGACTTGACGGGGTTCCACGCTGCGCTCTGGACCGGTTGGTTGTGTATCAGCACACTGCGGAGTTTTGGGGCGCTGCGGCTGCTATCGTGCGACTGGGCGTCCTGGGGTGTGGGGAAGGAGAATATGTGGGCGACGTTCAACATCGATTCAAAGCGGGCGAGAAGCAGACTCCCAGAGATGTTGAAGGATAGTTGTACAACTCCAGACTTGGGGTAAGCTTTGGAGAGTTCGGGGCGTGTGATTGCGAGTGTCCAGGGCGGCCGAACGCGCTCGTCTAAGTCAAATTATGGGCACGTCGCAAGATGCAAGTGTGTCGGAGACGCTTACATGGGATGAAGCCATGTCTTTGCGTCGCGTCAATCCAATTCGCTGGCTCTCGCCAGACATTCTACAACGCTCACTGAGCACAGACACCTAGAAAGTAGGAAAGCTCGATTTACAACTCCGGATGGTACTCGCGACTGTAATTCCAGTACAGCAACCGGACCCCACGTCAAACTTTCCAAAACATGGATCTAGCCTCCTTATCAGCTGGATACGTTGACAGTGTGGACTTCAGTTTACCTTGTCATCCCATCCCGCGACGACTAGGTAAGTTCCAGACGGGTGCCACGCGACTGATCTGATACCAAGGCCTCTGTCGGGCTCTGGAGAGAACGTGCCTAGGAGATCTCCTGCGACGGTGACGATGTAGATCTTGTACTAAGCGGGAAGGCTCAACCAGCGTATCAGCAATTGCTGCAAGGTACGAACCTCCAAGGGTCCTTCCCATACTGCCAGTACGTTACCAGCTGGCGATAGGGATACTGACGCGAGAGAAGATGAAGGAAGAGGGAAGTGCTGAGGTCACGGTGAGCATGACCCGCCTGCAGAAAATCGGAGATATTGGCGCACCCGAACTAAGCGATATGACTGTGACGTGTCATACACTCCGAGTGTATCTCTAGATTTGTGCCGCTCTCCAAGTATGAAATACTTGCCGTTGCGGCTGAAGGCATAACCTACCCATCTCGTTCACTCGACCCTTTACACATGCAGGATGCCAGGCCTTACCTCTGTCAGGATGTATTGGGAACTGTATATGGGACGCGGTACCCGTGGAAAGCGACCATATTGTTACCCTGAGCTGTGCATTCAGTCAATCGTATATCTTGAATCAGATCTGTGTGGAACTTACACCCCATTCTGAGAAGCACAGTATTGATCGTCCATCCGGTGCCCACTCCACCTTAGCAAGCCCTTCGGCACCGCAGTCAATGCGCGCATTCCACGCCTCGTCCCTTAGCTTGAAAACTTCGACGACGCCGATCTTCGTGCAGGCAGTCAGGACGTATTCCGAATCGCACGACCATCCAGCATGCGTGATCCATGCATTGGCAATTTCGGCGCGGGACGGAGCCTTGTGCTGTAACTGAGAGGCACCTAGCTGCACCACAGGTGCCTCAAATGACTCGCCAATCTGCCATGTCCGCTGAACCTGGAAGGAGTCAGATCGACGGATGACCACCCGGTCTTGCACTGCGGTGAGGATGAAGTGCGTTCCGGGACTGAAAGCAACCAGCCCGGCTGTCTGTTTATAGATTTCTGTGAAGTCCATACTACATGGAACTTTGTAAGACTCCTGAAGGTCTCAAGCGTGCAGGGATTGAATGTGCCGAAACTTACTGATGAAAGTTGCTGCAAAGGGTCTCGCGACGCGACAATATGCGTTCGGGTATCAAAAATTTAACCCTTCGACTAGTCATAAATATTTAGCTAAGTTATGCGGTAAACTTTTGGTAAGCTATCTCAAGGGCGTCTATTATGCCAATACAATCGTATTCTTTACTTTTCGTTTATAATTACGTTACTGGTGTAGCTCCGCTGGCAAACACACCCCAAGGAGCATTATACAACATCTGCGTATTGAGGCGACTAGGATAGTAGAGCGTGCGCCTTATGCTTCAAGTATTTTCCTGCCATCTGTCAGCTCGCATCAGGGCTTTGCGCTCACCAATCTACCAAAACACCTGCTGTGCCATGGCCGACGCCACCTAGCGCCACATCGACTTTCATGTGCTTTCACGCGTATGCTTGATTTCTTGTGCTGCTCTGAGCAACACGCATGGACAGTCTGTATCAACCAATGCACACACACGACACTTAAGCGTGCCTGGCAATCATGATTGTGTAGATAGCAGCACATTTCTCCTCATCACTCAAAAGATATGAGACTGAGCGTACATCACACTTGTCTAGACTCACAAGCGTCATATGTGGGCGAGTACTATTTAGTTGCCGCGAACGCTTTACGCCCGGCCCGCTGATCACCAGCGCCGAGTCCCGACGCCTGGCATAGCGCGCACTGCGTGATGAATGGCGACAGAAGCGTCAGTGATGGCAAACAGGTGCGATAATGCGGTTCGATTGTGCGACATCTCTCGATGCATTGGCTTTGCTCCCCTCCCTCAACACCCAACGCTGCCGCGCGTGCGCAAGGTCAAGCAGCAACACGGCGGCACGCCGTCGCAACACGCATCATATCAGATGACCATAGCAGTGTGCTCAGTAAGCAACTGTGGGAATTGACGTCCTTCGGTGAGTTGTTGATGCATTCGGCAGGATTTATGTTATATTTTGCGAGCTAATGGAGGTTTGCTGGCTGCAGCACGCTGGACATGAGCATGCGCCATGCTCACTGTATGATGCAAGTTTATATCACAGCAGTACTTTGCCAGTGCTAATTCCAGGACAGCTGGCATGAACGCGGTCGGCGATGTACCAACGGCCAGCACGCTCCGAGTAGGCGCCGAGATATGGCGGGATAAGAGACCGCCTTAGGCTGGGAATGCCTTATCTCACGAGAAATGGCATCTGGGACATATCAGTTACCCCGAACCCACACAGGGGCTACAGTGCTCGTGCTTCAAGCCCGCAATCCGTCTCCAGAATGGCGAACGTCCTCCAGGTCAAACGCGTAAAGGCGGACTCCCCTGCTATGCTCCCTTTGCACCAGGACTCCGACCTAGCTTGCCCATCCAGCCGTCGCCGCAGCCGCAGACCGCTTTTTCTCACCGCCTTCGTTGCGATAACGCTCCTCTACGCGGCATCGCAGCGGACATGGCTCAGGGAGCACGACGCCGAGTCGCGTTTGACTGTGAACCACGCGTGTGCGGGTCGGTCGTGTGCACGCAACCCGGCGTGGCTCGTCAAGGCGAAGCACGGCGCCGTCGCGAGCGAGAACGAGTTGTGCTCGAACGTGGGCGTTGATACGCTCAAGAAGGGTGGAAACGCAGTGGATGCGGCGGTTAGCACTACGCTATGCATCGGTGTCGTGAACATGTTCTCGTACGTTACTCTACCCTATCTCTGTGTGCTGTTGGGCTCATAGGATACAGGTCCGGCCTCGGTGGTGGGGGTTTTATGACTGTGCGACTGCCACCATCCATGGTGAACTCGACATCCAACTCTTCTGAAGTATATACCATCGACTTCCGCGAAACCGCTCCCGCTGCTGCTTACGAGACAATGTACATCGGAAAACCGGACGCCGCTCGTTTTGGCGGACTGGCCGTGGGCGTCCCGGGAGAGCTGCGGGGCCTTGAGAAAGCGCACGAACTCTGGGGCTCCGTGCCGTGGGCGGACCTTGTCGCCCCGGCTATGGAGCTTGCCAAGGGTTGGCGGGTACAGAAGGAGCTAGAGAGAAGGATAGAGGTGCGTATTTGCAGAACTTCGCTTTACATAACGGCGCTCACGAACTTCTATCATAGATATTCTCGCGGGTCATGCTCAACTATGATGACTGGAAGGCTATCTTCGCCCCAGAGGGCTGCCTGCTACGCGAAGGCGACATCATCCGCCGTACTGCGCTCTCCCACACGCTGGAATGCATCGCCAAAGAAGGCCCAGACGTGTTCTACAAGGGCCCCATCGCGGAAGCACTGCTCAAGAAGATCCGTGAGACCGGTGGCATCATGGCCCAAGAGGACTTTGACAATTACAAGGTCCATGTTCGTCCTGCACTCAAAGGAATGTACCGCGGGCGCACGATTTACACTACGCACGCACCGACATCGGGGGCCGTTCTATTGCACATGTTCAACCTCGCGGAGATGTTTGAAGACTTTGTTGACAGTGGTCGCACGCCATTGAATGTCCACCGGCTGGTCGAAATCATGAAGTGTGAGTGCACCGTCGGAGTTTAGAACGACTACTGACAGATATGCTAGTCGGTTTTGCTGCCAGGACTCGGCTGGCTGACCCTGACTTCCTGAGCACCAAGGAAATCATCACGATCGACCGTATTCCGACAAAGGAGTTTGCGGAGAAAATTTTCGCGAATATTACCGATGAGCATACGCACACTCCAGAGTACTATCAGCCGGTCTACGACGTGCCTATTGACCACGGGACGGTGAGTTGACGTTTTCCCCACTTGCAGCAGTGGCTGAGGCAAACTCCGCAGAGCCATTCGTCGATCGTCGACAAGAACGGCATGGCCGTGGCGATCACGTCGACAGTAAATCTAATTTTTGGCTCGCAGGTGCTTGACTCCGAGACAGGCGTTCTTCTGAATGACGAAGTACGTGCTCGTTCCATCATCTGACAGCGCCAGCTTACCCGCCCTAGCTTGACGACTTCTCAATTCCCGGTACACCAAACGCCTTCGGGCTCTTCCCCTCTCCCTGTACGTCGCCTCCCTCCTCGCTTCCTCCCCACTAACAAGGAAAACACAGACAACTACCCCCAACCAGGCAAACGCCCGCTTTCGTCGACGGCGCCGACAATCATCGAGGACAGCGACGGCGCGCTCTGGGCCGTCATCGGCGGCTCCGGCGGCTCGCGCATTTTCCCGGCCCTCTTCCAGACGCTCATGAACCTCGACTGGGGTCTCGACGCGAGCGGCGCGGTCGAGTTCGGGCGCGTGCACGATCAGCTGTTCCCCGCGGTCGTCGACGTGGACAACGTGTACCCGGCGGCGCTCCTCGACGGCCTCCGCGCGCGCGGGCACAACGTGAGCGTCGCGGATGTGAACCGTATCGCGGCGGTCGTGCAGCTGGTGACGCAGGAGAGCGGGACGCTGTATGGTGCGTACCTCGTCACTCGTGTATTCTGATCTTGTGCTTATCCTTGGCTTTCGTCGACAGCTGCGAGTGATTCGAGGAAGCGTGGCAAGGCTGCTGGGTATTGATCACGATGTCGCTCAATGTAGAAGATTGTTCACTAGCCTGACATGACTCTGGGCCACGCGTGTAGATCTTATTCATGTCATTTCCAAATCGTTGAACACAGCAAGAAGTCGTTCATTACAAATCGGAAGAAGCTGGGTCCCTGTGCTAAGGCACAGATGGTGACAGGTGTGAGGGAATAGCAAGAACTCTAAGGCCGACAGATTATGTTGCTGAGATGTTGGTGTGAAAGATGTGAAGAGATCGGCACGAGTGGATGCAAATTCTGGCCATCTCGCAGAGTCGAAGAGGCTGCGCGTCGTATCTTGAGCCCGAGCAAAGATTCTTGAGACTAAGCGAGTATCGGGGAGAAGATTCCACGTACTGGCGGACTTCGCGCGTTGGGCCGATTTGGCGGCACGCTTCAGCCTTGCGAGGCTGGCGGAGAGTGCCACTGGTTTGTAGCGCTACTGCGTAAGGACGGTGCGTGGAGGGCAGCGACAATGACACACGCTGAATGCGCCTGCATCCCTCGGAGCGCGGTGGTACGGCTAGCTTTGTATAAATATTAGAGTCCTCGCATGGCTTCAGCCAGGTCTCCGACCGGCATATGAGTTTCCGTAGACACAGCGACGTCGCGTAACGTCGGACTCTACAAGATGTTTCGCGTCAAGCACTCGACGAATAGTACAGCGTCTTCACACACCGTCACCCATGCAGCCTGTACATCCGCCATTCGCATGTTGAGCTCGGCAGTAAGCTGCTCAAGCTGTGCCTTGACACCTCGTCCCTTGATGCCCTTGACCCTTTTCTCGACGGCGAGACTCGCCTGCGCTTTGCGCTTGTCGTCGTGCAGGGTGCGCTTTCGCTGCTTGGCCCCTTTCGCTGCCTTTGCTGCCATGTCTCTCTCGTCGTGTGCTCTACCGCGGTGGTCGTGTGCCCTGTGGTTGATGAGCTCACGCTCGAGCACACATCTAAGATTAAGGGGGCGAGCGTGACCGGGTCAACAACGTCGACGATAGCTTGGGCGGGCGCCTCTTTGAAAATTGATTGCGGTGCCGTGGATCGGGATCAGATCGGTGCTGGATCGGGCGGACACGTCGGCGGCGGCCTACGGGCGCCAGCTGTGCACCCCAAGTTGCTCTCGTGCTCGCCTTCTCTGCCTCGCCCTCGCATGTCCGCTGCGCGGCCGTGCCTTTTCTTGCTCTAGACTACACCATTTTGCCGCTAGAGACATTCTGAATATTTTTGCGCCATGACGGCGGTCGATTGGGATCTCTTGTCCTCGTATGCGGGCCTGCTTTCCCTTGCCGTGTTCTCCATCTACACCGGGTCATTTGGGTCTCTGCCGGTGCGTCTCCTAGAATTTGCAGATCGGATTGTGGGATTGAGAAGAACATCTAGTCTTCAAAGTCGAAAGACGGCAAGAAAGGGGACGAGGTAGAAGAAGACGAGGAGCAACCAGAACGGCTCTCATCGGAAGACGCTTGGCTCTTCCCGGTTGTACGTCGCCCTTCGCCTCCGAGGTGCTCACCTCATCCAGCGGCCCCCAGATCGGATCCGTCCTCCTCTTCAGCCTCTATGTCATCGTCAAGTACTTTGGGCGCGAGTGGATAAACTGGATCCTGCAGTGGTACTTCACCATCGCCGGCGTGGGGAGCGGGAGCAAGGTGTGTGGCCTCCAGCCTCTGCCGATAACGCATCTAAATATCCAGGAATCAGGCTCTCATATCTCTCGTGCGCTGGCTCGTGGGTCCGACCCGCTGGAGACAGTACGAGACCGTCAAGATAAGCATATCAAGGGAATCAAAAGGCATGGCACGCCCCTTCCCCGTATCTCGCCCCGTCACGCTGACCCTTGACGCAGAGCTGTTGGCATGGTCGCTCCGGACGCCTTCGATTTATATAATCCCATTAGGAGCGCTTCCATCGCTCATATATACCTTCGGACCCAGCGAATCCCGCAAGTCCGCACTGCTCACGGACGTCCTCGCGCTCTCCTTTTCGTACAATGCACTGTGCTTCCTCACGCTCGACTCATTCAAGACAGGGTGCATCCTGCTATCAGGGCTATTCCTGTATGATGTCTGGTGGGTCTTCGGTACAGAAGTGGTGAGTCTCTGCTACCAGGAGCATCTCCCGGACTCTGTTCAAGGATAAACGCGCTCGTCATGCAGATGGTCAAGGTAGCGACAAACCTCGACATCCCGATCAAGCTTCTCTGGCCCAAGTCGCTCGTATTTTCGACCGAACGCGGCTTCACCATGCTCGGTCTCGGCGACATCGTGGTCCCAGGGATGTTCGTCGCGCTAGCGCTGCGTTACGACCAGCACCGCGCGTCGCAGTGCGGGCAGCACGTGAGCTACAGTAAGCCGTACTTCTACGCTGCGCTCTCTGCGTACCTCGCGGGCCTAGGCATGACCATGATAGTCATGCATGTCTTTAAAGCCGCACAGCCGGCGCTTCTCTATCTGAGGTAAGTAAATCTCCCGCTTCGTCGCGCGCTGTCAAATGACGGACTGACGCGGTACCCCCAGCCCGGCCTGCATCCTGTCCTTCCTCATGACCGCGCTCGTGCGCGGCGAGCTCGCGGACGCGTGGGGTTGGAACGACCAGGTAGAAGAGGCCGATGCGCACAGCCAGCGGCCGTCGAACGTGTCCACGCCGCAGGCCGTGTCGCGCGCAAACTCGTCTGCGAATGGGAATAATCTCACGCTGACGAGTGCGGGCAAGAAGGCCGAGAAGGCCGAGGGCTCATAACACGCCGTGCCACGGCAGCCACGCTCTTACTATTTCTTCAGGATATATTGTGCTATCGTATTTGTAGGTAATATACACGCGGGAATGCATGCCTGCTTTAGACGTTACGGTAGTACTGCTCGTGTGTGTATCAGGGAAGAGGACTGCGCTGGTGCGCAACAGCCTCGACGGTCCTCACTGCGGCGGTGCGCGCGCGAGCCGTATAAATCCACCGCAGAAGGCATCCTGCAGAAACAATCCTTGCGAGGCCCCCTCTGGGAGGGACGCACCGGGCCAGCACTGAGGGTGATCAATGCCAGACGCATTTCTGTGCGCGGCACGGCTCGAGCGCGCCAGTCGGCGTGGCTGGGCGCGGCACAGACGTCGGGCGCTGCTCGTCTTCAGTCCGGAGCTCTTTGCGTCCAGCGCGGGTGGTACATAAACTGCAGCTGCCCCGCCCTCTCCCGATGGGAGGCCCGTCTCCCTCCGTTTCTCCGTCAGTCTCCTCGTTTCCGCTGTGCGTCGCGCGCATAGGCGTTCTGGCACAACGGTTACCCCCAGGACTTTGGCGGCGAGCCGGGCTCAATGCGATAAGCAAAAGCTATAATTGAGCTCCTTCAGAGCGCCGCGTTATCTCTGTGCGTACACCCGGAGCAGACTAGACGTGTCTCACATATTCTGCGCGGGTGAGCCACCGTCGGCAGAGTCTCAAGAACAAAATTGTATGGCATGTCTATTCCAGACACAATAGTGCATTTTACTCGCTACCAATGCGAGGAACCAAAAGGCAACGCGGCCGGAAGATAGTAGCATCGTCTGCGAGCACCACAAGGTTTGCCACTGCCGATAGCTCTAGTCTTGGCACAAGAAGAGTAGTCGAAAAAAAATACCCTGAGAGCTGCGTTCGTCGCGGCACGCCCGAGCGCAAAAGAACGAGGATTGGCCTCTCTCGAGTCCTCCGTGACACCCGTCGTTCAGCCGCATCAACCAGGCACATTCATGGAGCCACTAGCGCACCCCGCAACCGATCGACTGCAGGCCCTCGCTTCCCTTTCTTTCGCCGCGACAGTTCTCAATCGATGAGCACGGCGCCACTGCCGAGGCCCACCGGCCTGTCGATGGCGCGTTCTGATGTTTCGACCGTCCGTGCTCGATGTGGTTCTCATGTCGATGCAGAGTCCCATGCTTCGGACCCGGCCAAGGCAGTCGTGTGCCACTGCTGGGTGGTGAGCCACCGTGGTGCGATTGCCGCCGTCATCCGCAGAGGCGGACGGCAGACGGGGAGCGGGACGGTGGGGCCGAGACTGGAGGAGCACAACGGCGTTCGGCACATTGCCCGCTCTTCCATGTGCTCGGAAATGCACAGGAAAAACCGCCTGCGTGAAACTTGAGACTGAAGTACTGAGGCATTGCACTCGAAAGTGCCGTTGGAACAGGTTGGAACGCGCGCTGGTATGGGAGCCATGGTGCACCTCTGGACCATGGTGGAGGAATTTGCATCTGGTGGAGATTGGATATCGAAAGCTTTGACGCGGCGTCCCGGACTCGGACGTCGCCCGGAGTCGTACTTGGCCTGCCCAGCTTGCCGCTGCGTACGACGCAGAACTTGCAACCCTGCGTTCGCGTTCGCGGAGTGGCAGCGCAACGAGTGCAGATCTGCGCAAAGCGAAACCGTAAATCATGCTATAATAACACACCTCTGACAGTGCGGGGACGCAAGGCAGCGAGCCTGCGTGTCGGCGCTCGCTGGTAGGCGTACGTCACCTCTTGTGCACGGAGTACGGACGTCCGAGGTTCTGGCCATACCCGGTACGATCAACCCTAAAGGAGGGCTGCATCCCAACCGGCGTCCCTATAGATGGGATAGTGTACATGTCCCGCGAGATCGATCGTGTGTGCGCAGCTTCCATCCCTGCAGTGAGAAGCCTGGAGTGCTCCATGGACTGCTCGACGCGGGAGTAGGTCTGTGGCGTTACGCACCATGAAATGCTCGCGGACCAACTGAACAGCGAGTCCTTGCAGAGCCTGCACAGTCCAGGTGTGTCGTCCGCGCTGCGGGCGGGCAGTGTATCGGATCGAGATCGAACGTGCGACGTCGGCCTTCTGATGATCTTGGGCGGTGCAATCTATTGCGTTGAGAAGCGCGAAGCCAGGGTGACTCGCCGAGGGTGCCGTACGCGGCGGCTTCTGCAGCACATTTGCAAGATCGCGGGGGTCGAGTCCTGGGAGGTGCGAATCCTGAGTGCGGAGTAGGACCTGCGACGTGATTCAGTGGCCAGTGTTCGCGTGAGTGCAGGAGGAGGAGCGCAAACCTCAGGAACGTCACCGCTGTGGGAAGCACCCAACGGGACCATTCAATGAACAGCTTGACAGGCAAGGCACTCAACGTACGCACACTATGCCTGGAAGGCGCTTGTGTATGGGGGGTAGAGAAGCAGACCATGCGCAATGGCTGGGAGAACGGTTGGTGCGGCCGCAGGGCCACCATACTGCGTTAGGCAGGTTCGGAACAGAACTTGCTGCTGGCAGATTCTCTGGTTGTAAGGAATGACAAAACCAGTTACCTCGTGCCATGGTCATCACAGCACGCCGGACGCCACCCGGGATTTTAGGGACCAGTGCAGTCTTGGGCGTCCTCGTACGCAGAGTGTGGGAACGTCTGGGGTGCAGCCGTAGAAAAGGGTGTCATATGCCTGATGCTGGCCCAGTGCAGTGCCGAGGCCCAGGCCAAGTCGTGTCATGCAGTGCAACGGTCGTCAGCAAGGGACTGTCTGGCTCGCAGGGCCGCAGGCAGCTAGACTGGCTTGCAGCTTCGACAGCGAATTCCTCGGAAAGCGGTGGGTGTGAACAATGATGGGATGTCGCGGACAATATGGGTCTGGAGACAGGTTTGACGCCATGCTCCGTCCGGTGCCCTGCGGGGGACGATTCTTCGCATCATGTAACGGCATGCTGGAGCACAAGAGGAGAATGCGACGAGCAGCGTTGGCCCGTTGGCCACATCGCGTGGACGGGCCGCAGAAACAGGACGAGAAGGCGAGAGCTGGCCACTCAATCGACTCTGACGCGAACTCTGGGCTGTAAAGAGCGCGCAGAAGCAGGGAAGCCAGGGGAGATCAACATGAGTCTGGTGTATGGGCGGGAGAACGCGCACCTGTTTTGCCGGATTGGCTGCTGAGCTGGGGCTTCTGGCAAGTGCGAATGGCGTCGGAGAACAGATCTTGGGCAAAGCCTGAGCGTAGTCACGCGGTGCGACACCCTATTATGCCTGCGGGTCTAGGGAGGTGATGGTGAACGCATGGAATTGCACCAGTGAATCCGGATGCAACAGAGCAACGGCTCGTCTTGGCGCTGCGGAACAGAAGAGGCAGGTGCGTTGATGATTGCAGAGATGTAAGGAGGCTGGCTTGCAGGCCCTGCAGCTCTTTGACTGATGCGGGGCTGCCGCAGGAGGGACAAGAAAGGGATGAGAAAGCGTCCGAGATGATGGGGCTAGACGACGAGGAGCCCAAGAAGCTGTCCACACCGGGGTCCGTTGACAGAACGCTGTGAGAGGCTGGTGCAGGAATGAGTTAGGGCTCAGTGCATCCACAAGTTCAGGACGAGCGTGAACTTTGCCGCGGCGGCAGGACTTGCTGTGGTAAACTGAAACACATCGCTTCGAACAAGCCGCCCCCATGTGAAATCCCGATAATATTGCTCTGATCGCAGGGCCCCTGTCGTAAAGCGTTTGACGTCGACGGTTCGGGGGATGTGCACAGGGCGAACAGGGTCGTCCCCCGACGTCAGTGCAGCCTCCGCCATCGCATCTCCTGGGCGATCTGGGGAAGCAGCGAGGCAAACAGGGAACAGCGTTCGCGCGGGAGAACAGCAGGTGTGCGGCTGCGGCGGGTGCGCTCCAGCGCGACGTCTTCTGGCGAGGAAATAATCTCGAGAGGTCGCGCTCAAGGCACGGGTGGAATCGTCGGCAACTCACTAGCTATGAGACCTTGAGACCATTCTTGGGAATTCCAATATTTGATCCCGATCCCTGAATCTCCCGGTTTGGATGGTTCACCAGAAATTTTGGAGGGGTAAATGAATATTACCTCCAAAGGGCTCCGAATACGGACCGCAGGTCTCCTTGACCGTCGCCGCCTTGCAGCTAGCTGCACGCAGACACAGACACTCCCCTCTGCTGGCGAGCTGTGTTTCACGACCCACGCTCAGATTCACCGCTCGGACACTTTGCTTCCTCGCCACTCTCTTCCCGCCCTACCATTTCTACCTCGAGTCAAAGCGGTCACTTGCCCGCTGCTCAAGTCGCCGTAAGACGTGAGTGATCACACGCAAACTGCCCGCCTCGCCATTCGCTGATCCTCGTCCGGCAGTCAACAAGCCACTTCATGGAGTCTTCTACCTCCTCGACGAGGGCTTTCGTCGAGACTGCGTCTCGCACTTGGTCGCCTCCTGGCCGCCCTACCGTAAATACTTCTGCAGTGTCTCACAATTCATCGACCTCTACTCCGGTCGACCGAAGCCCGCATCCTTCCTCTGTCTCCAACTCCTCCCACTCTTCCCCATGGTTACAACAAATGGCCCTTTCTGCCGCCTCTCAATCACAGCCTGCCACCTTCCACGCGCCCTCACCATTGTCCTCTACTCGACGTGCAGCTGATCTCCCAAACCAACAAACTGCACATTCATCCATACCTCAGAATTGGACAAACGTCTTCTCATCCCCTTTGGACCCTTCAACGTTTGCTGCCCTCGTGGCGTCGGGTGTTCTCGGTCTCCCGGCGCCGACCGTTAACCCAAGTCTACCCTCACGAGCAATGCCCTCACAAGCAGAACTCATGTCGAATCAAAGAGGACCTGGCTACGCAAAAGAGTTCCCGAGAGCAGTCTATGGTCAGGGGGGAAACACCAGTTGGCAGTCCATGAATTCTGCGATTCCGATCTCGCAGCGCATTCATTCCGGCCATGTTCGCTCGAACCCAGGGAGTGTTTCTTATGTAAAACGGAGGCCCTCCGGCTCAGGTGCGCTTTCCGCTGAACTAACGCGGGATCTCACACTCAGTGGTCATGAATATCACAGCAACAGACCCCAGTCTGAACATGGCCGACATGGCGCCAAGCTTGCAAGGGAGGCGCACCTCGCATGCGTTCGATCAGACGGCGTACAGGGGTAACGGTCATTTTGGCATCGGAGATGCGTCCATGGATGCGTTCTCGAACGGGTATCCATCCCAATCTCACTACCCGGAGGTCCACTCTCCGCCTAACTTGCCGCCCTCGCTGTGGATGTCCCCGGCGTCAACAACACCGTCGTCACCCAACTTCCCGGAGCACTCGTTCCCGCCCCTGAACCCGCTGGCGATACCCGCCCATCTCATGCAGGATACGGTCAGCGGCTCGTCAACAAGTTCGTCCACTTACGGCGAGTCCGGGCGCTCAACCGCCCCAACGTCCGCGAGCAGCCCGATGTCCAGTCGCAAGTTCTCGGATCTGTTCCAGGACGACCTGTTCCCCCCGCGGAAACCGTTGCGCAATGACGCCAAGCATCCCAGTCCGATCGTCTCGGGCTCCCCCGACCTGAAGGCCATCGAGCTGGCGGCGGAAGACGTCGATCCAGAACAGCTGGCGAGGGACGATCCACTGGCGACGCAGGTTTGGAGGATGTACGCGAAGACGAAGGCAACGCTGCCGCACGGGCAGCGGATGGAGAACCTGACCTGGCGGATGATGGCACTCGCACTGAAGAAGAAAAAGGAGGACGAGGACAAGGCGAAGTTGGAGGAGAAGACTGTAGTCAAGGAGGAGATAGTACCAGAGACCCTTGACAGCGCAGCTCCATCGTCGTCTTCGAGTCGCTCGCCAGACAGCACCCCAGGTCCACCAGCGCCGGAAGACTCTGAACGCGGAAGGTCAAAAGGCAAAGCGAGAGTGAAAGTGGTGGGCTTCGATGGGACGAATCAGGATGGAGTGGAGGACAATGATGAGTGCGTGGCTTTTATTTTGCTCAAATTGACCTTCTAAGTGAATGATGTCGCAATATAGCGATGTGCCAATGGACTGGCGGGACATGAGCAGGTCACGTTCGCGCGTGCCTATGGATTGGCGCCCGGCTAGTCGTTCTCGCTCCCGGCCCCCCATGGGAGGGCTACTCTCGGAGCAGAACCAGTTCAAGTTCCCCAGTTCTCCCCCGCCGAAGGCTTCCTCCTCCCCCTCTAAGCCCATATCTACATCGGCGTCAGCCCGCCGGAGTCCTTCGACGTCGCATATGCCACTGGCAGCCGTCCATGAGACAACCGCCGAGCATCATCACTTCCCTGATCTGCCACCGTTCTCGGCATTGACGAGCCCCGTGGGTCATCCTGCCTCGCTTCCATCACTGGGGCTGCAGGGATTCCCGCGGCATAGCACATCGAGTGCACCGTCGCCCGAGGAGTTCACCGGATTCCCCAAACGGGTGCGCAAGACGAGCTTCGACCATACTGTAGAGAGGGAGGGGTTCTTCACCGGGGTGAGTGGTCGACATCAAGTTGACGGCAAACCGCAGCCCCCTGAAAAGCTTGTTGGAACCAAGCGACGTGCAGATGCACCACATGCGGAGAGTATGCTGCGTGGCGACCCCATCGGTTTGGACACGACGGTGCCTCTAGATGCCCACGACGTCGACCATGGGCTTCCGAGCACGGCGTTCAATTTCTCGTTCCAGCCGTACGAACATTACCTCGACCTCTCCTCCTCGGCTCCAGTGATGCACCATAACATCGGGCATCATCACAAGCATCGTCTACCAGACCACTACCACGAGCCCCTCCACCTAAGTGGGACCTACTCGCCGATTGAGCAGAACAACGAGGGGCTCTCTGCGACCGCTGCTGCTGCATCGGTTGCTGTGGCCGAGAGTTACGCACAGCTCAACGTTTCCAACCTGGCGGGGCTCGATGAAACTGGGCTCGATTACTCGTTGATGGGCATGAGCATGGGCATGTACTCCAACATGGAGCACCCATCGATCGGGCACCATCCGTATACACACGTCGACCCGACGCAGATCCTGCCTCTGGAGCACGGCGATGGGTCGTTCCAGAGCTTCCACCCAAGCCCATCGAGCGATGGCTGGGGCAACGGTGTCAACTCAAGCTCGAACGCTTCTCCAGAACCGTACATCACGTCCAACGCCTCGACGCCGCCATCGGTGGAAGGCTTGTCGAATGGCGCACGCCCTGCGCGGAAGATCTCGTCCACCAAGAGAATGGAAACCGCCGCGCGGGGCAACCAGCGCAAGGGGTAAGTGCAACGTTGTGTGCGATAAACAGCGCGGTACTCATGTCTCCCACAGTAGCACGCCCGAGCTTCAGGTGGGCACGTCGGGCCAGCCTTCAAAAGGCAATGGGGAAGACGGCGAATCTTCCCCCACTGTGTGTACGAACTGCCAGACCACCAACACTCCGCTCTGGCGCAGAGATCCGGAGGGCCAGCCTCTGTGCAACGCCTGCGGACTGTTCTTCGTAAGAAGCCCCACATCTTGCGCCGTGCTGTACTTTTCTGACCGGACTTACGTAGAAATTGCACGGCGTAGTGCGTCCTCTGTCGCTCAAGACGGACGTCATCAAGAAACGGTGCGTGGTTGGCCCCAAGTGGTGGAGCGTGCTCGTGCTGACGCCGATTGCGGTCGCAGGAATCGTGCGTCTGGAACGCCACACAGTGCATCCCGTAAAGGCGCTTCGCTACCGAAGCTAGCTGCCTCTGGGACACGACCCCGGTCCTCGACCACAAGTGCGATGCCGAGCGGGCTCGCTGGCTCGCGGCTGTCGCCCACGAGTCGCATCGGTGGCAGCGCTGCAGGGGGCACGCTCGCCATGAAGCGGCAGCGACGGACTTCGGCGGGCCCGCAGATTTCTACATCATCTTCACGCAAGGACAGTGACGAGAGTCATGTCGGTATGTAATCTCACGAAGCGCATATGTCTCTCTATGTCTTTCCATACCATCTCGCAATCTTGGGCGCGGGCTGTTTTACTATCATTAGAATGTGTAACTGATCTGCTGCGGTTTTGTCCTGCCCCTCTTCATGCTGCCCTCATGCCACGCCGCTTGCTACTTTCCCTGTCCATGTACGACCATGAGCATAGAGTCGATAGATCATTCGTCGAAGTGCTTTTGTATTTGAAACAAGAATAATTTTCTTTGGTTTTACGAGCGCAAGATGAGATGGGCCGAGCGTGGGGTCTGTGAATTTGTGATTGGCGCGTGGTCGGAATCAGCGACGGGCTGAAGCGAGCTGCGACCACCGCCTGGCAGCGACCGCGGCATTCGTCTCATTCCCTCACAACCTGGCTTCATTATTCCGGCAGCCGTCCCCGCGGTCGCCTGTACCGCCTTCATCTTTTCCCGCTGGTCTCAAACCGGTCGGGCCACAGGACGTCCATGGACTGGCGAACCGCCGGGTGTCAAGAACAGACCTGGACTTTGAGCAGGCTCTCCGTGCTGAAGGGACAGTCATCCTCACAGAAACTCTCGACGTTGACACCCTCGGGGTACTGGATACTTCAGACGCCTCTTTCAGCTCTTTAAGCCCCTTCTCGTCGCCAGAACCTCCGCCCAAAACACCCCTCATAGGCGTACAGCCTGCGTCGCCCACCATAGTCCCCCCAACGCCCTCGCCTAGCAGCCTGGCTGCACCGCTGCCCTCGCGCGACTCTTCGTCGTCCTACTCCAGCCGCGAAATATTTTACGACGCACAGGAAGACACTGACCTGCAGACGAAGCGTCGTTCGATGTACCGCTCGCCTGGCACCGCTAGCAGCCCAGATCTCGCCACGCTCCTCCGCAAGAGCAAAGGCAAAGAGGCAGGCTCAAGCAGAGCTAGCACCAGCGCCGACTCCCCCAGTCCCACTCCCAAACGCCTCGCCCCCACAGACTCCAGCGATTCTAGCTTCAGCCGCGAACGCCAGAGGTCTGCGACCGCAGGCTCGTCGACCTCTGCCTACACATCTCCACCAGGCACTCCCAGTTCCAAGCTGAAACTGCGGGTGGGAACAGGTGGCGTACCAGGCACTGATTGGGTGCTGACGAGTCCACGGTCGATGACTTCGATGAAGGATGGCGGCATATCTAAGGTAGCATAATTCCTCAAGGAGTAATGACCTTGCTGACCGTACTATCCGCAGTCCAACAAGTCCTCTGTCAGGGCCAAGACGACTGCCTTCCTGGGGAAGATGCTGGGTGCGTCGTCCACTCGTGAGCGATCGGTGAGTGCTCTTCCACGCGCGCATTTCCGTCGCGCCTCATGTGCTCATGCGAACGTGCTAGAGGACTGTCACGTCCCAATCAAGTGGGGGCAGTGATCCATACGCTGTATCTCCCGTCTTCGACGCATTTCCCCCACCGGTGCCGCCAATACCACCATTCCCACAGACGCAGAAGGAACCTGCGAAGAGCTTTGAGTCCGATGTCTTCTCTAGCCCGTCTTCTTCTCTCGACCTGCACAACAAACCCTTGCCAGATATCAGCCCTGACCTCAATGATACCGATAGCGACACCGAAATAGAAGATGCAACAGACCACTCCATGTCCATGGTCGTCGTTAAGCCGCGCGCTCGGACACCGTCTCCAACAGGAACTGTCACGCACGATACTGTCAAGTCCAGCGGCATAGTTCCCACGCGCAGCAAGCGACGCAGTATGAGCGTCAGCGATGTTGACCTGAAGCGCATCATGGCATCTAGCTCGACCAGCACGATACTTCCGCAACCGAGCCTATCCTCCCATCCTTCCCAAGGCTCTGGAGGTTCAGATTGGAATAGCATCATGACAGACTTCAAGGGCGAGCTCCTCCAGCTTGATCCTATCTCGACGGCACTGCTGGATCTCAAGGACCCATCAACACCTGCCCGCAAACGACTGTCTGTTCGTTCCCAGAGCGACCATGTCCTGCCCACGTCGTCACAGAACGGTGACCGACCACAGCCCAAGCACGCAGCGACTGAGCCGACCCCCACCGGTCCGCCGACACTGACCGTCAAGCAGCCATCGCTAGAGCGCATAAATTCGGGTCCGCTCAGAGCCCGGTCGGGTTCTGCGTCCAGTCCTGGCCATCGGCGCGTTTCTGGGATACGTCATGGTCCCAGATCGCCTGTGCGGAACGCAGTGACTTCATTGACATATATACCATCCTCCGCCCGAGACGAGAACCGTCTTCGCGTACAACATCGTTCAACAGCGTCTAGTTCTGAACCATCTCTCGTGCCGTTGCGAGATGTCCGGGATCCGAAGCGTAACTGTGCGTGGCATTGTATGCATGATTGTTGCTGCGTGAGCTGATCTAATCTGTGATGCAGTCTCCAGTCTCTCCGCTACCTCTCAACAAGATCTTGCCACAAACGACCTTGTTATCACCAAATTTGCGGCTAACCTCTCCCCCAAGAAAAACGAGGAGACCGGTAATATGAAGGCGAGAGGCGAAGAGCTAGCGGCGAGGTGCTGGGCAGAAGATGAAGAGTTTATGGCCAAGGATAAGATTGCTGAGTGGCTCGGCGGACAGTTCGTGCATTTCTCAATTGCTCGTCGCACTCACCATTGACAGCGTTTTTGCAGGAGTTCTATCAACAGGATTGCTCTGCGCTACTGGATGGACAATTTCGACTTCACTGGGTTGCGGCTCGACAACGCTTTTCGACGTCTGTGCGGCAAGCTCTTCCTGAAAGCTGAGACGCAGCAAGTGGACCGTATACTGGAGCAGTTCGCCCGTCGTTACTGGGAATGTAATCCTACTAGCATCTTTGGCAGCGCCAGTATGTGTGCCTGTATCACCATAGGCTGACTTCGTACTCATTGACATCACAGGTGTTGTACATGCGGTGACATACTCCTTGTTGCTCCTCAACACGGACCTGCACGTTGCGGAGCTGACATCGCGAATGTCGCGCCAGCAGTTTGTCCGTAACACTCTCGGTACTATTCAGCTACAGATTCAGCCCGGGTCGTCGTCAGACTTGGCCAACGATGACTGGAGCAGCGTGCGCGCCGGGTCAGACATCAGTGACGGCGGGATTCCCACGGGGCGGTCGATCAAGCGCAGCAACAGTATGAACAGCTGGAGCAGTGTTACCCGCGAGGCTTTCATCTCGAACTTGAGCAGCAAAGCAGCATCCTCTGGGCAGCTGACCTCTGCATCGACGGATACGTCCGGTACGCAGCCGCAAACCCCAATCAACGAGAGCGTTGTATCGGTCGTGTCTGTCCGCGACGGTAAGAGCTCTGACCCTGCGACCCCTGCTATTACGTACGATCGTAAATGGGAAGGGGAGATGGAGGACCTGTTGAAGGCGAGTTCGCTTCGCGCTATCGACTTCATTGGATACTGAACGGCTTTGCAGGAGATATACAACTCCGTCAAGACTCAACAGATTCTGCAGCCTACCGGTAGCATAGCGATGGCGCGTTCCTCAACATCGTCGCTGAGCCCTCATGTGTCCGCCCTCCGCGGTATCGGTTTGCGAGGACAGCAGAACAACCTGAAGCGCGGTAGTATACGTGGTCTGCAGTCGATCCTATCAACGCAAGGAATATACAGCCCGTACATTGCCAGCAACCCCGCTGATGGTCGGGCCAGTCCCGCGCCGAGCTTTGCTACATCGAACGAGGGCCTGCACGCGTCAACCGCCTCCTTCCTCATACCAACACTCGGATTTGCTTCCAACCTGACGCAAACAATCATTCGCGAAGCTCAGGAAGATGACGCTCACAGCGTCAGGAGCGACCACTCAACATCCACCGAAGTCAGCATTAGCGACGAGGAGCTCGCACTTCTGGGACCTCCGTGGGCAAAGGAGGGCATGTTGTGTCGCAAGCAGTACTGGGAATGCATTGGCAAGAGGGCCAAGTCGAAGTCGTGGCTGGATGTTTTCGTTGTCATCCAGAAGGGTGAACTCAGTATGTTCGTCTTTGGGGACCACAGCCTAGGAAGTGCGAACGTTGTGGGCGGCGGTAACTGGCTGGTAAGTAGTAGCCACTTTTCGTGACCTGACCTATCTAACACCCCTACAGGAAAATGCGCAACCAGTTGGAGCTGTACTGCTTGCACACTCACTCGCGCATGCATTGCCATCACCCGGCTATAACAGGCAACGTCCCCACTGTATGGTGCTCACCTTGGCGAATGGCGGCGTCTATTTCTTCCAGGCTGGTACCGAGGAGCTTGTTAATGAATGGGTGCAGACGTGCAACTACTGGGCCGCTCGGACGAGCAAAGAACCTCTGACTGGGGGCGTCTCCAACATGGAATACGGTTGGAACCGAGTTCTGGACCAGGATACTTCGGATGCCGTTAGCACGAAGAGCGGCCGTAGTGGGCGGAGTAAATACAGCAAGAAGGACTTGGTCGCCACCGTGCGAGGGGACAAGTCACCCTGGTCGGACCGTATCGTTATCAACGACTGGAAGCCTCCGATGGCGCCTAGCGTCCCTAGTACGCACGACGAGGAGACGCAGATGGATGCCCTGCAGAAGCATGTTGCCGCTCTCAAAGATGACTTGGTTCAACACAATGAACTGCGAACTCCGATGATGAATCTTGTGAGTGCTTCCGTGCTTCAACGGCCACAGTAGCTCACGCCCCGTGTAGTATCCTCCACGATCTTCCAACGCTGCGAAGGCGCTCGCCAATTGGGAAAAACGTTCGCAGTGGATTCTCACAGAAATTGTCAAATACGAGTCATACATTGACTCTCTGCGGGCCGCGATGAATCTTCGCCTAAAGAAGCGCGGCGAGAAGGCGCTCGAGCGTGCCCTGGCGGCCGGCCCCAGTGACGATGATCGCCTGAGTCGTACGAAAGGTAAATGGAAAGGCCACCCCGGTGAAGAGACGATAGAAGAGAGCGAGGAGCCTCCACCCAGCGCGAAAGGCGACTCAACCATCCGGTCTCATTCGCATCGCCGCGAGACGGCCGATATCGGGCGATAACTAATCCACGATCTTTTGTGTAAGTAACTATATGTATAATTTCTCTAAGACTACCGTCCTGGATGTCATCACCCCTTCCTTTTTTTCTAGTTTGGAATGTCTCCTTTACCTCTTCACGATAGTACTTATGATGTAGCATTTGGTCTATTTGCACTATTCTCACTGTTATGCCACACGCTCTCCGTCGCTTTAACTTTCTTTGGGTACTTTCATTAATACTTGGTAGTTGCATGGATTGGACTGTTTCCCGGAGGTGGCGAATATGCTCCTGAATAGTCACATAATCATATCAGGTGAAGCAGAGCCTAAATACGCAGCCAGATCCCTTTAGTGCCCTTGCCTCTGTTCGAGGATCACCGGCAGTTTCCCCCTCAGCGTGACATACGTATCGAGTAGATCCTTCTCCCACTGATTCAAGTCGTACTCTTTCGACTCACGCAGCTCGAACTTGTGCATCATCGCGCACGCTACCACGCGCATCTCGACCATGGCGAGGGCCTTGCCCGCACAGTTCTGGGGGCCGAAAGAGAAAGGATCGAATGCAGCGCGGTTGGTGGTGACCTGCTCCTTGTTGATGACGTCGCCGGTGGGCAGGGTGTAAGAGTCTTGTGTGAGCCAGCGGTCCGGCCAGAAGTCGTCGGGTAACGGCGAGAATTCACGCGGGTCGCGTTGTAGGGAGAATATATGCACGGAGACTTGCGTGCTCTCGGGTACGAAGCTGAGCGACAGAGGGTTCAGCTACTAAGCGCGCCACAAGGAGAGATGTCTACGTACTAAGAGCCGATCATTGCACCACCAGACCCGCGCTTTACGGTGCGCTGGAGACCACCAAGAACCGGCGGGAGCAGGCGAAGTGTCTCGTTGCTATTTACAACGCTGTGAGATTACACGTTCCGGCACCACTTGTGGTTTTACTCACATGCAGGCATTCAGGTAGGGCATATCCGCGTGGCGCGAGAAATCCAAAGGATCTTCACCCGGCGGGAACGTCACATCGATCTCCTTGTGAAGTTTCTCCGCACATTCTGGGTGACGCAGCATGAAGTACCAAAGATGGACCAACACCGTTGATGTTGTATCCGATCCTGCAATGACCGCCAGCATGCCATCGGCGGTGATCTCGTCCGGTGTAGCGCCACTTTGTGCTGCGCCTTCGTCCTCAGTCTGCAGCGGCAGTGAGATTAATGACAGCTAAAAAAGCGCAGTGACGAACCAAAAAGTAGAACAAGTCTTTTGATGTCGAACCTTTGCTCGTTCTCTCTCGCACGCACGAAGCTCCCAAGAGTTGCATGGCCTTCGGGCCTTGCGCAGGAATGTGCTTGATGAACGGATAGATCCAGGGCGTGTGAGAGATGACGGCAAAGGCGCTGTAATTATTGTTAGGGTCATCTAAAAGGGACACGTGGAACGCTCACAATATTCCCTCCTCCACAATATGAAGTAGACCTAGATGGTCCTCACCCGATTTGACCATGCCGAATTCGCGGCCAAACGCCATAAGACCCAAGAAATCAAAACTGTCGGTCACATTATTCAGCGTAAGAAGAATGATGAAAAAAGGCTGCTGACACACCCAAATAGATTTAACCAGTGAGAAATGTCAATCTTCTCTCCCTGTCTTTTCGACAACTCCTCCATGAGTTCTAGCGTTTTTGTATGCAGGATCGGTTCATAGCCTTTCAGGGCTGTGCTGCTCATGGCCCTCACCCAGGGCTTTCGACGCAAACCATGAACGGAGAAGTCGCGGACGCCATCGAGCTGGCAGACTCCATCAGGGGTCGTCCGAGTATCATAATCTAACCAAGGCTCATTGAGTAAATCTGACATCCATCAGCAGATTTGGCGTACATGGGCCCTTGGGCATGGTTTTCGCACCATAGATAGGCTGGACAGCATCAACGCGGCGGAAAGAAAGCTCATTGGGACCTGCGGTAAGGCTAGATGAGCCCTACAACTAGACCGCAGTCAAATGTGCACAAACCAATGCGGACTACATCACCATACCGCTCGTGCCAGTCCTTGATGGCGCGATAGAGGTCTCCGCGTGCGACAAGGTAGGCCACATAAATCTTACTGAGTTTCCCAAATGTCGGCCCAGGATATTTCGCCAGAGGATGGATGGGTGAGAGACGGTAGAGTGCCGTGAATGCGAGGATTAGGCACCAATAGGATACTGCAGCGCCAATCTGCTGAAGAACTGACAACTGGGAACTGAGCTGCCAAGCCAGAAGGGTGGGCACACCTAACAGCAGGACAGCATGGACCAAGAGGCTGTTAGGTTCAAATTGCTTGTAGATAAGATAGCATGCCTGGACATGCCATTCGTTTAGCAACTTGCCACAGTGCTCAAACCTTGAGCAGCGCTCACAAAACTGGCGGTGCACACGAGCACCTTGAAGTCCGCGCTGTCGAACATGGGGGGCTCGCTGTATCTCTCGGCCAATATCGCGGGGAATAGAAGGAAACCTCGAGGTGCTGTCAAGAGAGACGAGGTATATCAGGCTCCTATAGCCCCTGGAAACACCACACTTATATATATCCCTGACAGTCTGTCTGGAGCACAGCACGGCCACTCCTTGAAACATCCAGATTCTCCACGCCCATCGGAATTCCGCATTTGGACTACACCACTAAGGACCGGCAGCTCGGTTGGACGATGCGCACAATCTCTCCCCGCACGGATGGGACTGTGGTGACAGTATCTGGGAGATCGCCCAGGTGCACTCCGAGGACTGAGATCTGAGACTTTACTTTACATGTTACACCTTACTGCCCATACTGATGCTACGCTAGCTAAGGCACTACGCCAGCCGCTTGTGCCCGCGATTTTCCAACCACGAGAAAGCAGTCGCAGTTGAGTCGCAGCCAAGCGAGCATCAACCACGAAGACACTTGGCCTCCAGAACAGCCTCCACGAAAATTGCTATCGGGGGAACACAATTCGCGTAGCGGAGCGAAGCCGTCTCTTGCACATGCGTTACAGGCCAGGCTTGTACTTGCAGAAGCTTGACCCGGCTGAAGGAACCGAGCAAGTGATAGTTGTACTGAGGCACCACTACCCGCTGATTGCCACTGTCAAAGCTACACCAGAGGATGCAATGAGAAGGTGTCACCAATCTCGATTGAGATTGCACAACGTCAGCATACACAGACACTACCGTAGTAAGATGATATTATCGTGCGAGGAGTTGAGGTTGTTATTGGTGACGGAGGGGTCGATATGACCCCGGGGCCTGCAATCCTATGTCCTGGGGCACGTCGTGGGGTCTTCAGAGTGAGCTGACGGAGAGTCTTACGCCGGAACTCGTAACGGGAGTTACGGGACCTAATCGTGTTTCCGGGATTTCGGGATGTCAGGGCTAGGCTCTGTCCGTGCTCAGGTTTACCCAGCGTGCTCAGGATATAAAGACGCGGTTGCAACACGGTGCTGCTCCCATATCGGAATACCTGTTGATAATCCCTCGTCTTCACTCTCATGGTATGTGTCCCCTCGCCAGACTTTGAATGCTGCTCATCTTTCTGTTAGACAAGCGCTCAGACAGTCTATTCCATCTCTCGCCGCAGAGATGGTCCATATCGATACCAAGTCGGTTTCGACAACATTTTCACATCGGAAGCTCTGTAAGGTCTATATCGACAAGCACTCATGGTCAGCCGCGTTGACGGTTTGCGCAAGTCCCAATGTCCTACCTATAGGCCAGAATATGCCACAGAAGAATAAGTACGAACTGTACACCGAATGCGTAAGGTCCACTCCGAAAGTACAGTTACTTCCTCCTGAAAAAGGTCATAGATTACTGGCACGCCGTTCACCACCCCGAGGGTTCAGAATAAGAGCATGTTCGTTCATCCCAATCGTGTGTGCACGCATGTCCTCACTTTGGTTCAGCAAGGCGTACCGTATCCGCCCGTCTGTCGCTCACGAGGGATTTGTCAAGAGCGAGAAGCAGAACCCATTTGTCCGTCTTCATCTACTTTCCCACGGCTTCCGTTAACACGGCCTCTCTACAGCTCGTCGCTGAGTTCTCCCTCAATGATCCTACACAAACCGCTACGCCCGAGCGTGTCACTTGGACCCCGGACGTCCTATCGGCGAACGAGAAAGTTAATTTCATCTATGGCATCAAGACTATGATGGGAATGGTAGTCCGATGCTCGTTGAAGGTCTCGCCATTCATACCTATGCATGCAACTCGGACATGGACAAGGAAGCATTTGTGAACAGTGATGGGGACTTCCTGATCATACCTGTGAAGGGCCAACTTGATATCCAAACTGAGCTGGGCAGGTGAGTTGTCCAGAATCCATGTACCTTATTATGAAAATTCGGTGACACCGTTCACTTGCCTAGGTTGCTGGTCTTCCCGGGCGAGATCACGGTCGTACAGCGGGAGCTGAAGTGGAAGGTTACTTTGCCAGATGGTAGTGCAACCGGCTGTGAGTCTTGTTGAGTGTGCCTTGCCGTGTTCGTTTCCTGATATGCTTTGTGCAGACATCCAAGAGATCTTCGGGTCGCACTATGAGCTCCTTAACCTTGGCGTCGTTGGATCTCATGGACTCGCGAATCCTCGCGACTTCGAGCACCCAGTAGCCCACTTTGAAGTTGACCAGACCAATTGGGAAGGTACGTGTATTTGTTGCATCTGAACTCACGAAGTGTTGAATCCTGTCTCTCATGTATCTATCAGTTATCTACAAGCTTGGTGGTAAGCTCTTCACGTGCAAGCAGGACCACACGCCCTTCGACGTCGTAGCATGGCATGGCAAGTACGTTGCGCCAGATTTTACCAGGTCACCTCCCTTGCTGACGACAGCGGCTGGCTGTCAGCTACGTCCCGTACAAGTATAACCTCGATTTCTTCATCTCCCTCGGTAGCCTCACCCGTGAACATATCGACCCGTCGATCTGGACGGTCCTCACGGCGCGCTCAATGACCCCAGGGGTTGCGCTTGCCGATTTTGCGTTCATTGGCGAGAGGTGGGACGTCGCTGAGCAGTCGTTTAGACCACCGGTGTGTTACCTTCCGCACCTTTTCATCTTCCGCAAGGACGGTATTTTCTAACAGGATCTCTCCTCGTTCAATGCCAGTTCTTCCATCGCAATACTGCCTCCGAGGTTCTGGGGCTTATTAAAGGCGAATTCGGCTTCACTGGCGACTTCGTGCCGGGTGCACTCGTGCTCGAGAGCGGGTTTGGTCCGCATGGACGTACGTGATTCACTTTCCCGTAACCTCCCGTCCGGTCTACTGATTGCCGGCTCAGGGGAGGATGGCCCCTACAACGCGGCCCAGGACATGGAGCTCAAGCCAATGAAGATCTTGAAGGGCACGCAGAGTGAGCTAAACTTTAGTCAGGGATTTCTTTTTTAGTCGGCTAACTCCGTATGCAGCTGTACTGCTCGAGACGAGCATGATGATGACCCTAACTGAACACGCCACCAACAGCAATAGACGTCAATGTGAGCGCCATCTCCTGTCTCCGTGTCCCGACACTTCTAATTTATGAACTCATGACAGCGAACAAAGGTGGGGCCAGGGGTTTGGAAGCGAAGTTCCTCAAGTACAAGGACCAGATTCTGGCGGATGCGAAGGCGGCTGGCTTGGGTCTCATCCCTGGTCTCTGATCCGACTGAACGAGCTAACAATGTATTTACTGGCGATCGTTGAGGGCTCCAGTTCATATTCACAACTCGTTAGGTCCAGAAAAATGTACACATTATGTAGCTGACTGTGGCAGTGAATTGGCTCATTCTACGAGTACCTGTGAGCGATAAATTACGGTCAATACATCAGCTAAACGTTGTATATTGATACGTGAATACACGGCACATTTTATTCGCCCCTGAAGTCTTGTCTCATTGCAGGAAGCGTACCCAGAAAAGCACGATTCCATTGGTAAACTTCAGGCGAATGAGAGAGCTAAGATTCAACATTATGCAGTTTTCCATCAAGAACTAGCTTGATCCAATTTAGTGGCCAAGCCTAGTACTCCATCATACCACCGAATCAGGGGAAGCATGTAATCATTGTTGCACAGAGAAGAGGCAATGGAGCTGATGGGAAGCCATAAATATATTACTTTTTAACTCTCTGTCCGCCACCTAGTAGCACTGGGAATAATCTGTGCGAACGGCAATTAGCGCTACCCAGCAGCAGTGAAACTAATGGCCACTTACAAGGGTTAAGAACGTGGCAAGTGAAGCCAGAAGCGCACACGGTCGGCCCACTGTATCCAGTCCCACCACACTGGCCCCACTGAGCAACACTCCCAGTCGGTGCATGGCTAGCAGACGAGCCAGATCCAGATGCCGGAGGCGGCGGAAGAGGCAGGGAAGTCGTACCGCCACTGAATGTAGACCCAATGTCACCGAACTTGACGTTACCGAACACCACCTTCGAGCTCGGGGCCTGCGACTCGATCCGTGCTGGCACACCGGACGTCGTCGCACAAGTGCCGCGGGAAACACCAGGCGACGACGCATCCTTGGTCGTCGGGTAGTCAGAGTCAAGCCACAGCATGCTCGCCCCATAATCATCCCACACCGACAGCGCGAGCACCATCCCATTCCCGAGTGACTCGCCCATCTGCTGCAGTCCATCATGTTGCGAAAAGTAGTCCGTGTCCCCGAACACCGTTTTCTGCTCCGTGCAGAACTCGTTCGTGATGCTGTTGACCGCGTCGATCCCGGGGACGTTGACCACGCCATTCTGGATCACCTTCCCGCCCTGCACATACACCCGACGGATCTCGCTCAGCGTCCCCGTCGTCGTGTTGTCGCTCGTCACGAACTGCGTCACGACCGTGAACGGCTTGGACGTGTCGACCGTCAGGCCGTTGCCCAGGCGGAACGAGTTGAAGTCGCAGCCGTCGGCGTCGCACAGGCCGGTGTCGCGAGTGCAGTCGTCTCCTGAGCACTGTGTCTGGCCGTCGGTCGTGCACGGATGTGGGGTGAATGCGGCGGCGTCGCTGTTGGCCTCCCGAATGTCCATCTCGCTGCAGCACGTGCCGAAGTTGCCGGTGCCTGCATTCGCGCTTGTCGCATTCCAGCCGACAACGTTAGCCTGTGCGAGGGAAGGGGAGGTGGAGGAGAGGGGAAGGAGAAAATGTCAGCGCTCGAATTACCGCAAAGCATCAGAGAAGGAGACTGTACGACATACCTCGCCGTTGATGAACTTGATGTCACGAGGACCCGTACTTCGCTCCAGCCTTATTCGTCGGGAATCGACCCATCCCTCCATCCTCGTCCATCTCCACCAGGTACAGCGCTCCATTCAGCCCGCACGGCAGATCCGACATGTCCACGTCAAACGTGAACACCTGGTTAAGCAGCTTGAACATCTCGTAGTGGCTGTCGTCCGCCATCAGGTACACACGGCTCCCCACGTTCGATCCCGTCACGAACTGCAGCGTCAGCGACGACCCCGAGCTCGTGATCCCGTACGTCCCCGTGTAGTCCGCACCGTCCTGCGCACAGTGCGCTGCGCACGTCACGCCGTCGGGACACAGTGTCGCGTCCCACTCGTTGCCGGTGAAGCAGTTGGTGTATCCGGCGGTGCTGTGCAGCCACCGCCAGTTGGAGTCGAGGACGACCTTGGTGTTCTGGTTGACGCACCCGCCGGCGGTGGTGCACTTCTGGGACGACAGCGTCGGGTGGGTCTCTGACGTCTGCGTGCCGGCTTGTTGAGCGGCGGCAATGGCAGCGAGGGTGAAAGAGATGAGGGCAAATTTGTGGAACGTTGTGACTGGCTGGCAGGAGACCAGTTAGTATCGTCCAAGATGCCGGTGGGTACGACGGGCACAAATTGACTCACCGAAAGGATCAGGTCGATGGTCGTTGACCTGTAGACCTTGGCGGATGTCTTTTATTTCTGCTATTAGGAATCAGGTCCAGTTTCGGCTGTCGAAAAATGCTGGGGAACTGACGTAGAGCTGGATCGACTTGCGGGGACGGCAGAGCTCTGGCTGTTGACCATATCTGTGTTCTAGTTTATATACGCTCGAGCCTGCTACGCCTCTTGGAGCGTAGCTACAGGCGCCCACGGCTATGCCTGTGCTAGAGATCGATTTCGAGGGCGCGTTCAAGCGCAACGTGCACCTGATGCTCGCGCGTGAGCTAGGCAAGGCCGCGGCTGAGGTGTGCAAGTGTGAGAGCACGACATACCCCGATACGCACGACACGGTGGTAGAGGTGTATGGTAGATACCGCAGCGGGAGGTGGATTTGGTGGATCTTCCATCGCCTAGTACGAGCTCAACTTGACAACATCGAGATTATATAGCCTAATGAACTCACCAATCACCGCTGCCCGTAATCCACAAGATGCTGCATCCTCCGCTGAGAAAAGTAAGATAGCGGTGGAGGGCCGTGCTGCCCTCAACAGCTGTAGGTATTTCACTAGCAACGCTGTTGTCGCGCCCCTAGTTCTTGTGGCCCGCAATACTTGTTGTATTACTCACGAGCTTCTTAGTTGCGCGCACAGTGTTGTTTCGCTACTCTGGGGCTTGTGCGCCTGCTCCGCGCGTGATGATGCGACCTTGCTGCCCATGAGGGGAGAGATGTTCGGGCGCTTGTTACTATCGGCCGTGCCATTATTCGCTAGTTTAGGGCAGATACTCACGTACTTGAGCAAGTGAAGAGGATACCACCTTCGGACAGTACTTCAAACTTCAAGCTTCAAGTGTCGTAATCAAAATTTTGTATATTATTTAGTTCCGTTCACTAACGTTGTAATCATATGCTTTACATGCAAATCTAGTCTACGGTGCGAGAAACTGGCCAGTGTTCAGTGGTGCATATATAAGCGGCTGCTGAGTGCTCTCCTGAGCCTCGCGCATGTGCTAAGCGGCGAACGCAGACGCGGTAGTAGACGCCCTTGCTACAAGCTTGGCCTGTAACGCATGTGCAAGAGACTATGAAAGGTGGATCTGAAGTAGAAGACCGTCAACGTGCAACCAAATTATGAAACATGCTTATCCGGGGCCAACTCTCTGACATGAAATATGTCGAACTCTCTTGTCTTCTAGCATCTCTCTGCAAGAGTGCCAGAAAGAATCCAACTATCGTGATTTTTCTGTGAATTTGGAGTGTCTTGAAATACCTGTACCCTTGGCATCTCCTGTGTCATCCTGTACCACGTGCACTGCGCGGCATCGCTGTCACATACGCGAGCTAGTATGATCGGCTGCGCCTCCTATGCTGGCGGCTTGGCGGCTAGCCGCGTCTTCACCTTAACCTCACCCATAACCTCAGGCCTCAATAATGGCTCATACGGCGCCGAGGCAACGGTCGCGAATGATTGTGTGCACGACACGTACAGGCGTTTTTCGTCTGCAAAGCGTCTGCAATTCATTATGGTAAGTTCTCTGGCCCATTATGCTGCGATTCGCAAGCCTCACCAGGTCCTGCTCTGCATGATAGCCTGCTGGTACGAAGTGCGCATGAACAGTGCATTTAGTAAGCTCAGCAAGTACTAGTGACTGTGATTGCCATTGTTCTTCTTCAAGCAGAGGACGAGTCACAGCTTCTACATGTGCACACAACTCGGTCTCGACTGTCTGTTCGGCGGTGAGTTGTTGGTCAGTATATAAAAATGGACCTCAAAAATGGACACCCCGCAAAGGACCAATGTCAACGTTCGAGCTCAGTGAAATAAAAGAGCAGAATTTCAATTTTTCTTCGGGGCTTTTCATGCACCCTGAAATCAGAGGATGTTCGCTTTCGGCATCTGCCGCCAGCAACTTTCATATATCAGAGGCGCCCGCGGACGCTCTTCTTCCCATCCTGCACTTGAACGTCGAGCAGACCCTTGAAGACCCCTTCCCTTCCCTTCCTCTCCCTTGGCCTCGCTGCTTCCACTCTCTATTTGACTGTCGCCCGCTATTTAAGCTATCTACGTGGCAACTTCCTCTCATTCACTACGTCCCCCCGCTCAGCTATGGCCCCCACTCTCGCTAAAGTCTTCCTCGGTCTCGCTACCGTCCTTTCCCTGTCCTCTGCGGTCACTGCGGAGTCTCACACTATCGCCTTTGACAACCAGTACGTGAGTTCCCTGTATGCCGGCGTGTAATGTGCTAATAAAAAATGGCAGGTGTGGCATGGGAACTGTGCGTTACTACGATCCATCTTCCGCGTTGCGCCCAGACTGACATGCTCTATAGCCCACGCTAATCCTTAACGGTCAGATCGTCTCTACAGGAGAGCCGTATACTCAAACAAGCACCATATCTGGCATTGCGTAAGTAGTCAATGGCGTTTATTTCGGGGCTGAACTGATGCAACCACCCAACAGATACCTGCAAACTGGTGTGTATTGGAGCTATCAGTATACTTGTTGTCTGAGATGCTGATTGTATGCTCTCAGGTAATTGCGGCTTCAATGGAGAGAACTGCACCCTCATGGAGATGACCCTGAATGACCCAACTTGCCCAGGTTGCGGCTCTTCCACGGACATCAGTCTCATCCCTCCGTGCGTATCATGTTCGAGACCGCAGTCGTGACATGAGTAGACTCAAACTTTTTGTATAGTCATGCGTTCAACGTAGAAGCTTCGTTCAGGTAAGCTCGGCTGCTCCCTACCACCGAAGCGTCTGATCTAATCCCGGCGCTTCGCGGCAGCTACTACAACGGTTGCAACGGTCAAGGCACGACTTGCTCCTCTGCTGACTGCTCGGAGGCCTTCCATGTCTCCACCGACAATCAGGTTCAAGTTGCGTGCGAGTTAGACGATGTGAGTGGTTGCTGAAGCACATATAGCCCTTAATCTCAGCTGTCCACTCAGGTCAACCTACTCATCACCTTCTGCGGTAATGCCATGACAAACGCACTTGTTGTCGGTGGTTCGGGCAGCGTTCAGAGCTCGTCTTCCGCCCCTCTCCCTGCCACTTCTTCCGCAGCCCCCTCTGCCGCTCCCCCCGTCACTTCCTCCGCTGCTCCCCCCGCCACTTCCTCCGCTGCTCCTCCCGCCGCTTCCTCCGCTGCTCCCCCCGCCATTTCCTCCGCTGCTCCCCCCGCCGCTTCCTCCGCTGCTCCCCCGCCATTTCCTCCGTTGCTCCCCCCGCCGCTTCCTCCGCCGCTCCCCCCGCCACTCCCTCCGTCGCATCCTCTGCCATCCCCGTCTCTGTCTCCACCAATCCTGCTTCCAACGCGACTCAGACTCTTGTCGCTGTCAGCTCTTCCTTGGCTGCTCCGTCTTCTTCTCCTTCTGCCAGCAGCAGCGGAACATGCAAGAACAAGAAGCGCATGGAGCGTCGTCGCAAGTTGGCCCGTGCGCACGAGCAGCTCTCGCACTGAACGCCATAGCTGCGGCTCTTTCCTGACTTGATGACTGTGTCTCGCTTTCCCCTTTTTTCTGTTTCTTGGATTACCTGCTACGCTCTGCTCCTCGGATCTCCCGCATGCGGGATGCCGCCTAAGCACATCTGTACCCAGGCCCTGGTGGATCAAGGAGCATGGCCTCCTCGTCTTGGCCGTCTGCTTCTTGTTGATTGAGACTGTCCGTACGCTTACGTGTTTCAATATACGGTTTGCAACCGGAATCACAACTCCTTCTTGCATGGAACTTGACAACGGCATGTTGATAAAGTGATGAACGTGTCAGGCTCGCTCTCGACTGCTGACTTCAATCTCCGTCCATTGCAAGCAGGCGGATGTCGCACGGCTTGAAGCTTGAGCTTAAGCTGCGAACTGTAATTTTGTGAAGGATACTGCGTGCAACCATGTGCCACCAGTGGATTTATGGTTACCACTGCCTGCTCGTCTGCTGCACCTATCTTAACATCCAAAGCACTGCATCGACGGTTGATTGATCCTGGAACGACCGCTGATGATATTTCGATGCCCCTGGTGAAGAGGGTCCTTGTTGCACAGTTTCATCGTGTGATAGAACAGCAGGGGATGTTGTGATTGCTGCACTTGATTAGAGCATCAGGGACTCGGAGCGTTGTCAGCGCCGACCCTCCCTCCGGGAGCTCTCTGGACCTGTCTCGCGAAATTCGAATCAGTGTCAGAAGCAGCGTGAGCGCGGTACCGTGTTGTAGGTGAAATCTACACAGTGATCGTGTCAGTGCCCGAACCGTTCACCGGCACTACAGCGGTGACACCTCCGTCGGGCTGGACGGGTGTTTCGAGTTTGGAGCTCATTTCGAGGGCTGCTGTTTCACGGCATTTGCACTCGAAATCAACAAGCTGCTCTGCAGCGCTTCGCCTCTCTCACTACGCATTAAGCGACTTCCTGTCACCGTATATCTGACTATGATCCTCTTGTCAGGCCCAACATTACTGTGCTGAGGTCTTCAAGTTGAAACATTTCCCAGAGACTCCGGAGTCCACAATGTTTTAGACATCTGGCAAAAACCCTCCACAAGCTCATCCCTGACATAGAGCTGATCCACAGTACATCCATGCGTAATGCGTTTCTTGCATTCGCCTTGAAATTCATGTCGGCTACGCAGGACCTTCGGAAACAATAATCCGCTGGCCTGAGCATGGTCGAATAGATATTAAGCAGCGGGGCTCAAGTCAAAAATTCCATCAGTCTGAACTAGTAAAAGAAATGCAAATGAACGGGAGGAATTTGGGGAGTAAGTAACAAATTTGGCTGTTGGCTGGCGACCAGATCGTTACAAGATTTGCTAGATCGGGCACTTATAACTCCAATTGTGGCGCTCGGTGATGGCCGAGACGCGCACCGAACCGTCGCCAAGATTCAACGAGCTTGGCGCTGCCTCCAATCCTTGAGATATAATACGATCAGCTGACCTTTCTACTCATTTTTAGTATTCTGAAGAGGGCTTCTACACTCGACGTGAGAGCGAAATACTTCTTAAGCTGACTAGTCGCCAGCCGAGCCATTCGAGCATAAATATGGAAGGCTGACCGCTTCATGTCAGCTCTTCGGTATTTACGCTCGAAGGAGTGGGTGGTAAGCCCGTCTTTTGCTTGCCTCCTTACCAGAAACCGATACCCGCAAGGCGAAATGTCAAACTTGAAGTTCTTCGCTCGCCTCAAGGCTGCCTTTCGTAAGAAGAAGACCAGCACCGTTCAAATTCCCGATGAAACGCCTCAGATTACCCTCGTGGTTCAGCTGCCGCCGCCTCATCCCAAGTCGGTTGTCTCTATCCACGAGGTAATTGCTTATGCGTTAGCGCGGCTCGAATTGACATCGATTAACGACTTGCTCGGACCACAGGCGACGATGAGTGATGCGGAGGGCGCGTACCTCGGCTACCTCTTCGACGCTGCACACTCTCCTCAGGTTCTCTCTATCAAGCACTCTCTGCGACTTGATGTGGCACCTGAATACCACAAGCAAATTGTAAGTAAATCCCGTATAATTCTCTACGAGCAGCTGCTGACGTCGTCTTCTACAGCGCAGTTCTGTTTGCTTTTCTGTGGCTGAGGCGGCGGATGCGGTCAAGGCCGCCCCTACTCGACCCGCTGCCGAGCTTCAGCCCACTGTCGAACTTACGGTCGTCAATGGACCACTGGCAGAGGCCTCAGTCCCTCCAATGCGAACCTCACTGGTTCCCTCCGACGTCGTCCTTCCTGCGAAGCCCGCTCTCGCTATCAAGGACTTTGCCATCACGTGTACCATCACATCCGGCTCGTGGGGCTCTGTGGCTGGTTACTGGCACAAGGACACCCGGATGTGCGTGGTGATCAAAGCGACAAGCAAGCGCATGCATCCCGGAAACCCTTATCTTCAAGTACTCAAGGAGAAATCAGCGCTTCTCGCGCTTTCTAGCACGCACGGCATCTTGGACCTCTTGGCTAGTTTTCACGACAGGGATTTCTTTTATCTCGTGACGGTGCACAATCTCTGCTTGCAGCACTCCATGATACAGATGCTGACGGCTTCCTTTGCCCAGCCCTACTGCGGAGGAGGAGACTTGGGTCTCTTCTTGAAGAAATACAGCCCCATGCCCGCGGAGCTGCTGCATTACTGGGCTGCACAACTTGTGCGTGTGTCCGTCATTGTGTTATTCTTTCCGTCTAATCTCCATCGCTGCAGCTCTCTGGTCTCCAGAAGATCCACTCCCACGGGATCGTGCACCGCGACCTCAAGCCCGCCAACATCTTCATTGCCAAAGCCAAGCTCGTCATCGGCGACTTCGGCCTTTCTGAGTTCGCTGAGGGTCTCGCGCCGCGCCGCGACCTCTCTGGTACCCTGGCATACCACGCGCCGGAGGTCTGGGAAGAAGGTGACTATTCGTTTGCGAGCGATGTGTGGGCGTACGCCGTTGTGTTGTTTGAGATGGCTGTGGGCCGGGTATGTATTTGTGCGTACTTTGGACTGTTGGGTGCTAATGAAGCTCCCTAGGTGCCTCTAGATCCTAGCGAGTACGTATCGCTGGAAGCGGTCAAACACCTCATCCTTACGGGCACTCTGGATGAATGGCTCAGCGGTGATGAAATCGCTGCCTCACTTCACTCTCTGCTCAACTCGGTACATCCTGGTGTTACTCTTCTGTTTCTGTTACTTATCCAGCGCTACCCGCCTGCAGATCTTCAAGTCGGGCAAAGCGCGGCGGCTTGTTGTCTCGAAATTCAGACAACACAAGTACTTTGAGAATATGTACGTCCCCAATACCTTTTCCTCTTGCTGTCACTAACTTTTTTCTAGCGACTGGGTCGCAATGGACGGCGGAGAACTCGAGAATCCACTCGCGGACGAATTTGAGGACGAGCACAATGGTCCTTTCGCGCTGGAGGTTCACGATACGACTGACAATGATGCACATCCCTTGGCTTCGCGCGAGTCATATCCAGATTTCGCCTTCATTTCCGGCCTTCTGGCTCCTACAACTCTCGCCTCTCCCCCCACGGGGACCTTCTCCTATGTGCCTACACTCGACTTCGTCGATGACTCTCTTCCTTCTCCTTTTACAGCTTACTACATGCCATCACCCGCTACACCTGCACACAGCCTTCATGCGGTTCCCTCATGGGACGACACCTTTATGCACCCTCCCGGCGTGTTCAGCCGCTCCTCCTCCTCATATGTCGTCTACGACACTATGGTCGAAGACATTCCATCACACACAATGACCACCTCAGACTCTTGGGACGACTCTTTCCTCCACTCCCCTCGCACACCATCCCCCGCATCTTACTACCCAACAGCCAAGCCCGCCGCAGTCCCCGCTTCGGGTGCCGTCCTGGCCCCAGTCGAGTCCTGGGACGACGCCTTCCTGCGCTCCGCAGGTGTCTTCAGTCGCTCGCCTCGCTCTCCCTTCCCTCCTCTCACCGCACCTCATTCAACCTATCTGTCTGCTCGTCCTCTCCTGTGTTAGAAGCGCTTGAGCCTGCGCCCTGCCAACGTCTCCTCCGCACACACGCCACCTCGGATCTCTCACATTTTCCCTCTTGCCTACGCCGCCCCGAGTGAGTTCTCGCCCCGCCGTAGGGCACGCGCGTGGGGGGACACAATACTGCAAAAATATAACGCCGAAAATCAAAAGCCCGGATTTGATGGGATATAATGCCATTTCTCTCTTTGATATCTTCACTCTCAATATTTTGCATAATTGTTTCCCTTCCCTTGAACGGCTCAATGCCCCCTTGTATCCGGACTAGCAACGCTCAAATTAATTTCTTGTCTGTATCTGTACAGCTTCGAAGCAAACACTGTAAATCTCACACGTTTCCCAGGCCTCATTAGATTAGCTCACTGGTATTAGATTAAGTGTTTGCGGTATGACATAGTACTCTACAAATACTCTACATTCTACATGAAGGTGGACACAAATACAAGAGACATGATGCTACACGACGAGATGGATGGAAAGAAAGACAGCTACAGATGTGACCAGAAGAAAAGGATGATATGAGAACGAACATGAAAAAAAAGGGGAGGAACGACAGTGAAAAAAATGCGCGACTACGAGGAGTAAAGTACACAAGGCGATTATACCGCATATAACGTAAGGGTAGACAAGAAAAAGAGCGCACAGTACATCCTTACTGCTCGCGCTCACCGTCGCGTTCCAGCGCGCCCTGCAGCCATCGGTGCCCGCGGATCTCCGCTATGTCCGTGCGGCGCTCGGGGTCGCGCTCGAGGCAGCGCGCCATGAGGTTCAGCGCTGCGCGCGAGATTTTGCCCGCGCCGCCGCGCTCGCGCACGACGACGCGGCCGTCGACGGCGTCCTGCTCGGTCGGGAACGGCGAGTGGCCCGTGAGGAGGTACGAGAGGAGCACGCCGAGGGTCCACACCTCGGCTGGCGCGGCGCGGTACGGTGCCTTGCGGAGGATCTCAGACGACGCGTACGCGGTCGTGCCGAAGAAGAGTGTATAGTACGGCGCGGGCGCGTACGGGTCCGCGATGACGGCGCTGCCAAAGTCGATGAGCTTGACGCGATACTCGGCGTCGATGACGAGGTTCTCGTCCTTGATGTCGCAGTGCGTGATACCCTGGCTGTTGAGGTAGGACACAGCCTCGACGACCTGTGCGAAAACGTAGCGCGCGTGGTTCTCCGAGAGCCGCTTGTGCTTGCTCTGTTCGATGCACTCGAAGAGATCATACGATGGACGGCGAGAAAAATTTGGGCGTGGCGGCGGAGGTTGGAGATATCCTTGACTGGAGCCGTTATTCTTCTCGACGACCTTCTGATTGCCATCCTCGGAGGACTCTGCGCCGTCTTCAGCAGTATGCTCAGGGACAAGGGCCATCTCGGAATCATGAGAAACGACTTTGAGAGGCTCAGGCTGGATTTCCGAAACATCAGGCAGCCCAACAGATGCTTGTGGCGGCGTGGGCGGAAGGGATACGTTGGTGTCCGTCGAAGGCGAAGGGGTCAAAGAAGGGGTGGACAGGGTAGGAGACGGTGCAACCAGCTTCCCAGGCGCAGTAATCTGCTTGGGCTTCTTTTTCCTGGACACCCAAGGTGTTCCATGGAGTTCTTGGACCTTGATTCGGCCATGAGACGCGCATATACCCACCAATAATTGTCGACTCACGAGATAAAAGTAAAGGTCGTCCTCAAACAAGTCCAAGCACCTGACGATGTTCTCGTGGTCGACCAGGGACATGATCATAACCTCTGTCGGCACCCGGCCAAGCATTTCGTCGTCCCACCACGCATGTTCTGGGACCTTGTCCTTGATGATGAACTTGACCGCAACCTCGTATTCTTCCGTCCGGTGACGGGCCGTCATGACAAAGCCGTAGCCGCCTGCGCCGAGCTCGTCGCCAAGTTCGTAGCTTGTCACAAAGAACGGATTCAGGGAATGGTCCGCCGGGAAACGCGGCGAATATATGCGGCCCTTGGCGTGAAGGAGGTCATCCGACGCCGCGGCATGCTGCAAGTCTGGTCTGTTAGAGGCCGGTGCGAGTAGCAGCGAGCTGCCTTGCTCGCCGATGTCGAAGGCATCGAGCGAGGGGGCGGAGATGGAGAGTGCAGGCAGTGCCGAGAGTTCGCAGGAGTCTGCAGAGGCCAGCACTGTCTGGCCAGGTCCAGTCTCCTCGTAGCGATCATCCATGTACTCGAACGGACTATCGGCGATGTCATACGACGGTGTATCCTGCGCGTACGCATCGCGTTCGGAGTTTGCGGAGGAGACGTGATTCGAGCTGTAAGCCGCGGCAAACGAGGCTGAGAATGAGTTGAACTCGAGCGACGCATTTGCGAGATCCAACGCGTGTGGGGGAGAGAAGCTAGAAAAGTACTCGCAGCCGTTGGCGGTTGCGCGTCCAAATTTTTCGGTTGCAGAGGGGGTCAAAAGAGCGGAGAACGGGGCACAACCTTGGTGGTGCTCTGGCTCAGGTTTCGCGAGGCTGTGCTCGGGTTGGGGAACGTCAGAGTGATAGAGATCGTGCGAGAAGTGGTGCGAGTGCTGATGATAAACAGCATATGGCTGGTGGTGTATGTCATGCTCTGTTAAAGGTGTCTGGAGTGTGTCACCATCCTCAGACGAGGCGTCGCAGCCGTCGATGGGCGGGGAGAGGTAGCCGAATGGAGGAGATCGGACCGCTGCTACTGCTGAGGTCTGCATAGCAGCGTGTGCTTTGTTTTGACGGCGGGCTACGAGGGGCCTGCGGGCAGGAAGGTGACACTGGGGGCGAGGTCGCGGAGGTCGCGGAGGACGTCGAACGTGGGTGTCGAGCGGCACGCAGGCTGGTTTTTATGCAGGAGAGGAACAGAAGCAGGCCAAAGGAGAGGACTTGTCCCAACACTGCGGTCAACGAGGAAGACCCCCACCAGAGTTGACACTCGCTCTGATCGCGCCGCACTAAGAAGCTCGGCATCCCGCAAAGTCTGTCCAGTTTTGGTCAAATGCTCGTCTTCGTCCCTTGAAATGCGCGACGCCCCTCAAAGGTCGCGCGTCGGTGGAGCACGACGGCCCAGAGGTCGCAATCCTGGAGGGGGCAGCCAGCGGAGACTCCGGCACGAGCATGCGGGGTTGGCGACAAACACCCTCTTAACACTTGCCAGCGTATGGGTGGAAAGCGAGCGGCTACATGACATGGCTGTTCACAATACTCATGGTCAAAGTTTTGTCGTCAACGCCATGATGCGTGGATAGCAAGTGGACAACGACGACGGGAAACCGACGAACGCGCTTTTGGTGACATCGGCATGCTCCGGGCTCAGCGCGACACGCTTGATCGTGAAGTTTGAACATCCTGCGGCAGGGCAAGGATCACTAGTTTTTGTCCCTCAATAATTAACCAAAATCTGGTTGAACAAGGACCAGATTTTCTTCGGGGTCGCAAGAAAAAAGAATGGGAAGCTTTACTTTCTTCCGGTTTTACTGCATTTTTAGGCGCAATTTGGCCGGTTTTGCATCAGATTCTACCTACTTTGTCGCCGAGAAAAAGCGATTGTTGTTCGACTGGTTTACCGACTTTCGTGAGAAATCGCGCGTCCCTCACGTGGGCATTATGTGCTGGGAGGCATCCTTTTGCGATATTCCAGGGGAAAACGACCCTCAAGAAATCCTGGGAGCTCGGCTGTCTACTTGAAGCGCTGGCCATTGTAAAATGGGAAATGCCCACGAATGTGACCCGATGATCTACTGTAGGCTTTTCTCTTGTCTTGTTCCTATCTGAACGGCGCACGTGAATGTAGCCGTATACAACCGTCGCACAGGCGGCGAGGATCAACCAATTCTTAGCTAGTTCTGTGTGTTTGTAACAGGCCAGAAAATTTTGGCAGACCTGTGGTGACTGTCGTAACTTATCCTAGACGGCTCAGAGAACACGTACTATCTGCGCTGGACGACTAGCAGCTTGAGAAGCCCGTCCGCAGGCAGGTTACCGACGTCCAGGCACACCCGATCGGCCCCGGTGCGCACCACATCGCGTTGAGGCTATATATCATCCATAGGCACATGCGGACGAGCGGTCAGGGAGTAGTGGAGCTGCTCTGCGCTTCGCGCAGATGAAAATGGATTAGTACGGAGGAATAAACATATAAGCATCGCTTGTAGAGTTCTATGCCATTGTCTAGAAGGATATAAGAGGTAACTAGTGAGGATTCGAGCAGAGTCGGTTCCTGAGTGGGTCTTTAAAGCGACTGCCCAGTTCAAGCCTTGACTTTAAGCTGAGTTCTCGATGGCTTCGGTTCGTAGCGTGCCAGATGCCGCGAGTCATCGGCCTTTCACACTGGCACTTGCATGTCGTGGTGGAGTTGAGATTAACTTTGATATATTGTAGACGGCTGCGCAGTTCGAACTCTTTGTGGCCGTACCGACATTCCCACATTAGGAAGTACTTCCGAAGATCTGATGGTATCCGGCCGGCACCGAGGGGATGGCGCGAGGCTCGTGAGAAAAGATAAATTGATTTAGTTGAGAAACGAGCTTGAGCACTCCCTCCCCTCTCGAATACAGGTCCCCTGTACCCTTGCATCAAGCTTTTCAGCTATATCAAATGAGTCTTCGCGAAGCAACAGCCGTGCGGTTGCATCAAGCAAAGGCTCGAACGTTAACGTCGCTTGTGCGTCTTGACATCGATTTAACAATTCTAACGCGTCTTAAGAACGTTGATTAACACATCCAAGACACGTTCTAGCAACATCCACAGCAAGTCGCCTAATCCAACCCGTCGCACTTGGACATTTTCGTGATCAATTTTTATTGCGAGCTTCTTCCAAGCTAACTATCTCGCACTTCCCAGTCTACAACTTCTATAATTACGAGGCCATTGAGGCGCTCTGTTTTCGAAATTGGCTGCAGTGTTGGTAATGATACCACGTTGCGGGCGGTTTCCCGGCCAACCCAATTGCTTCTTCGGACTTTATCCCTGTGAGGACAGTACTGAGTCATGACTGCGGGCACCGAGGCCGTAGGCTGTAGCTGAGCCTGGGCACAGCAAAATTCAGGGCAATGCATTATTGTCAACGGCGACGTTTCTGAAGGCGCCTTGCCTCTGGCCCCAGAGACCACTCCCTCCTTCTTCCCCACCAGTTTGTCGACGGCTTTCAGTCATTGTCGCATCGTCGTTCTTCTGCTGCCTCTTCGGCGGGGGGTAGAGTAAGCTTGCACTCCTGCCTGCGTCGCCGTCCTCGTCAGTGTTGAGTTCCTTCATCTTTAGGACGCACATCGAGCGGCCCTAGAGGGGCCTGTGCTTCGAGCATCCGCATCCGAACGTCCTCGCGAACGCGCACATGTTCTGTCGCAGCATGGAGGGCTAACAGGCGGATGAGGCACTCAGTAAGGGCAAGGTCAGGACTAGGGCGGTGCTGAAAGAGGTTCAGCGAGGGGACATGCCAGAGGATGTGAAGGCACGCATATTATTGTCCAGGTCCGCCAAGCTGATCGCGATTCTACCGTTCCAGTTCTTAGATCCTTTTGCGGCTGAGTTGGTACTTTGGTAGCCCGCACCATCTCTCGCTTCATCACAATCACACGGTGGTGTCACTATCTGTGGGGCTGTGGAGTAGTTGGGGCTCAAGATAATGGGTGAAGGACTGACGACGCTGTCGACGACTATGCAGTACGAATGCGCCGGATGTTCAATCGACGTGGATGGTTACCAAGAAGCTCGGCTGTGTGCAGCCGGTAGTCTCAAATCATCGACCTGATGTAGCAATAGTGACCGTCATTAGTACGGAGCCGTACGACCCTCGAACGTGCCGGTGAGAGCTGGCACACTCGCCCGAACACGATTTACCTTCTCGCGGCCGACGGTTACTAAGAGCTGTGAGTAATAAGTCCGCACAAATCGGATGGCTGCTCTGCCACCTGAACAGCTGTTGCAAACGAGGCGTCGGGACCATGCCTATCACGTTCAAGTGGCGGGGCGCTGAGCGCGGCATCGAGCACGTTTGCAACATCCGCGTGATCCCTTCCGATTTTTTCGGTAAATGCATCGTACGGTGTCTCAGTTACTATTGTGCCCATGCTTACGGCTCTCATATGTTTTAGCTCTCAGGAATTCCAGACCAGTGTTACAGACCGCAATGCCAAACTGCAGCGTCAAGGCTGCGATATTCCCGCTGCCTACGGCTTGTAAAAATTGTGTGTGGGTAGCCCTGGTTAGCTTCCTAAGCACGTTGGCACTTTTAGCTTCGTATAAATGCTCTGTATATCGGGTTTGGGCCCATAAAAAGCTAAGTTACGACCATTGGTGTAATGTCGTACCAACACGGGTCTTCATCTCTCCGATTTTCCACGTGCGAATCATTTCTGTACTATTGCCGCTATAGACGCGTGCTACATGTAACTAAGCTCACAACTTCGCCACCGGTGGCTACGGAGCTCTCTCAGAAGCAAGAAGAGAATGCTGCACAACTTGAGGGTGGTGGCGCGAGTGCCAAGTTCAAGTTTGAACCGAGCAATTGCTTGTATTCAAGCCCGCCCTTGTACCCTCCCTGTCTAGGCTGCAGGTTGTCGTCTTTTACGACTATCCCCGGTTCAACGCGATCGCGATGTTTCCCCTGCAACGATCATTTCGCTTGCGTCGAGCAAATAACGAGGAGAGCAGACACAGCAATATCGGAGCATCCGGATAAATTGGAGCCTAAACTTGAGTTGTCCGGTAGATTCGGACGTGTATGGGGGGAAAGTCAAAATTCGCGGGGTTGTTCTGCCTGAAAGCTGGGACAGGCCAGGGCAAATACATCCGGATATGAATCCTCCGAGTCCAGGTAGCCTAAGATAGCCTAAATCGGCGCCTTCGGGAGCTCTGTCCGCCCTATTGTCAGAGTCATACAAGGAACTGTACGGAAAGAGACAATTGACAGGCACTACCCAGACTTATACGCTCACCATGCGAGCCGAAACGCAATGCAGCTGAGCGGGGAGAGCATCTATCCCGACAGTAGATGACTCAGAACAAACTTCAGCGACCCGGGACACGGACGCTTATTGATAACCGGTAGTAATATGCACCAGCAACAGCCATCGCAGGCATATGTTGGAAATGAAGCGCGAAGACAAAAAATTACACACTTGACTGACCCCGGCGCTCCATCTACTCGCGACTATGCCTGCACTCCTGCTCGCCACCGTGACCTCCGCTCCAGTGGAATCTCTTGCCCAAATACCCTTTTCCGCGAGGGGCACTACCTGGGCAGGGAGATTGGCGGCACCGCGCCCGCCCGGGAACGTCGCTTAGGGTTTGCCACTAATCGCGGCTGGGAGGCTAATGGCCGTCGGAGCTGCGTTTCGGCGTCGCTCGTGTACTTGGAAGTGGCGTCGATGTCCGCGGGGAGAGCTGTTGTAGTCCCCGTCCCGGACTGCGCTGCAGGCTTGGTAGCGATCGCATGGACAGCACCGCATGCGGGACAGCATCGGGACGATGCATTGCACCACCCGGTTGATGCGGCTCGCTACTACCGGAAGGTGCATACACCGTGCGGGACCGCCTCGGAGATGAGGCACGAAGTGACGGCGTGAAGAACGCGGAGAACGCGAAAAATACCAAAATGTATTCAGGCGGTTGAGTCCGTGAGGTGAGAGATTTCTGTCAAGTGGAACATGGTCGGCCACTCGCTGAGACGCACGTCCTGTAGATTTGCCCGGGCTTCTTTGTACTTCTCCCACCCGCGGAGGTTGAGCAGAATCCGCGAGCTCAGGATACAGGGCAGGACGTCGCTGAAACCGTAGCCGACTTGGTACAGGGCAGTGGGCGCGAAGATGGTCATCGCCATATTCATAAGTACGAGAACGAAGATGCTGACCAGGATACATTAGCATCTGTATTCAGACAGCGTGGGGAATATGTCCACTTACATGCCTCCATAACAGAGTGAGTCACGAAGAAGGATACGGGCGAGGCTTCCGCCTTCGTCACCAGGCCCCACGAGCGTGAGGACCTGTTGCCGGAAGGTTCGCCACACCTTGTACGCAATAAGCACCAGAAGAAATATCGTGAATATCATCCATGTCAAGCTGCGCATCGTATGTGAGTATCTAGGCGCCTAACGCGCGGCGACCGCACGTACTAAATAGCCAGCAACCACGGCGAAAATTTGGTCGTGCTGTCGAGGTCGACTTTGATCCCTAGAGAAGCGCTTGCATCTCCGGCACCGGAACTGGAAGCAAATGCTTGGACACAAATTGGGTAGGACATGATGACTACACTCAGCAATGGTTAGCACGCTGTGAGAACGAGCATGATGGTGAGAGCACTCACAGCGGAGCTTAAAAGCATAATGCATGAGGCTTACTATTACCGCGCCGCTGAGGAGAGCAGAAATGGCGCTGATAATATACAAGGGCCGGCGATCTGTAGGGCAGCGGTTAGGCGGTATTAGCGGCCCATGACGTGCACTTCTCACTATGATTGTATATAGCATACAACCAAGTCTGTAGGACTACTGTTGGGTGGCAGTGTGGGGCTTGAGAACGCGAACGGGCCAGAAAACGCTGGTTCTATAGTTACTCACCTTGCACCAGAGTGGTGCTGATCCAAGCTAGATAGATAATGCGTCAGCCCGGTCCTTGCGACGTCCACAGTTCTTACGACTTACATTGCCAGCCGCCCATAGCTCCAAGGACCATACCTGCCCGGAAGAACTGGTCAATACTGACGAGCATGAGAGGTGAAAGGCTACTGACATCTGCCGAAATCGGTACAAGTCAACAGACCAGGACAGCACATTGAAATTCAGAGACGTACCTCGTGGGAGTATGCGCACCAAAAAAAAGCGCTGACAGAAGGGATCGTGAGTCATTATCGCAGGGGAGTTGCTGGGAAGTTGGACGCACTGATCAAGTATATGCTACCCATTATGATCGAGGAATAACGGTTCTCAAATTTCGCTGTCAGGTCGGTGGGCGGACTGAGTGAATGTGACACACTTACGACGAGGTATACAATTTTCGGCGGCGACCATGGCGAGAGCTGGCGAGACTAAGCTGGGCGGAGGCGAGCACGTGCAAATGAACTTACCCATACGAGCTCCACCTGAAATCGGGTAGTGGATCGGGAGAACTTATGAGCGTCTGGCGGATCCTGATCTTCCCACGGAGACACACTCACTTCTTGGTTAAAAGATGACACTGTCGGAACGAAAAGGTCAGAAAGAGGCCTTGGCGGCGGGGGAGTCGCTCACAAAAATCATGCAGGAGCAAGAGCATCGAAGAAGTGGTAGAGTACGATGTGACCTGCTTCAGGTAGAAGTACCGTACGACCGACACGTCGAGGCTGGTGCCGGTCCCACTCATGCTGGCGAGTCCTGCCGAAATGGAAAGCTAAAGGGAATGAAGGGGAGGAAGTCAATAGAGGACGAAGAGCTACATGAGTAGGATGTTTGGGAGCTATATAGGGAGAGGGGGCGTCACTCTGGGCTTTGGGCGATTGGTGCGTTAAGCGAGGAACGCGTGCCTGTTGGCGAGCCCATACGACGCCGGAGACTCACTTGCCTGCGCAAACTCGCAGGGAGACATCAGAACGGTGGATAGCCAATTTGGCCATATAAACTATAGTGTATCTCGGACATGCCGATCTCTCATCGACATGCCGTTGACAACTCGAACGTCGCCTGAGCTCTCCCACGCTATCTTTGGGCGCTGCGATAAACGGGCTCCCATTCAAATTTCTGCATCGCCGGACGCCCGAGCACTAGAGAATTTCTGTTACAGCCTGATACCCGACGTTACTAAGCTTTTTTTCTACGACTCACTTGCCGCTCATGCCTTCAGCTTGCCTCCTCCAACCGCCACGAGAGGCCCTCGACGTCAGAGTCGTGGTTAGAGTTATCTCCTGTCTCCAAGGGCTCTTAAGCGTCGCTGTAGCCGTCCGGTAGATTGTGATAGAGAAGAATCAATAGCCCGCAGGTGGTACCTTCGAAGCCCCGGCGGCTGATGCGGCTGATGCGATGTCGCCACAAAGTCTCCCGTAAGCGCCTATTAGTCATTGCCTTCGGCCAAGTTGCACGCTCAGGACTATTTGCACGTTACCGGGAATGAGTCTGCATTGTGCTTGCATTACTACAGGCTACTGATACCATGGTGCGGTATAATATAATGACATGTACAATTTCTCCCGACGAAACAATTCAGTAGAGGAGCAGGAATGTCCGACCTGTCCGCCTCCAGGTAACAGTGCCATACCAGAGAATGCAAAAACACAGCCATGATCGACACGATCGAACCATCGAGAACATGATACAACACTAGAGCCAAAGGAAAAAGGGATGCAGGTGCAAGTACGAGTGGGTCAACGTACGGCGAGTCGCGCACGGCAAGGAAGATCACTGGGACCGAGGAGGATTCCGGAAGCGGACGACGAGTACGGTGACGTTGTCCGTCGAATAATTGCGGTACGCGTGGTCGAGCAATTCGTCGGCGGCCTTCTTCGGGTCCGCGATAAACCGCGCAATGTCGACAGCGCCTTGGTCATCCACGACATCCCAGAGCTGCAAACAGACGTAAGAAGCGCCAGCGTCAACGAGAACGTCATGTCTCACCCCATCACATGCCAGGATCATGAACTCATCTTCCTCTGTGAGGTCCGTCTCGGTCGTGTATGGCGCGCCGACGACGTACTCCTTCATTGACGAATCGCCTAGGGAGCGAGTAACGGCGAGCACACCGTTAACGCGACCGCTCATGACAAAGCCGCCAGCGTCCATGATGCGTTTTGCTTCTTGCTTGTCGGTACCCTTGTGGTCGTACGTGAGGCGGACAGCCTTGCCGGCGCGGCACAGCACGCCACGCGCATCACCCGCGTTCGCACAGTAGAGCACGCGGCGCAGGCGGAGATCCGGGGTCGGGGTGTATATGCGCTCCTTGTCCTTCGCCGGCAGGGACTGTTGTGGTGAGGTTGGCGAAGCAGAGTCTGGTTGGGAGGCACGGCGATTGTGAGACGACGGGCCGAGGCTGCGTAGCGCATTCTTGAGCTTACTGCGTTTCGACTGCTTCGTCGACGTCGTGCTCTCTGGGCTCTCTTCGCCGCTCTCCGCGTCTCCCTCAATCATGTCTGCCGTCACGGCAAGCGGGTCGAAGCCAGTGGGGAGGAAGGACTGCTTGCCGTCTGCGTCTTCTAGACGCAGGAAGGCGGTGACGGCGGTACAGCCCGAATGCATCTTGCCTTCCGACTCTTCCGAGAGCTTCGTGAGATTGACGTCCACATCGTGGAACGTTTGGTTTAGTATATCTGGGATTGGATCTTGTGGAGACTGGCGCAAGGCATTGAGGAGACACTGGTGGTGCAGCCTGTGGTTGGTGGATGGAAATGGTGCAGAAGAACGCAAGATCGCACCAGGGAAAAATTCTGCCCACACCACTCTGCTGCATGCTTTCCTGCGTGCCCATCGAATATTGCGAAGAAGCCCTGCCCGTGGATGCCGGTGAAGGGGACGATTATGGAGTGGGCGTCTTCCATGAAACGTCTCGGACCCTTGGATTCGGTCACTGCGCACTTGAACGACAGCTGGTCGGGGAACACATCCTCTTCACGAGTACCGGTCACTACTTCTCTGTAAATAATCGATCAGGACCGGTGCAGAAATCGGGGTGAGGAGAACTCGCTGGGACACAGGCGGGACCGTGGGGTCTGTCGCCGAGCGGGGTTAGTTGAACACGTTGACGACGAAGACAAAGTACATACTGCTAGAGAGATCGATTGCTACAGGAGACATTTATTCCGGTAAATTTCGAGATGTGGTTCGAAGGAGGTGGTGGTCTTTGGTAGAGATGTTGGAGAGTGGAGCGTCGCTTGTCGGGGCTCGAGGCGCGGAGCACGCGTCATTTACTAGCTAACGCGTAGTCACGTGGGGTATTCCCAGCATTATTCATGGCCGACGTGTAAATGATCGGCGTGATGCGCTATATTATTCTGCGCGATATTCGCCAAGTCCTCAGAGCGATCTACAAGACAAGGATCCACGCAGTCGTGGCCTGAGGGCGGCATAAACTTTGTTGTTGTTGCGGTCGTGTGAACTGTAAGTCACGTGAGACACACCTCCGAGGACATACGCCATAATAAGCAATGGCATCAATATGATTTCGGCCCTGATTTCGCTCGCTTTTGCCCAACGCCGCGTCGTCAGCCGGCCTGAGAAGAGAGCGTCCCAGCTCGTCGAATGTATTTTCTGTCTGCGATGCGAGCAGACATGGCCCACACTGGAAACCGTAGCTGAGAGGTGCATAAAAGGAATATGGCGTAGAATCGATCAGGCGTCGGACGGTGCCGAGCTGTTGGAGGTTGCTGTCATACCTCACAGCGTTTACCCACTGACTCTCACTCTCCCCAGTCCACTCGTTCGAGCTCTTCGCAACCTGTGGATGTCTACACAACAAGCCGCTGCAAAGCCTTCGCTGCAAGGGGTCAGAATCAAAGCCAGAAAAGGCGCTGTCAAGGCCCACGCAAAGCACGAGCCCTCAGGTGGTTACAGCCTTCCGCTAGCCTGGTCATGCTCCCCCCTTTGCTGATCCTCCATCCAGTTTTTAGAGACCAACTTTACAAGTACCTCGAAACAGTCCAGCCAGGCGATTTTGACGGCTACTACAACAAACTAGTCGCAGCGGGTGGTCAGCTCGAACTCCTCAAGTATGCAGATGCCCTCTTCGAGATCCTCCTCGTTGGTGGCCTTCTCCAGCCCGGTGGCGGCTACCTCGACGATGGCGCCCCTCCTTCTCCGTTCTCCATCTTCAACTCCAAGGAGCCGGTGGAAGTGGCTGACGTGAAGAAATATGTTGACGTTCTCAACAAGCTTATCCGGCGGTGTGTACACTCCCTTGTCCGTGGTCGTGGCCCTTCCTGACAACCTGTGCAGGTACAAATACCTCCAGAAGCCCCTGGAAGAGTCTTCTCTTCCAGGATTGCTCCAGTACGTCAATCGATGGTCCGAAATCGAGCGCGAAAAGTTCGCCACTGCTATGGCGTTGATGGTCGCCCAAAGTCTCGCGACCGTGGCCCCGCTGCTCACCTTGACCAAGGACCACCTGGTTAAGAACGGCAAGTTCCTTCGTTGTCGGCATACAATTCTTGCTGACAGGCCATGCCCATTGTAGACCTGGCTATCAATACGATCACCCTGTTCTTTCGTGCATACCTCCAGGAGCAGTCCATCGACCACCTTGCGACTGCGCTCCGCAAGGGCGGCGTACGCGATTTGCTCCTATTCTTCCCCCCGAATCGCCGCTCGGACAAGATCCTCGACGAACACTTCCGCAACGCGGGCCTGCCCCAAGTTGCCGAGTGGTGGACGAAGCGCCAGTATGCGGCCCTCAAAGAGGGCGTCATCTCGACTCTCAAGGAGATGCTCGGGAACGGTGATGAATACGGCGATGTGGGCTCACTGTTTCTGCGCATATACTTAGTTACTTAGCTAACGGCATGCGCAGATCGTCACTGCCATCAAGACCAGGCAAGAGGAGCAGCCGCTTCCCGACGCAGAGCTCATCCAGTGCCTGTGGCAGGGCCTCATCTCCTCTATCGAGTGGAGTGCCCGCCAGGACCAGAACGAAGCTCTCGCTATCCGCGAGATTACGGTACGTCGTCCACCTTCGCCGACCATTCCAGCGCTTGCTAACTCGGGCACCCCAGAAATTCTCAACTATGCTCGAACCCTTCTGCAACGGACCCAAGACTGAAGTCGCATTAATTAACGCAGTGCAAGTGTATTCATATGAAGACACCCGTATCATCAAGGCATTCCCTCAGATTCTCAAGGTCGGTCCTTTCGCGTTGCAAGTACGTGGGAAGCACATACTGACGAGAGATCACGGCAGGTTTTGTACAATAAGGACTGTATCTCTGATCAGGCCATCATCTACTGGCATCAGAAGGGTTCGAAGTCGCAGGGCAGACAGCATTTCATCAACGCAACCGCCCCGCTTGTCAAGGTGAGCTTGAATCCCGGTTATCATCTGCACGGTGCTGAATACGTGCGCAGTTCCTACAGGAGCAAGAGAGCGACGAGGACGAAGATGAGGAGTGATCGCTGGAGCTTTTGATATAAACTACGCTGTGTTGTCTTGTAGCGTATATGCACGTGTATATTCGTAGACCAATTGAGTCTCTTGTCGTCTTTCGAACTGTCGCATAGCTGTGGTGCAAAAGCGATGTTGTTTGGCGTGGACACACCACGAGAAATCAACATCCTATTCGACTGATCAAATTACTAGTACACGATTCAACGCTAGCGGTACAGCGGCGGAGTGCAGTCAATAGTCCCGCTCGCACAGTTCACATAAAGACACCCGTGGACGTCATATATACTTTTCTCTTGATAGTCACCAGGCCTCTGGCATTGGCGGGAAATCTCCTGTCCAACCGTTGGTGTTAGCCATCTGCAGAAAGATACCATCGGAGCCATTGATGGGCAGGCCGAGATCGCTCAAGTTCTGTGACGATAGCTTCAGCAGCGAAAGGAGACGGGGGCGTAACTAGCACTGACTTGTTCCTGCAACCAGAGGGGGATCGCGCTCGGACTAAATACCTCGCCATTATTGCCGTTGGCCCAGGGGCCCACACCGAGCTCCTCCAGGGTGAACGGCTGTCCTGGGACGAGCGCCGGGTCCATGAACGACGGCACCATGAGCGCCGGATCCGTAGGCGGCGGCGGCGGGCCCATGACGCCGCCGGGGACCATGCCCATCTTGCGGCGGAGGTTCGCGAGCATGATGCGGAGTGTGAGCGCGTATCGTTCCGCCGCGACGTCCGAGAGCACCTGCGCGAGCTGCTCGACCTGGGCCGTGATCGCCCCGAGGTCGACCTCGGCGGGGAAGAGGTTTGCCATCTTGAGCAGGAAGAGGCCCGAGAAGGCCGCTGTCACGAGGCTGTCGTGCACCGCGTAGCGGAGCGCGGCGCGGTACGTCGGCGAGTTGAGCAAATTCGAAAGGCAGGCCGAGGCGGCGTCCTTGGCTTGAAAGGCGAGCTCACGCTGCTCGAAGGGCATCTTGTCCCATGAGACGCCGCGAAGCGCGACGCAGACAAGCCACAACTTCGCGTAGTAGAGCTCGCCAGCGAGGATCTTCCGCGGCAAAGCGTCTTCGTCCATCGTCTGCCGGTGCAGCTCGTCACAGTCTTGCCACCACTTGTCGAGGGCGACGTTGGCGCGTCGGATAAATGCCAAGGTGTTGTGGTTGACCTGGCCGTTGAGGGGTGATAGCGTCTCATAGATTTGTGCTGTACAGGTGATCAGCAACCTGGTTACCAGATGCACAACGACTGCTTACTCTTCTGCGCGATAAGCTCAACCTGCGAGATTAGCCGTACGTCTGTAGGCGATGCCATAGGATGGTTGAGAAGTATACGGCAATGACGGATGGAGGATTCGTCTCGTAGCACTATCGGCCTGCCGGTGCCCAGGCTCATTCTGAAGACGTGTCAACACCACTGCACACGCATAGCAGGGGAGCGTCTTACTGATGGTCAAACCAGTATAGACAGAGCCATATCCTCGCCGAAACGACTAAAGATAGACGTCAGTGATGTGCTGGAATAAATTGGTTGAGAAATATATACCAAGATCTCGTTCCTCCTCTTCTGTCCTCTTCTTGTTGCCTCCATCCTCAGCCAGCTTCTCGAGCGCACGATGTAAGCCAAGGTCAAGCGCCATGCGCATTGCATGTCCACTTGGGAGCCAGCCATTTGTGCTCCACGCGGCGAGAAGGAGCATGCCCTGGACAGCTTCCTTGCGAACGACAGGTCCGAAGAGCGTCGACCGCGCAATGCCCTGCGCTTCCTCGAGGCTGCGGTAAAAGCTGGAAGGAAGAAGGCCTGTACCCGCACGAATCTTCGCGGCGACAGCGAGGATGGCGTCGAATGTCCACGGAGTACGCTCGTTGAGGCCTTCGTAAGTGTCATATGACGGATCAAACAGTGGGATAAAGATGTGACAACCAGAAAAGAATCTATGCAGGGTCAGTACGCGAGCTGGACAGAGGGGACGGAAGCATACATGTGGTACAGCTCGCGGGCTTCAGTATCAGAGATGAGTCCTTTCTCGACGACGTGTGGGAAGGCATTACGTGGTGTTGGCTCGGCCTTCTTGCGCTTCTTCACCCTGCAGCAGTCCGATGAGCAGGTGCTCCTAACAAAGCCCACAGTGACATCGCCACGTACCTTGGTGGTGATGCAGAAGGAGCTGCTGCTGCTTCAGCAGCTGCATTTGCAAGTCCTTGAAGAGCTTCAATCGGAGCATTGAGTGCTGATCGAGGAAGCGTATCTTCCGATTCATCATCGGAAGACGGTGCAGTACTTGGGACGATGCCGTATGTGGCGTATTTGTGTGGCTAGATGGCATGTAAGGCATGGCATAGATAAGGAAAAGGCGGCTCGTGGGCGTACCGGAGGCGCGAAGCCCGGTAAGGGCGGGAAGACTTTGCCTGAACGTGGACTAGACGAGGCGTACATGTCTGATGTTCGTATAGGCGGGAGCGGCCCGCTCATGCTAGGCTCGCGATTGTTGTTGTACATGGGCGGAGGCTGCTGGACAGCAGCGAGGATTCGGTCTAGGGTCGACTGCATGCCGATCATCTGGCTCTGCATGACCTGAGGGCATTTCCATATCAGATCCGTTGCCACAGGAGATATCAGCAAGTCAAACTCACCAGATACTGGCCCTCGAGGCGGGAGAGCCTCCTGCCATAAGGTGGGTCAACATCCAGGTCAGCGGGTTTGGCCATGGTTGGGGTTCACGCACTCGATGCTGCCGTTTACCATCGGCTGGACATTTTTCTTCTCAGGTTTTTCAAAGATGCACGGTGTGCCGCTCAGCTGGCATCGTCGACAGGGAGCCTGTCAGTATGTCGAGGCGCGGTGCGGTGCGGGAGAGAGAGATGGGGTGGTGACCCGGGCCGGGCGGAGGGGCGGACCAGGCTCGTCAGTACAAGCACAGAAAGGCAGGAGCGGGCCCACTCACGTCTCCTTCGCACCGATTCTTGCCCTTCCTGCACGCCGTGCAGGCGCGCGCACCACGCTTGGGGATGTGCCCCGGCGGGATCAGCGGCTGCTGCGCTGGCAGCGGGGTCGAGGGCTGCGTCCGGTGCTGTGTGTCCTGGGAGAGCGATGGAGCGATAGCGCCTGGGCTGTGTAAGGTGGAGGCGTCACTGGTGCGGCGTCGCTTGCTGCTCTGCACGCTGTAGGTGCTGTCGGTCGGCGAGGTCGACATGTTGTGCGAGAGAGACACAACGGCCGATATCGCTCGCCACAATCGCGACCTTTTCCTATTCGAGCGCTTCCTCCCGCTAGTCGTGAGAAAGTGAGTTTATTGACCTTCATCAACGTCCCTGAGCACTTGACCTCCCCTCGGCCATCCGTTCACCCTCTCTTTCACACAGACTTTGAGACAGCAGCCAATGACCATCCGCGCTGCATGCACCACCCCACGTAACCATCATGGCCGTTTACACGGACCTGCTCCTCTTCTTGGGCAGAAGAGATCATGCTGTAGTGCGCAATTCTACCCTTGGTGCACGCATAGCTGACCGCACCAGTACTGCTCCGACTGCACACAAAGCGGATCCAAGCTTCGTAACGTTATCCTGCTGATAGCGTCTTCCTGTCTGGTTCTGCAATTCCTCAGGCTTCCATCTATTCATTCCTACGGATCGGCTTCCATGCTTGACACTGGCCGACGCTGGCCGACGCTGGGACCTTGAGACAGTCCTTCAACTCATCCAGTACTCAAGGACGTTGGGCGTTGCCTGACACATGTCTTCAATCTGCACAACCTGCACAGTCATCTGCCTTTGTATCGTCTTGGAGCCCGTGATGGTGCTGGGATCGCTCTGGCTCACAGTCCCCTCTGAACTGCCATTCTCTTCGCCCAGCTTGCCAAACTTGTGCCCTGCTAACCGCCACTGTTATGATATTGGGAACTGGACCCCTGGTTAAACAGATTAGACTGTACTCTATGCTGCTTCGTCTTTATCTCTTCCAGTCTTCCAGAGAAATCAGAAGTACAGACGGTTTAATCGCCGCGGACCAACCATGGCTGCTAGAACGAGGCTTGTGACTGCAACGATGTTCCGTCCGTATCGAAGGTCTGGATGGATTAGCAATATCTCAGGGTCTCCTCCGACTGTGCATGGGGCTCCTTGGGCCTTTACTCGTACCTGTGTATGCGAGCAAAAACTCGAGGCGTGTTTGTGAACATAGGCCACTCCCCCGTGTCGTCCTCACGGGATGCCCAGCCTCAAAGAAATGTAAGCGGCGAGCTCTCCCAAATGGTAGCGCTTCCTCCTGTTGGGGACGAGCACTCGGGTGCTTGTTCGGCTCCCCTTCTGCATGCAGCCACGACCCATTTTGCACATGTACATTCACGTCTCACAGCCTTTCCCTCGAACATCCAATACTAATAACTCAGTCGGCGTATATAATGGTAAGATACTGTGCGGTCTAGGTTCCAATCTGCTCATATGACTCGCAGGCACCGAGAGGCCTTTCAGCTGAAGAGAAGAGAGTGCGCTTGCTGGAGATTTTTCATGAAACGGTACGTGCTTTCAGCATGGCCTTGTTCCAAAAACAAGCTTAAAGCCGCGATGCAAACCAGAAAGACTTCTTTCAACTCAAGGAGCTGGAGAAGCTTGGTCCGAAGATGAAGGGCATCGGTTAGTTGTATCTGTCCGTCTCCGCACTCCAGGCACTGAAATTCCCTCAGTGTCTCAGTCTGTGAAAGAAGTTCTGCAATCTCTGGTTGATGATGGACTTGTTCAGGCCGACAAGATTGGATCGTCTAATTGTACGCTCGCTTGCGTTGGATGCGCATATACCCGCCGTGGATTGATTAATTGCGCGCATTTATGCAGTCTTCTGGAGCTTTCCGTCTCAGCGCGGAGCTATGGTAAGCTCACCGCTGCGTCTGTCTTGCCATAGCATTCACAACACTTTTCTGTTCATCAGATGCAGAATAGACTGACTGCTGCAAGAGATGTTCAAACAACGCACGAAGCGCAGCTCAAAGAAGTCCGAGCCGCAATTGAGGCAGAGAAAGCTGCAAGGCCCGAGAGTGTTTGTTTCGGTCATCAATATTCAGTGTTGCACTCTTAATAATTCGCTGTTAGCTTGAGCGAACGTCCACTCTGGCCCAACTCGCGTCACAGAAGCAGGAGCTCGAGGAGCTCGAGAAGGAGCTGGCTCAATACGGTCTCTGCGACCCAGCGAAAGTGGAAGAGAAAAAGCGCGCCCTTGTCCTCGCAAAAGAGGCTGCTGTACGCTGGACAGGTAGAGTTCTCCCGGTCGTAGCGTGTCGTTCCTTGCTTGCTGAACGTGCCCGGTCTTTTCAGATAACTATGGCATGCTTCTCTCGTATTTCACTAGACAGTATGGAGTGGATGCTGACGAAATCCGAAAGTATCTGGGTGTCGGCGATGATTATGAGGACATATGCTGATTCTGTTGTGCGTCTGATATCTTCTAAATCTTGCTGTCATCTTAATCCTGTGCTGTGCGATTGGTCGCAATGGGATCATGTGCAAGGTGCGATCACGTGCTATGACGTCACGCGCTCTGCCTGCAGGACGTCACAGGTCTCACATCTTCAACTACGCTCCTCAGCTCGTCATTGAGGGCGGTATCTCATAAATAGAGAGATGTTCCTCACGATTTCTCAACTTGAAATTCTCACTCTCATCACTCTGCACGCTCTCGACGGCTCACCACGATGTCAGATGAATCAGGCTCGTCCTTCAGTGCGACCTTCTTTGGCGCGCTTGAAGGCGCCGTTTCCGTACTTCTCACTCTCTTTGCAGGCTATGTCGTCGCTCGTAAAGGCGTAGTTGATCGCGAAACGGTCCACAAAGTGTCCAGCCTGTGTTCGACGCTTTTTCTCCCAATGCTCATCATCGCCGAAATGGGTCCCGAGCTCACCGCCTCGAAGATAAAGACGCTATGGATCCTCCCTGTTTGGGGCTTCGCGAGTACGGTAATTGCGCACCTCATTGGTTGGCTTGGCCAAAAGCTCTTCAAGACGCGCTCATGGGTCATCGTCGCTTGCGGACGTCCGAACAGCAGCGCATTACCCCTTCTTCTTCTCAAAGCCCTCAGCACCACCGGAGTGCTCGACCAGTTCTCCAACGGCGACGAAGATTCGAGCAAGCTGCTCAAGCGTGCACAATCCCTCATTCTTCTCAACGTCGTCGTCCAGCAGACCTTCACTTTTCAAATCGCACCATGGCTCATGAAGCAGGACCGCAAGGCGGAAGGGAAAAGCGGAAGCACAAGCGGAGATGTCGAACATGGGGAGTCCAGGCTGACACCGGCCTCTCCTAGTGTTCACGCTGGGAACATCAACCCGATCGTGCAGGATGGCGAGCGCGTGGGGTTGTTGAATGACCAGGACGGCAGGGATTACGGCACCCGCGGCGAGAGTTATTCGCATGCTATGGAGCTAATCGCTGACCAGCCTGACATTCACTGGCCTAAATTCCTCAACTTCCTCGAGAAGCCTATTAAGAAGACGTGGAAGATGATGAGCCCCCCATTGCTTGGCGCGATTGTTGCTCTGTTCATTGGGGTATGTCCCCGAGGCGTGATCCGTTCGCGTTATGAGGCTGACGCTCTGTGTTTTTAGCTAACTCCGCCTCTTCACAAAGCATTCTACGACGAGGACAGTCCGCTCCACAGCTCTATAACCCAAGCAGCTGACAATCTCGGAGAACTCTTGTACGTGCCCTCTGTCTACCTTCTCATACCGGAGAAACTGACACGTACTTTCATCACAGCGTATCTCTGCAAATGTTCATTGTCGGTTCGGAGCTCGCCCTAGTACCAAATGCCAACCCTGGCATCGCTGAAACCATATACTCACTTTTAACGCGCTTCATCATCATGCCCGGCACTAGCCTTCTATTTGTGTTCCTCACTGCTGGTCGCGGTTGGTACACCAACGATAAGCTAGTGTGGTGAGTCATCACTTGGTTTGTCTTTTGTTGGCATTGTACGAAGTGATGCTACCATAGGTTCTTGCTGGTGCTTATTCCTGCTGGTCCATCCGCGATGCTCCTCGCCAATATCGCAGAGCTCGTTCAAGTCGACATCGGCCCAGTCTCTGGATACCTCACAATATCGGTACGCTCCTCTTTGAGCTGAACGTGCTGTGCGCGAAAGCTGATGGTCTACCCAGTATTTCTTTTCGCCGCTTATGGCTGGTGTCTGTACACTGGCAGTCCTTGTCGTGGATGCAGCGGCCAAGCGCATCAAAGCAGACTGAGGATTCGTACACCCTGGTGACCATTGAAATTCTCGAGTCAAATTATAGCGCATTTGAGCCTTGACGGCGTTTTTCTCGCTATACGGGTCTCGTGACAAACACTCCATGCTATTGTATCTGTATGCATACGCGTCTCGATACACTCTCGGAGTATACAGATTTAATCAATGTAGGATATCCAGACACGGCATAGACGATGCTAAACGGATGTGATGCTAGAGAATAGTACTGTACTAGTATATATTATACTTGGATCGCTCCAGGATACAGTAGATTATCTCACAGTGCATAAAATCGAAAAGTCTTCGGGGAGTTGCGACCTTCGTCATCCCTTCCGAGACCTGACAGCTTTATGTCTATTGATACCTTTCACATATCTCGTGTGTTTTCAGGTACCTAAGTGAGAGCAGAGGCGGTGGAAAAAGCATCGTGAAACAGAAATCCGGGGGCGAGTTGGTTCGGATCAGACTCAGAAAACTCCCTCCGCGCAAAGTCATTCCGCCGCTGTCTGTCATATTATAGCGCCGCAGCCGGGCTCGTATCTCCTGCCACAGGCATCCATCTGAACATTTTCTGCAGGCTTTATTTTGTGGAAGATTTACCATCACTCCTCCGCCGAGAACCGGTCCAGTAGTAGTCGGTGATCTCAGGACATGATTGTCCCGCAGATTGTGAGCAGCCGCACCTATGGTACCGGTACTCCCTGGAATTATACCACTAATGCATTATACAGTCCGATCAAATGTCACTCTTGCGCTCGCTATGCGCATAATGGCGGAGCAGATAATAAAGCCGTCGAAAGAAGTAGCAGGGCTGCAGTCGAGAACTCAGTCCGCAGCGTCTGAAGACCTGCGGCACAGATCCCTGTTCATATAACACACGGAAGCTGTCCGCCTACTCGGAGATGTGCTGCGGAGGCGTGCTCGCGATACGTGTTGGGCAAGATAGTTTTTGGGTCGAGGTTCGAGTAGTCACCGGTCACGTACGGCTCATACAGTCAGCAACCTGTCCGGCATGTTCTTTCAGATGTTTGCTCCGGTGATACAAAAGTAGCGTTAGATCCCATTGGACAACTCAATGGCCGTAAGATCTAGTATTATAGGCGATCCCGGTGGTTAACCGCAATGCGTAGGGATATACAATGACGAAACCAATGGGAGGGATTAGCCGAGAAATTGTGAATAGGGTCCGCTTACGAATGAATGACATGGAAGGACGCGATAAGATCCGGAATTGAGGCCGAGCGAGGAAGGCAGGACGAGATGCGATAATGCAAAATATAGAACATGAGAATGATGCAGGAGCAGTGAACTATGGAAGAACAGACGTGGACTGAAATATGATATTGCGTGCAGGATGCGTTGGAGAGCAGGATCGCGAATGAACGAGCGTTGAGTCGAACCACCAGGAGGGTCCATGAGGCGTGGGTATCACCGGAGGAGATCGAGACGTTGGTCGTTCGATGGATATCGATAGGCGATGAAGTCAGGTTCCTGGTCGACGAGTTCCTCAATATTCTTGCGGGACATGACAGACATACGCGGGGCATGGCTGCTCGCAGAGATAGGGCTGGCGTAGCCGCTACCGGCAACGACATTTGGATCGCGAGAATCCCTGGAAGGCGACGTGCGGAAGCCAGAGAGATCAAGCGGATCGGCAACAGCGTCCTTGGTGTCGTTCGATTTCTTCCCGAACAACGTCGCCAAGCCAAATCTGCTCTTACGCTTCTTGGGCTTGTTGTCGGTGGCAGCAGATAGCGAACCCTGGCTGGCCTCTGCACATGGCCATTGACCAAAGGACAGGCGCGACGCACCAAACTCTCCATATTTCTCCTCTGCAAGGAACGGAGGAACGTTGAGCTGCCCTCTCGCCAGGGCATTTTTGATCGGAAGACTCTGGGAAGAAGGCTTTGAGCCAACGCCGCCGAAAGACTGCCTCCTTGTTTCCGCAGTGCGAAAGGGAGCTTGAGGAGGCGAGAGCCCAGGGTGGCCAGACCGTGGATCGTAGATAAACATTGTCTGGGGGCGACTCTCGGGCATGGGATGGCCGGGGAACTCGACACTGGACTCTCCAGGCAGAGGAGGCAAGCTCTTGTCTCGGCGCAGGGCAGCCGACATTGGTCCCGGCGACGACGGCATGGGAGGCGTGGTAGGCCCGGTCGTACTGGACAACGTCCATGAGCTGTGGGTGTTGCGACCACGCAACTCCGAGTCCGGCATAGAAGCGTCAAGGTTGCTGTCTTCCTGATCGGCCCCGTTTCGAAGGTCGCCACGATCCTTATCAGCAGATCGTCTGGACGAAGTTGGCGACGGCTGCAGGCTGGACGGAGCGGTGGGAGGTGACGCAGCATACGGCGACAACGTGTTCGGCGAGACAGTAGATGGCAGCGAAGTCGTCGAGCTGTGTCGTCGAGCTGACCCGCCTTGCGAGACAAGATATGATAGGGGCGGTGGTGGAGCCAGGGGGGTATCATCGTCTGTTCTATCCAATGAACGCGAGTGCGTCCGGAGATTGTGTTGAGTGTCACTTTTGCTCGAAGATCCGGTGACAAGTCTCCAGATCTTTTTAAGTCCCCGAGTCCTCTTATTGGGCCGCCGCGATCGAGCAGGCTCGGGCGCCTCCGGCTTTGTGTCAATGCGCGGCCATGACTCGCCCTGACGCGACGTTGGAGCATTGCTCACGATGTTCACGGCGTCTGGGCTGGGGTACTGCGGCGCAAATTGCGCCTCCCGTTGTAGGGCAACGCTAACAAATGGTGAGAATCTGAGAACGAGGTCCGTGGAGTGAGACGTACTGCATATCCATCATGCTACCAGACAGCGCAAAACTCTCTTGACTCCGCCAGCCTGACGGACTGAGATTCCTGAGACCGAAGAATCTCGAGCGCCTAGGAGATGTCGCTGAACCATTGCTTTGCATGTCGGAAAATGAGGCTTGCGACTGTGCCCGCAGCAGAGTCAGCGGCAGGTCGCCACCAGTCATGATACTGCTCGGTCTCTGCGATAATGACTGCGAGTACCGCGAGTCGTTCCTGACCCCCGAGAAGAAGCCACTGTCGGTGGGTAGAGGGGTCTGCAGAGAGTACACCGACGTAGCATCCGCACGCGAGGCTTTCGAGGTCTTTCTGACACGGCTTCGTTCCCGTCTCTCTTCCCTTTTGCGACGCTCACGTTCCTCCCGTTCTTCCTTCCGAACGTCAACATGTTCTACAATCATGCCATTCTCTAGAAGCGTAGCTTCCCGGCCGTGGGTCAGGAGGGCATTCGGAGTTGAGACAGTACGAGGAGCTTTGATACGGATCCCGCCCGAGTCGTCCGTTGGCTGAGCAGCGCTACCGAGCTCATATGCAGAACGACGTAGCTGAGAGTAGGCGTCACGCATCTTATCATCTAGATGGCGAGACTCTCGCATGGCGCGGGCGTGTGCCAGGGCCTCCGCCTCGAGGAGCGCCCTTTGTGACTTGACGTACTGATCAAGTGTCTGTTGGCGGGATGACGGCTCCTTGGGATTCTTGAGACAAATGTCAGACGACTTTCACGTAGGTAATCACAGTGGCAACGTACGATGCTAATCCACAGCTTCAGGTTCTCTTCCGTGAGTTTCATGCCTCTCGCCCGTGGCCTCAACGAGTTTTCTGGATGCGGATTGCCAGTAGCCTCCTCTGCCAGCTCTCTCCGCAACAACTCTTCGTAATCCACATCACTATCCCGCCTCCAGACGCCCGAACTCGTAACGTCGACGTCGACCATATCTTCGTCGCGCATAGCGCACTCGACACATACCTCCTCCTTCGGCGGAACTTGTCGTTGAGCGTAGACCGGGTTGATGGGGTTTGGGGGCGAGGAAGGTGTGATGTAGGTGGGCTGTTGCGCAAACGCTCTGTGCTTGGGAGATATGGGGATAGCCATGGCCGCAGAGCTGTATGATGGACCGGCAGACATAGGGACGATGGGTGGAGCGGCGCCAACAACGTTCGCACCCACGCCTGCAGGCGGAGGCAGCGAGGGGTGCTTAGGGCTCGAGGAGACGTATTGACCGCCCCGGTACTGATCTAGGCCGGAGATTCGCTGTCCCATGTCCGGATTCTGTGAAGGAGACGGTCCTTCGAACGTGGCAAATACCCGTTCTCGGGCACCTGGATCGTTGTTCAAGGAGAGGCGTGGCTCGTCTGACGGGAGGTAGGGGCTGCCGGAGGGAGAGCTTCTGTGAACGCCAGCGCCGTCAGGCAGACGGCTCCCTACCGCCTGGTATTGGTCGGCGTCTTGTTGTCTCTGATATTTGTTCTGCAGCTGATGGCTTGGATCCTCTGTGAGCTTGTCCGCTACCCACGCTTGGTCAAAGCCGGTTAGCGTAATGCCCGTGGGTGCTTCGAAGTCGATCCAGCTGGCGCGTGATGCATCCGTCCTGGTAGTCTCAGGCCGACGTTGAGAGAAGGACGAGCTCGGACGGTGCTTGGAAGAGGATGAGGAGACGGTGGGGTAGCGTGTGTCCTGAAACTCGACGTCGGCAACAGAGAGGCGGCGAGAGTAAGAATCCAAGCCCATGGATGAAATGTTATCAGGGGGCAACGGGAGTGCAGCAGCCATCTCGTGAACAGACGTCAGAGATTACGATAGCGACTGCTAGAGAAGGTCCCCGGATTGCGAATACGGGTCCTCAAAGAGCTGGGAAATGAGAGAGAACGTGGTATGCGGAAGTAAACTGAAAGAAATCCCAGGGAATCAGACAGGGTCGTTGTCGTCAGAGAGAAGCGGGCCTCGTGGTGTTGAAATGAGACGATGGACCTCGTGGGAGGACGTGCGGAGGCCGACGAGGAAGACAGCGACCGACACGAACGAGAGAAACGAAGTGAGGAAGACGACGGCAAGAGCAAGAGCAGCTCTCGACGGAGAATGGTTGCTGTGTCCTTGAACGGTCAGGCCCGCCCGTATATTGCTGCTGTTCAAATTCCGGCAACCTCCGGACCGCCTTGTCTCGGCGTCCTGGAGACGATAAATCGCTAATATATTCCTGAGAGCCGCAGAGCGGCCTTTGTAAATCTCAAAGGCGACAAGGAGGAAAGAGAGCCTGAGCTCGAGCGAGCACAGGACTTACGGCACTTTGGCGGAAATTAGTACTGGCACGTCGGGTGCGGGGCAGCTTCCCACGCTCGCACCAGACCGACCCGGCCGGGCGGCGCGACCTTGCGCCGGTCGTGCCCGGATGCACCCAATGAGAGCTCCCGGCTTTGAACTGGACCTGCTCGTCGTTGAGCAAAGTCAACGACTCCCTGCCTTTCACTTCCACTATCATGTCGCTCGCTGTCTTTAGAAATACTAGTGCGCTTCTCCTCGATTTGTTGCGCGACTCTCGTTAATTCCTCGCAGTCTCTTCTACTGCACGACGTGCAGCTTTCCGACCCCAGGTGGGGGTAGCGGGTAAGCTTTCAAGCTTGAGGCGTGTGGAAGACGAGTGTTGAGGGTGCAAGCAACATTTGTAGCAGCTCGCTCAATACACAATTCCAAGCAAGCGAATGCGGAGATACCCACTTCCTCGACCACATCCTCCACCGAACCTATCACACATATTGCCAAGCTAAATTCGAATCAGCTGAGCCTCGAGACGCCACAGAACAAGGCTGGTACGTGTCAGATATTTAGGACTTTTTCTCCCCACTCATTCATTTCTTTCGCAATACAGAGTATGTTCTCTCGACGATGGACAAGATCGCGAACTGGGCAAGGCAGGGTTCCATGTGGCCGATGACCTTTGGTGTGTAGCGTACATATCCAAGTACAAGCTCATGAGTGGTCTCACATTCGCTCCTCAGGTCTTGCGTGCTGTGCGGTGGAGATGATGCACATGGCCGCCGCTCGTTACGACCAGGACCGTCTCGGCGTCGTCTTCCGTGCCAGTCCACGGCAGTCCGATATCATGATTGTCGCGGGTACCCTCACGAACAAGATGGCTCCCGCCCTCCGCACTGTCTACGACCAGATGCCCGAGCCCCGCTGGGTCATCTCCATGGGGTCGTGTGCGAACGGTGGTGGATACTATCATTACTCGTACTCGGTCGTTCGCGGATGTGACCGCATTGTTCCCGTCGATATTTACGTTCCTGGTTGTCCACCCACCGCAGAGGCGCTGCTGTATGGTATGCTCCAACTTCAGCGTAAGATGAGGAAAAACCGGAAGAGCGTCCTCTGGTGAGTATCCATCGTTCTCCGACGTGTGAACGTAAGGATTCCTGATCGTCTTTCAGGTACCGCAAGTAGTTACCGGCGTTTTCTGGGCCAGTACTTCGTGAAACCAGACTTGTATTTAGGACTCGGACAAAACTATCGTTTAATGCCGACGTGCATAGTGCCTGATGAGATTCAGACACTGGGACCTGGGGCGGTAGGTCTGATTTGTTCACTATCTTGACTAAAATCGCTAGTGTCAAACGCGTTTCGTACCATGTTAAACGGTGCAAGGTCAGATATTTGGAATCGGAGCAATATTGTCATTCTTTGATGATATAAGAAACGTAAGGTTTGGCACCCCGTCTGTCCCACTCTAAGCTGTCGCCCGCTCAGTGGTCTATTCAACACCAGTCAACAATGCAACACCGTCGTCTCTTCGACTCGAACCCCAGAATCTTCCAGGGCCAAGCATTCTCAACGACACAGAATAGACGTGGTCCATCCTGCGACAGTCTTGATGGTCACCCGAGTTAGACATGCCTATCTCTTGATCTTCTTGTTTGACCACGCACCTCATCTTGTATCTCCTGATCACTGACTGAGACAGAAGCCCGAGCGATGTCAAGGCGGGCAGATCCTCGCAGCATGGAATGTGGTCAGGAACGGTGATGGTCTCAGTAAGCGGTAACGACGCGCTTGACAGTAGGTCGACTCCTGAAGCGGAGGGAAGAAGGGCAAGAACGAGGACGGCAATGAAGTTCATCTGTGACGGTAGGTCAATCAAGGACGCTTCTTGAGAGAACTTGTACTGACTGTGCGTTCTGCAGGGTGTCTTCAGTGCGGTTTGGTTTGTGTTTCGCTAACAGAGATCCGAGTCCTTAAATCCTCGGGGAACACTCTGAGAGCAAACGTGGCACACCTTCGAATTCACACCTTCTGTATCTCGCAATGACGCATACCAGGTACTCAGAGGCGGATATCAAGCTCGCAAGAACATGCCCTTCGTGGGTCAGCATCGCAAAATATACCCGCATCCGTAGGTGCTCCTGTGACTACGCTCAGAGTTTCGCTTCCGCTCGGAGTTTCGCTTCCGCTCGGAGTACCGTGCGGTGCGGACTCAGCTGCACGCCCTAGGTACCTACATTGACAGCGATGTGTGGGGCGTCCAAGACATAAGGAGGCACCACCGTGAGTAACGATCCCGCATAACCGGGAACAGTGCTGAGAACATATCAAATATCACAGTCAAACTCGGGTAAGTTTACTTTTCCAGAGGTTACGAGGCCACTGGGCAACGGTCTTGCGCTTCTATCGGCCTTTACCATTCCTTCTGTCCGCCATGGCCGTGCATCCCGCTGAATTGCTCCAGGGCGAAGACTATGGAGTCAAGCATAGCCTTATACTAGGCTCACAATCAGTGTATAATGATCAGCATGAAGAGCATGTTCGACATGGGCGTGAGCTTGAGCTTGAGCCTAAGCTTGCGCCATGTGCATACGGAGTAATAAAGGCATTCCAGTGGTAGGCTGTGGGTCGCGTCAGGAGTGGCAGCGAAGCAGAGATGGTTGCGATCGGCGAGCTCGGCCACGCTCTCTCTATCAAGCTCAAGCTTGGCCAGATCAACCTAGCAGAGGCAACGAAGAGAAGTTGCGCGAACTGTCGGGAAGAATCCCGGGATGGCAAGCGCCACGCCTTATCGGGACTTCTGGTGCGGATTCATGCGCTATGCCGGCAGCGCTAAAAGCCTCGCTATCTGCTTAGAGGCACCTCTAACAGGCAAGACTTACACTGAATCTCTTGACTTAATACTACGCTCGACTATCTTTGCGTCTGCGGCGCCGGCTCAAGCGCGAGGTACTAGCGTTTCAGTTAGCGAGAACATGTAAACCAAGCTCATAAGCTCAGACGATGACCGGATACAATTGATGCTTTCCCTGTTCCTTCTGACAATCAGGCTTCCTCTCGTACCAGCTTAGTTTGGCATGCTCTGCAAGGAAGCAGGACCCTTGATATGTTTTCTCCGAATGACGACTACCTACGAAGAAACTAGGGTCTCTTCGTAAGTAGTGCCGCGTCTCGTGCACATGTGTTGTGTTTGTCGGCAGTGAGCGTTTGAACGCTGATGCTATTTTGCAGCCAGGTGCAAGAGCGGCCTGATATCGGACCCCGTGAAGACAGCAACCGGTGGAAGTCGGGGAGGAGTAGGTGCGTACGTTGACTCGGTTGTTCTGGCCGAATAACCTTCGCAGGAGCTACAGCCTCTATATAACTGCAGAGTACATTATGTCCTGCCCCTCAATCCTCCCAGGATCAATCGGAATCCCGAGGTGTGTTCCCAGCAGATTATTTAATAGACTGCGAAGTCACTCATTTCCGGTTGCTGCAGATGCGCTTGGTTCTGGGCCTTTGTATTGGCCTTGTCGCGCTGACCGCTCTGCCCAGCACTATCTGCGGCACGGAGACCAGGTCGTGTGAAGGCAACCTACTTCTCGAACCGTCCACTGAAGCTGGCTCACCGCCCGCCGCATCAGGCAGCCGTGACTCCAAGGGTTCATTAAGAACGGTGCGTCATAGGTGACAAGCCTTGGTATCCAGGCTATCCAATCACTCAACACAGGGCATTCCCGATGCCGAAAATTCGTGGAATCGGACACCGGGGGAAGAAAGCCTCATAAGCAGCATCCACAGCGTTCGTGGGATGCACTGTTTAGCCGTAGCATTGGTGTACGTACTACGTATGCGCAGGCTGGCCCGTCCAACGGGTTCCAATGCACTTGGGTTTGCTTGATTCCATTCCTGCCTGTCTGTAAGATGATGATCCGACCAATATTGAAACCGTGGCTGGTGAGTGCCGTCATAGCACATATGATGCTGAGGGGGCTCACATAGCGTGATAGCAAATTTTCGGGGGATGGGGTCTGGTAGTAGGCGCTATCATTTTCGTCTGAGCGAACGTGGGCTCACAGCTCCGCTCTTTGGTGCTCAGGTCGTAGGGCTTTGGGCAAGCTTTGGGCAATCGCCGAGACACGGCCGTTCAGGCCTGTACAGCTGTAACTTTGATCATCGTAGCACCTCTCGTCGCCTCGTACGTATCGGCCAGTCTCACTTTGCTTTCCGCTCACTGTCTCGCCCGGCACTACACAGCGGTGTATCAGCGGCTGCTCTTGTAACGCGAGGCGGGACTTGTCACGGGCGGGGTAAAGTCGACCCGGGAGGTCCGCCCGCGCTACTCCAACAATATGAATGGACATGATGTCACAGGCGGTCTGAGGAATTGTGTTTCGTGCAGGTGGCACCATCTCGGTAACCTACGCTGACATCACGAGAAAACCGTGGGAGACGGGCCCGACGGCGCCCTATATAACCACAAGCTTCCGCTGCAACGTGTTTCCCCAGATCCGTCAACGACGCCCCTGCATACCCACATACACCACCTCTTTACGACTTTTACGACTCCAAATCACATACTTGCACCATGGTGTGTGATATCGATGCGTACATACAAATGAAGATGCTAACCAACGTGTTCTCCAGGGAGCTATCTTCTCTGCAATTGGCGGTGCCATCAACGCAATCATCTCTGCGATTGCGAGTGTCTTAATGATCATTGTCTCCGTCATCGTAACAGTACGTCCCTGCCGCTAGTGTTCATCGTGGATGTACGCTCACGCGCACATTTCTAGATCATCGTTACGATCTTCGACGTCATTTTCGATATCCTCTGCTGCAACTGCTTCGGTGGACGAACGCGTCGGACCGGAACACACAGATACAAATTTGGAGGGCGTGGAGGAGGAACATCGGCCGCATACTAGACGTGGGCTGGCCGTTGTGGCTGGAGAAGCACGATGAGCTTTGATTTATGACTTGTTATGACGCCCGTCTGGTAGCGTTCCTGCGACCGAGAAGACACGATATCCTACTGTTCTGTATAATTCGTCGCCTTATGACACACGTTGAACGTCATTCGTAAGCTCTTGAGGTCTGTCATCTGCACCTGTACAAGGACGAGTTCATGAGGTGCCGTCAGAGTCTAGTACACAGACAGCACAATGTAATTTCGGGTTTGATTGAAGTTGAGAGATCATGAAGTTCGTTCATGAAGCTCGCAAACATCCAGCCAGGTAGTCACTTAACCAGAGCGGTATATCTGCGGCTCCTACTTCGACTCCTCCGCCAACGCCCACATATAATACACAGCTAGGCTGCGGAATGGCCGCCATTGTGCTGTCAATTCTTCCATCTCCTGCGGCGTGATGAAGGCACCCTTGATCTTCGTCTTCTTCTCAAGCCGCGTTTTGAGCTGACTCACGGTCAGGCCCTTCGGCAAGGGCGGGATGTCCATCGTGGACGGAACAGCGTTCAATGTCTTCTTGATCGAGGGCGTGAAGGGCGTCGGCAGCATGTTGTCGTTGTCGCTGTCGCTGTCCTTCGCAGCGGCCTTCGTCTTCCTCTTCTTCGTCGGCGCCTTTGGGATCAACTCCTCGGGCGTTGCTGGTGCCGGAGGTGCGGAAGATGCATCCGGAACAGCTTGGCTTGTTTCAGCAAGGCTTGGAAGAACATCTGGGTCTGCACTCTGGGAGTCGGCTGAAGGATCCTCGTCGGGGCGAGGAAGCTTCTTTGGTGAGATGGTCAGATTATAGTCCGGCGAGTGGAGAGAAAGGAACCAGCGAAGGATACCACGCTGAACGCCAAGGTCGCCTGAGGCACAACTATCAGGAGATGTAATAGGACAGGATGGCGTGCTCATACCAACTGGCAGAATATCCGGCCTCCTCAAAGAGAAGATGGCAAACATATCGACCGTCCACTACGCATGGTTAGTCACGCGGTTGCGATAGTAACGACTAATCCTCACTCTTCCGATGCCGCGGACAGCGGTGAGTAGTTCGTAAAGCTCTTCGTCCTCGGCTTCGAGCAGCTTTTCCGTAGACAGACGTCCGTCTGCGAATCGCGCCGCCAGGTCAAGAACTGCGACACCCGGTCAGAAAATACGGCAATGCTGTCAAGATGGGTTAACGCACTGTACTCGGCCTTACGTTGACTGAGACCGGCCGTCCGTAGAGTGGGAATGTCCATCTGTATGACTTGATGAGCGGTCGGGAAGAACGTATCAGGCCTGTAGTCGATGAGACATAAGCGCATAAGCACTAGGATCACAAAGATGCAGGATGTACCGCTTACCCATGATGGTCGGTAGGTTTCTCGGGCAACGAAGGATCGAATAACCGTATGAACTTGTGCGTTATGGACCGTGCTGCGAGCCAAGAGATCTGTTGGCCTCTGGGCGCAGAACGTGAAGCGTCAATCTTGGCTTCAAAGTCACAAGATATTAATTCATCACTTACAAAATTGAATGGGTCAAGGTTCTTGTGGCAGGAGGGATCAGACTTTCAAGTCATGACAGTGTTGGCACCGAACGTACCTGAAAGGGTCTACTCTCTCTAAGTGCTCAAACGGCCGGCACTTCAAACGACTGAATATGTCCTCAAAGCGCGGGTCGACGCCAATTAGATGGCTTTTTGCCACCTCAAACGAGAAGGTGAGCTCAGCGGGGACAAGCTCCTCGGCTCCGCCGCTGGCCGCGACGGGTTGGACATGCTTCGCGGGCGGTTTCGGCGCAGGAGGCTGGGGAACAGCTTCGTCGGCATCTTTGTCCGCTGCACGAGCCTTCTTCCTGCTGCTCGCTTTGGACGGCGCCTTGCGCTTTGACGTCTTGGTCTCCTCCGCAGGCGCGTCGGTCCGCGTTGCCTCCGGAGTCTCCGCGATGCGCAGGTCATGGATCGCTTGTGCCGCGATGCGCGAAGCCGAACGAGTGACAGGCATCCTAGAGGCTGCCGCTGCGCGCAAAGTGGCCGTGGAGAAGAAAGACGACCTGAGCATGTAGAAGCGTCGTTGGAGTCATGGCTTTATATTGACAACGGCGGCTCCGCGTCCTGACTAAGTAACGCGTCGGCGCTCGCTGACGCGACCCGTCGGGGTCGGGAATTGGCGCGTGCCGCGTGGCACCAGGCGGTGAACTTTGATGGACTCGCACGGCGTAGCCGGCGGAAACAGCAGGGCATGACGAGAACAGCTACGTAAGAATGATGCGCCCTTCCGAATACGGACTTCGGGAAGCGTCGGGGATCGTTTGGCTTCCCCCTCCGTGACTTGCAACGAGGATGCCTGTGGAGCTTCAAAGCGATATGCGAGTAGCTGCTGTGATAACTGCAGCAGCCATGAAAGTGGTCGCCACCTCAACGCACGGGCCGACATATCTCCGCGCGGTAGCATAGCAGCCTGGCAGGCTGGTGGCAAATGTCCACCAGAGGGACAAGCGGCTCATCCGAGCTCGTCCGTGGTCGCACATCGCTTGAACAAAGCTGCCAAGCCCGTGCGGCAATCTGCGCCCTGGGCGTTCTGCACCTTGCCATGTCACAGCCTCGCCCTTGAAGCTGATGGCACGCTGATGGCATTAAAGACATCCTACATACGGCTTCTGGCCCTCCCTCTCCCGGGCCCACATCGCTCTTGGTCTGCAGTCAGTCGTCATGGATTGCCTCCCCTTCGGGGTCATCGTCCTTGTCCTCGCGTTGGTGCAGAGCGCGTGTGCGCAAATATCAGGTGCACAATGCCTGGCGGGGTTTGAATGGGTAAGTCACTCCAGTACAGCCTCCCGTGTCCTGTGCTGAGTGTTCCTCAGACATTCAACTCCAGGAACCAGAGCCCATGCCAGATAGCAGCTTATCTTGATTCTGCATGCCAGGCAGATCCCACAGGTACATTGATCTCCTTATTGGGGTTCTAGTCGGATGATTCGTCCCTAATTTGCGGTGACTTAGATGCATATATCGCGCCCTTGGATACTGGTTCTCATTATGTTCTGACCCAAACCGCCGCAAATGACTGCTCCTGCAACACCGTAACTTATTCCATAATCTCGGCATGTGCTTTGTGTCAGGGAGACGATTCCGTTCCGTGCGTAGCATCCTCACTCATCTTTCTGTTGTCTAACCTTTTTTTTAGCTGGACAACATGGAACACGAATTGTACGAGGTCATTCGTTGAACAGTGAGTAATCTTGGTGGCCTACCTGCGCACGGCCCTTGACTATCATCCACAGATTTCCCCTTACGATCCCTGTTGGAACTGCCACTCCTGCATGGGCATACATGGATGTTGCGCTGGGCTCGTGGAATGCTACCGACGCTGAAGCCTTCAAAGCAAATAATAACACGGAATTCATCGCCTCAATAGCATCCACGATGCCGTCCTCTAGTGTGCCGTCCTCAACCTCAACCTCAGCTTCGTCTTCGAGCGCTGTTATTCCTACCCCGTCTACGATCGACGCCACTGTCCCAAGGTCCTCGACAAAGAAGAATCACGTTGGACCAATTGTCGGCGGGGTTGTCGGAGGTGTCGCCTGTGTTGTGCTTGCCGTACTTGCGCTCGCCCTATGGTTGCGACGCCGAAAAGCGCAAAGACGACCGCCGTCTGCCGCATTCCGAACCCCTGCGCCCTTGGTAACAACACCATACACACCAGACTCCCCGGATAAGCACTTTTCAAACAGCATCATTGCCTCACCGTATTCTGCTACATCTGCAGGAATGTTATATGTGAGTACGCAAAGTGCCAAGCTGTTCCTGTGAGATCTGATTGTGCTCTGCTGTAGAACCCGGATGACCCTACGACCTACCCGGATACGCATTTATACAGCCCAAATTTACGCGATTCTGTCATATTCTCCGCCCAGAATGGTTATCAACCGGCTGGCATACGATATACGGGCGTCGCAGAACTGGAGTTTCATCATTGAACCTCCATCATCGGCGCTAAAAAAATCCCGCTATTCGTCTCCTGCATACAGACATTCCCTCGTAATATTATTGTCCGTTCTGTATAAACAGATAATTGTATTCGTACGCATATCCGCCTCCGGCGTCGAGATTTTCCCTCGTTTGGATTAGTGGGCCGACGACGCCACAAAGTCGCCAGATCGGGTCCGGGTACGACCTCGGAGCGCCAGGGCGTCTCACCTTGACCTCCCGCCCTCCAGCAACAGAGGTCTCTTCGTCTTCAAAGCGCACACGCTCTCAATCGTTTGTGAAATGCCATCAAGGCTTGCAGATGAGACCAGAAATTTAGTGTCTGAAGCTTTTGGAGTGCATGGCATTGGCGATAGGAGGTGAGTTTTCACTTATTGTATGACGCGTCGTGCTCATCGCACCCGCTGGACCTTCGCAAAGAATATCTCAAAGTAATGTGTAACGCAACGCCTCAGCATGTTAACGCGTTGAAATACTTTACAGCCCTGTTTTCTCGAGAGAAAGCTCCAAATAAGCGTCGCAAGCCCGAGAATCTCAACTCGCGCTTCGATCGCATGATTCACACTGTCAACGTTATCCACGCCCCTAACTCAGAACGCGAACCTAAGCGTCGAAGAAGGGGATCTTCTACAAGTGGCTCGTCATCGCTCACTGGTTGGGAAACCCCGAAGACCCCAATGAATGCATATAGCGAGCTCGAGTGCGGGCGGCTTGGCCCTGAGTTTTCTGTCGCCAAAATGAAGGGCAAACCAAAGTATGACACTCTCGAGGATCCAGAACTTCATTTCTTCAGGTCAAACCACGCAGAAGATGTGGAAGACGTACCAATGTGGCTCTCAAACACAGTCGCTACTTTGCAGTCTAATCACCCCCTGCGCGACCTCATACCTGCTTCATCGGAAGCGCATATACCTCGTCAAACTGCTTCTACGCAACACGAAGACGATGGCTCACTACCTGGACATTCTGTGCATTCGCCTTCAGGTCATGTTGCCGCAGACGACGATATTTTCGTCTTTCGTCCACCTACTGCGCAGCCCCAGCTACCTGCCCCCGAGGAACAAGTTTCGTTCCCCGTTTCGTTCCTCGTTCCTAATGTTTCCAAATCCCCTGAATTGGATGCTGAAGATGCATATCTTCCCGGATTTGGGGACGCTGGATGGTCTGGACGCTTTTGCTCGCCTGCTCACTCTCTTGCTCGCCCATCCGCTCGCTCACCTGCTTCGCTTCCCATGGATCATAATCTCCATGTCTCTAGAGAAGGGACCACAAGCTATGACCTCATTTCTGCACCACCAGTGCACCCTCAGTCTGCTGCTTTCTACCGGCCCTTGATTGAGGAGGTCGGCGGGCCCGCCGCATACCCGCTGCCCTTCTCCGAACCCGGCCCTCTCGCTCGACCTCGCGGTCTCTCTGCTACTTCTCTTTCATCTCCAATCAGAGAGCCTTTATCGCCTGTCTTAGATCTGGCACTGCCGACCCACGAAAATATACCCTTGCCCTTTTCGATCCCTGGTCCGCTTGCCCCTACACCGGCCCCGCAGAATATATTTGCTCCGAAGAGTGTCCTTGCGGCTTCTCACACGCGTTCATCCTCGCCATCCGCCTCCGGCATTGTACAACACCAACGCTCAAACATCTCCGCTGCTGTATATTCACGGCCTGGCGCACTGTCGGACTTGAGCCTTCCTCCATCTGACCCCGAACCTTTGTCTTCTCCGCCATCTAGAACTCAGAATCTGCTGCAGACTCGCCACAGTGCAGCCCAGAACAGCAGCGTTCCTCGGCATCCTTTCTCAACTCCTGGACCTGCTGCTCGAATATACTTCGACTCTCCAGCTGAAGACCCTATCGGCTCTGACCCCCTGGGTCCTGAAGACTATGAGCTCCGTCTGGACTACGAGGAACTAGACTTTCGCTGGAAAAGGTTTGATCGCGGTACTCCGTTGACTACTCTCGCCGACCACGGAGACCACGAAGACCAATATCATGTCGAGCAAATCAACGCGTCAGGCTCGGACTATCCCCTGCTCAGCAACTTTGAAAGAAAGGCAGCTTCGATAGCGACGACGGATGAAGACTCCTTGGCGGAAGACTGCATACAGGATGGTAACGTTGACAACGCAGTCGATCTGGTACCTGGCTCGCCTGCCGTTCATGAAGTACCTGAGCGCCCAAAGGCCGCAGAAGACCGCTCACATGCCTATGCTTCTGCCCCAACAGCCAGATCTGAATGTGTTCTGAAAGACCCGCGTATTGAACGTCCGGCTTTTGCGCCGGCTCCGGGTATCTATATCTCCCCCTTACGTACTTCAAGTAAGGGAGCCGAGAGCGCAGACGAATATTCTCGTGCAAACGTGCGCGCATCATCCACTACTGAAGATGCCTTAGACGAGGAGCACGAGGTGAGTCAGGTGCTGAATAAGAATCTGGGCTATTCATGTTATTTCAGATTCTTGAGTTTTCTTTGCCGAGGACTCCAACAAGAGCGGCCACTGGCGGGGCAGTTCAAACGACTCCGCGCAAGAATAGAGCGCAACGTTCCATCTCTATTCCGCCAATAGCCGTACTACCTCGCACACCGAGCAGAGAAAGCGTAAAAGATCCCGAACCGCCGTCGCTATCCCAGGTGTCGAATGATACTATCGAGTCCTGGAGTGCACCTTGAAATTAAGTCGCGTACCCCGTGTGTTGTTCGGAGTGAGACCATACCTGTTAGCAGCTCCAGAGGCAAGAACGTGTGAATGTACATTGACTCGAGATTTTCAGACAGATATGAGCCTGAACTTGTGATGCAGACAAGAATCACGCGAGGTATACACGCCGTCGAACCTAAGTAAAGAGGGAGCGCTTCGGAGCTAGCGTGCGGCGCCATGTTCGCGTGCTCCTGCCGGTGTCGTCACGCACATCAAGCCTTAAGGCCTCTCCTTCTCCTTCTGCTCTCTGAGACAACAGGGACGGTGGAGTGCCCGAAAGTTCCTCGCTTCATGTAAATGGAGAAACCAGCCTTGGACCAGCCGCGCAAGCCGTGTGTTGAATTCGGGCCGCCTAAAACTCTCAGAGACTGTGTTCGGTGCGTCATCTCAACATGGGATGCGAATAAGAGGTTCAAAAAGTCTATGGCTGACCAATGCCCTTTGACAGACACTTCACACCAGCATGGTTTACTGTTATTATGGGTGAGTGAGGGCCGCGACACCGCTTCAAACCCTTTTTTCAGAAGATGCGACGTAAAGAGCGAATAGTTGCTTACTACTTTGGTTCGCCAGGTACCGGGTCTGTTTCCATCCTGTGGCACAATTATCCATATCTCAATGATTCCGCGACGTTCAAAATTTTTACACTCATATTTTTCTTCCTCAACCTCTCGCTGTTCATGATCTTCACTGCGCTCACGATCGCGCGGTACATACTCTTTCCCGACATCTGGGGCATCATGATACGGCACCCCGTCCAAAGTCTTTACGTCGGAGGCTACCCAATGGGCGCCACCACACTTATCAACATCGCCGTTGGCGAAATAAACCAGCAGTACGGGCTCGGCGGCAAGGGTTTCTTGTACACCGTTTGGGCGTTCTGGTGGGCAGACGTTGTACTCTCGTTCATTTGTGCATTCGCCATCATCCATGTTATGTAAGATGACGCCCTTTCTATTCTTTTCGTATGGTGTTTGATTCGTTCCTTTAGGAAGACGCGTCAAGATCATGCCCTCAGCCGGATGACTGCCATCTGGGTTCTGCCCGTCGTAACGCTTATTGTCGCATCCTCAACCGGGGGCATCCTTGCTTCAGCACTTGTTCAATACTCCCAATACTACGCACTCATCACGCTTACCCTCTCGGTCTTCATGGTTTCGGTCGGCCTTGCGCTTGCCATGATGATCCTCACCGCGTACCTCCTGCGACTCATCCTCTACGGCATACCACAGGGGGGAAGTGTCATCAGCACTTTCGTCCCTCTTGGACCCATGGCACAGGGAGGATACAGTATCCTGCTACTCGGACAAGGCTTCCGGAGTGTCCTGCCTCTGCAGAATAAATCGCAGGTCCTGACGAGCAGCACCACCGGCGACATCATCAACGTCATTTGTGTCGTCATCGCCTTCATTCTGTGGTCTCTGGCTACAATGTGGCTGCTCTACGCTTTTCTCGCAGTACAAGAGGTGTTGCGTCAGGGTTTATTCCCGTTCAAGCTTCCCATCTGGGGAATGGTTTTCCCTAATGTAAGTTTGCATTTAGCATCATAAGAGTGCAGGTTCACTGTATTCTTCAGGGTGTATACGCCAACGTGACCATTCAATTGTACCGCGAGCTCGACATCAACTCCATGCGCGTCTGGGGAGCAATTTACTCGCTCGTGGTATTAATCGTTTGGGCTGCAGTCTTCGTGAAAACGCTCACCATGCTCCGGAGCGGAGAAATCTTTGAGTCGCCCTGCATTGAGGAAATTGACATGAGCAAGGATACCGCGGACTCAGACTTGGAGGCGGGAGATATCAGCATGCAGCAGGATTTGACAGGCGACGCAGAGGCTACGGTCGGCGTAGGAATTAGGAATGCAACTGCACAGTGGAGCGGTATCACACTTAGTACAGTGTCCACGCAGTAATCCCTCCGAAGAATGTCAGTTGTCCGGATCTTTAATCGTTGCTATAAAGCTCAGGAACCGCTATCGTGCTTTGGTGTACGAGGGATTCGGACGTCGTCCGCTCGGACTTCACGAGAAGGATACGCCGATGATGAATTCAGCGAATGGGGTGCCTCACCAACAGTACGGTAATATTAGGTCTCGTCTGGCTGGCTCACGCACTATGATTCTTTTGATTATAAAAAAACTATCTCGGCAAGGTAATGCTTGAAATCGTGATCTCAACATTAATCGCAGCGTGAAATCGGTCTGTTTTTCTTCTTTCTTTTGTCCTCCAAGCTGTCTCGTCCACAGGGGTGTCGTCCTAGCACGGTCGATCGAGCTATCAATGAACTAAATACCACTTATAATATATATGCATAGTCCTGGCACGGAGGGAAGGATTGCCGTACCTGGACGCTTGGACAATACGCCTAGGCCTGCTGCTTTGATCACTGTAGATTCCAATTGGCTTAGTGGCGTATTTGTTATGTTCAATATCTCTATGTGTAGACAATGTTCCGCAATTCCATTTACACGAGTCAAATCAAGTGGCCAATCCTGACGCAGTTAGTCCGGCGCATGAGACGCCTGTGTTCGAACTGGGAGTGTGTCACGTGCTCCAATACGTGCGACGGAAGGCTGCTGCTCCCTTCCGAGTCGCCGACCACACCAATCACCGCCTCTGCGGCTCAAACCCATCGTTGGGACAATTCAGCTTCCAACAAAAAACGACCCGCTGCTTACATAATGTATGCTTTCCATGAATCCACTCACCGTGCGGTATTCGGTTACTGTCGCGTGACCGTATGCTACTTGACAAAGCAGGGACGCTTTCGCTGACGCGAGCCGATGTTTCGTCTAGGTAGAAGTTTTCGCACATCCACAAGATACTTCAGCACACTCACTAACCTCGCTATGTTTGCGAAAAGCGCTGTTTTACAGCGCTGTTGCTCCCGATCGATCGCGTGCTGGTTGGCGCAATTTTGCGCGATCTGTCCTCGAGTCCGTCGTTTTGGTCCGAGATTGCGAGCATAGGCCCGATGGCGACTCTGGGAGGCTTGTTGACGTGTCGTAACCTTCGTTTATTCCCCGAAAACCTAATAGCTTTTTTCCGTTCCAAGGCAGCGACTTATCGGCACCTATATAAAGCCTGGTGCTCGTTCCATTCTTCACTGCAGCAGCTCACACAGCACACGACACCCACCCAGAGACATCTGCCTGCATTGTACTTGTCTCGTGCAATGGCTGCTGCAGTTGCATCGCGATTGGCCCCACCGGAGCTGCACGCAAAGCCTGGGGCCCTTGCCCCCAGCGATTTGGCAATGTCCCGGCGTCGGCAGATCCAGGCACCCATCTCAACAACGCCTCAAGATGTGCTGCAGCCCGATGCTCACAACGAGCATGATCCCCACCGGCTCCCTGACTTTGACGAAATGGGTCTTGCGGCTCCGCCACACCCCATCTTATACCTCCCGCCACTGCTCTCAAAGCTTCCCGAGGGCTATTCGCATTACCACGAGCCCTCTGGAAGATTCAAGCCGTTGTCCACTGAGACACACCTCCCAGATATTGACTCTGTCAGTCTGTCGCTGCATAAGGCTTTGCACAAGTTCCATCCAGTAACAGACGAGTACGCGGAGACGCCTTACGAGGAAGCATTCAACTGGAGCGAGCTCGAGCTTCCGGAAAATGCCGAGCGTGAATGGTACGCGGTTTCATTCCGCAGCAAGCGGAAAGAGGGCAGCGATGGTGGACGTATGTAACATCGTCCGCGTTGTCGCCCACGACACTCTCAGCTTACATGCGCCTACCAGCATTGTATGAGGCTGACAAACAGGCTCACGAAGAGGCCGTGCGGAACGGAGGTGTAAGCCCACGTTTCGTGTTTACGCAAGCCATGTGTGGCTGACCTAAGGGATTAGCTCATCCTCTATTGGTACGGCATTCCCCATCCCAAGACAGGACTCAACCTGGCGACGTGCATCTGGCAGTCTCGCGCACATGCTATTGCCGCGCATTCAGGCCCACATCACATCTCTGCGATGCGGCTAGCTGCAGCATCGTATGAGCGGTACGAGCTGCGCCGCTATCGTATAAGCAAGGTCAAGGGAGAGCGTGCGCTCTCCGTGGAGCCATACGACGGCGGGGATGTCGGCTGGTAGAGTTAGTGGGAGGGGGTTCATCCAGCTACAGATTCGGGATCTGTTTTCGATGCTGTGCTCATTCATCGCTCTGCACCGCTGCTCTGGCCTCTTAGTGCTAATGGGATATATAACCACCATCCACGTAACCGTATTAGATGCTCCAATTCCATACCCATATTATCACGTCTAGTAGAGGCCAAACGTCGCAATTCTTGGCAAATTTTCCGCTATAGCAGATTGCGATAGTGGCCAACGAGCTGTCTACATTTGTCGTCGTCTATCTCACGTCTCAGGGTTTGAAGCATGGAACTGTTGAAGCACGGAACTGATGTGTAAGTTACATAACGACTGTGGGTAAGCGGCGAGCGGCGTTTGTTGAACCCTTTCCTCGCAATCAGGTCGCGTCCGCCATCAGAGACTATTGCCACAAGGTTACTACCCCCTATTATAGCAAGGGTTGTCCTTCCATTCTTTCCGCGACCGTCACTTGCCAGATCTTCCAACATACGGTAAGCATCGAACCCTTGAATTGAATTCATAGCATGCACCACTTTCGCTTGACATAACATATCACTGATGATCCACTTACACATGGAAATGAACTGCGCTATTTCCCATGGCTGTAGTAACAGTGTTTGACTCGAAAACCCAACCCTAGATCAACCATTCAACCACCACCATCGTCCACCTTGAGGTGGTCCGCACCAACGTAAGTGTGAAAGTGACCCGTTCATGCACCGTTCCATGCAAGGGTTGCTCAGTTCCTGCTCGGATAAGTAGGATGAAACGCTCTGGCGCCGCATTCCGAGGCCGGTATAGGGCGGTCACAAGAGGACGGAAAACACTAGCGGAGGCTCAAGATGTACCTCAGAGCGTCCATGTTCCTGTGCTACCTCAGGAACTCATCGATGTTATCCTCTCATTTCTGGACAATGACCGAGAGACGCTTCGGGAGTGCTCCCTCGTTTCCCGTGCCTGGGCGCACTCTACCTCCGCACACCTTTTCAAACGTCGGCGCTGGCCCAAGTGCGAGCATCACTGGAGCAGGAAGCGCACCGTCTCGCACTGCAGCTGCGCGTCCGATCTCCGCGTAGCCCGCGGCGCGCTCGTGTTGCTGGGGACGTTCTTCGAGGGCTCCGCGCGCGTATGCAACGCCGTGCGTGACCTCCGCTTCAGCTTTACTCTCATCCAGTTGAACAAGGCGCCTATGGGGGTTCTCGTCTTGGACGTACTGCTCGATGTCTTGGCGCTCCTGCCGAACCTCCGCAGTGTCTTCATTTCGAATATCAACGGGCACAGCGCTGCGGAGAAAGACAGGTCCACTGGGCGCGCAACGCGCAAGCTAAAGAAGCTGGAGATCGAGAACGCGCTCCATCTCGACCAGTACGCGCTTGCAAGCATCGTTGGGTTTTTTGCCTCTGTCGAGGAGGTGGTGATCAGAAGGGCCGAGGTGTCGCTTCCGGAGGATCCGCCACACTACCCTGCGATTGGTGAAGAACGGACGCAGGTCAGCGCTCTGACGTTTGACCGTTGTCGAGCGTCGAGCGTCGGGAAATACCTCGATGCTCTCACTATCGTCATCATCATGTCTTCGTTGGCGCACCTGTCCATCAGCCGGCCAGTGGGCACCGGGTATAGCCAAAGCCTCTTGCCCTTCCTCGACCTCGCGCCGCAGCTCGACGCGTTCTTATACGACTGCGACGTCTCGCTGCCACCCTTACCCACGGCGAGTTCAAGTCGCCCTGGCGAAATCAGCCGGCACGTGGCAGAACTGCTCGCCCACTGCTCCGCGAGGGCAGTGACGCTGGTGCTGGTCGTACAGCACTCGGCGCAGCCTGACGTTCTCGACGACCTCCGAAACTCGCTGCGCGATTTGGACTGGGCCCCGATAGATGCAGCAGCAGCGAATGCAGAGCGTCTGGAGAAGGTTCGCCTTAGGTATGGAGCTGGGATCGAGCGGGCTCACGAGGAGCCGCTGGACGAAAGTCCGATTTCGATTCTCAAGACCAAGCTGTCCCCGAAGGTGTTTGGTCTATTGAGACTGTGACTCTCTTGAAGCTTACCTCGGTATCTCTTACCGTGTCGGAATCGCCTTCATGCCGTCCAATTATATCAGAATTGAGACAGGCACTTCGTATTACTCATGTAAAAGCGGTAGCATTACTGTGGTAAGGGTATCGTTGCGATTATTCTAAGCGTACCACCATAATGTGTGCTGCAGCATCTATGCCATAATCAGCTCAGTTTTGTGCATGCGAAGGTGAAGACAGCCATATTAAGCACGGATGCTCTTGCTACTATATGCTACGAGATAATAAAAATCAATAAAACTTAGATCGGCGGTGGAGTCGGTCGGTCATGCCACGGTGGCGAAGTAGGCTGCCACCACTCTCATATACACGCACGGCTGCGATGTCCCAGTACGCATCCGCGAATGAGGCAGGGTTGTTGTTAACGAAGTCTGCCCTGCACTTTCAGCGCATTCACATACATCGCAGAAAAAACCAGCCACGTACCAACACAGTCTCCCGGGCAGCCCGCACCCGAATAGACCGAGGCGATTCCTGCCCAATCGCCACCTGTAGAAGTTATGAGTAGCGTTACCACAACAGGAAAGGGAGCACCTACAGAAAGTCAGGTTAATGATGATATTATTGGCGTCGAATTGTGAATCGATGTCGCAGTCGGTGTTGGGGAAGAACGCAGTGGGAGTGCCCTAGCAAAACCGATTAGCCTTTGACACGCACCATAAACATGCACGACGATAAAGCACCCAGTGATCGGTGTCAACAAGGAGCGCACCGCTCGAGACGTCGAATGGTGTGGCCCTGTTCCGTGGGAAGAACCACACACTGATGAAGTCGTTCGTGCGCTCCATGGCGTACCACCCACCGCCGATGGCATTCAGGGGAGGACCGTAGCTATCTGCAGTCGGTGCATGGGCGCCACAGCCACTGTTGTTGTCAGTGTTGACATCGCAGTCGAGGGCCGTCGGGGTACCGGTCTCGGTGCGGTTGGCAGGCATGGAGCAGTTCGAGCCTGTATGCAGGGTCATCGAGTTCGGAGTCACATCGTTAACACCTTCGATCCTACCAAATGAAGCAAGTCAAAACTTGGAGGGCTCGAAGGATTTTGAGAAGCTCACTGTAGCGTACGACAAGGCGGATATGCGAGAAAAGGTTGCGGCGATGTTCAATTCCCGTATCGTCAAAACATCGCGAACAAAATGGAGACTTACGATGTCAACTTCGCCACCATTTGGCCAATTGGGCACGTCACTTTCCCAAAAAGCGGGCCACGTCGAACAGCCTTGTGGCATGTGGCGGACGTCAATGCTGTTATACGGGTAAGAAGCACAGATACGGATAACGTAGGCTGTGTACTCACATGACAACATGCGTCGTGTAAGCCTTCACGCTTTGAATCCGCACGCTGTCTCGACCAGGACCATTCGGATCGAGCACAGTGGTGTCGTCCGCTCTCAGGATGAGGGAGTCGTCCGACACGAATGTCAAGTTCTTGGCGAGAGCAGTCGCTTGGTCAACGTAGTTCCTACAGAGCGATTCAGCACACCACCTCAGTTAGCAACAACTGTCGAGACTTACACTCTGCCGTTAGTGGGGTCGGGGATGGCTTGGTGCTGCCACGCTGCGAGGAAGGCAGCGCCGACGTAGCAGTCACTGAGGGCATAAGTGGCTGCGAGAGCTTGAGAGACGCATGAGGCGAGGATAGCAAAGCTTGTCGCGTGCATGGCCGTGGAGCTCTGCAGAGAGAGTGAGGGTATCAGGGCCGAAAATTGCCTGTATATCATCTATCACGCCCCGCACTTATACCCCCCGACGGGCGCAAAACCAGTCATGCCGTTCGCTAGCCATGAGACAGCATCAGTCGATGGCACGAAATCATTAGCGAGCATCATAAAATTCAGGGCAGCCGGGTTGCAACCGGGTACATTCTACGAGAAGTCAGGGATCCCGCCCAATCCCGCCAAACGATGCGCACATTCGCAAGGGCCCTACTCTCGTACACGAGCGAGTGACTACGTTGCTTCCTGTTGCGAGGTAGTGAGACATAACACCGCAAGTGACGTACGGCGCACGACAGCCATGGAAGATGCATGTCTGTTTTCGGTCCAAATCATGCTAGGGTATCGACGAATTGTGACAAAGGAAGGTTAGTGGCAGAGAGGCGCGGGGAGAACGCCGCTTCGGATGCACCGGTGGGTGACGAGGATCTGTGAGTAGTACTCGTTATATTTTACAGCTGAATCTAATGGAAATCAGTGTAGATGTATGTCAGGAGGAGATATAACTCAAAAGAGGCACGACATTACGAATCGTCTATAGCTTGATGGAACACGGAGCGCCCACGAGCGTCCGAAGACATCGCGCGCCTGCTCAGTGGCAGACGCCGACACCCGTGCGCGGCTTGGAGGATCTCGTCGCATATGGTGACTTACTTGATTAACGGCAGCCTTGCTGGTGGCATAAAAATCGTATTTATACGCTGCGGGGATTTTAGTCGGACGGCAGCCTACTTTGCTTGTATGATACCTACTTGGCGGCACCTGCATAACCGCCGCCTATACGTATCTGGGGACCGTTTCCCTGACGAGCATCAGTGCTGGCAAACGTGCACGAGGGATCGTTGGTCCCTGATTCCAGCCCGACCCACGTACAAGAAATTGTACTGTAGGGCAACATCCCGGCCAAGAGTTTAGCAGCCCTCCATAGACCGACCGCTGCAGTCGTTTGTACAACCGGTCTATTCAGCATGGAGGTTCGTCATCACACGCTTTACTGCTTTCAAATGAGTACTCTATAAAAGCATGTGCATAACTCCTCACCTGTATTTTCACATGTAAGAAAAGCGCGATCTCGATTATCGTCGTGGCGTTCGAGCCCATCATACTTCGGGTTCACACCTCCGCAAGCCCCGGGCAGCAAGCTACAACTGGACAATTGTCAGCACTCCCCGGAGTACTGCAAGAGTAGAAATAGTCCAGATATCCTATTTCTGTGTACATACTGTCCTCAGAGATCGTTGACACCACGAACAGGCGTCTTGAACCACATTCTGCCCTTCTCATCCTTCGGCGGCAGTCGCCCGCCACGAATGTTGACCTGCAGCGACGGATGCAACAGGCGGGGCGCGCTGAGGGTAGCATCGCGCTGGCGGCGCCACGCTACGAAGTCGTCTTCGTCCTTCGTCTCCCAGCGCTTGCGATGTTCTGCGACGGTCGCGCCCGTCGTCGGAGCCCGTCCTGGGGGCGGCGGGTAGTCATGCCCCACAAAGAGCAGGGCGTCTTGCGGGAACGAGATCAAGCGCTGCATCGACTGGGTGGTATTGTTAGCTCTGGGACAGGGTCCGGTCAGGAAAGGGCTGATCTTACCTTGTACAGGTCCTTTGCGTCGCCGCCGGGGAAGTCTGCGCGTGCAGAGCCGATATCGGGCTACGGTAGCCAACGCGTTAGCGGCGAGCTGGTGGAAAGCGGCGCGCTACGCACGTTAAAGATGGAGTCTCCGGTGAATATGGCCTTGCCAAAGACGTAGCCGATATGGTCCGGCGTGTGACCGGGCAAGTGCACGACCTTGCAGGTGAACTTGCCGAGCTTGAACTCCTCGTCGTCCCGGAAGTACACGTCGAAGGCGCTCTCGAGGAGCTGCGGGTTATCGAAGCCGTACACAGGCCCAAAAAGGTTCTGGACCTGCGTAATGCGCACACCGATACCAATAGAGACACTGCCACCCAGGTGGCGCTTTAGATACTGCGACGACGTGAGGTGATCGGCGTGCGCATGCGTCTCACTGGTGATGCCTCAGCCAGGACGTGCAGCAATTCAGATAAGGTACGCACAGGATGCGCGTTACTTTGAGATCATTTTGCTTGATGAATGCGAGCAGTTTGTCAGCTGACAGTGTAGAGACAGCCCCAGATGCAGGATTATAGTCAAGAACGGGGTCAAGGATGGCCGCTTCTGACGTTTCTGGGTCCACGATCACGTACTGCCATGTGCCGGTGACATTCTCGAAGAATGAATGAATGGCAGGTGTCTCATTGGCAGCTGGTTGATACATGTCTGGCTGGACGAAAAACTGTTCATGCGTGTACTTTGCTTCTAAAGCCGCAGCCGTGGTGGCCAGCCTGCGAGATACGAGCTGCTAAGAGACGGCAGGAGGAGTCGATGTGTGCAGAGATATCTTGGTGGTGGAGATAGAAGTACGGAAGCCGCGTACGGCAGAGGAAGGGGCTGAAAAGCGAGACCGACGTGCAGCGATACGCAGCGCGGACATGTGTAGGTGCCGTTGGAACAACGTCGCACAGCTCGCCATCTTCGCTATATACTAGCCGCCACAGGGAGAAGTCTGGATTCTGGCACCGTCTGTGGTAAGGACACAGCAGGTCAATCCGAATTCTAACACGTCTGTAGTAAGCACGCAGCAGGTCAATCCGAATGAGTACAGCCTCACATTCAGGGGGGTGTCACAGCTGACTGCCCCAACGTTTGCTGTCCGAATTGCCTTTCCGAATTGAAGCTGGCAGATGCCCAGAGTTTTCGAAACACAGCGGAGTGAAAAGCCTCCACCAGGTGGACATGAGCATGTGTGACAAGTCTTGGTGAGCGTTCAGTGAGAGATTCGGAAGGGTCGATTCGGAATTGGAAGACGTGAATTCGGAATTCGGCTGTGACAGAGATCCGACATGGTGGGAGCGCGGCAGCGGCGTTCGATGGAGTATATACGATATTGTGAACGTTCAGAGCGAGTCCCGGTGAGTGAAACTGTGGGTGCCAGTGGGCGCGGTCCATGTTGGTCTGTAATACCAATTCGCAATGGCGACGGGAATGGCGAGATAGGGCGCTTGAATAGCGGCTTCCCATCAAAATCATTTTTGAGGTATTCGGAATTGATATCGGCGCTACGATGTGGATGCAAGCTCCGGAGCCAATCACCGTGCGGCGGAGCTCGTCGGCCATCAGCGCAAGAGGCGTATTGTGGGAACTTCACTCTGATCATTCCGAATTCGCCTGCGGGTCAGCGGTCATGGGAGCCTCAGGGTGAAGTCAATCGCCCACCCAGACCAGGATCAACGGTATAAAACAACCTGCGAGGTGATTATAACCTACCATCCAGGAATCCTCCTCGTCCTCACCACCGATCACCCTGCCCTCACCGAGTTTGTTCTCAGTCATGGCACCTCTCATGCTGCCGTACTCGCAGTGGAAGCCGTGGAGAGAGCGTATAAGGTATATACAGCCTTCTGCTCATCATAGCACACACTGCACCGGATTCGTACTCACTGACATACGTCCGTAGGCACTTTAGCTGGTCATGGCACGCCGTGATCATGGGTACTGGAATCACCTCTGCCATCGTCCACCTCTTCCCATATAATAACGACAGCCTCGCACTAAAAATCGTCGCCCTCGTCATCTTCTTCCTCAACCTTGTTCTGTTTGTTTTCGTCTGCACATGTACTGTGTTGCGTTATCTCTGGTTCCCAGAGGTGAGCTATCCGTTTAAACACTCTCGGCCCAGCCGGCGGCGTATGTGGCGCTACTTGGCCGAGAGCACGGTGCTCTTGGAGAGCCTTCGCATGCTGATCCTCTTTAAGGTCTGGTCTATGATGATGTCGCACCCTGCACAAAGCCTGTTTATAGGCTGCTTCCCCATGGGTGCCGCGACACTCATTAACTCAGGTCTAGTGAGTCTCACCCATGCTTGCTGCATCTTACGCTTGCTCACTGTGCTTCTGCAGAATATTCACAACGACTGGCATTCGGGCGGGACAGGCACGAATAGCTTTCTATGGGCTCTCTGGGGCTTCTGGTGGCTCGACTCGATCTGCTCCTACGTGATCGCCTTCGGCATGATTTACGCGATGATGGTTCGCCAGGACCACGCCATCTCCAAAATGACCGCCGTCTGGCTCTTGCCCGTCGTCACTCTCATAGTCGCGTCCTCGACCGGCGGCCTCATTGCGAACGTCATCCGTGACGAGTCCCGCACACTCGCCCTCGTCACGACAGGCTTCTCCTTCGTCATGGTCCTCATCGGCCTCTCCTTCGCCCTCATGATCATCTGCATCTACCTCGTCCGCCTCATCACTGCCGGCCCCCCGGACGCCGGCCTCATCCTCTCCGCCTTCATCGTCCTCGGGCCGCTCGGCCAGGGCGGCTTCTCGCTCCTGCAGAACGGCATGGCCATGTCCGAGCTGCTCCCGCTGCACATCGGCGACACGTTCCCGATGCTGCAGCTCGCGGGCCAGATGATCTTCGCGGGCTGCTTCCTCGGCGCGTACGCGCTCTGGAGCATGGGCCTCGCCTGGATCCTGCTCGCGCTCATCTCGATCGCGCACGTCGCACGCACGCAGGGCCGGCTCGCGTTCTCGATGGCGTACTGGGGCCTCATCTTCCCGAACGGGACGTTCGCCCTCCTCTCGCTGCAGCTCGCGCGCGTGCTCGACAGCCCGTTCTTCCGCGCCTTCGGTGCCGCCTGGGCCTGCGTCGTCTTCACGCTCTGGCTCACGGTCTTCGTCCGGAGCATCCCGTCGTTCATCGACGGGTCGATGTTCAAGGCGCCCTACGTCATCGACGGCCCTACCCCGAAGGAGATCCCCCAGTTCGACATCGAGCAGCAGCAACAGCCGGCACAGCGGTCGTCGAGTACACTCAGCTCCAGTTCCGAACAGGCGCAGCAAGTGGAAAAAATGGCACAGGAGCGTCCGCTCTGAGGAGACCAGCTCTTTGTCTCGCTTTCCGTGGAGGGACTGCATCATATTAGATACCCTATCACTCGACTTGCATGATTTCATAACGACCTGCTACGGCTCGCATTTGTATAATCATAGACACTTATTTATTTGCGCTGATACTTGTTTTAACACATCTCAGGATCATCTTTTTACGACCATCTTTTTCACGCTGTCATACAATACCAAGTTGGATCCACCATATGAATGACCAATAGCTTATCTCTATTGAGAACACACATGTGCCGAGCGGTACAGTATTCATGGCGCTTCTGCGGAATATACACACTGTAACTCCTTGACCAAACCCCAGAGAGCAGGCCAGGGTCGCGGCACACGACACTGGCACCGCGATAATAATATACAAGGCAAATACAAGTCCATGAAGCATGGCGTTTCACAACTCTGCAGCACCAGTGTACCCTCCCGGCTGGTTGAATCGACCCGACATGCTGGAGTCGTCATGTCCGTAGTTATATCCCATTGTCGGAGGCCCATGCGCACCCGGGAACGTAGAGGGATCGTCAGGATTCTGCAGCAGAGTACGCATCAGAATACTTGCGCACAATGGCGAGAACGACACTCACGTAAAGCTTCGAGACTGAGCCTACCGCAGCTGGTCCTGTTGACATCGGACCAGGCGACACGGGAGGCGAGAACGAGCCTACGAGCGTCGGCTCGACCTCGCTCATGTTGTTGCGTACCGCAGGGCGTCTCTGCCTCCGCAAGTAGTACACAATCGCTGCCGCGATTAGACAGGCGCCGACCACGCCGCCGACCACGCCGCCAGCGATGGCTCCGGTGTTGGACTTCTTCGACGAACCGGGGGACGCAGCAGGCAAGGCGGATGGTTGTAAGGATGTAGAGCTGGAGGAAGAGGCTTTCGCGGACGAAGCAGAGCTCGAAGCGGATAAGGACGTGGTTGGTGCAGTTCCGACGATCATGGTGCTGTTGATCTGGCTGTAAGCCTTGGCAGCCGTCACATTGAAATCGTCCTCGAACGAGATGTCCAGGTATGCCCATGCAGGGACGGAGGTACCAAGGGGTATGTTTTCAGGGTATCCTGCGACTGTGACTTGGCTGCTAGTGCAATTGGTAATGTAGCCTGACCACCTGAAGTACCATAGGCGCTCAGAAACCAGCAGACAGCTTCAAAGATGAACTTACGGCGCTAAACTCCCGTTTTGACATAGAGCACACGCACTGATCGTATTGTAGTATACCATACTGCAGGTGCAGTCGTCTGGCTTAGTGGGCTGTACGTAGAAGTACGAAGGGCCGGGCAACGCGTCGACAAATGCATCTGGAGCACAAAGGTGAATATTGATCGCTTCGCCGAATGCCCGACATACCAGTGGGATCTGCAAGACACGCCGACCGAAGGTAGGCCGTGATGAGACAGATATCTTGTTGTCGATCGTTGCCCGCCTGGAGAACGTTGAGTGTGTGGAGGAGGAACGACGGGGTTGCATACTCACCCAGTTGAAGCTCGCAGAGCAGTTGGTATCGGTGCCTTGCGACGAGACCCCGCATACCAGCACCAGCACCACACACAACACTCCGAGCAGGCTGGATCGTACGGCAACCATGGGGGAGGTCGAGGTCAAGGGTACACCTGGAGATGTCGGAGTTTGCGCAGCGATGCGCAGGTACCCGACGCCGTCTTATAATGCCTCGGGTTGAGTTCATCAACCCTGGATATTAGCGGGATGTAGGCTGTGACTTGGCATGCTGCAAGGAAGCCAACTAGCGGCACGCATAGACTGGCGGAGATCAGCTGCATCCTAGGAATGTGACGATCCGTCAGCAATCTGCACCGCCATTTTACCATGTTGAGCAGGAGGGAGGGTCACATCTATCAAATGTCATATATCACCGTACAGCCCCGTGCCTGTTCCTCCCACCCCGCAACCTTCGTAGCGTGTGACCTGAGATTAGGGTTCAAAGCCGCCCAATTTCCCACGAGAAATCACTTCGCCGGCCAATGCGGCTAGCATTCAAAACCTCGAAGCTCCTCTCCTTCGGAATAGGTTAGAGCCTATTGAACGTTTAGTTTTGACATTGGGATGAGCAGTGTTCTAGCGGGCGCTCTAGGGCCGACCTACATCCGGAGTGATCGCGCCTCGCCCAGCATGCCGCCTTGTGGCGCAGTCCAAGGATGACATTCTGGTCCCTGGAAGACACCGTCCGAGTCTTGACCGCGTTTGGACGCGTAGAAATGCTGACATATTAATATATTTCTGCAGAAAATTCGCATAAAAGGCGTTTTCTAGCGCACGTGTAGCGCCATGTAGCGTAAGCCAAGCTCGCCATTGATGGGCGGCATGACGAACGGCGTCCATCCGCTAAGCTCTGCCCGGAGGTGAGTAGCTGGCGAGCTGTGTGTACTCATCGTATCTTTCCTGTATTGTTCTATTAGCTACCATGCATCGGAAGAGTGGTGCAATCCGCGTACCGTTGCTTATACGCTGGGTCTCAGCTCGCGACGATCGCAGGCTGCGACATTGGGCAAGACGGGATCAACGTCCACATCACGCTTCTGACGCTATGCGTAGACCCGGTTACAAGAAAACCTAGAGCTGACGTTGCTGGTTGGGCCACGCACGCCATGACCCAGTCCGTTGGCGACAGTTAGTCGCCTTCGCGGCTCAGTTTCGATACGCCTGTTGGGCCTTGTAGGGCCGGGTGTATCACTGACGGCACAGCCAGCAACGTAGCATTACAGAGCGCGCCATCTTCGTGGCGTGGTAGATGTGCGAGCAATCCTGTTCTTGAGAGATTGTCGTGTTGCCCATGCCTTGCCGCCCTATACGGCCGCCTCTCACGATCCGAATGTATGTATAGAACGTATGCCACATACCTAGTGCCCAGTTACCATTGTTATGGAAGTGCTGGAGCTGTAAATCACGTTCCTCCGTAACTACGAATTGAAACGCAGGTGTCGAGTAGTTCCCGAGAGTGTTTGGGGATGCTGGAAGAATCCATTACATGCAATCATGGCAAAGTGGATCTCCAACATCTCGCATCCTAACTCCTGCGAATCCATATGTTAGAGAAGTGTTTAGAAGTAGCGGAGGCAACCAAGACATGTGATTCATGTTGAGAACAGCTCTACATACACTGAACTGATCGAAGACGTAGCCGCCCACAGATTGAAGGCCAAAATCGGAGGCTGGCGGCGACCTGCGGCAGATGCATTCCCAAGTCTGAATGAAGCATAGTCTCAAACCGCCAAGTGACACACTTAGACTTACGTGACACTTTGTCTTTCTCCACAGGCTAACGACCCTCGTTTTGTGCTCCGTGTGATGAGATGAATGTTACAACGTGCTGATTTACAAGTTCGGATGATAATAATACAAAGCGAGCTGAAACGAGTAGTCGGATCTCGTAGAATATGCGTGATCAAAGAGGGGGTATGAAGACTGCAGGAGGCTTTATAGTAGCCGTCGTAACCGAGATTAAGAGTGACGGGCAGAAGCCCGAAGAGGGAAATGTGAGGGGGAAAGCGGAAAATGCGCCAGCAACTACCCGGGACTCCCCTCACCAGCTCACAGAGCCCTAGATCCTCCTACCAGCCATCGTCGCCGTTGTCGTAGCGCTCTACTCGGAGCGTGCACTCGCCGCGAACCTTGCGCAGGCGGTATCGGTGTGTATCGTATCGCTCGTGCGTGGCGATAGCGCGGCGGAGGGCACGAATGTGGTGTGGCCCCGAATGTGCTGCGATTGCGTGGGCGCGTGATCGCCAGATGCAGGTGGTCGTCTTGACCCTCGTGACAGGGTGTGGTGCACTGTCCCAATACAGAACGAGCTGCCACGTATCACAATACATCAGTATTGTTATAGAAAAAGACAGGTTGGAGTGTACCCCGCCGTGGCGCACGGCTTCTTCGTGTGCTTCTCTGTTCACGTCGTAAAGAGCTAGCGTGGGCGAAATTGATTAGTAACGGTATGCTAACGGGACGATTCGGGTCGGGAGCTCTTACGACCATCATCACTGCCGTTCTTTGTCTTGCTGTGTGTGACTACCGCGAACCATTCGCGTTCGGTATCTTCCGGGAGATACAGCTCTTCCCAGTTGAACGCTTCGTCGAACGGTGCTTCTGCGTGGTTCTCCGTAATCGGGCGGAATCGATGCAGAGCCTTGTGCAGGTCTAGTGTTACGGCAGCGAAGTCTGGCTGGTATGTCGTGTACGGCCGGTAGCTGCCTGCTGGCTCTGGAAGGCATAAAGCCTCGAGAGGCAGAGAGAGCAGCGGCGGCAGGTAGAAGACGGGTTTGCGCTGTGCGCCGTACTCCTTAGAGTCGAAACCGGGAAGGTGGTGGGGATCGCTTTGGTAGTCGAGGTCGTTTGGTAGGGAAGTTAGGGACAGATCGACATACGAAAGTGGGGAGTCTGGCGGGGAAATTGTGGCGTCGTTGTGAAGGGTGATAGAGCCGAAAACCGAGGGCATCTGAGCTCTGATTGTCGTCGGGGCTATGGTAAATGTGGCCATGTCGAAGATGTGGATGTCAAGTCGTTGCAGGCGAAGTGTTGGTAGACAAGTGCAGGTAGTGCGGAAGGTCGAGGGCAATACTCAGATGCTGAGAGACTATGCGACTCGTGCAGGGCTTAAGTACTGATAGTCGAGGCACCTGCGGAGCGATGGGTTGTCCGAACCGAGGAAGTAGTCGCAAATGGGGGTTTCCCGTTGGAAAAAGCAATCAATGTCCAAAGCCAAGGGAGAGTCGCGGATGGCGGCTCATAATTGAAATAATCTGAACGTAATAGACACCCACAGAACTTGTCGTCACAGGGCCGACCATCTGATTTCTATGGCCTTCCAGTAGGCCAACAGGAGCCCGCAACGTTGGTAGCATGCAAAGCAGCATGCCACGCTGTCGCCGTCCGGATAGCCTCCAAGGCACCACGGAGGAAGTATGACCTCAGATCTGGAGCAAAACAACGGGGCGACAGGCGTAACTCTCGTTGTCTGCTCTAGATATCGGCGGTACCCTGCGTCCGTGAAATGCTGTTTGTCCGTATGTCGGCCACTTTGTCAGGAGCATTGAGCACTTGAATGGCAAGTCAAAAACTTCACCATCCGTTTAGCACTTCCCATATGGTTGTGAAATGGCTTGATGACAACGGCCGTCGCTGCAAAAGGCTTGGGACCGGGGCTGCCGCCACGAAGACAGCGCGCGCCTCCCCAACGCTATTCTCACGTGCGCGCTTTCCTCTTTCGTCCTCCGTTCACTCCCTCGACAACGCTCTCGCCGGCCTTTCGACTATGGCTAGCAAGTTCGCAGACCATACTCTCTATCACCTCAGCCCAAAGGGCTTTTGGAAGAAATTTCGTACGTCGTGTTTCGTCGCGCTATGTACTCGCTGGCTTGACGCCGTGTGCACAGGTGATGCCGTGGTCATAAACCCGGAGATCTCGAGCGGTCTGCCTATCCAAGGTGTCCACCGCTACCCACCACCAGCGTCAAGACCGGAGAAGTACTCGACCCCGGCTACCAAAGGTGTGTGCTTACTTGTGCCGGCCTACTCCCCGGGCTCATGTGCCTGATGCAATGCAGCTTCCGACCCCGCTCAGAATCCCTACTGGAAGCGCGACGTACGGCGCGCATACCCGCAGTTGTCGGTAGTCACGCAGACCGAGCTGTCTACACTGTTGATTGAACATCATGACGCCAAGCAGCAAGCGTATGTTCATGCTCCGGAGCTTTCGTATCTCGTGTATTCTTATTCATCGCTGCAGAGTTGCCGCTCCCGCTGCCGAAGGCCAGGAGGAGCATAGCGAACTGTCCACAACAACCCGCGAGCCTGTAGATCTTACTGCTGCCATTTTCACCATTACCCAAGCCAGCAAGATCTTCTCAGAGTCCAAGCTGCCTCCCAGCTTCCCCACCTCGTTTAAGCGCTGGAAAGCTGAACGTGCAGAGGATGCTCCCCATGATCCGTCGTCGTACTTCCCCATGTTACTCGTGAAATAGACAGCGCACTTTGAAAAATATATACTTGCCACATTAAACGACATTCTCCTGGTTTCGCTCGGTCTACGCGCTGTGCGAGCGCTTGAGGAGACACGTGAGGGCGTCATAGGCCATCTTTGAACTTGCCTTTCATCTTGCTATGCTCCGACATAGCTGACCTGCGCCCGCCATCTCCCTGAATTTGCTCGGCCACGCTACACGTCGTATTTGAGTATCTATTCCGATATCGTGCTATTCGCTGAACGATATTTGCCCCAGCCGACGGCACCTATTGCCATGTCTGCGAGTGCAGCCACTATTGCAGCACCTGCAGCACCCCCTACAATCATAGCAGGGTCCTCGGCCCAAGCCCAGGCCACCGCCTTCGCCGACGATCCTCGATTCCACTTTGACAGACAGTCTGGGACGTGGAAATTTGAAGATGACGACGGCAATGAAATGGAATACGATGCCGCGAAAGGGGCGTGGGTCCCAGTTGTGAGTACCCCGGTCCATGAAAAGAGAGGCCTTCCCGTTTGAAACTGACAAGTCTGCACCATGTTTCTAGCTTTCAGAGGATCTTCTGAAGGCACAGCAAGCTGCCTATTCCGTTCCTGGCGTCGACGAAGAAGTACGTCCCCGTGACGTTGGTATCGGCAAGGTTACTCATGCATGCATTGATTACAGACACCTGTTGCGCCAGTCCTCAAGCGCATCAAGAAGCGCAAAGAGCCTGAAGACTTCACGTCCGACACCACGGGCCAGGACGCGGGACCTTCGTCCAATAAAGGCAAAAAGATGAAGAGTAACGGCGACAAGCCGCCGGAGCGCAGGTCGAAGAACACGGCAGTGTACGTGACGGGCCTGCCTTCAGACGCGGACCAAGACGAGATTATGGAGCGTTTCAGCAAATGTGGGCTCATCGAGGAGGACGACAAGGGCGAACCGAAGATTAAGATGTATGCGCGCGAGGACGGGTCATTCAGCGGCGAAGTCCTCATCGTGTACTTCAAGGAGGAGAGCGTGATGCTCGCGGAAAGTATCCTGGACGATGCGGAGCTGAGACTCGGGGAGTCCTCGACGCGCATGCGCGTGCAGAAGGCGGATTTCTCGCATAAGCACGAATCGGGAAGTGTGGAGGGAAGTGTAGACGCGAGACTCCGGAAGACGGTCGACAAGAAGAAGGCAACGAAGAGAATCGGGAAGATGGTGAAGTGAGTGTAATGCTTGTTTGGCCTCTGGCCGTCGGTCTCACTGCAACGCCAGGAAGCTACGCGAATGGGATGATGAAGACGGTTTCGGCCCTTCCATCACGGATGACGATAAGTCTCACGCAGCGAACCAGATGAGTCGCGTTGTTGTGCTTAAGCGCATGTTCACTCTGAGAGAGCTTGAAGAGGACGCATCCTTGCTTCTTGACTTGAAGGAGGATGTCCGAGAAGAATCCGAGACTTTGGGCGAAGTGACAAACGTTGTGCTGTACGATGTGCGTACCCTCTCGCTCACCTGACTTACTAGCCTGCTCATATCATGTCTTCCACTCCACAGAAAGAGCCAGAAGGTATCATGACAGTCAAGTTCCGCGATCCACTAAGTGCACAGGCGTGTGTCATTGTACGTCAAAAAATCATTTACTGCGGTCCCCAAATATCGGATGTTAACACTTTCTCAGCGAATGAACGGCAGATTCTTCGCAGGACGCCGAATCGAAGCATCGGTGTATACCGGCAAGCAGCGCTTCAAGCGTAGTGGTGCACACGACGAGGTCGAGGGCGAAGGCGATGAAGCCGAGAAGAAGCGTCTCGACGATTTCGCACAATGGCTTATGGCCGAGGGCGACTGAACACTTATCTCGCGACGTTGCGGAGTTACGCTTTATCTATCGACACGTACATCCTCCGTGCGATACATTGTTCAGTTTGTCTATATGATATACCGATCGCCAAGCAGTTGAAAATGTACAACAAGGATATAGTCCGGACGACTAGGTAGTTGGCATCATTACCAGCATGAGAAGAATGGGTTGATATCGACAGTTTCCAGACGCTAAACCGGAAAAGAGATTAGCAAATATAATTCGGACAGCAGCAGTTACACCGACCTCCGCGATGACGACACGTCTTCTGGGACTGTTCGCGGCATCCACATCCATCCAATCCAGGTCTGCCCGCTCGCGTGGGCCAGCACTCATCCAGCGCGCATGCGGCGATGTCGACTCGATGTGCGACATTGACTTGGACATTGCAACGAGGTCTTCTTCCGTGATGGAGTTCGCGTCGTCAGCCGCCACCGCCGTGGCGCCGCCGTCCTCGTGTTCAGGCACGGCAGGTAGTCGCTCAGACTGCGCCGACGGTGACATGACAAGCTGTGCCGCCGCTGCCTCGCCGCTGGCAGCCTCATGCTGCTTTTTCTTCGGCTGCCGGGGCCGCATGGTCCCGACGTCGATCTCTTCCTCGTCCTCGTCCTCGCCGTCGCCCTCTTCGAGCACGAGCCGCTTGAGGCCCGCCTCGACCTGATCAAGCCGCTCCATGTGCTCGAGCACCGTCACGCCCGTCGTCGCCGGGTGCACGCGCGAGAATTTGGCGCTGAAGGACACCGGACGCGAGTGTTCGGACGACACGCGCCGCATCGGCGGGGGGAAATCCGTCACGCTGTTGCTCCGCCGTGAGCGAGGACGCTCTGGGAGGGTGCTGATGGACGGGTGGGGAGAGTGTGGCGAACGTGGCGAACGTGGCGAGAGCGGCGGCAACCGGGACAGTCCTGGGCCATTAAGGATCGCTGGCATGTTGTCTTCAGTCAGCTCCATCTCATCGTCCCAGACCAGCACTTTCTGCCGTCGCGTGAGCTCCAAGGGACCTGTGTAAAGGGCAAGAATCAGTCAAGTTTGAATGGCTACGCTGATCTGATGAAATGTAACGAGCCGACCTTCGTCCTGAGAGTCGTGTGTCAGCAAAATCAGAAATGGTTAGAGCAATGGGAGACTTACTGCATGTTTCAATGACTGGACAATGTTCCAGGCCTGACCCTTGATTACTGCCAATTGACGCTTTGCATGTATTAGACGATCGGAACGTGGGATTAAGGACGAATAAGCTTACCGCGAACATTTTCTCATGGTACCCTGGGTCCACTGCGAATAATTTCCGCAGCTCGAACGTCGTATCCGACCACCACTGCTTGGACGTGAGTAGAGGGAGGAAATGGTCTCGCGTCTTCTGGCTAAACGGTCGACCAATGATCGTAACGGGTAAATACAGCCAGCCGTAAGTGAAGGACCGCCACCCCTTCGGGTGCTCATGCGGGAACGACAGCGAATTGTCGATGGCGGCAATGTGAATATGAGGCTTTTGGGTATATGGGAGCTGAAGGCCAGTGTACGACATTGATGGCGTGCGAGCATTCGAGTTGGAAGCGGTTGCGGTCATCTGTGGCGTGCCCATCGGCGGCGTGCTCGTCTGACGAAGCTCTGCCATCATTGTCATCTCGCGGGCACCAGCCCGAGAGGGCGCGACGTCAACTAGGGACTTCCCATGTGGCGCACAGCAGAACTTGATCATGTAGTTGTCTGCTCCGCGGTCCGTGTTGAGCATCAGGTAATCCAGAATCACCAACCTGAGAAAGAAATGTTAAACATGCCCGCCGCGCCACAAAAATGAACACAGCTCACTTCTCTAGCTCTTCGCAGAAGTTGTCTTGCAGAGCTGGTGTCCAGTAGAAATCCTCAGCGGCAGAGACGTTCTCGGTCGCATCAAAGAGCATCCGCTCCTCTTCTCGTTCCTCCTCGTCCCAGCCTTCGTCTTCCGTGCCCGTTTTCCCACAAACAATCTTCATTGTTGCCCAAAACTTCTTCGACCATTTACCTCTACGGTGCGTGTCATCATCAAATGTATCTGTTAATGCGCGACCTGGCCATGGATGCTTCCTCAGGAACTCAGATGCGTCTAAGAGAAAGTTGAAGCTAATGCACCGCGAACAAAAGCGACAACATACCTGTGTATCCATGAAGGAAGTACTGCATGCTTCCAATCTTTTCTGGTAGAGGTTTACCCTTCTTCGCAGCATTCCTGTCAAGCCAGTGATAATAGAAGGCCTAACAATGGTCAGGCATCCGTCAAAGCCTAGCACATTAATGACTCACCGGGCTTGACAGTGGCACTAGCTCTGTCCGAGGGACTATATGAATTTCGAGACGTTCATCCAACAGCGAAGCGGCAGCCTCGGAGATATAACTATGAGATGGTCAGTGGTTGGTCGAACAAAACGGAGTTTGCTTACCTCAAATTAGGGATGAGACATGCTCGGCCAAAGGGTATGATCCATCTAAATTGCCTGTGTAGCCATTTGGTTAACTGAGACATAGTCAGCGGGTTTCAGAGAGCTTGAGCGTCAGCGCATGCCTTCGGGTTGAGGTCGCCATACGGCTCTTCGTCCTTGGGCTTAAAGACACTAGTGTGGGGGTGTTCTAGTTGCGTTTCAGAGAATTACAGGCGCAATAGGACTCACGCCACGGTCTGAACCTTGCCATCACTCCTAGCTCGTGCAAAGTACGACCCTGAGGAACCCTTGGTGATCATCTTGGGGTGTATGCCGTCTGTTATGGCATCTTTCACTGCGTCAACAAGCCTTCTCCAGTTAGAATGGGTTTATGTGCTGCCAGAGTGACGGAGGCTTACTTCTGAAAGTCCGCGTGCATCATAGGCGGCTTGTGGTCCAGGGTTTTAATCTGCGCAGTCAAGGAGACATAAAAACCAGGTTGACAGTAGGACGAGGCATTGACACGCACCGGAATATCGTTATCTGTGGGAACCGGCTCTATCTGAGGTGCGAACACGCTATGCCAAATCTCCTTCCGCGACTTGTCCTCGACCTTCTTCTTCCGTTTCACCTTCTGCGCAATAGACTCCGTCCATCTAGAAGCACACTCAGTTCACCAAGCCCGGCACTTCGGAACAGTGTTTGAGCACACCTCTTGAACGCATGGTCAAGCTTCTTCAGGTCGATGTTGCCCGGACGCTGCGAGAGCCGCAGACCGCGGCGAGAGGGGGCTGTGACGGGGGCTGGCAACACATCGGAGACGTCGCCTTCGTCGTCGTCGTCGTCGATATGCTGAGCAAGTGGCTGGTATTCTGCGCGGTGTGGCATGACGAGCGTGTCAACGGAGGAAGGTGCTGGGGAGGTAACGCGAGCTCATACCACGACGTCCCGTGTAAGGAGCGTCGGGCGCAGGCTGCGTGGCTTGGCGCCTGTCTGCGCAGCAACTTGATCCAATCACCGCCACAAAGTTGGGTTCTGCGGGCGCCAGCCTGTGGTTTGCCGCCATCCACCACGTCTTCCGCGGTGGGCCAGTCCCCCAGCTGCTCTGAGTAGACGTTAACCTGGTACAAACGATGGTAACAGTCTCTGACTTGATGAGGCTTTGAAAAATCTGCTGAAAAATCGGCCAGGAACAAAATCGCTTTCAGAACGACCCAGTCGCGAGTGTTTCCGTTGTCCGGCCCTATGACTTCACTCTCGACACGCAGCCGCATTTACGTGCTATTCTCAGTTTTCCTAATGAGGGCTTCCCGCAGTTCTCCTGCGGCTGACATCCGCTCTCTGGTCATTGATTTTAGTAAGCGCCGCTTCGTTCCTCTTATGTAGTGCCCGGTGCCCCGCAGCTTTATCTTTGCTCGCTCCCTCCACCTGAGGTGCGTTCACTGGGCCTTGTGCTTCGTGTGTCAACCCAATCCCTCTCACTATGCCGTTTCTGACGCGCATGAGGCCCTTCAAGCGGCGGCGGGCGGTATCTCAGCCCAAGTGGCCTATGGCATGTATTACTTTGTTCGTGTAGCGTCACAGATTGACTGATGCTACGGTCCGGTAGGTGGCTGGGGTTCTAGATAATTCCTTTGATTCAGCTGCGTCTTCTTCTAGCGCAGATTCGGACGTTATCTTCCCTCGAACGCCTGCTTCACCGAATTCGTTCACCTCAGACACAGTCAAGAGTGACCCCGGTTTCTACTATAATACTTCCGAGGGACGCATTCAGTATAGCCCGGTCTCTTCTTTCTTTTCATGTCCCGCATCTCCCGTGTCCCCGACATCTCCGTCTTCGTTCGAACACGCCAACAAGGGAGGCTTCTGGACGGTTGACAACTCGCCATCACCGCTGGGCAAGCTGCCCTCACAAGTCGCGGACGAAGTCTTCAACACGCCTCACAAATTTTCCGCTGCTCCATCAGCCCACCGATTGGACTGCGAGACCTCAAATGCGGACAGTGATCCGCTGCTCCCCTCGACCACGTTCCAGGACATCCCGGATTTGGACGACGTGTCCGTCGACTCTTCCTCATGCCCACTCTTGTCGAAACCACTGCTGGTGTTCCCCAGCGGGATCGGACCCGTCGTCACGAGCTTGCCAAACGGCGACCGCGCGATCGTCACCAGTAAGCGAGTTATGTCCCGCGATCCGGCCGCTGTCGCCGAGGAAAAGCTTGTCCAAGAGTGTGGGACCAAGTGGAGGAATGGAGGATGTGGCCGGATGGGCGGCCTTACCATCAACACGAGCTGCAGTATCAGTGAAGTAGACCCCGACTGGACCACTTCTAGAGATATGTCATTTTGGAAGCCTACAGTAAGTACTATTCAACGGAGTGGAACGCATTTCAAGTCTTGATGTGCCCTGCTTCTCGAGGCATCATGTCCCACGTATTCCATGAACAACTCCAGCTCGATCTCGGCGTCGACTATTGGACCTCACGATTTCGCTCGCTCGACTCCTTCCGTTATTCTCGTATAATCAAGCTATCTTTATGGTATTTCAGTTGCTGATATCCTCGCGACTACAATAGTACTCCATGAATAAACTTGCAATGTAACGGGTCGTCGTCCACCCCTTATCATTTAGCTAGAGACTCAGACTACACTCTACTCCCAGACTACCGCGTTACTGGTAGTTAATGAGATACAGCGTCGACATGAGATTCACATGAAGGATGATCGTGTATCGTGAAAAGTCGTGTATCTGTAGTAGCTCGCCCGTCCCGCTCGATATCCACAGCTCAAACTCTGGGGACGCCTTGGGTGACTTGGGGGTAGGTCGTGGCAATGAGCTGCAAGCCGAGATCAGCTATTAGTGCGCGTACAAGTTCCGCGAACAGGCTCACCCCAAAGAGAGCAGGCGCGCGGATCGCGAGCACCTGCGGGTCCTCGCCCAGGCCGACGAAGATGGTCGACACACCGGCCTCAATGGCAGACGACAACGTCAGTGCTAAGCGAAGAAAAGTAAGCCTTTGGTCAAAGTCCAGCCAAGGAAAAAACGCACAGCATTGTAGGCCGATCAAGAACGCGAAGAGCACGACGGGCGCCGTGTACTGCCCGTCCGCGTTGTATGTAGGATGCGTGTACCGCAGATAGAGGTACCCGAACAGCGAGCACATCAGTCCGACGGCGTATGCGCCCCATGTAAGAGCTCGAATCGGCAAGTGAGTCGTAAATTCATGGTTCGAGCCAATGACGACGTACTCATGCTAACCAACTGGTCGTTGACGAGCGCATCGATGCCACGGTCCGTGAACAGGCCCCAAGTGTCTTTCGCGGCTTGTATGTAGGGCTTGCCATACAAGGCTGTGAGAAGTGACGTCAGATGTGACAGTAAGTGATGTTACACAGGGTGCTCTACCAATCTCGATGTATGCATATCGATTGAAGTACTGCACCATACCCTCGATGCATCCGATGAAACATTCTGCGCAGAGTGCGAGGCATGCCTCGACAGCTGAGAATGGTCAGCAGGGTTTGCGTCTATTTTTGACGTGATGGGCAATACTGCTTACGATGACCATCTGCATTGGCATTGTTGCGAGCGACTTGCAAGAGCATCCGAATCAGTTCGAGAAGAGTGACGATGAGAGAGCCAAATGCGATCGAGCCCAAGGACAAAGTCGATGCACGGACGAAAGCCGTTAACGTCGGGTGCGAGGGCTACCGGCATAGTCAGCGTATGTCCCTGCGCGCCTCTATTTTAGCCTGCGTACCATTTGGCCCGCATCGCGAGGCCCGAAATAGTACCAGCCTGAGATTAATCTAGATGAGCCCGTGTTCGCGCAACGAGACACGTCGACGTACTTCCGAACGGACCGCCTGCCATTGTCGCGAGCGCCACATTGCCGATAACTTGTGAGGTCCAGAGATAGGAGAAGACCTCATAGACTACGAGACCGGTAACCTTTGCAGACGAACAGGCAGTCCCCGTGCTGCAAGCTAGTGCAGAGTCAGCATATTTCGTATACGCAATGCTACTAGAGCCTTACAAGGATTTCCGGGCGTCCACTTCGTATAGCTGAGTTCAGCTGATTAATATCCACGAAGGCTACAGAAAGCTTCCAATGACGTACGTTGCAATGGTTATAAAGGTAAAGTACCTATTCCAGAATTTATGTCAACGTCTACGCACATTGCGGCTATGAGTAGTCACTTACACGCTGAGGGCCGCCTGAAGGATAAGTGCAAGGAATGCAACCACATATACACTCATATGGTGCTTGGCGACGTCCATGACGATTTGCAGAAGGAGAGATGCAAGTGGAATCCGAGAGCGATATCCGAAGTATGCAAAGACAGAAATGATTGCAATAATTGTGAAGATAATTGCGCCGGCTGTTCGTGGAGGTCAACGACGGCACCAGGGCAACTCAGATGGAACCCACAGTAGTACTTGGTGATCCAGTAGTAGATGCAAATCCCGCTGAGTAGAGATGTCGGCACACTGCAGCCGTGAAGCGATGTCCAAGGACGGCAGACTCACATGTTGAGAAGAATAGATAGAATGAGCGTGATGTGCATGATGAGTCTTGTGAATATCCGCGCCAGCATAAGATAGAGCGTGGACAGCAGGAGTGCAGCCCCCGTGACAAACAGGAGAAGGTACACAGTGTGTCTATTATAGTTATGAGGTTTCTGAGTATTTGCTAGGCAGTAGAACGCACCTGTTCAGAGTGACAGCTGTTCCAGTGTTGCCATCCCCACCGACACCACCGCCGAGGCCTCCATGTTTGATCCAATCAGAGAGGACGATAGCAGAAATGACTACGAGGCCTACAAACTACAGGTAAACGATGTACAGCGTCAGTTTTCTGGAGACATCAGGGGGAGGACAGAGGCTCACCTGGGCAATGAACAAGATGAGGAAGATGGGGTCATGAATTCGTTTCTTGGGAGTGAAGCGGCCTCCATCGTACGGCGACTTTTGGTCCGACCCATAAGCTTGTGGTGGCGGTCCTGTGGGTGGCGCGTAGCTTGAGCCGCCATACGGCCCTGGCTCGTAGACTGGCTGATACGATTGATCCTTATTTTGGTTCCAGCTCATGCCGTGCCCCTATGGCTTTGGACCTTGTTTATTGAAGTAATAGTCCCGGGGGGAGTATCTGTCGCTCAAGCACCTGAATCAAACAGAGGGGGCGGTCGTGGTTCGTGACGAGCCACGAGAAAAGCCAAGACCACAGGGGTATCGTTGAGCGCCGCGCCTTCGCCTCGATGCATGATGATGACGTCTGCAGGATGCATCCGCGATGCATGGCGACCAAACGAAACAGGTATCAAGGGCGGATCAGCATTGATCGGCGTTGGCGGGCCCGCCCGCACCAACAGTCTGAACTCGCGCGTCGCCGATTCACCCCAAAGGCTGAGACGTGGCACGAATCAGTCCAGGGGTATTTGTGTCACTGGTATTCGAGATATGACAGATGAGTCGACTGAGCGTCCTTATTTCCCATAGTCTAGGCCATGCTCGAGCTTTTGCAAGCTGAAAGTTTATGGCTGCAGATGCACCTTGCCGAAGTGAATGTACCGTTCGTCACGTGTTACTGTACATGTATATGTCTTAGGCGTGCACTCGACAGTACTCTGAACATTGGCCCACAACTGGTCGCGTGACGGAACGAGAATGCGATCCGATTTCGGCCAGCAGTCTACAGCCTGGCGGCTGTTCGCGTCTCAGCATCGCAAAAGAGATTGTTCTGGGCAGATAGTACGCAGGTCTGAGGCTATCAGTCACGTACACAGTCCATGTGGAGCCGTATCTTCTTCGACCGCAGACGTACTCAGCCTTCTGAGTCCGGGATGCTCTGAGTTGCGGCGGCGACCTGAGACAAGAATTCGACCGAGATGTATAGGTTGTTGAAACCACCGTGCTGCCCGTAACTGCTTGAAGCTTGAAGCTTGGAGTTGGGTAACCTGTACATGCCGAGACACCCAGCCACCGGGACACGGAGAGGGCACAGATGTAGATCTTGCGCGCAAATCTTCCCACGCTTTGTGTTCCGCCACGGGAGCATTCCCAACTATAAGTACGCTTCGACCCAACGTTTCAATGGGCACAACTCCTCCCTTTCTTTTCACTCATCCTTTCACTCTCTTCCCATGTTCTCTCTTATCTCGCGCTCGAAGACCAGACTCAACAAGTCGGACGTTCAGCTTCCTGCGAAACAGGAACCAGACGTCGCTGGCGTCGTCGCGGTCCTCACGGCTGAGCCAGAGCAAACTCAGACAACACCTGCGCTGGAGCTCAGTGCGGCACCCGTTGACGCATCACTGCAGCCGCAAGCTGAAGATGCGCGACCATCCGCGTCGATATATTCCTCGGACGAGCCCCAGGACGCGCCCACGGACGACACTCCGACCTCCACACCAACATCCGAGGCGCCCCAGGATGTGGAACCCGAGCTTGAGAGCAAGCCTCAGCCTCCAGTAATCCAACATCGTTTCTCCTTCCGTCCACTTACCTTCAAATTCCTCAACGGCCAGTTGCCGTCACATGAACACTCCAAGCCTATCCTTTCTGCAGCAGAGGAGCACAAGAAGAAACTTCAGGCATCCGAAGATAGGACGAGGCGTATCACACGCATATCGTACGCAGACAAGAGGGCGAAGGAGTCTGCCATCGTGGCGCGCTCCCTTATCATCGGCCCGGCTGGCATCACGCTCCCGAAACCGAAACCTTTGTCGAAACCCAAAATCGACAAAGTCAAGTCGCAGCTCCTGCAGCCGAAATCCGCCAACCGTGTCATCGCCCAACTTCGCGCTTTGTCCACCGAGTCTGTACATGTTGACGGTGGCGCTGCTGCTGTCGGGCCTGCGCCGCCTATCCGTGCCGTCTGCTTGAAGGTCACGGATACGGAGGTCGATGCGCGTCACTTTACCCACGCCGCTGGTGTGGCAAGCGTGTTCAGCGCGTCAGTGGCGCAGCTCAGTGACATCTTCAGCAAGATGGAACTCGTGGATCTTGTCACCGCTGCCAACCTCGGTCTCGGAGCATCTGCCGACGAACCGGGACTCTTCAGTGGTGCGGTCCCGACAGCGGGGACGATCATCGAAGGCATCGAAAAGGCGACACCACAGCTCATGGCCCTGGGCTACGCAACAGGGAAGGTTGTACAACCTGACCATACCGGCATCTACCCTCCAACTGACCGGATGTCGGTGATCACTTGTGAGTTACCTGCTGCTGGTCCTTGAACGCCACTCAATGTTCACAGACTGGTGGGGTCTTGAGATCGTCCTACCACCCTCCTCGATTGCGTGGCTGGGCGTGAGTTGTTCAATTTGCTGCGGCGTCGCTGATTCTTACTTCTAATTGTTGGTAGGGCGTGCCTTCGGTTGCGCACTCGGTCATCAATGTTCTGACCGCTCTTGCGGTGTTGAATGGAGGCGTCGCAGAAATAATGCCCTTCGTGCGGTACATCGCCACTTACATCGACGCGGAGTTCAAAATGATCCAGGGTCAGGATCGAGGCAAGGGTGTCGTGTGCGCTGCCACCTGGTCAGTACCGCTGCCACCTGTACAACGCTATTGCTGATTGTTGTTGATCTACGCAGGTTGCTCCCTGCCGCGTTGGTTCCTCGACCGTGGGACTTTGCTCCGGCGCCGCCTGTGCAGGTTCCATCAGCACCTATCGAGAACCCGGCCATACCCACCCATGACAAGCCCGCCAACCCAGATGTGCCTACTTCGCCGATTTCACCCTCTGAGGAGCTTTCTGAGTCCCGTCCCGCTTCCCCGCCCGCCCTTCTGCCGCCTCTGAACATACATAGCTCCTCCTTCAACGAACCAGACGTGAATACCGCTCCGCCCGTCGATAACACGCTTGTGGTTTCTGCGGAGAAGGCACCTGAGGCACCTGAGGCATCTAATGAATCGGAGCTGCCTGCAGTCGCCGTCGTCCCGCCGACTCCGACGTCTGTGCAAACTACGACCAGCCATGAGACTGTTACCGCCGTCTGAGGAGCGTTCCTCGCCGTTCTCTTTTTCTTTTCTTTCACATGCACATGCGCCCGGGACATTCACTGGAGATACTTTCTCGAACATGACACACTTGGATCCGCTGTCATTTTGTTGTTTGCCGTTCACGACTCATCACGACCTGTCATGACCCTCTTGTCTTCTCGTGTTTCCCTGTCGATACCCCACCCCAGAGCTTGGTACATTACAGAGTATAATGCCTTCATAGCTAGCTTTTGTCCGAAGAACCCTATAGCTGTTTTGTGTACCTGCACTCGGTAGCCACATTCATTTGGAATCCATCATTCTTTGCATCCTCACTTCTTATGACCCGTCTTATCTCTGAAGGATGGACTTGGTTATCCGGCAATTAGGTATTGTATGTGAGTTGTACAAGGTCCGATTAGCACAGAGCTGCTAAAAGTACACTATAGATCACAGGGTATGATCGCGCCAGATTCCTTTACGTGACGATGCCTTGGGTACGTTCCTTTACACAGAACCTATTGTAGATCCTTCGATTGTAGGCGATAGATAACATGTTGATAGGGGTGTGTAATGAGCTATAACTGTCGTGAAACTCAGGAAGATTGGATGGTGACGGTGCTGTCGGGCTCTGGGGATGACGCGAGCTATGAGCAGGAAGGTGACAGTGCCAGGGAACGCAGGACACACCGATGTAGTCAATCAAGTCGCCCTGGAGGGACTGCAAATGCGCGACGAAGTTGTTGGGGATCTCAGCGGAGAAGCCCTGTGGTAGTACAGGAAATCAGGTTGGCATGTACTCTTAAGTCATACAGGTACGAGCGGCGCACTTTCAGGAGGGGCCTGTTCTCCCAAAGGTCCTTGACCTGGCCGCCTGGGGAACAAAGGTCAGGCGTAGTCGACACGAGACAGAGCAAAGCACATCGCACCGTTGGCAGTGACATCGTCGGCGTATTTCCTAATCTGTTCTGGTGTGGCGGTCTTCTTGAAGACGACGATGTACTCTGCGAAGATCAGATAGGCCCCCTCCCGCCACGGATCGTACTCACTGCCAGACATGTTTCGTGTAGAGCGAAGTCGTAGGATAGCTGAAAAGATGATGACGATAGAGAAAGAGGAACGCAGAGAGCTGCGGCCCGGTGGCTCGAGATATGGAGCTTGATCAGCTAGACGCCCGGAAGGGGATGACGAGGTGACGCGCAAGGGACGCGTCGCGCGCAGCACGCGTCCACCACGCGCAGGCAAAAGCGCAGCTGCAGGCCTTCCGTTTGCTCAGCTATTAGGACATTGATATCATGCGAAGTTGTTCCTTCACCCACTCGACTCGACTACTCGCCAAGACTGCGTTCGAGCACCCCGTTGTCAGACGCAGATCCACCATCATGATGGTCTTCAACTCACTTCGCGGCATTTACACGATATCTGAAAGGACATCATTCTTCTAAGAGAGTTCTGTAAACGGTAAGAACAGACTGATAAGAACCGTAGCTGGGAGAAAAAGCCACAGGAAAGAATACATTTTGCGTAGCAGAACGAAGTCGCATTTTATGTACACGTTAATAACTATAGGTGTAAAAGCTCCTTTGTAACTGGTGTAATCGCCGTAGTCAACACGATGCCAAGTCCGACACCAACAGAGAGAGCGAGCCACCAATCCGACATCCTCTGACGTGTGACATGGGCTGTGTCGTAGTTCAATCCTACGTCGGACATCGCTTTGCGTACGAAGCTCTCGTCCGCTTTGTGAGATACCGGCCTGTACCCAGGTAGGCCGTCCATTGACCAGGAATTGTTGTGCAGCCAGAAGCTCTTGAGACCCCTCAACGGCGGGAGGGTGAATGGGTCTTCATGCTCGCTATCGGTCTTCTCCGCTTTTTCAGACCAGTTCTTCAGCACATCACCTAGGATAGAACATGCATGACTACAAATGACCAACAGAACGTGACACTGGAGACTTACGGTGTCCCTCGAATTTGTAGATAGGGACGGCGGACCCGCGGGAGATCCCGACCTTGTCGATTTCGAGCCAGATGATAGCGCGTGCGCCAGGCTGGACCTCGGGTGTAGGCCAGTCGTACGCGCCCAGCTTGCTCTGCAGAAGCTGGTCGAATTCAGGAGTGCCGCGCTCAATAACCTTGCCTGAAGGAATACAGTGAGATCGACCTTGCATAGACAAATACTGCGTGGAATTGCACCATGACCAAACAGCCGCAAGATTCGTGGCGGGCCTTCGAAGGCCTCAAAAATCATCGTCATTCTCCCGTTTCCTGGTTCATAGAGATGGGATATAGTCTCATTGCCTACGAGATATGCGGTGAGAATTAGCCGAAGTCAGACCTGCAAGAGTGTAGTGTCCCAACCAGAGCCTGTGAGGTCAAGGTACCAAACCGCCTTCCTACTGACTAGCTTGAAGGTAGGCTGTCCTTTCGGCGAGACATTGACGTGTCCACCTTACATACCGAAACAATTCCGGAATCGTTAGTTCCAGCAAAGCATAGCATATATGAATAGACATACCGTGCAAGGGAGCAGTAGCGACATGGAAAAGTTGCTGGGCCCTTATCCACTCAATGAGCTGTTCATCGTCCGGGATATCGTCGTAGAACTGGGAGGACATGATGGGTATTGTGGATTCTGCATACAGGTGTGCAGCCAATATAAGAAGGTAAAGCGGCCCAACTCACGTCACTGGTCTGGGCACATGAGCATCCCCATCTGTCACTTTAATAGCACATCTAGCTCGTAAAACTCCACGTTCTGAACCTTACTGCCGTTCGGAGCTTATACTGAGGGCCAGATACCATGAACTTACTTCCTCCGCGACACACAGCAAGCTCTACTTCAGGCCTGGCCTGACCATCCGGAGCAGTTCAAAGACCCTCCCAGGGAGGTGAGAACAACTACCTAGCGGCTGCGGCTCGCGTTTCCGCATGCTGCTTCCTCGTCCAGTGGACAGCTATCAAGGTTCGGCTACCCCAATCGCGCCATATCAAACGTGAAGATGGCTCACAATACAATGCAGATTTCGAGAAGAGGCCAAGAACCCTCAAGCGATATCTGGCTGTCAACGGACTGCCCTCGTGCCGTACATTCCAATGGCTGCGTGGTGGTGTTCCTGGTAGAGCTCATATACCACAGAAGCGCCAAAGTCAGATTCTTCCGCGTAAGAGGATAGTACGGATAATTTGTGGATTACCGGTACCACGTCGTGCTGGACTTGCCTGCCTTCCATACCGGATGCCATACAAGAACGACAACTGTCTACCCATTGAAGGTAGGCCTTCGACTTACAACGGCTGTTCCCTCGTTCGTGCACACGCGAGATCAGGGAATAACGCGTGTAGTGATGTCGTAAGACCCTTTCTGATTCCGAAAGACTCCGGAATCAGCTTATTTTCCCGCTGATCAGTGTACTTCCCGCGAACGAAAGATATCTTTCCGTCCAACGGGGTAGGAGACACATGGACTACTTTCTGGTCCATGAATCTTATTCAGTTAGAGAAATAATCGCTTATCCAGCCCGTCGTATATGGTCAATGGATGGACTCAGGCTCAGCAAGGTGGAAAAGGACTGGACATATGCTCACGTCATTGGTTCATTTGAGGCCACCCTGCTCACTCCAGATTCACGACGTCGACGGGCGGTTGCTAACGTGGTACGTTATATGCATCATGCCCGAGAGGCGGGAAAACTCGGCTTCCTTCAAGTGTGAGAGCTCGGTATGTACCTGCCTGAAATCGGGCGCATATAAATCAACATACTTTTGCTTAGTATTGATTGACAAACAGATACAAGGAAAGAGTTAGTGTAGAGATGTATCGACCGATCAGACTTCGTCGCCATGTAGAAGCAAACTGGCGTCAAAGTATAGTGCGGAAGACAAGAATGCTGTCTTTATCTTGCACCCTAACTTCAGAGGCTACGGTAGGAAACACGCCGCAGCGCCTGTATATGAAGGTGCGAATATAAAGCCATGGCTGGCCTGCGCTTGAAGCTTAAGGGCTCGCGAATGTCAAGCACCACGTCGTAGACAGCGTTCACTCCTGTAGCCTCAAGAACACAAATGATTACAATGAAGGCAACAGACAGAAGAGACGTACATATGCATCATACGTAGGACCGACAACACGGCGGGCCAGGAGCATTCGTCGCATGCAGCGCGTCGCGCCGCTCCGAGCCAACCCATGCATATAGTATCTGCGATGTCGGTTATCCACCAGGTCATAGAGACGTGCCTTTGGTCGAGGCATGGACTTGCTCTGTAGCCTTAGCTGCTGAAACGAGAGCAAGGAATGACATAGCAAACGAAAGTGCACGTAAAACTTTTTGCGCGCCCATGCGCGGAAGTATTGAACGTTTATTTAGGGCAGGTCATACGCGCATCAGCGCGCTCTGGCCCGTGTCATGCGCCATGAATACTCTCCTCGATGCAAACTCAAAATTTGTTTGAAGCAGTATGATGCCAGGATTCCCAGCACTGTAGTGTACACAAAATTGCACGAAAAAAAGCATGTCCCATGCAGGAGTCGAGCCTGCGTCTTCACGGAGAAGGATTTTCCCACGGTCAGGTGATTCCACAACGTGATGATCTAACCACTAATCGAAAGGGACCGGCAGTAGAACCTCGTTTTAAATATATAGACCTTTTATCTTGCGTAGCAAAGGCAACCGAACCTCGCCCTCAAGGCCTCAACTCTCACCTTACCATCGACGTCCATACCGCTGGTTAGCTCCGGGCAAAGATGAGAAAAACATCCTATGTGATCGCTTTTTTTGCCGTCGTGGTAACGCTTACGCTGGTGCGTATTGCGATGACGAGATTCTAATGAAACCGTAACGTCGTGAAGAATGCTGAGCTCGTCCGCAGAATGTGATATCTGTTCGTCGCCCTGACTGGTAAGCACACAACAGCAGAGTTGTGTCGCAGTCTGGTTTAAGCATATGTACGCAGGCTGGTCGTGCACACCGACTTCCTCGGTGCCAAGTCCACTGTCCAGTATGGTCTCACACGGCTCTGTGAGCGGGACATCATCAGGATTCCCGGCGGGTCCAACGGGGGCAAATTTGAGTACTCAGACTACAAGTGTCGCCCTTTCCCGGCACGCGTCCAGGACAAGTGTGAGGACGAGAATAGAGACTTTTGCATCCTGTGGACCACAGCAGGGTACTTTGCGGAGCTCGCAGCAGGTTTTGCTGCGGTCTCGTGTCTCGCGCTCGTGTTCGGCGTGACGACGCATTCAAGGAGGCGAAGGATCTGGAGGGCAGTCGCAGTACTTGTCGGTCTGCATGGTACGTGCAATCTGTGAAAGCTGGTATAGGGCCTGATGTTCTCTGGATAGCTACCGCCTTGATCGTCACCTTTGCCCTTGTTACAGATGCTTATAGCAACGCTACGCTCCCCATTTTTGACAGTGCCAAGCCAAGTTTGTGTCCAGAGTGTTTGTACATTGAACCCTTCTGACGGCTCTTGCTACAGGTGTCGCATATATCCTTGGCACTCTCGCCTGGGTGTTTGCTGCTCTCTCCACCTTCGGTATCCTGATCACTGGCACAGCTGCCTCTCGTGGTCACAGGTGGGCTGCGGGCAACAGAGCTTACGAGCCCATCGCAGGCTAGACTCGAAAAAGGTTCCCATCCAGACTCTGTTCTTCTCTTGACTCCTTTGCGTGGATAATGACACCGCTAGTTTCATGAACACTAGTTACCCTTTTCTTTCGGATGATGTTCCGTGTATCATGTACTATAATATATGTGCAACGCATGAAATATATCCAACACCGCTAGATCATAACCCCTAGTATGCATCCTCTGGCCCATAGTCCACCTTGTCATACAACCTCAGTGTTTCATTCCAATCCCTCTTACGCCTCCGCCTGATAGAAAAGTACTTCGTCTTGCTTTCCCACCGCCCTTTGACTCGTCCTTTGTCGTTCCTCCCCTTCTCGGTGGCACCGCCCGCCTCGGAGTCCTTCGCAAAGTACGTTTCAGGCTGGTCCGGGAGCCCAAGAGTGTTCACTGCCAAGTCCGCAATGCGTTTGCGCAAATCAAGGCGCGTCGCTTGCAGTAGCACCATCTTGCCTCGTGGCATCAAGAGCAATCTGGTGAGAGCGGCAAACGCACGGAAGGATGATACCGCGTCCTCGAACCAGCGTAGAGACATCCACATCATGAGCGGAACAACGACGGCTGTTATAGCGGCCACAGGCAGCGTAACAAGCATCGCGCCCGCCCAGACACAGAGTCCCGAAATGAGCCCGTACACGAGCTTGTACTGCGCGATCTCGTCCCAGGTGTCCCATACTGGCCCTGTACGCTTGAATTCGCGCACTGCGATGAAGGTGGTGATGAAGATCGGCAGCCAGAGAATGAGGCCGGGAAGAGAAAGGGAAAAAAGAAAGAAGGACCAGGCAAGCCGGACGGCCAGACGGTAGAGGATTGTGCGGCGTGAGAGCGGACAGCGGACTCGATCGTCTTTGATCCCATAGTGTGATAGCTCACTTTGGTATGCCTGCGATGCGCCTTTAGATCTAGGTCCATGGTGAGGAGTATTGCGGACATACCGTCAGATCAGCACCTAGACAGAGTATTCTCTCTTCCAGCTCATTCGTTGCACCCTCCATCTCGCCTTCACTGGCACTCCCCCGCTCCGTCCAAGCGTCCTTCGCCTCGCCCATCTTGAGTGCCTCAAGGAACATCCGGACGACCCTCACGTAGTCTCCGAGACTCATGTGGGTGCCAAGTGGAGCGTATATGTGAGCTGCGAGCTTGGCGTTTCGAACGAGTCGCCATGAAGGAGCAGACAGCGTGCCCATGGATATCTGGTGATGCATTCTCGCGGTAAGTTTGCGGATGTCAGTAAAATCGACAGGAGCGAGGAGCTCCGGATTGCTCTGCGATACGTGAGTGCGATATCTACCGGTATGGAGTAGAGACGCACAGCAGGGCTGAAAGTCATCGGTGGATGGAATGTTACCAGCACGTCTGAGCGAAAGTGCTGGCGATGCCTAGGCACATGTATGAAGTCAGTCGCTTTCGCGTTTCCGGGGCGCGTAAAACGTACATGTATGTGATAGAACAAGGAAGTACGGATACCTCAAAATCGGAATTATCTCGCTGCCGCGATAGCACATCCGACACAATGCGAGCAACTGGCGACGACGTATATTAGCCTACGCTGATGAGGAGACGATGAAGTACTCACCGCCAGTCTTTAAAGGTGCGATAGTGGGGTGGTATCGGCTCATACCTTCCGGGAAGAGGCACACAGCGTCCCCACATTCCAAAGCCTGCGAGTAGACTGAGTCACGCAGCTTGGAGTTATCCTAGCGACGCACTTCTAACAGTTCGCGCATCACTTCTGTGTTGTCTATCCTGCCATCCGGAAAGTCCTTCCGACGCTGGAGAGGCACAGTTCCCGCAGACTCAATAAGCCAGCTTGTGAACGTGCGTTTGCCAAATTGCGTTGATTTAGCTGTAAGGCGTAGAAGATTCCGTCTCTGTAGAAGATATGACGTGAGATATGCAGGACGGTGGGGTTTGAATACCCACTTTGGAGGGAATGGATGCGACCAGGACTCTAAGACAGCGTACTTAGTGATGAGAATCAAAGCGGCTGGGTGTGCTTTGGCGTACAATGCATCTGTTAGCGAATTGCTGTGGTTGGCACAGACAATACTAACGTGCACAGTGAGACAGATATACAGTATAAGCTAGCCGGGCAAACGCACCAGGGCTTTCCTTTTAGGGGGATGTTCTCCGTGCCCTCAACCACTATGGTTCCGTAGAATATCTTCAACACAAATTTGAAGAGCAGACTGTGCGAGAGCGGAGTTCAAGTTCAACACCATCCTACTCAAGTCTCTGAAGCGTCGCGAGCGCACCGTATTAGAAAATAGGACCATGGCGTTGGCGACCCTTTTTCAGCCATGCAAATGTGCTGAACGTGAGGCGACGAAGCCAAGCAGGTTTCTTTGGGGAGCCAGCTCGTAACCGTGGTGTAAAGGCCCGAGTAAGTATGTGGCGTGCCGCCCCTACCCAAAGCGGCGTTGGCGTCTATTGGCCCCGACGCAGCACGTGAGAGGACAGACAGAAAATATTGCTGCTGATTGCAATTACCGACTTCCACTGTCTTTGCCCAAAGTCGGCGCCATGGCTGACAGCCTTGAACAGGCTCTCTTCAAAATCCGACCACACACATCGTCGTCACTTCCACACCAGAAGGCTCCGGCGGCTCTCTTAAAGGCTTTGGAGTTAACCTTCAGTGAGCAAAACGCAGACAAAACGCCGACAGCATACTTTGCTTTGCTCCTGACGACTCTCGATGGCACGCTGCAAACCTCGAGGACGTCTGGACCTGCATTGGGTGAAGGTGACGTCCTTCCAGCTGAGCTCTACCTGCTTGCCCTAGTCACGCCTTTCGTCCCCCACCCCGTTATCCGCTCGAACCTGAATACTATCATTAACCTATCCGCGCCGCTTTTCCCTACTCTTGTTCCACATGCTCCTCCGCTCCGATCCCAGCTTACCTTCTATGCTGCTATATTCGCCGCATTGGAACGTCCTCAGCTGGAAACGCCAGGTCTTGGGAATGCTTTCGGTTCCATTCTACATCTATGCCTCGACCCTCGACCAAAGGTGCGCAAGAAGGCTGCAGAGCTGGTCAAGGATGTCCTCGCGAACGCTCCCCCGCCCATGCTTCGCCATCCCTATGCGGACAGGACGGCCGAGTGGGTCAACGTGTCCCTTTTGGAGCTTACGACCGGAGGTTTACCGAAATTCAAGGGCAAGAAGGCAGATACAGAAGACTCAGATACTGCTATCCACCTGCTAGCCTTCTTGCGTCCTGTCCTTGCCTCCCTACCTTCCTCAGTGAGCGCCATCCCTCTGCAGCTCATAGCATCGTACGGGCTGACCCTACCCAGTCCCTTCCAGCCATTTCCGCCTCCCTGCTTACACTTCCACGATTTAGCAATTCCTACCTTTCTCAAGCCTCGTTTTCTATTCTAGCAGACCTTCTCTCTATCCCAGTAGACGATCCCACGAACAATGTCTATTCGCAATTGCAGGATATCCTCCAGGTCGTGCTCTCTTCATCTCCTCCCAAGACGGATTCTACGCTCGTTCCGTCATGGACCAATCTGCTCGGTACAGCGATACATACGTACCACGCGGCTGACCCCGACGCTTGCGCTTCGAGAATATGGGAGGCATGGAAGGCACTTTGGTCATTTATGGATGCTGCCGACTCGAATATCCGTAAACCTGCTACCCAGGCTCTTGATCTACTCATCAAGTGCTTCACCCCAACCTTCACTGAGGCTGCTGTCAAGGAACGGAGCGACGACGAAGCCAACTCACCTTTAGGCAGGATCGTCTCGCAAATCGGCAAGGCACTTTGTGCTTTAACCTACGCTCGCGCCATGCCTGAGGTGATGGCCGTAATTTCCTCTCTACTATCTGGCTTGCGGTATCGGACAAGTGGCAACGGACCTACGACAGCCGAGCTTCTCCTGATGCCCATTGTAGTGCAAGTCGCGGAGCTCAGGGTTCAGAAGAGCTTCGAATTCAAGGAGGCTGCAGATAACACCTTGAGAACAGCCATGCGGGTCCTGGGTCCTGAAGTTCTCCTCCGCAGGTTACCTCTAAACCTGGAGCCGGACGATCGAAAAGCAGGCAGAGGGCCTCGTGCTTTCCTTCTGCCAATGCTCTCTCAACCTCATCCTTCGCCACTATCCCACTTCGTGTTGTACTTTGTTCCCCTGACGGAGAGAATGTTCGACTTCCAGCAGACGGCAGAGAGCGAGGGACGTCAGTCCGAGGCCAAGGTTTGGGACGTATTGGTCGATCAGATTTGGTCCGGTCTTCACGGGTATTGCCATGGGACCGCCGACCTGAAGACAGTGTGTTTTGCCACATTCTCTGAAAGGGCATATGCTAACCTATTTCGTAGTCGTTAACACCTCAATTCTCACAACTCCTCTCGCAATTACTGTATACTCAGCCTAAGCTCAGACCCACCGTTCTCAAAGCCCTGAAGGTCATGGTCGACTCTAATGTTGCTCTCGCAAGTGGCGATGAGCTCCTGCTTGTCAAGCTTCCGGAGGCTGCACGTGCCTCGCCCATCAGTCAGAGCGTCGCAATGAAGAACGTTGCATTTTTGCGCACGCAGGTAGAGAGCTGGCTTGCCGTGTTTTTCAACGTTTTCAGCAGCGTCGGACGCGACAGCCAAGGCCCTGTCGGTGATGTAATTAGTGCTTGGCTGGCTATTGCCGAGGGCAAGGTATGCCATTATTTTTCGTGTGCGACAAAATGCTCACAGCAAGTTTCGACAGGATGTCGCAAAGGCGTATTATAAGCTTGTTGCACTCCTCAAACAAAACCTCGGCTCTAAGTCTTCTGCGTCACAGGTTGTTGGTAGTCACAAGGACCCAGACAATGTCGTATCGATGACTCTTGATCTGCTTGTCCTCATGCTTCCCTACCTGCCCGCCAACGAAGCTCAAGCGCTCTTCGAGAATTGTCTGTCGAAAGCAATCCTGGAGAGCAACGATAACGCTGTCCAAAAGCGTGGCTACAAGATCCTTGCAAGACTCATGGAGGGCGGGAAGGTCTCCGTTGAGGCGCAGGCTACCCTCGAGAAGCTAGACAGTTTCCTGGACGGTCTCTCACCTGCTGCCAAGAAGGACCGTTTTACTCTCCTCGGCCAGCTTGTCGCACAGATTCCCTTGAACAGCTTGCATCTTATTCCTTCCATTATTCCCGAGGCTGTACTTGGCACCAAGGAGCCATCTGAGAAGGCGCGGTTGGCGGCTTTTGATCTTGTCGTGGAGATGGGCCGTAAAATGTCGGAGGGCGGTGTTGTACGGCGGGATCAGGTGGGCGGTATGGACGAAGGCGTCGCGCGCGAGGCTACCGCCAGCATTGAGGAGTACATAACCATGATCGCTGGTGGTTTGGCTGGTGCTACACCACACATGATCAGTGCGACTGTGACTGCCATCTCGAGGCTGGTGTTCGAGTTCAGAGGTTAGGATGATCTTTTCTTCATCGTTGATTTGTGCTGATGAGAAATGCAGACTCTATTTCGCCTCAGATGCATACTGAGATTTTCACGACCCTGCTCGTGTTCGTCACCTCGAATAACCGGGAGATCATCAAGTCCGCTCTCGGCTACATCAAGCTCGCAATCCATACTATGCCGGTTGATCTCCTTCGACCACATCTCAAGCAGCTGGTTCCAGCGCTGCTCAACTGGTCGCACGACCACAAAAATCATTTCAAAGCGAAAGCCCGTCATATTTTCGAGCGCATGATTCGCAGGTTTGGGTGGGAAGAGGTGTACTCTTGCGCTGGTGAAGAGGAGGCTCGGAAGGTCCTCGTGAACATCAAGAAGCGCAAGGATCGTGCGAAAAGGAAGAAGACCCAGAGCGCCGAGAATGAAGATAACGAAGAGGTTCCGTCGGCTAAGCCTGCTGTCGGAAACGCGTTCGAGGACGTCCTTTACGGCAGCGAGTCGGAGCTGGACGACAGCGATGATGAAGACGCCACTTCGCAGCCTGTCAAAGGCAGTCGCACGCATCAAGCGACGGGTGCTCGCATCCGTGCGGATGATAACTCGCCTATGGATCTTTTGTCTGGCGCCGCATCTGGTATCACCAGTACGTCCCTTTTGACAACCCTGAAACAGCCGTATTACTGACATGTTGTTAGATGCTATGACTAAGAAGCGTCGTAAGCCTGGTAAGGACGCTGCTCACTTCAAGACCGACGAGGAGACTGGCAAGATGGTCATCGACGAAGAGGAAGCCATTGAGCAGGATACGGAGATGGGCGAAGATGTTGCTGGTGCTGCGTATCGCGAGTCTCTCACGTCCGCGGACGGTCTCACACGTGGTCCGAATGGACGCGTTAAGTTCAACAAAGATACCAAGAAGCGGCATCGCGAGGAAAACGACATGGAGGACGTAGAAATGGCTGATGCTCAAACTGCGTCGGGCAAGAAAGAGAAAAAGAAGCACGAGCTCAGACTGGGCCAGGAGTTCAAAGCCAAGGTTTGGAAACTGTCCTTCTCATATTTTAGGCAATTGCTGATCAGATCCCACTTCGACAGAAAGCGGGAGGTGATGTTAAGAAGGGCGGTGTCGACCCTTACGCGTACATGCCTCTTGGACAAGCGGCTAAGAAGAAGGGCAGGCGCGAGCGTCTTGGTATTGCAGGGAAGAGATGAAGTACTGGTATCTCGCCTCATTCAAACAGCAGACGCTGTCATACAATTTGCGGTGGCTGGTTTCGATGCCTCCATCACTATTCATCTCTCTTCAATACTGCGTCTTATCCGTCGTCTTCATTGCTGCGAGCACGTATTTAGGGTCGAGCATGTAATGGAAATGCTGGAGTGCTGCCGGTTCATGTGAACGTTCATTCGTGGGAATAGGACTGACTTCGTTCACGGCCCGTGAATCTTGACTAACAGTGAGTGAGTAACTTCTTTCCGCATGGAGTCATGGGTCTCGCTTGCTAACAGTCACACGCAATATTCCCAGACAATGCACTGATACGCGTACTCAGGGCCCTTATAGACACGAATTGAACAAAGCGCGATTGCGCGACTTTCATCTTATTCCACTATGAACTTCAGTGATGACAATCCATCACAGACGACGGCACTCCACGTTTCAGAGCAGCATAAGTTCAGAGTGGCAATCTGGTGCGCTCAAATCCAAGTATGGGAGCGTGTTCTGACTGACGGGACGTTTTATCAGCGGAGGTGGTATAGGTGGACTATGCCTTGCTGTTTCCCTGTCAAGGTATCCGGACATCAAAGTTGATGTCTATGAAGCAGCCCGTAGTTTCAAGGAAGTAGGTGCCGGTATCATGGTATGGGGAAGGACGTGGCAAGTGATTAGCCTGCTTAACTTGGACCGTACCTTGCGTGAGGTTGCGGGGTTGGCTCTGGATGGCTCAGAAGGTGTGTGCTTACGACGATCCGGATGAGAGTAAGCGTAACGTGAAATCTACAGACCCTGAGTTTGGGTTCGATTTCCGCAGGTCTGACATGGAAGGCGAAGGCCATCGGATACATCTTCTCAGGCTTCCTTGTAGGTAATAACTTATACGCGTCTTTGAGGTCTTAACGCTAGCGCGCAGGTCCTGGACATCTCTTTCACCGCGCACACTTTCTCCAAGCGTTCGTGGATCAGCTGCCCGAAGGGTCAGCTCATCTCAACAAACGCCTTGAATCCTATAGCCAGTCCAATGCCCTGAGTCCCATTGAGCTCAACTTTGCCGATGGTTCCATCGCATCCTGCGATATCCTGGTCGGAGCTGACGGCGTCAAGTCTGTAGTTCGTCGGTGCATGTTCCGAGACCTGACGAAGAATGGCGATTCAGAAGTTGCCAAATATATACAGCCCTTCTACAGCGGCACTATCAATTATAGATGCCTGGTACCCGCAGAACTGTTGCCAGATAGGGACGGCGAGATGCATCGTGCGCGGAGGGAAGCAACCATGGTAATTTGTTTCACTAATATGAGAATACGTTACTCAGACGCTTTCATTCGCCCAGTACTGCGGACTTAACAAGGTATGTATATGTATATATAGCTTTTCTGCCTGCCCTTTATTGACTGACTGCAGCATATCGTGTGCTATCCTATAGCACGCGGTAAACTAGTAAACTTCGTAGGCATGGTGACCCTGCCGGAAGCCGAGGGGTGCATGTATACCAAGCCATGGGTCTCCGAATGCTCTTCCGAAGAAGTCTTCGACTGCTTTGAGGGCTGGGAGCCTGAAGCTCAAGATCTGGTCAAGGTACGAGCGAGTCCACCTGAGCTGTGCAGAAAGGATGTTGAAGCTGTCCCGTAGCTGGTACAGAAGCCAGTGAAATGGGCTGTGCATCAGCTGCATCCTTTACCGACATACATCGATAGACGAGTTGCCCTCCTCGGAGATGCCGTACGTATCCGCGTCCACATTCCGGCATCTGAATGTAATTAAGGAAATGAAATAGGCTCATGCCATGACCCCGCACCAGGGCGCGGGAGCTGGACAGTCTGTGGAGGTACGTTAGCTTTTCTTGCACATTGGAAGTTATGGTGATATGTGCCGTTAGGATGCCTTTATTCTCGCAGGTCTGCTCGGTCACCTCTCGGTAACCAAGAACAATCTTGAAGAAGCACTTCGGGCCTACGATCACGTCCGTGTACCCTTCGCCAACAGAGTCATCGAGGGTTCCAGGAACGCAGGCGCGATGTACGAGCTGAGAAGCTCTCATGGCAACGATTATTCAACGTTAGCGCCGGCTATCCAGAATCAGTGGGACTGGGTCGAGAGCGAAAGTCTCATTGCTCAGCTTGAGCGAGCTCTCAGATGGATGGCCATGGATGGCCAAGTAATAGCGACTGTGAAAGCTTCTTTGTGACAGTTCTTAGACTGTGTATCGCCAGACTAAATGTTTTCTCGGCTAAATTCACAACTTCTTTTCATGAATCGACTGAACCGCGATGTAGCAGTCCTAAACGCTAGGGCAGTTGTTTATACACTTTATGTGTGGATTCGCTGATTATGACTGCCTCTCCCGGCCCGATACTAATGAGTTGCTGTTCACAGGGTACCCATGGTGCGTGAACCATTTGCTATCTCCTACTATTACAAAATCACACCAAGGCTTCTTTCAGGTATGCTTCTGAGTTCGAGCAGTTCCTTTCGCACACTGGGGCCAAGCTTATAAAGGTCAGTTCCCGAACACTGTCTCTCAACAGACCTCACACCATGCAGCCAAGGTTCAGGGTAGCCATCTGGTACGTTCATCCGCATCAATGAGAGGTGTTAAATCCTTGGATATTGACGTCTTACTCTAGTGGGGGAGGCATAGGAGGCATGTGCCTTGCTGTCGCGCTCTCGAAGTACCCAGACATCGAGACAGTCGTCTATGAAGCAGCAGGTAACTTTCAGGAAGTCGGTGCTGGAGTTATGTTGTGGGGTAGAACATGGAGAATCCTCACGTTACTGGGCCTCGATAAGGCCTTCCGCGACCTGGCAGGTGTAGCAGTCGATGGATCGCAAGGTATGTCTCACCTGGTAAAGGTTGTGGGCTTGACTAATTGTGCACATCTCAGACCCTCCGTTCAACTGGACATACCGCAGGTCTGACATGGGAAGTGAAGGTTACAAGATTGACACAGTAACCTTGCCCTCGTGTAGCTTCCAGCATTTTGTTCCACAAACTCGAACTGATTCCTGTCTGCAGGCCCTATGCATAACTACCATCGAGCTCACGTTCTTGAACTGCTTGCCGGAATGCTGCCGGAGGACACGGTGAAGCTTGGCAAGCGCGTTGCCTCTTATCAGAGAGTCGCAGACTCCAGTCTAGTTGCCGTTACCTTCGCGGACGGGTCCGTGGTCACTTGCGATGTCCTCGTGGGGTGCGACGGTATCAGGTCTGTAGTGCGACGATACATGTTCGAAAGCTTGGCCGAGAAGGGACTTCCCGAGATGAAGAAATACATTGAGCCCGTCTGGACGGGCGAGACACTGTATCGAGCCCTTATTCCTTCGGAGCATGTGTCGAAGCTGGGACTCGGGGGCGGAAGGAAGTATTCAGTCCTCGGAGATCCTCTTATGGTGAGTTACGCCAGACACACTACCGTTGCACCGCTCAAGCCTCGCTGTACCCTCTTTCAACGTAGTATTGTGGAAAGAACAAGGTATATACCGCATGCTCTGACACAAAATCACAAACTTTGACACTGAAGATCTCGACTGCAGCATTTCATGGGCTATCCCATCGGAAGGGGGAAATGGGCGAATGTAGGGGGATTTGACACACACCCCGAGGCTGCGGGCACATTATACAGTGGGCCTTGGGTTCAGGAAAGTTCGTCAGAGGAACTTCGTGGTGTGTTTGCGGGATGGGAGTCCGAGCTTCAAGAGGTACTCAAGGTTTGTCTACTATACGATGATGTCCGATTCGCTGTCTGATACCCTAGATTCAGTCTATAGAAAAGCCCACCAAATGGGCTATACACCAGCTGCAGCCGCTTCCCACGTACACCTCTGGGCCGGTCGCGCTCCTGGGTGACGCGGTGGGTCTCATTTCAGAGATACCCTGCCCTTACCCTTATCACACGCAAACAGGCTCACGCCATGACGACACACCATGCATCCGGAGCGGGACAAGCGTTCGAAGTAGGCTCCTTCGCAGTCTCAGGCGCACCCAGCCACTTCATAATCTCTCTTCCCAGGATGCATATATTCTCGCTGGTGTTCTGGGGCATCCCTCAGTAACCAGAAGAAGTATTTCGCTTGCGCTCAAGGCCTACGAGCACATCCGACTACCGTCAGCGGCAGATGTCATGTCAAGGTCAGGCAAGACTGGCCCGATTTACGAGTTCAGAAGCCCTGATTCAGGTGATGATCATACGTCATGGATTTCGGCACTCCGTAAACAATTTGATTGGATTTACGGAGAAGATCCAGCGAAACAGCTAAAAAGCGCGACAGAGTGGATGGCGAAACAGCAATTAGCGTCCTCTGGCCGTTCCAAGCTTTGATATCACAGTCTACACATGTATACCGCAGTTCTAGTTCGTGTCATATGCGGCGATGCGCTGTATCATCTGGCGAGTTGAACGTACTGAGCGCTTGTAGTAATACCCGTTGTGGCGCCCCGCTCCCATGACTGCGTCAACATCCTCCCACCCACTGTTACTCGGTTCACTCACCGGGCACTAGTGGTTACTTACATGAGCTCGAATCAGCTTCTGCGGATTTACTATGTCAGTACGGTCCGGATAATGACGGCCCTATAAGTACAAAGCCTGAGGTCCCGGTGGACACGATTGTCGAGTCGGCTCTCGCACAATCAGCACCAGTCTGAATGATATCTTCTGCACCACAACCGGATCCTAAGTTCCGTGTGGCTATATGGTCAGCACATGATAGTCTGCTGCTCTAACGGTGCCTCGCGCTCACACTTCCCACAGTGGCGGAGGAATAGCCGGACTTTGTCTCGGCGTCGCGCTCGCCAGGTACCATGACATAGATGTTAACGTGTACGAAGCTGCAGCGACTTTCAAAGAGATTGGTGCTGGAGTTATGATGTGGGGAAGGACGTGGCGGGTGCTATCCCTGCTCGGCTTGGACGGTGCATTCCGAGCGCTGGCAGGCGACACTAAGGGTGGTTCCACAGGTATTGCTGCCAGTGTATATTGTGGGATAGGCACTGAGGATTTAATAGCACGATCGTTCTCATACGATTACCGTCGAGCAGATGAAGGGCCGGAAGGTCATCTCATACACCGCTTGGAGCTCCCCTGTTAGTCGCGTTCATCCTTCTCCGCCCCCGAGCCGTAGCTCATGCGGCTTGGACAGACGAATCGCATCTTTACCACAGAGCACACTTCCTGGATGTGCTTATTGACCGCCTACCTAAACGCATGGCTCATCTCGGCAAACGCCTTCAGTCCTACACGCAAGACGGTTTTAACGCTTCCCTACAATTGAAGTTCATGGATGGCACAAGCGCAGCCTGCGACGTGCTCATCGGTTGTGACGGTATCAAATCTGTGGTCCGTCGCCTCATGTTCGAGGCCATGGCTGCGGAGGGACGGCCAGAGATGCGCGACTACATCGAGCCCGTGTGGACTGGCGAGATCACGTACAGGGCTTTGATTCCTGCAGAACACCTGCCGCTCAGGGATGGAGAGAAGCATCCAGGATTGTCTAGAACGATGATAGTACGTCAACATGTACCTGGAAGCGTGAATTCTTATGGATTTTTCACCCTGCGTAACACAGTATTGTGGAAAGAATAAGGTGAGTTACATTTCGTGGTGGGCACTACTCACACTCTAAAACATTCATCCTACAGCACTGCATCGCTTATCCAATAGCCCTTGGACGGATTGCAAACTTTGGAGCTGTTGTCACCGTACCAGAGCTTGAGGGTACGTATTACACCAAGCCTTGGGTCGAAGAGTCGACAGCGGAAGAGCTCGCGGGTGATTTCGCGGGATGGGAAGGCCAAGTGCAGGATATTATCAGGGTGCGCTCTCGCCTGTACATCACCTCTAGATATGTTCACCTCGTCATGCTCAGTGTGTAGAGAAGCCCTCGAAGTGGGCACTGCACCGGCTACGGCCCCTTCCTGCGTACGTGCACAGCCCAGTAGCTCTTCTAGGCGATGCAGTACGTTCGGCCTTCGAACAAATCCATGTACGGACTCTTAAAAACATTTGCACAGGCTCATGCGATGCCGCCCCACCAAGGCTCAGGAGCAGGGCAGGCAATCGAGGTAGGTCTTCGTCAGTTCCTTCTGTTCCTCGAAGCTGAGATAAGATTTAAAGGATGCATATATACTGTCCAGCATTCTCGGCCACCCGTTAGTCACACTCGCAAATCTTTCACAAGCCCTGAAGGCATACGAGCACGTTCGGCTGCCATTCGCCAATCACATTCTAAACGCTTCCAACAACGCGGGCAAGCTCTGTCAACTCCGGAGCAACTACGGGGACAACGAAGAGATATTGGCTCTGGCGTTCCAAGGCCAGTGGGGATGGGTCGATAGCGAAGACCCAGGTGCTCAATATGAGAGAGCGTTAAGATGGATGGATATGCAGACAAGTCAGGAGGAAAATGGGGAGACGGCTGCGAAGCTATGACACGTTATCATGCAACCCGCTTGGGCGAACTTGCAGCGAACTCCGAATCTACCCCAACATCGAAGAAGTTTCCGAGCTGTATATTCTCGCTGCTGGATGACATAAAATCATTACTGCTGATCCTTAAGTTTCTTGACTAACTCTGGGACCGCTTCGAAGAGATCAGCGACAAGACCGGCGTCGGCGACCTGGAAGATGGGCGCATCTGGGTCCTGGAGGGTACGATGACATTAAAAAGAGGTTACATAGGTGAGAAAGCAGCTTACCTTGTTGATAGCGACAATAAGCTTGGAATCTTTCATACCGGCCAAATGCTGAATGGCGCCGGAGATACCGACGGCGATGTACAGTTCAGGAGCGACGACCTTTCCTGTCTGACCAACTTGCAGCGAGTTATCGGCATAGCCTGCGTCGACGGCAGCGCGAGAGGCTCCAATAGCGGCGCCTAGAACATCGGCTAGTGGCTCTAGGGTCTCGTTGAAGGTCTTCGCGTCTTTCAAAGCGCGTCCACCCGAAACAACACGGCTCGCTGCACCCAGCTCCGGACGGTCGGACTTTGTCAGCTCGGTCTTGATGTGTTCGGACCGTGCACCCGAAATCTCTACAGGATCGATAGACTTGGCCTCCACTTCGGCTCCGTCTGTTGGAGCAGCGCTGAACGCGGTCGAGCGCACGGTGAAGAACTTGGGCGCAATGTCTGAGGATGCGCGGACTGTCGCAATGGCATTACCAGCGTATATGGGGCGAGTGAAGGTCGTGCTGTCTGTTGAGCGGTCGTGTTCGACAGACGTGATGTCAGAAACAGCTGGAACGTCGAGCTTCGCGGCCACGCGAGGAAGTAGTGACTTTGCGGATGCGGAGTGCGCGGAGACAACATGCGTAAAGGATGATCCCTGTAAGACCTTCTCGAGTAAAGGAGAGACCGTCTCCGGTAATGGTGGTTCATAACTGGGCGAAGAGGCATGCAGCAGATTGGTCAAACCCTTCAACCTAGTATAGCCATCGTCAGACAGGCAACGGCCAACTGAAGACGTTCAAACGCACTTCTGCGCCTTAGGCAACACCTGCTGCACCTCTTCCGGGGAACCTACGACGAGACCGGTGACCTGGCCTCCAAGCTTCTCCGCTGCGGTCAAAGCGGACAGCGAACCTGGTTCGATTACACCTCCCCGATGTTCGAGATAAACGAGAGCATGCGGACTCGCAGCGGTGGCATACGTCCTTGACACAAGAGGCTTGAAGGTTGCAAGGGGGCGAGCACGTAACATGGTGGGCGCGCGACGTAGGTTATAGAATTACACCCCCGCATGCACGGCTCGGGATTCCCCCGCTTCCGGCTTGCAACTTACAGCGCTTACCGCTCACTTGGGCGTTTGACACTTCCCCAGCACTTTCGCCCGTACCATAGCGTACGTGGATACGGTAATTCTTATGAGTTGCTTCTCCAGACTGCAGATTTGGTATGAAGCAAGCTAGCAAATCTGCATTCTGTAGTGAATATCCATGCGTTACTTCTCAAACGAGCTGGCTCGGTCCCTCAGCAACGCGGTGTCTGTTCGTCATGCAACGCGTTCTTGAAGTACTGTGGCCTTCTATATATGTTTCTGTATTGTTTAGGGATCCACAGCGTGCATCTATGCGTGCCTCGATGCTGCCGCGCGTTGCCCAGAACCTGGGTCATATCAGGATATTGGAGCTCCCCCGCACTGGGCTCCTAGTATCTGCCGTTTATAAAGGCGCAGGGACCCCTGACTCTGCCAGTCCTCTCCTTTCGACCACCACCATGTCCAAGAAACCCTGCCGTTTCCACCTGAAACCGGGCGGTTGCCGCTACGGAAGCAGCTGCACGTTCGCTCATATCGAGGGGGCCACGTCCGCTACCGGTGGCAATACTACGGATGCGGCGACGCCCGGAAGTTCTTCGACGTTCGAATCCTCTCCAGCTCCTCCTGGGAAATGTACATTTTATTGGAAGACCGGTGACTGCAAACGAGGCTTCCAATGCCGCTTCAAGCATGATCGGCCTGTAGACCCGTCTACATCGACCCCTGAAGTAACGACGACGAGAGCGAACGTTACTGACGCATTGCTACCGTTCTTGACACCCATAGGTATCTCTCGGTTATTTGAGACTGGCAGTGATGCCCTTTTTGCTGGGAATTCGAAGCCGAAAACACCGTCCGAGGTACACAATTATCTGAAGATGTATCTCCGGGACGACTATCATTTCCGCAACGTATTTGACATGCACAGTTATCTTGCCTTGCTATCAGATGCCACATCCAGTAACAGCACCTGGGTGAGTGTATGTATCAGGCATTGAGCATGCTGATGCTTATAACGAACAATGTCAGACGGCTGAAGACGGCCAGGTGAGTCTCTCTCCATGCCTGAATGCCTGCTTTAAGCTCATGTAAATATGCAGTTGCTGCTATCTGCCGTTGCAAAGGTGTGTTCTTGGTGTGGTGTTTAAAGACTGGCTCACCGATCTGATGTCATCAGGGCAATGGTCTGCAACGCTTTAACGATATTCTCAGCTGGGAAAGCGTCGCTGTCTGTCCCAGTAATAATAGGAATGTCCTGTCCTTTCATCGTGGTTATATTGCTCTGCTCCAAGTGCGTCGTGGATGGTTTACCTTCGTCCAAATATTCTAACCAGCATCTGTATAGTATCTTTCCTCTGATTTTGTGGTGAAGAGTGTCTTGTCACATCTCATCAAGTGAGGACAACATGAGCTGATGGTGTCCAGCTACTGACCATCTACAGCGCACTTTACATGGTCTTAATGGAGCACTTCAGCGCCTTTTCGCGTCACCTCCAGGCCTGTATGGCGAGTATCATGACCAGCGCTAAGTCTTTCAAGGAACCAGCAATGGCGGCGGGGACGAAGAATGTCGGAGGCGCCCAAGTTTTTGGCGCACTTGTCGTTGTCCTACTTCAGTAGGTGCCCATTCTTTGACAGTCAGAACTGGTATTTATTGTCTCAGATGTCTCACGCGGATCAAGAACGCGACGGCAAAACATCCCGAGTTACGACCTCTGGTCCTCAACCTGAGCGACTGGGTTAACATCTGGGCCATTGGGATCACCACAGCATCACCCACCTTTGACGATGCCCTTGCATCAGCACCCCCACAGGCGAGGGAGCAGATTATACAACATCTGAAGGCAAAAGTGGAGCAGTTGGTCTCGATCGTGAATCGAGAGCATTCAAAACTGGAGCGTTCGAAGCAGAGTCGTCCAGTTCCAACTGCTGTTGACTCGGACGAAGGCATCATCGCTGCACTTCACAATAGCTATGTAGGGCCTGGGGAGCTACGACCAGAGGGCCCTCGGCATGACAATGATCACGTCGACATCGAGGATATCAGGATTGCTCCTACCCATGACGAGCTTATTTGTCGTATCCCTCCGTTTCTGCCATCCACTTTATATAACGCACCACATCCCGCTCGACTGGATAGTCCTGAGAGGTTGTTGGATATCCAGTTCCGACTACTCAGGGAGGAACTGACGTACGCCATCGCATCTCTCTGCTCCCTGCGTACGCTGATTGTCCCCTCTAGCGCCTCTCTTCGCACCTCGGTTCAGCTTGTCATGAGTGATCTCATCTCGCCCGATAAACACACGCAGCTGGATCAAGTCCTTCAGCGAGGTGGAGGAAAGTACCATGGCCACACAGACAACGAAGACACCGTCATGTTCAATGTCTACACCAATGCCGAGTTCACGGAAATTACACCTGACAGACGAGGCTTGTCTGCTGGTCTGATCGTTGACGCTCCTCCGGGCCGCGCTCGTGCGGCTGATCCTAATCGCAGAGCTTGGTTTTGGGAAGGCATGAGCGGCAAGCGTCTCATTTCGGGCGGACTTGTCGCGTTGGTCTGGCAGAGGCCGTCAGGCATCGACGTCCATTTGGGCACCATCTCCAGCTCCATCCGCGACCATGTCACATCTGCGAAGCAGAGCGCTTCGCGTATTGCCATCCGGGTCTCTTTCTTCGACGCAAATGTTCAGCTTCGGATCCTACAGGAGCTCAGGCGTCCACCTGAGGATTGTGGTGATTTGAAGCTACTCGTTGAGGCTACCGTTATGTTTGCATCGGTTAGACCTTTCCTCGAGGCTCTTTGCGTCGAGCCCACGAAGCTCCCTTTCAGCCGCTACCTGGCGCTCTGTCCTCCGGGAGAGCTCGGCAAGGTCAAGATCGAGGCGCCTGTCTATGCTCGGAACGCCAGCTTCTCGTTCCAGCTCGCTTCACTTTTCCCGTCGGACGCGGGCACTACCAGCCTTCAGCTGTCGGTCACAAATCCCGACTCGATCGAAAATGCGAGGACAGAGCTTCGTACTTGTAATAGCTTGGACCCCAGCCAGGCGGACGCTATTGTGGATGCCCTGACCCGAGAGTGGGCTCTGATCCAAGGGTGCGTCTTCTCATTTAGGGCTGATTCAAAGCTTCACTGACATTTTCCTAGGCCTCCTGGAACCGGAAAGGTAGCGATATCTTTCTATGCTTTCACATACTCTACTAAAACTAAATCGCAGAGTTACACTGGTGTTAAAATCATCGATATCCTACTCGCAAACGGGGTTGGTCCCATTCTCATGATTGCCTTCACGAACCACGCCCTCGATAATATTCTCTGCTCGGTGCTCGACGCTAATATCACTAAGAAGGTTGTGCGTCTTGGGTCACGCTCATCAGACGAGCGTATTTCCCAGTTCTCAATCGAAGCCATGGAAGCGGTTGCGGGCAGATCACGCCTCGATCGTGCCTTCTCCGACAATCATCGGGAAGTGAAGGCTGTCGAACAGCAAATTCGGGACCTAATGAAAAAATGCTTGAAGATCAACGTTGACAGCGAGGACATCATGGATCACCTCAAATATGCCTTCCCTGGCTTCTACCAAGATTTTTCTCAGCCCCCGTCATGGATCCAACTTCTGTACTCTGCGAACAAGGGTGCAACATGGACTCGAGTGTCCCGGTCCGTACAAGATCTACTTCACTCGGATAGCACGATCTACGGATACTGGCTTCGTTCAGACGACCTAGATTTTTTGGAAGAAGCACATGTACAACGGCATAGCCTACCCGAGCCAACCGCCCCGTCAACTCCTGCACCCAGCTGGGAGCCATCTACGAACACAAATCCGTACGAATTGCTGCGTGCCCGTGACAATGAATCGGGAGCGTCTTCTGGGTCAGTATCGATGGTGGATGCCTCCGACATAGCGGACAGCGATTCAGACTTCGACGACGCTGAGGATATTCCTCCGGAAGAAGCATGGCAGTATCTGACTGTAGAGCCAGAGGAGAACGTCACTGCAGATACGTCACTGCAGATAACAGTGCTGCTGACACTGCTGCAACTTTGTCGGAGCAGCCCGGGCCTTCGAGCCCTCCTTGCGCGGAATCTATCGTTGAGCCGATAATCCACCATGTTTCATCTTTGCCGGAAGGTATCCAGCCCTCGGATTTTCGCAATCTTGGCCAATTCTTTGCGGCCTGCGGCTACAACACTCTTCCTCTCATACCTGCCTCTGATCGCAAGCTCAGCGTGCTTCTTGAGACTGACGACGTCTGGCAGCTTTCCCGTGTAGAACGCAAGAAGTTACATGAGCACTGGGTGGATGAGATCCGCGTGATTTCACAGACGAATAGGACAGAAGAGTTCGAACGCCTACGCCGTGTGCATACCGACACAATTAAGCAGTACAACGAAGGCAAAGCTGCCGTATGCCATCTTTTCTCCCTCACACTACCACAGCAATGCTAATGTCTATCTCCTAGGCTCGTTGCGAATTGCTTCGAAACGTAGACATTATCGGTTGCACGACTACTGGTATGCTGGTTGTCTCCTGGCGGCTGAGGGTTGACCGATGGCCGAATTTCGTTTACAGGCGCGGCAAACCTCACTGCGATGCTCGAGGTATGTGTGCAAACTTGCTATTCCGTGATATTGGTGATCGAACAATGAGGCAGACAATTGGTCCGCGTGTCATGCTTGTCGAAGAAGCGGGACAAGTTCACGAGGCCCACGTCTTAGGCGCTCTTGTATCATCCATCCAGCATGTCGTCCTTATTGGAGACCCCCAGCAATTGCGTCCGACGATCAACAACTACGGTAGGTATTAGTTTGGCTATTGTAGTGTGGAAATTCATTCTCGTCGCAGCGCTATCAACGGAACACAAGAGCGGAGGCAAGATATACAAGTTCGACATGTCCTTGATGGAACGCCTCTCGACTTCGGGCTTCCCGATGTCCCAGATCGACGTACAACGGCGAATGCGACCTCAGATCTCAGATCTTATACGGTATGTGCCAATTCTCATTCATATAAATTGTCTGACTGGAAGGGCTACTCAGGCGAACGCTCTACCCGAAGCTAGAGGATCATGAGTCTGTAAAGAACTACCCTTCGGTACGAGGCATGCGCGAGAATGTCTTCTTCTTCGACCATCAACACAAAGAGAATGGGGGTGAAGACGATTCCATCTCCAAGTTCAACCAGTTCGAGGTATGCAAGGATACCGGCAGACATTTGAGCATCATCCTTACTTCATGCCCCTTCAGGTTGACATGATCGTGGATCTTGTTATGTATCTACTTCGGTATGTGACCGGTTGGGTACGATATCGACGCACTATCTGACAACCTACTTTCCAAATGACGATAGCCAAGGTCCTTACTCAGCCGAAGGTGATATCGTCGTTCTCTGTGCCTATCTAGGGCAGCTCGCTCGTATGCGTGATGCCTTAGCACAGAAAGTCACAGTAGTTATCGACGAACGAGATCAGCGAGACCTGGCTGATCGTGAGGCGGATCAAGAAGATCTCGGAGACGATGTCACCACCGTCGAGCATGTCAAAGTGACACGCCGAGTGCGTATTCGTCCTTCTCATATACGCTGCAGCGATTCTATCCCTTGACCCAGGTCCGTCTACGTACGATCGACAATTACCAAGGAGAAGAAGCGAAGGTGCGCCTTATTCCGTCGAATACAGGGAGTATAGGCAGAACATAGTATGATATCAGATTGTCATCTTGTCCCTTGTACGAAATTCTGGAGGCGCTAAAGATGATGAGACGCTCTGTGGGCATTCGTCCAAAGGGCGCGTCAATGTCGGCTTCCTCAGGGTGCGTAAATATGTTTCATTACTACCGCACGATCTGAGATACCTTGACTTCCTAGTCTGAGAACCGTACCAATGGTGAGCAAAGTATCACGCTAATCTTGGATGCACGCCGACTCTCGCCTAGTTGCGCTGTCGAGAGCCCGAGAAGGTCTATATATCCTTGGCAACGCGCGAGACCTGCGGCTTCGCAGCTCCATGTGGCGTTCAGTTCTCTCTATCCTAGAAGAAAGCGACTGCGTTGGTACCTTCCTCCCAATCGCCTGTCATCGGCACCAGGATCAAGCTGAGAAAGTCGCCAAGCCCGGACAGTTGCCTCGAATCGCCCCGGATGGTGTGTTCCATACATCCAATACTGGTTTCTTTTTGCTGAATTAACTGTTCCATCAGGCGGTTGTCTGAGGCAGTGTGATTCAAGATTGAGCTGTGGACATCTTTGTCCATACAAAGTATAGCCGGCCTTTTCGGGGTATAGAACATTCGCTGAATCCATGTACTAGTGTCACTCCGACGACCTCAACCACAAGAGTGTGCGATGCGAACAGCGCTGTACTAGGCTCTGCCCCCGCGGACACCCATGCTCGAGGCCTTGCGCGGATGCATGCGGGCAATGTATAACCATGGTCTCTCACGTTGAGCTTCCGTGCGGTCATGTCAAGACACAAGTTCCTTGGTGAATACCCTTATAATCTTTTGCTCGTCGGGAGTTAATCACCATAGCAATTAGTTTCGCGCTTGATGACCTGTCTGAAGTGTCTTGCGGTGTTCATTTGAAGAAGCAGCTTCTGGACTGCGAACACGAAGCCGAGATGGCATGCTCAGACGATCCTGCTCTATACAGGTGCAATGCGCCTTGCAACGGTATCTTGACGTGCTGCAGCAGGAACTGCAAGGCCGACTGCCATCAGTGCCAGCAACTGAACCCCACTCCGGAAGGCTCAACTGGGGTGGCGACCAGGAATGCCCACCAACCCCATCAGTGCCAGAGGCGGCTTTACTGCGAGCACCAGTGTAGCAAGATGTGCTCTGAAGAGCACGAATGTACGACAGAATGCAACGCACCCTGCCGCCAGAGCTGCGCACATGCACATTGTAGGCAGCCTTGCTCCGTTCCCTGCGCTCCTTGTCAAGAGCCGTGCTTATGGTGAGTGAATAGATGAAGCTATCGTTATGTTAGATCTCACTGCAGATGTACAGGCAATGTCCGCATCAGACCTGTCCTGTACCGTGCGGTTCTGTGAGTTCTCAGCGTACTTCCTGGCTATTCTTTCACTAAACCCAATTCATAGGTCTGCGCTCGCCTGCCTTGTGATTTTCGTTGCGAAGAGATATTGGAGTGCGGCCATCGCTGTTCTTCAGGTTTGTATCTGCATCATATGCCGGACCACATGCTTATTTTATTCTAGTTTGTGGGGAGGACTGCTCGATTCAGATTTGTCCAGCATGTGCGAGCCCAGAGCAGGGGGACGTAGTCGTAGACCTTATCCTCGGGAGATCTTTGGCCGACATCGACCCTGATATGGAGGGTCTCGATGACCTCCTCATTACTCTGCCGAACTGTCGCCACGTCTTTACGGTCGAGACTCTCGACGGACACGCCTCAATGCAAGAATATTATCGAGCCGACGGTGGACGGTGGATAGGTCTGGAAGCCCCTCCAAACGACTTCAGGAAGCCACCTACCTGCCCGACATGCCGGGTGGCCATCAGGTCGAACCGGTACGGTCGAGTCTTCAAGAGAGCTGACCTGGACATTTTGGAGAATAACGTTGCCTTCCGTATGTCCCAATCGCTTGCCGCGATAGGGCGCAGGGTCAAGATTACACCATTGGGCACACTCAAGGACACGCTTAAGATTGAGGCCGCGAATGAAACCTTGTCAATCACCAAGGCTGCTCAGAACAGGAACACCCACCAGAAGAACCAGAGGGCACTCCTCCAGCAGGTTCGCAACACGCCGCTCCCAAGCAAGGGTCTCGATCCGAGCAACGGCGAGTTGCATGGAATTCCTGCATCTGAAGTCAGGTCATGGCAGCTGACTCTCCGTGGACTTCTCGCCTCGTACAACGACGCTGTTTCTGTCGCGAGCATCCGTTCGGCACATATGCACGCTTGGGAAGCTTCCTTTTCGTATCTTTACCAGAAGGAGATGGACCTCGCTGCGCAGCATCCGGAGCACGCCCCCAGGAATCCGCATGAGCACGCGATGCGCATGGCTAGACTGGGCGTTGGTCAGCCGCAGCCGAGAGCAGATCGCAGGTTCCTGGTCGAAGCCTTTTGGACGTCCATTCACATTCGCCTCACGCTCGCCGACCTCGCGCAGACCTGGGTCACCGCTCTTGCATCCAGGTCTGGATATCTTTCTGAGAACAGACAGCTGTGGGGGCGATTTATTTCGTTCATCTTCCGGTCTTGCCTTCAGGACGGTCGAACTGCTCTCATGATAGCACAGGAGTCCGAGAGCCATCGTCAAGTTGTCAAAACATCGCTGCTGCTCATGCGTATCAACATTGAGTACTTCCGTTTCAACATCGAAGGTAGTCGTGGCAAAAGCCGGCTTCGTGACCGCCGTGACCAACTGGCATCCCGAGCGAAGGAGAAACATGAAGAAACCCTTCAGCACAGTGAAGCTGTCAGACTGACGCACCTCGAGATCCGACGTGCCGATCAGGAGCAAGAGATCCAGTGGCTTACCACGACCTTCGTAGACCCAGCTAAAGTTATCGTCCAGGAGTGGCAGAAGCTCGAGCGGTCTTTGCGAATGGACACCTTCTACGAGCCAGTCTCACTGGGGGAGATGCAGGACATCGTCAAAGGGCTCAATTTTTGTAAGTCACAATTCTCAGTGTTGTTAATGATTCTGATCGGATTTGCAGCGCATACCGGCCACTTCTACAAGTGCCCGAAAGGTCACACTTTCGTCATTGGCGATGTGAGTCACATTACACTTCGAGTAGCATTTGTGTTGACGGCTGAGCTCTCGATAGTGCGGCGGGGCGAACCAGCAGTCCTTCTGCCCTGAGTGTAGTGCACCTATTGGTGGAACAGGTCACAGCCTGCTGACAACCAACACGCGCGATATGCAGTATGAGGAGCTCGCCCGTGGACATGGTGCAGCGCGCAGTCCGTGGACGTGGGGAGTGTAACGGACACTTGGCCGTTGATCGTTCGTACCTGATCTTCATTTGTAAGTTGTGTTTACCATGGGTGCCGCCGAAACACAAGCCATATCATTATTCCGTACGTCCGGTGACCTAAGGAGAAAGTAAATGATCATAAAAGCGAATATGCAAGACTGCGCTTCAATTGTCTCCTTCGTGATATGTTGGAGGCGGCTCCGATCTATCCGCCTGGAAATACTGCATTACCCGCCTTAGGTTCTCCACTTCTTGGCGCAAACCCTGCACGTCCGTTGGCGACACAGGGCTAGCAGCATCGCTTCTCGATGCAACTGTGGGCGGCTCCCTACTGGACGACTGACCGTTGGTCGACGTCAAGGTGTATGAAGAGCTCGCGTTGGGAGTATGTGTTGGCGCCCGCCGCCGCTGCCGCTGAGCTCGAGCTCCGAGAGATTTCGTTGTCTGGGGGAGATACCCTACGGCTTGATGTTCAGTCTGTACATTCGCATTCTCCGGTGCAATCCAGGGGGCGGTCTCTTCGCGAACGTAGTTGTATGGCACAGGTTGCGTCATGTTCGCATCGAGCTTTTCGTCGTCCGAACGTTTAGTTCTGCGCCAAAAGAACAAGCCGACGATGAGTATGAGGATAAAGCCGCCTACTCCTCCGACAACACCGCCTACTATGGCCCCAACGTTCGAATGTTTTGACGTTCCAGAACTCAAGCCAGGACTCGAGCTAGGGCTTGGCTCTGAGCTCCCTATGGGCTGAGCTATGTTGATGGTAACATTAGGAATACTGGAATATAGGGTACATTTGCTAAGGGAAAGAACACATTACGATAAACCATGCTCACCTCAATGCGAGAGGAGCAAACATTGCGCCAACCCCAGGGCTATATCAAGCAGTCAGGAATGACCAGCATTGAGCTTCTCTTGTACCCACCTCGCTATGGTGCTATCCAAAGCAGAGCCGTTGCCTTTCAGCGAAAATATCGTCGAGAAGATCGTCCGCGATTCGTTCTTGGAGATAATGTTCCATACGTAGTCCACGAGGCTGCCTTGTACGCTGACATCGTTCATGGTCATAGCAGTGAACAAAGTCCAAGCTGCATGCAACTTTCAGCCTCGGGAGCTAACGGGCAGATCAATGGGGGCATACCCGTGTTGCCGTCTGCGTCTGAGTCATTATCGATCGGTAGACCATCTGTGAACAGTCAGTGCGGACTCTCCTGTACACAGACGCCATACACACTTGGATTAGATCCCAAAAGACTCTGTACAAACGTCGTCTCAGAGCTGTACACCTGAGTCCTCTATCAGCACACGTATCAACGGGTCCCGATAACAGTCACCCACCGAGTCGTCGACGAGGCCTGTCCCGAGCCACTTATCTGCGTACAGGTTGTACTCCAATGCCCACGACGAACCTGGATCTCCGAAATTTGATAAAATATGGTTATCGGAAGACAGGGCGAGAGACTTCCAGGTGTTTGCGTATGCTTGTGCCGTGCTCTACATGAGGATTAGATAGCGTCAAGTACAGTGACGAAAACAACATTATAAGTATACGCACGGAGTAATGCTGTGCATCCTGCTGCTGATCCATCGCCACACTCATCTGAGACATCGCGCCGATTGCAATGATACCCTTAATTGCCAAGTTCGTCGAGTTGGGTCTCGGCCCAGGGTCAGCACTGATCCTGGGGTTGTGATCAGTACTTGTTTCCTGAGCACACGACACCCGTACGTACTGGCCTGCCGGTAGAGGTGACGTGTTATTTACCAGATAGTCCGCCCATCGCTTTAGTAACGGATACTGTTTGCGGAAGTCAGGGGCGATAAAGCAAAAGGGAGCGGTGCACGCACGTATGTACTGATCAATGACCCGTCTCCCGTCGCTCGCGCGTGCGCGAGGGTCATGATGAGCATGTTTCCAGATTCTAGAGATAGATGAGTGAGACGTAGGGGAAGCACGGGACTGGCAAATGACTTGCGTTCTACACCCTGATCATGGGTTGTGGGATCTCCTGTCGCATTAGGATAATTAAGCCCTGTAATCATAACCGTTAGGGCGTCACGTAAATCACAATCGGAGGACACATACCAATATGTCGGGGCGAGTATGGTTGTGTCCATGCCGGCGAGCTCGCATAATCCAGAACAGGCTTCAGCAGCCAACCACCGTACGACCCATTGACACTCAGAAAGAACGGGAACGCAGAGTATAGCACCTCCACAGGATTCACCCTGCCACTAGGGCCAACGTCCTTCATGAACATCTTCACGTCAGATGTATTGTAGCTGCCCGCAGAGCCTCCGACGGTAAGCTCTGTTCCTGCCATCGCCTGTCGTGCAGCGATAGAGACGAGATCGACGAGATGTGGCGAGGTCGATGACGCGTTCTTCGCTAGTGCTGCATCAAAGGCTTCCGCGCGCTCGACGGCAGAGCTGTAGTCTTGCAGGAACGATGTGATCTGGGATAAACGGTGTGAGTACTGAATAACACTACCACTCGAACATCCTGCCGCACTATGTCTTGAGCTGCACCTTGGGTGCGCCAGTAGGGACTGCGCATCTCTGGTGCACCCGAGGCCGTCACGGCTTGGATTGCGGGATCTCGTAACATCCCTACGGCCCAAACGACAGCGTCCGTGGTTGTCGTGACACTACCAAGGTCCATCGAGATAGCAAAGACCGGGAATGGACTGCACAGAGCCTGAATTGTATACTTTATGACCAGTAAGCATACCACGTACTTTGAGATACTCGCGGGCCCCGAGGTAGCCGTGTTCTTCAGGGTCCCGGCACTACTGAACTGACCTCTGCAGTTCGCATCCAAGTCTACCATGTAGGTCATCTGCTGGCCCTGATTTGCCTCTCAGTTATTGCTGAAATCTGCTTCTTAGACAGTATACTTACGAGCAACGTCGCGTAATAGGTCGTAGCATCCTCTGCCTGATTTGCTTTCTCAGAGAACGCCTCAGGGATCTCCAGCGATACTTGATGATATAGGATGGTATCTGTTGGCACTGTCTGCCACTGCATGACGTCTCCACGGTTACCCGAAACCCATTCTGCAGCACATACGATAAGAGCCTCTCTCTAATAACTCACTGTTCGACCTACCTCCACTGATGTCAGAGTAGACCTGTACAGCATGAGGCTGTCCGTCGTTGGATGTTGCTGTCAGGGAGACGTAGGAAAATGGAAATGACTGCTTGACGGGGTCGGTTGGCTGATACTGAGTCAGTGTGGAGCACGAAATGCCATGTGGTCGAGGGACATACCTCTATCGGGGACAGATATGTTATATTGAGATCAATCGGTCCCGAAGTTATGCTCATCACCGTCCGCGTTGGCGTGATTTGGATGTTATTGAGGACCGAGAAGTTCAATCCTGCGGGGCTATCTGCATCCCCTTGCCATTTGTAGGTAATGTTGTTGTCGATGCGTATGTGGCCAGCCCATCCGAGAATGGCCTTTGAAAATAGCGGAGATCAGTGTCCGGCTCTGGCGATGGGAAGCAACTCTTACGCTGTTCCAGAAGAGAGGCCATATTTCTGGCGCACGCTTGACTCCGGGGCCAAAGGGTATGTTTGTCGTGTCCATCCAGGCACTGAGGTATGGGCTACGCACAGCGAGCGGGACCCATGAGGTCCATAGGGTATCGCTGAGCTGCGCCTGCGCGACGAGAACCAAGCTAGCTAGAATAGATATCACGTAGCATGGGTGAAGTCTGTGCAGCATTTGGAACGTGAAGCGTCCCAGATTCGCTACGGAAGTCGGGAAGGCCTTTGGCAAAGAGCAAACCGAGGTGTCTGTGGAAACCTGCCAGCAAGTCGTGCTGGTGGGTATCTGCTGCCCTGCCGACATCACATCATCTTGCCTTCCTCCGTTCGTAAAGATCGCATCAGAGCGGGCCTGTGCAAAGATAGATGCGGGGGCGGGAGAGAGTCGTATGTTGATTGTTGTTCATTTCCGTTGGCGTGGGCTGTGCGGCGGCATTGACGGATGTGCCTGGCCGGGGACCTCAATTGTCGACGGGACTGACGCGCTCCATAGATTGATGGCGCATCAAAGCTTACCATTTGTGGATTCACATGCTCCGGAAACGGGTGCTCTACGCCCGCATCCGGCGGCACTTGGCTCTAACTCCCCAAGTGCTTTTTTCCACTCATCGAGTCATCGACACACCCTGCTTGCTACTCGCTTTCAACATGTCGCTCCAAGGACTGGTTTCTGGCTCAGAGTGCGCAGTGCCGTTCAACCCTCTCTCCCAGGTGTTGAAGCACACCGAAGGAGACCGCAGTGTGCAGCAGGTGCGCTTAGAAGCATGCAGCTTTAACACGCTTCACTCACCTATCGTATGTTTATGTTAGGACCGCGTCGCTGGCCCCTCATCTTCAAGGGCAGGTCTTTCAGCAGCCTACTTCACTACGTACTCGCTCACTATGGCAACAGTTGCACCACTTGCCTACCACCACAGGTCCCGCTACTGCAGAGCAAGACCGCTCCCTTGCACGACAGTTCTTTGAAGGGGCACCGCAGAATGGCATGCCCAATGGCTTTAGCACAATGCCTCACGTCCTGCCACCACAGATGGCCCTGCATGCACCGCGTGTTGCCCCTGCGGACCTTAACGGAGCATGGGTGGAGGTACATGATCGCGGGCTCATGATGAACCAAGAGCATGCGCAGGGCTCGTCTGGATGGGCATCTGAATTTGGGGGCGCATCGCACATCCTTCCGTCTGGCCCTGTGCCGCAGGGGCAAGGCTTTCAGCAGCAGCAGCAGCCGTCCTACATGTCGTCTATGACATCTGGGATGTACGGCATGCGCCAGGGTATGATGTATCCCATGAATATGGGCGCTGTCATGAGTCCGCCTCCCATACAGGCAACTGACAAGGGCAAAGGCAAGAACCGCGAGATCGACTTCGACGCTGCATTCGCTCAGCTGGATGAGGCCCTCGGGCCGAGCCCAGAGGAAGCTGCGCGGGTAGCAGAATTCGATGATGTCGCGGACCTTTCAGAGGCTATGGAGAGGGCTCAGCTCCGCGAGGCTGCAGAGCAGAACAAAGAAAGAGTTGGTTCGGATTTCGAGACGTAAGACCATGGTGCTACGCGATACACAAGTCATACTGACAGGGTCGTATCAGAGTTTGGGACCATCTGAAGAGCTCTGAACTCCCACCGCCAGACGAAGAGCTCGCGAAATGGGAAGCTCAGTACCGGGAGCTCATGGAATCTCATCGGTCGGACATGGACTTTGATTACGGCGCTAGTTTGGGAGAAGCTTGGAGGAATAGCGAGTTCGATGATGAGTTTACCAAAACTATGTTCGATGACGAGGGCGTCCCACAACTGCAGCCTTACATGTTTGGTATGTTCTCTCTCTCATTCTGTCTGTACTCGCTAACGCCCCCCATTACAGAACCGGAGAACAAGTACATGGATCCGTCTACGCACACGTCTTCTTCCCTGAATGACGCCAAGGCCCTACTTGAGCAAGGCGGATCATTGACAGAAGTCGGTCTCATGCTAGAGGCCGCTATTCAGAAGGGCGACCTTGGTCGAGGCGGTTACGAAGCATGGATACTACTTGGCGAGGTTAGGAGTATGGACGAGCGCGAGGACGCAAGCATGCGCGCCCTGAACGAGGGTGTCAAGAGAGCGGTCGAGACTGGCGCAGCTGGAGAAGGCATGATTGTGAGTTTTTGCACAAGAGCCTGCTCGCTAACTGAAGGCTGATGGAACCTGTAGTCCCTCGCTATCTCGTTCACGAACGAAAACTACGAGCGCGCCTCTCATACAATGCTGCTACGCTGGTTGCACGCGCGCCACCCGGAGTTCCCGATTCCTCAAGAAGCATGGGACACTCTGCGCGGCTCCGCCTGGGCCTCGCACGAGCGCGTTACGGAGACATTTATCAACCTCGCACGCGAGCAGCACGGCCGTGGTGAACTAGACGCTGACGTACAGATCGGTCTTGGTGTTCTCTTCTACACCCATGGCTTGTATGATCGTGCCAAGGACTGTTTCGAGACAGCACTCAGCGTGAGGCCCAACGTAAGTCATAGCGTTGTCGCCGGGAAAGCATTAGCTGATATGCTGTGTGGGGCAGGACTATTTGCTATGGAATCGTCTGGGCTCCAGCTTGTCTAATGGAAGTAAACCGGAAGAAGCTCTTGGGGCGTACAAACAGGCCCTACAGCTTCGGCCGACGTATACTCGTGCTATCTATAATGTTGGCGTTGCTTGTGCGCACCAGTTCCTTGTACCCATCCATCCCTTCGTTGACGTTTCCTCCAGGCTTGAACCTCGGTGCACACAAAGAAGCTGCCGAACACTTCCTGAGCACTCTTGTCATGCAGGATTCGGACGGCAAAGGCACGAAGAGTGACCAGGTCTGGATAACTCTGAGTAAAACATTCACCGCCATGGTAAGTCCAAACCACTCTGGGCACGAACTGATGCGATGCGGTCTTCGGCTTCGACTATCCCGCTAACATTCCGATTCATTTCTGCAGGACCGGCCTGATCTCGCCGACAGAGCACGGGCCGGTGCAGACCTCGAAGTATTTCGTAGGGAAGGCTTCGATTTCTAGTCGGGCTCCCCGGCAGGTTTCAGGTAATCAGAATTGTAGACGATGTGCATATTACTCCTGTTGAGTGTATGCCGTGGATGGATTTAAACATGCTGTACAATATTTTGTTTCGTCGAGATGTAACACCTGGGCAGACCTTTTGTTTCTTGTGAGATGAACGGTACTATCATGTCACTTCTAACTGCCGTTCCTCTGCTCAAAAAGATTGCGTATCGTGGGAGTCGAGGACAGAGACAAGACTCCTCTCGGCTTGCTCTGGGTGCGACAAACGAGCGGGCGCTGATTGGAGGACACGGGCCGCACTTGCCATTGCGAGCCTGCGTGACGCGATCATCTGCACAACCTCCAGACTCAAAAAGTCATGTCGCAGAGAAATGTGCAGTGGGTAGGAAAAGGCCTCCCGGAACGGAAGAGTCAGACCCCTTCTCTGTTCCTATCCTCCACCACCAGGCATGTCGGACGGCGTCGAAATGTACGTCTGCAACCCGCAAAGCTCGAGTGGTGATCCTGGACTAACGGTGGGGTACTCGATGGCAGTCACTCCCTCTCGACGCCCTCGGGCCAGAGCAATGTTAAGCTCAACAAGTATTCGAGCGAGCTGACGCAAAACAAGGTGAAAGTCATTGTGGTGCCTTGCCATACGAATACTGAATCATCTCCCTGTACAGATCCGCGGCGGTGCACAGGCTATGCGTGCGTCCATACGACAACGAGTGCTGGAATTTATGCTGATCGTGGCACATAGTCTATGCCGTCGGCCTGACCGAGGAGGACATGAACAAGCCCCAGGTGCGCTCCAGCCCCCAGTGTAAAGCCGACAGTCCTGACGTTTGACATCCCCTCAGATTGGTATCTCACCAATCTGGTGGGAAGGAAACCCTTGCAACTCGCATCTGGTGAATGTTTCATATCGTGCAGCTTGATCTCTGCTAACAGCATAGTGAAGCTCGATCTCGCCAACAAGGTGAAGGAGGGCTGCACCCAAGAAGGCTTGGTTGGCCTGATCTTCAGCACTATTGGTATCAGGTACGTTTTGAGTTCACGGTGACGACACTTTCCTCAACTGACTTGTCCTTCCAGTGATGCCATTACGATGGGTACTGATGGCATGCGCTACTCGTAAGAGGATTTGTATTGTGACAAGGGTCAGCATTGACCTCTACATGCTCCTGCAGGCTGCCAAGTCGTGACATCATCGCCGACTCTATCGAGGCCGTAGTGATGGGCCAGTATTACGACGGCAACATCTCCATCCCAGGCTGCGATAAGAACATGCCCGGTTGCCTGATGGCTGCCGTGCGCCACAACCGGCCGACGATCATCGTCTACGGCGGCACAATTCAACCGGGGAAGCGGCACGTTGACTGCCCAGCGTTCGGTGCAAAGACGGGCGACGACATGACCGCTGTCGATGCTTTCGAGTCTTACGGCGCGTATGTTACCGGCAAGATCAGCGAAGAGGAACGTTTCGACGTCGTCCGTCATTCGTGTCCTGGCCCTGGCGGGTGTGGAGGTATGTTCACTGCGAACACCATGTCGAGTGCTCTTGAAGTGCTCGGTATGTCGCTACCCTACTCTGCAAGTACGCCTGCCGTCTATCAAGGTACGCTCTATCCGTTTGCTCCATCTTATGGGCACGCTCAAAGTGTGTCGACTTGACAGAGAAGGCACAGGAGTGCTACAAGGCGGCCAAGTACCTCAAGAAGCTGCTCGAGCTCGACCTGAAGCCCAAGGACATCCTCACTCGCCAGTCTTTCCTGAACGCTATCACGATCGTCAACGTTATCGGTGGCTCGACCAATGCCGTCCTGCACTTGCTCGCGATGGCCCGCGCCGCTGATATCGAGCTCACGATCGACGATTTCCAGACAGTTCGCGACCGCACTCCTTACCTCTGTGACCTCAAGTACGTTTTGTTTGCATAAAGCCGCATTGGATGCTTAATACAAGTCCTCCACAGACCTTCCGGCAAGTACGTTATGGAGGATCTCCACAATGTCGGTGGTATCCCTGCCCTCGTCAAGTACCTTCTTAAGCACACCGATCTCCTTGATGGCAACCAGCTGACCGTCACTGGCAAGACCCTCGCGGAGAACTACGCTGACGTCCCTGAACTTGACTTCGAGAAGCAGAACGTTGTGCGCAAGATCGACGACCCTATCAAGCCCGTGAGCAGCCTTCAATACTGTTTCCCCTGTTGCGTATATGCTGATCGTTTGCTGTTAGACCGGTCACCTGACCATCCTCCGCGGCAACTTCGCCCCCGGCACCGCCGTCGCGAAGCTCACGGGCAAGGAGGGTGAGCGCTTCGATGGCAAGGCAAAGGTCTTTGACCGCCTCGACGACTTCTACCCCGCACTTGCCGCTGGCGAAATCACAGAAGGCACTGTCGTCATCTTCCGGTACATGGGTCCCAAGGGTGCGCCGGGCATGCCCGAGATGCTGGGCCCGACGGGTGCCCTCATGGGTGCGGGCCTCGGTGGCAAGACAGCACTTATTACCGACGGCCGCTTCTCCGGCGCGTCCCGCGGATTCATCATCGGACATGTTGTCCCTGAGGCGATCAACGGCGGCCCGATTGCGCTCGCTAAGGACGGTGACCAGATCATCATCGACGCGAGCAGGCGCGAGATCCACTGGCTTGTGGATGAGGAAGAACAAGCTCGCCGCAAGAAAGAATGGGAGGCATCAGGCAAGGACCAGATCCGTGAGAGGCGTGGTATCTTGTACAAGTACGCACGCGACGTCGCTGTAAGTGGGTCCCACACTGTAAGGGATGACGGTAGTCTGATGATATGTACAGCCTGCAAACGTCGGTGCATACACCGACTAGATATCAGTCCTGAAAAGCGGATTATCGAAGGTGTTATTAACGTAAGTGTATCGATACAATGCTCATACTGTAACAGTGCTTGTAGAACGAGAGAACGCAACACAACATGTATCATCTGCCACACCTTGAGTAACTTGACTCAGCATGATGTGTAGAGGAACGCACCGAAGAGAATCCTGACTGAGTTATTTGCCCTTTGGTGTGTTCACCTCCGACGAGATGCTCCTCGGAGACGAGGGCCAGCGCGGGACTGCAGATGTACCAGGCGAGGCGGGCGTCTGGTCCCCATACCACGCGGGCTCCGAGGTGCTATGCTTCGTGTCAGGTCTTGGAGTCTCCTTCTCGGCGACGTCGTTGTGCGACGTCTTCAAGACAGACATCGGAATGGTGTGCGCATGCTGCAGGGAATCGTCGCCCCTAATTTTGGGGTCATTGTACACGCGCTGACCGGGGCGGAAGCCAGCCTCAACGATGGCGGGGTCGGGGGGTATGATGAACGCCTCCATCTTCTTGGGAGGGTCGAGCATCTCGCGGTGGCTTCGGAAGCCTAGTGCCCGCGCACGTTTCTCGCGGCGGTGGCGCTTGTAGAAGTAAATGATGAAGCCGATGATCCATGCAAGCGCAACTGTGCCACCGGACACAATACCGGAGATAGTCGGGGTCATCGAGCGATGTCTGTAGCTGAGGGTCAGGGAGGGCGCGGGTAAGGAGTAGAAGGGGCTTGCTTACCCGAGGAAGAGGTGTTGCGTGTGCGTTGGTGACGCTGAGGCCGTCGTTTGAGTTGACATTTCTGCTGAGTCGTGGAGCCTTGGTTCAGGCTCGTTCTTGGAAGTGTGTTGGCGTAGTGGGAGGAAACAAGGCTGGGGGAGGAGAAAAGGGAGTAGTCGTGGTGGCCGTGGAGGCCTTGGTGGTGGTGCTGGTCAGAGTGCTGGGGGTACGTCGTTGAGGAGTAGGCAGCGGCTGGTGCGGGTCCAGCAGCTAAGCGCCGGCTCTTTTGTGGCACGTATTTCGTAAGGTCTCCGTGGACGATCGTGAAGACGTTAGCTTGAGTATCTGTTCCATACTTATCCCTGTCCGTGTCGGGGGAACTAGACAACGTGTTTGGGCCGAGCAGTCGAGAGGCATAAGTTTAGTGTGTGGTACGTGACGCAGCAGTAATGACGACTTCGGGACTCGGAACCGCTGGCCTCACTTGTGCCTCAATCACCACTTCGCTCTTTCCCTCGTTAGTCAGACCTCAGAACATACGCTCTGGGAACGCCAAGGTGCATGCTGGCCCGTTTCCACTCGTTGTCTGGCGGACATAATGCGAGGCGCAGTCCTGCGTACCGCTGCTAACCATAGCTATGTCTGTGTTTAAGAGGCGAACCCTGAAACTGTAATGAACGGACGCGGGTGAGACTTTGCGAACTCGTACAAATATGCTGATCACTGAGCAAGCCGGGCAGCTCCCTCAGAAGCCATGCCTCCCGTACTTTCGCTCGCTGTCTGCCTCTTCGACAATGTGGCCTCGACCGACTTCCAAGGTCCAGTAGAGCTCTTTGGTTTCATCTCACCCAGAGGGCTGCCCAAGAGGTACTGGCCGACCGAGCCAGGCTATATCATTGAGGCAAGCTACTTCTCCGTCACAATGGACCCCGTGTATCCCATGTCGGGGCCTGCCTTGGTGCCCACCAGAACCTACGAGTCATTACAGCCAGACGAACAGTTTGACATTATCCTCGTCCCTGGAGGTAAGCCGCACGCACGCACGCACCACGCTAAAGCGAACGAGCTCATCGCTTTATTCAGGTATAGGCAGTCGTCCCGGGGTCACACCAGAGCCCGTAATTCAATTCGTAAAGAATCAGGCTCCCCGTGCAAAATATGTGCTATCCGTGTGCACCGGAGCGGAGATTCTCGCCCGCGCGGGAGCACTCGCTGGCCGTAAAGCGACCACCAATAAAAGGGCCTTGGCCCGTATCAGGGTGGGTCCGCTAACTTACTATGATATGCCTGTTCACTCATGGTGTACAGGGAGACCATCCCGAAGTTGGCTGGGAGCCGAGAGCGCGATGGGTAATCGATGGCAACACCTGGACTTCGGCTGGCGTCACAGCAGGTGTGTACACTTTCTCAACCTACGTGTTACCTCACCTAACATACGAGTACAGGCACTGACATGGCTTACGCGTTCTTGGAGCACCTAGTGGGCTCGGAGGTATCCAGTGTGGTGCGGAACATCATTGAGCTGCCTGTCCGCTCGCAAGAAGATGATGAGTTTGCAGAGCATTACAAGCTCCTTTAATCTGTTACACTGTCCACGCCATTTCGCCGAAGATCCCCCCTTTACATCGTATATTCGTTTAGTCCTGTTAGATGGCGCTTTGTCTGCTATAACATTTGTGGTAGTAATGTAAACGCTTGCGTTTGAAGCCCATAATGTGTCCCAATTTCCAAGAGCAAACTGTCGTCAGCGCTTCTGTAGCACAGTAACTTAACTGTGTACAATCCTACGCTGCTCGTTCATCAGACCGCATTTCTGCCACAAACACGATAAGAGCTGACTGCCCTACAGCGTGTTGCCAGCATCATCAGCGTCAGACGATTAATCCACCGAAAAGCCCGAGTCAGGTGGGCCACCTCATGCACTGCTCGCAGGCCGTCCACAATGCTTGGGCGAGCCATTCAGAATGGATAACATGCCTCACCGCTCTCTTCCTATCTTGTCGGAGCTCTTGTCATCCGGCTGGCAGGCCTGGGAGTAGCTGATAGACTTCAGCACCCACTTCGTCCGCATTTTCACGAGGTTGCATGGCGCCCCCTCCCCTCCCTGATCACCGTCTCCTCCATACAGGTTACGCTTCAGCTCGTCAGCTCCCGCTCGAGAATGCATATAACGCCATTCTGTCATAGCTCGATACATACCGTCTGATACAAATGCGTATTTCTGGCTGGGACGCTTCCTCTAAATGGACGGTCGGGACACACGCGCATATATCTCTGGGATATCACCAACCGGGTAGTAGTGGTGATAGCTTAGAGAACGACACCTCTGCCCATGAGGTACTATGAGCACGCTTTTGAATAAAATCAGCAACCACGGTAACTTGGTGGTGCTACTATAAAATACTCATCGTAATACCGAAACCGGTTGTGAGCGAAGGGCAGGCAGATACCATGGCCGAATGCGTGTTTCAGTACTAGATACTCGTAAGATACAAATCAGTTACTATCCACAAGGAGGGACGGGATATAACGGTGCCGGACTACATCCTTGGTACATGGATCTAAATAGACACTGTAGCGAAAATTATGGGTCGCCCTATTCGGCATCGAGGTGAGGCCTTGATCATCCCGATCGGCAAGACGACCGGCCAGCCACTTGAAGATTACAGCCCGCAGGCCTGACCGAGGTACGGAACGTGTATCAGTTCACTGTTATCTTGATTTACTGCTCTACGAATTCTGCGCAAATATCAGCAAAGTTTGGATCAACATGCCGCAAAACGCGTATGCGAGCCTTGTTGCGCCCATGGCTTCTCCGTTGCAGTGCACGTCGATTCCACGTGGGCACCCTGAGTTCGCCTATAGTCGGTGCTGACTGTGGGCGGCGTTGATTTAGGATGACTAGGGGTGGCACGATTTCCCAGCACCCGTCCGTCGACGCGTTGTCCCTGCAGCCTTGGAACCCGAGTTGTATGCATCGCCGTTTCACGCAACGATGCCTAGACCAAATGCCCTGCAGTCCCGTCAGCCTGCGATGCCTGCACCCAGACAGATGCTAAACGCTTCATGGGTGCAAATCAGCGTGTGCTCTAGTCGTGTTTGTGAGCCGCGGCCTCAGACGGAGTGCTTAGCGGCATCACGTTGGCGGTGGCACTATGCCCGCTGGTTGCTAGAGAAGTATCATCATCAGCGCGCTGGTATCACATTCCCTTGATTTTCTACGTATTGCGCTGCAGCTGTATCTCGTACCACATTTCTATTTACGTTCCCTGCAGCTTGTGCTGTTTCATGCTCCTGGGTGTTGGTCAGCACCAAATCCGATCTCGGAAATTCCCATCAAAACTTGCTGATCTCTGCAACTAAGTAATCAGGCTTGATCAAGATTAATCAAAGTCCCTTACAGCGGACAAGTGTCCTTAAATATCGATCTGCAGCCTGATGAGACTCATGAATCGACATTCAAGTTACGATGTCAGCTCGTCAGTCGGCTCTGCATTGGAAAGACGTGTGAACGAGATGCTGTGCCCATTTGTCCTTCGAATTCAACAGCAGGGCGAGAACTGTTCGGGCGCTGCACAGGTTCGGAAGCCCCACGAAGGTTATGGAGCGAACTGCCTTTTGTTGCACAGCCGGGAGATTCTTTGGCAGCTGCTAGCTGGTCTAATCACAGCTATTGCACAGGTTCCGCCATGATTCTGGGGTAGTGTTCTGAAACCTTTAATCCGCGCCCGTGATACTTAAGACGAGCAAAGCGTCCGGATAGCCAAGCCCACTGCTCTCTTCCAACGCATATTTAACGACATGTCTTTCAACCCGTCTTTCCCCAATTCCAACCAGTACGCTAACCCAAACTCGCCTCCATCCCAGCAGGGATATCCAGCTCCTGGGGCGCAATCTTCGTACCTTGGCATGTCCCACCCCGGATATCCACCCCCGGGCCAGTCTCCTATGCCACCCCAGTCTTCTATGCCACCCCAGTCTCCTATGCCACCTCAGCAGGGTGGCAGTGGCGCAAGGAACGTCGACACTAGTGTCAACCACGAGGGCGCTCAGTTCCGCGTCTCGTACAGGGACAACAACAGCTTGCTGTCTGTCAGGCTGCCGCCTGGCATGGAGCTCAAGGCGAAACCGGGATGCATGGTGGCCATGGACGCGACAGTCAAAATCAAGGGAAAGATGAAAGTCAGGTGCGCTGGAAACGTCGATTTTGTCCTGTTGAACGAAGCAAGCTGAAACCGCTCTTGTAGCTTCAAGAGGCTCATCACAAGCTCTGATTTGTCAGAGTCAACATTCACGGGCCCGGGCGAAGTCCTCATGGCTCCAGAAACATGGGGTGACATCGTCCCTATTCATCTTGATGGCAGTACCGTCTGGAACTTTAGCAAGCACGCGTTCCTATGCTGCACTCAAGGGGTCACTCGTACGTACAAGACTCAGAGCTTGGGCAAGACTTTCTGTGTGTACATGTTTTTTGCGTTACGATGAAGGAATGTGCTGACAGCATGCGATTCAGTCTCTGGTGAAGGCTTATTCGTCGAACAGTGCTCAGGCGCGGGTGTTATATTCGTCTCCAGTATCGGCGCCATTGTGCAAAGGCACCTGCAGCCCAATGAGCAATGGATTGGTATGCCTATCAGCTTACGTTACTTTTCATTTCCTGACGTCGTCCCACAGTTGATAATGGACATCTTGTTGCCTGGACTGCGAAGTATTCCGTCGAGCGCATTCAGGCGGGCAGCCTTCTGTCTAGCGCAAAAACCGATGAAGGTCTTGTTTGTCGGTAAGCCATCTTGATATAATACTATTTTTTCATGTATACGAATGATCGTCCTCGCAGATTCACCGGACCTGGCATAGTCTATCTCCAGACTCGCAACCCAGAGGTGTTGGTCCATTGGATCAGCGAGCAGCTCCCATCTTCGGGATAAGAACGAAACCTTAAGACTTGTACAATGACGACTGTAAGAAGTGTTCCACGTATCGAGTGTAATTATTTTCTTTCATGCCCACTTTACAAATTGAGAAGGGTACGGGAATAAACTCGTTAAAATTGTCAACCTACTACGTGCAATCCTTTGACTACCCGAACATGTTCCTCGTTACAACAGGCAGTTCCCTTACGTTCAATATAGTGAGCACACTATACGTAGCTTATTCTGGCAAGCATTCTGCATATACGCTGACTTCACATAATCCATCCAGAGAAATTTGCTATATTTGAGCGCAATAAAGATTGGTTTCTCGCATTGGATTTTCGGGCATTCGCTACAGAAGGGCAAGTCTCGCCAAACTCGCATAGCGAGCCTGCATAATCGAATCATTCTCTTTCGACCCTTCCAAGTGTGGCTTTACCATACAGTCGTCAACAGGGGTACCCCGTGCTCGCTCATGAAGCTTGCATGAAGCATCGGTCCTGGAATGTACATCCTGGTCTGTCAATAGCTCGAACCGCCGTTCTCCACATCTTTGTGAAGGTGACATCGTTCTGCATCCCTGGATATCCGCTACCAATTTTAGCGATCAACTGTTTCATCTGGAGGCCAGAAACACGGAGCTCTCCTCTGAATCTCCGTAGGTGGGGACTGTGGCAAGTTTGCTAGAGCATTCGAATGCGTTCCGTACACATCCTGGAGTTGTGCAAGGCGCAACAGTACACTTCCGTGAACTTCGTTAGGGTTTTGTGAGACAATGCGACATGGGAGTATGACGTACCTTGTGATACCGAAGGCAAGCTGTGTCTTCTCAAATGTAGAGACAGAAAGCCGTAGGTAGGGAGCCAGGTGTGCTCTGAGCAGTGAATGGTCCTGATGGCCTAACATCGGCGTAAAGTCATCCGTAAAGTTCGCTTCTTAAAGTCGAGATGAGGCCTAATGTGAGGATAGAGTTAGGTCAGAGCAACTATCTGATGCAAGATGGGTTACTTCCAATGGACACGACGTTCCGCAAGCCATGTAACTCTTCTGCGCTACACAAAATTGAGGTTTAGAATGAAGAGAGGGCTGGTGAGTTTAGAACTCGAGGTGATTAAATCTGTCAAGGGGGTTGAGGTGATCGAAGACGCAGGAGAGTATCAAGCTCTAAAGGCAGGTCAACTCCTGTAGCGGGCCAGAAGGATAGAGTCATTAATCAATTCTGTTCCGATGTGCGAAGACATGGGCTGAAGTATTAGGACTCGGGAGAGTAGGGTACATGACAGCGACGCGGCGGCACGCGCTCCAAACTCTAGTCACGTCTCACGTGATACCGATATCCCGACTGTCTGTCACGCTCTCGCTTGAGGCGCGTCCCTTCACCTCGACAACGCTCACTAACCCTATACGCGCATCTCGATTCCAGAACAACACCTGCACTCATCAAAAGGTCAAAATCTGCTGTGATACATAGACGCGAACATTCTGCACATAAACCAAGCCGGACGGTATGGACATTGACGTAGAGTTCGCGTTCGGCGAGCCTAGTGCTCTGCTGGGTGGTCCTTCTGGCTTACTGGAGGAGCCTGTCGAAGGGGAGGATACAACTCTGGTAAAGTTAGGAGAACATGCGGCCTTGCTTGAAGACGAGATGATGGACTTTGGAGGCAAGCACGCGTCTGACTATCTATTGGGCTGTATTGACATACGTTACGCGTCTTTATAGAGGCAACGCTGCTCAGTAGACTATCTAAACTCGAAGATGATCAAGCAGCAGCCGATGGTACGTCCCTATAGAAAGCGCAGTCGCTGAATAGACATTCAGTCTTGTCCTGCGGAACCAGGATTACAACCTCCTTCGACCAGCCTCTCTGCATCCTTCACCTCTCAATCACAAGGTTCTTCGGCAATCCTTCTACTTCGCTCTCGCTTACAGTGCCTTTGAATAGATGCACCAGAATTCCCTGATATCCGGGACCTGCTTCAGCCGTATAGAAGAACTACTTCCGCTGCCGAGCTGAGCCATCCCCCGCCAGCATTTCCCTCGTATCGCTCACCTCTATCAATACGAGCTACAACATTCGACGGAAAGACGGTGCTCATAAGGAAGAAGCCAAAAAAGTTCAGTGTACCCTCGGTACGTACCTGAAATCGCTGGATGATGCTCCCAAATTGAGAAGCGACATTCTAGACGCATGATAGCCGTCAACACAGATACGGAAATCTGCTTGACGTTCCAATACATCGTCTCATGGATGAGATATCTTTAAACGAGGCGCGGAGAATATCAAAAGAGTGCGTGTAGCATTTGCTTTGGATCGCTAAGAGCATGCTTCAATGTCGCTTCTGATAGAGAGCGACAGCCTCAGGTGCAAGCTCCCCAACCGACAGAATCGACATTGTGGGTAGATCGCTACCGTCCACAGCGGTATATCGACCTGCTGGGTGACGACAGGCTGCATCGCGAGGTAATGGCATGGGTTAAGGAGTGGGACTATTGTGTGTTCGGGAAGAGGAAAGGCAGCAAACGGGCAAGGGATGAAGAGAACCTTGATGAACACCGGAGACCAAAGGAGAAGGTGAGTCGCCTTTGAGCGGCGTGAGGCGTACTGAATAACGATTTCCTGAGAATAGATCTTACTCATATCCGGACCCCCGGGTCTAGGAAAGACCACGCTTGCGCACATAGTTGCGAAACAAGCTGGATACAGCGTCTTCGAAGTAAATGCCAGGTAAGACGCCTGTCATGGTCTGTACATGCACCTCGAAGTGATCTGGTTTACTCCATGTAGCGATGCCAGGTCAGCGCAAATCGTGGACGAACGTATAAGGCCTGCGCTTGAGTCTGGTGCGACCATTGGGAGCAGTAGGCCAACGCTTCTGGTTGTAGACGAGATTGACGGGGCCACCGGAGGCACGGATAGTGTGAGTCCAACAAGTTGTAACGCATATAGTCGGTTAACTTCGTTGGGTATAATGACAGTCGGCAGGCTTCATTCACAGATTGGTACATTTGATTCATGACAAGCCAAAAAGGAGAGGTACATTCAAATTTGCAGAGCTCTTGTTCTACGTTTAGCTCACTCATCTTCATTAGCGAAACGCGGCGAGCCACAGACCCACCGACCACTCCTTCGCCCTATCATATGCATCTGCAATGATCTATATGCAAGTTCTCTCGTCAAGCTGCGACCGAATGCACGGATCGTGCGTTTCAACAGACCAAACGACTACCGCCTTGTCAACCGTCTACGGGAGATATGTGAACTGGAGGGTCTTAAGGCGCAGTCATGCGCACTGACGACGCTTGTTGGCCTCGCACAAGGTGACCTCCGGGGGTGCCTGAATACACTTCAGGTGCATTCGTTCCTGCTTGCCGCTTATCCACAGAGCAAGACATTGACGGACCAGTTTCACTCAGCTTATCAGAGCGCGAAATGAAGAGGTGACCGAGAACGTCATACGGAGTGCGACCACAGGGATGAAAGAGGCCGAGGTCTCGCAGACAGCAGTGCTAAACGACCTCTTTACGCCGCTGCCGCATCGACGAGCCAAAGAGCTTGGGCTCACCGAAGACGACCTTGCACGGTATGTCGGCCGCCTGAGCCGCACAGTCGAAGCAAGCGGGGCGCCGGACAGGATCGCCATCGGCTGCTTTGAGCACTACGCGACGCTCAAGCGACACGACGCAAGCTTCGCGCGGTATCTGAGCGCGGACGAGTGGCTCACAACGTACGACGCTTTCGCGGGCGAGATGCGTGCAGAACGCGAATATGCGCTAGCGCAGTACCTGCCATACCTACTTGTGCCGTTTTATCCGCTCTTTCATGAGCGTGGGACACCGAAGGTGGAAAGACCGAAGGTCGATTGGGAGGTGTGCAGAGCCTCATTCACGTCCTGCAGGTGGAGACGCTAATGCTGAGGGTTTCTCAAGTACCGCACGCACACCCAAGTGAACGAGGAGGTATACAAGTCACTCGCCAAGTGTCTCATAACAGCGGGGACGCGACACGGTGGGGCTTACCGCCATCTCGCCAGCGACGGCGTGCTGCAGCTTGAGCTTGCGCCAATGATTAACAGGATTATTTCGCCGCCACTACGACCGGTACGGCTTCTACTCTATCTATTGCGTATGACGACGCTGACAGTAATGTTAGGTCAATAAACAAATTGTGAAGCCCGAGGAGCGAGCCATCATGTCTCGTCTTGTCGACATCATGGTTGCACTCGAGTTGCGATTCATCCAGGAGAAGTCAGAAGACGGCCAACTGATGTACCGACTCGACCCGTACGCTGTCTTTTTCCGCTTGCGCCTTCGTCACTGATCGGCAGTGTAGACCAATAGACACTTTCGTGACGTACGACGGCAAGCGCGCAGCGGACATTGCTGTTTCGCGATATGCTGTTAGGCATCTTGTCGCCGCAGAGGCAAGTACACAGCAGATATGCGCTCGCACAGTAAACTCATGTCCCGAGTAGATTGACGCACAGCTAATCAATAAGCAGGCCGAGGCAATAGACAGATTGAAGGGCAAGGCCCACAACTTCTTCGGTGGCGAAGGGTGAGCCACTAATCCACCGTCGAAGACCAGGCAGCAACTAATCACTCCATCTAGAGAGCCCGCTGAGCCGAACGTCGGCGAAGGCAAGCTCATGGCTGCAGACCCCGTCACGCATGCCGCGAAGCGTGCGCGTCACGACCAGATCGTTGAGGAAAAAGTCCCAACGGACTTCTTCGGGCGCCCTATCTTGCCCAATAAGGATGGCGCGGGTAAGCCTGTGAGCCGTGCGGGCAGGGCGGCTCCTCCATCTAGGCCAGCGGTGATCTACCGGTTTAACGAGGGTAACTCGGCGGCGGTACGTAAAGCAGTGAAGGTGTCTGCATTTTTGTGAGGACCATACATGCATTGCATGTACTGTTCTTTGCATAATTTATCTGAATGATTCCTTGACATATTCTCTTGCAATCTTCCATGTTCACCTTGCATGACCATGTGAATAACACTACTAGTACTACACTTGTGTGCAACCACAAGCCTCACATACTATGATGGCACCCTCGTTTATTAGTGTTCCCTGCTTTATTAATTTGCTTTTGCTACTTCAATCTGCCTCCGGAGGTGCTGGGAATATTTTTTAAGATAGCTCTGTATTCATGCTATAATATGATACCCATATCATGACATATATAAGGTGAAAGACGGTATGGTATTTTTGTAGATGCTCAGAAGCAGTCTAAAACTGGCTGAAACATGCTACTGATGGCTAGATCCAACCAGATCTCGCTCACCAAATATTCTTGCGACTACATTTATGAACTTGTGCACTTGCACTGAGCCTGGTAGGCTGATATATTTTGTTTTAAAAGTGCTAGGTACATGCACAGAGAAGGAACAGTTGTGGAGCGTTACAATGAACGGGCAAGGTGTGATGAAATTGTCACTCCGCCTGATCTCAGACACGGCAGGCAACGAGGGGCTCTCGACAGCAAGTCGCAACGATCCTACGCTCAGCAGTGCCACTGGAAGCTGTCAGTAATGCGCATGGGAAACCGGGGAGGACCTGGCAGGCCCCAGGTCCCCCGTATACATGTTCTCGCGTGTGCCTACGTGACTTAAGGTCGACCTTGGAAAGACGGCTCGGCTTCTCGGCAGCAGCACGACTCGACGGCATCTGGTGTGACACTAGTGTGACGAAATTAATAAACGAGGGAGCAGGTCCCATTTTGCGCACCGGAATCGATCCGCAGCTCTTGCAAGACCTCAATAAAATACAACAAAAATGCGAATACATAGTCAAGGTGTGCGCACATCGATTTATGCAAAACCGCTCACGAAGAGGGGTTGTGGTAAGCTACAAGAAGCAGATTTGCTCAATTTTTATAAACCAGGGTGCCATCATAGTAACTCTGGAAATAGCAAAGCCGGTCGGTGACTTCACCATCCTCCACTGAGTTCTCAGGCCACTTCCATATCCAAACTGAGTAAAATACAGCCAAATAACAGAAAGGCTTCAACATTGGACAAGTGCAAAACACTCCATATTCTTTTGCCCAGTGTGCAAAACAAGCCAACTGGCCCGCCGCAAACACAGAGCAAAGGAAAAAGGAGGGATCCCCCGACGACGCAAGCCGGTACTGCAGTGGCAAGGTCATCATGCCCCCGAGTTGCAAGCAGAGCTCAAGGGACAAGGGCGGCAAAAATTTGATAACCAATAATGAGGGCGGTGCCCTCATAATAGTGGTTAAACTATTAAGAACAGATACTACACTTGATCTAAGCCAAAAGGCCAGAGTGGTAAGGATTCACAGTGGGCGGGGCGCAGTTTATATACTATTGCGCGCTGCGCACGGACCAGGCATGCTTATGTAAGCCCGACGCGAGCCGCGTCTCGATCTGTCTTGGCTCAAAGCGTGCACGCGACGGTCCTTTGGTGGTTGGCAAGGAGCACAAGCCCCACTTTGACGGTCGTCTAGTTCGCTCTGTTTCAAGTAGCTTTCGGATAGAAGATGTGTACAGTAATATAAGGATCTGTTTCATTCGATAGTTACAGAGACAAGGCCCGCGCCATTTGGCCCACGACGTCACCAATGGGTCTGAGAGTGAAATGCCTAGTCTTTTCGCAAGGCATAGGGCATGAAACACGTCTTGGAGTGCATCTATTGTCACGGCTTACCATGTAGCTTGATCTACTAGGTCGGGGTCGAAAGTTGGATGGAAAGACCTGTGATGCTCCCCTTAATGTGGCGGCGGCGGTATCAAGCGGTATCCACGTCGAAGGTGCATGAACGATGACACATCGAAGTTCGGAGATACTCAAGCACAAAGATCCGTATCGTGATTCCGTAGTAGTTTCCACTCCGGCCGTATGGTACGAAGAAGTGCTTGGCGGATGCTACACGACGAAGAAGATTGGCGACGTAATTTTTTTACACCCGTAGCATGCAAAAGCAGCATTGTAGCGACAGGAAAGGACTTCGCTGGCCATGCTCACGGGTCCGGTTCTGCACGGCGAGGTCGATTCCGAGTGGAGCTGCGATAATCTTGCAATAGGCCGTAATGAAACGCCGTGAGCTTCTTAACTTCGGGGCAGGCGCAGTACGTACTAGTCACCGAGATAACGATCTCGCATGCCTAGCTGCTGCTGTTGCGCTTATGCAGAAGCCGCGCAGCCAATGCAAATGAAGGGTCAGGCAAGGGTCAGGCATATTCACATGTAGAGAATAGAGTGCCATTCCTGAATCGCAAGATCGATATGAAACCACCAAGGGTCAGGGTACCAAGAAAGACGAGTGGGACGACAGCGCAGCCAATGCAACCGATGAAGTCACCAGCAGCATTGCTAGGTCTAATGGGGTCAACCCGGAGTCTTCCTGGCCATCTGCGCTCCTTTGTATACGTCTATCAAGCTCTGCACTGCAGATCATTAGGCAGACATCTATACGTACAAGGTCACCATTGGTAGGTCATATCGCAAGCAGCATTCTATAACGTATATGCGTACGGTGTGCGCCCCTAGGAGTTATATCGGTGGATAGTGTGAGAGGGCCCGCCACTAACCGCGGGAAGCGACCGAGTTCGCCCTTGCGGTCAGCGTAATAGATAGCCGCTGAGGCTACCCGGAGTAGGGATGGGCGGGCAATCTCGTCCTTTATGCCGTCGTGAGAGATGCCAGCTACCGAGACATAGGGCAGAATTGGCTCACTGGCCGCCCAATTAGCATTCATGCATATGCATATCCAGCGGCTCCTTGGAGCTACGTGAGGAACCTTAATGACTCAGCGAATGGGAAGTGCACCGCTGTACTCCCCAAGGAGTGACTCGTCTCATCTTCGGGCTCCGGCTTTGCTGGTCTCAGCTGCGCTTGGCTTGCTGGAAGGCGAGAGGCAACCGTACTCAGGGCAGGCGGCGCTCGCGGGTCGATCGATAGGCGGACAACGAGGCACGGGAATGTATTTCTAGGAGACACGAACACGTTGTACGACGGACGCGGGAAAGCCGAAAGAATGGGCGACGGCTGGTGTGCAACAAGAGCGAGCCGAAAGCGGGCAGATCGTGTGCGCCTGAAGAGGCGTGGGAAAGCTGGGACGGTATATACCCGCCGAGTCGGTCAAAAACTTTCTGCAAGGGTTCGCCTTTCTCTCCCCCGCCCCGCGTGCTCAGCAGACAACAACCAAACCGCTCCCCCGCCACTTTCTATGATATTCAGCTGGCTCATTCGGTACGTCCCCAGCTCGTCGTCGCACACGCTGCGACCACGTCGCAACAGCCGTCTGACCGCCTTTGCCCCTCACAGACCACAGATTAACAACATTCTCTTCGGACCAATTGCTCTCCCCTTCGTCGACACAGACCGCCCCCCTTAGGGCCCGCTATACTTTTGCAACTCCTCATCTCTTCACCCGCTCTCCTGTCTCTTTCCTATGGGATAATTTCGTCTTCGCAATAGTCGGATCCAGCTCGTCTGCTCCGTCACTCATCCCACAGAGAACATAAAGCCCGTCTCCGCCTAGCGCAACAGTAGAACCATCTTATACATAGACAACTCGAGCGTATATCCTTCGCCTCTACCTAGACGAGCACGATGTACGCCCTCAAGACCCCTGCGTTCCTGCGCCCTGCCAGCCGGCCGACTTCGCCGGTCCCTGGCCCCACCTCCCGCCCGGATACGCCAAACGAGCGAGCTCGCCCCATGTCCAAGCTGTCCCTCTCCAACTTCAAGCGCACTGCTTCCCCGATGACTCACTCAACGTCGGCGCTCATACACGATGGGTCTTACATGGAGGTTCTCAGTCTCCGGCTCAGTGAGGCCATATCGAGGGCTGTAGCCCAACCGCCAGGCCCTGGTGTGCCCTCCGAGCTACTAAGTGGACGTCGGCCAATCCCTGCAGGACGGGGTCATGCATTAGGGGAATTAATTGCATCGTGCGTCGCAATGCTTTATGCGTCTGTTTCTCAGCTAACTTTGACCGTCGTTCCGCGCAGTGAAATCAAGCCTACCCGCGAGAATCCTCACCTTTACCGTGCAGTCATCCGCACATTGCATCGCCCCCTCTCGGTTCTCGTCACCAATCTCTCTGGCCAGCTCCTTCCCCTGATCGCCTCACCAGCCTTTGCAAGCGTTCCGTCGCCGCAGTCGCCCAACCTGAATCCCACCCAGCACCACGCGCTCGCAATCGCAACCTTTGCGGGCGAGTTACTTGAAACCTTCGACGGATTGGGGTTGGGTCGGGATGCTGAGATGCGTGGTGATGGTTTGAAGGGCATCCGAGACAGCCTTGTCACTACCATCAAGCGTGTCGTCGAACCGCTGGTCGCCGGCATCAAGAACGATTTGATGCCTCGCATCGAAGAACTCGAACAGCATCCGCCGCCCGCTGTCAGGGGACCGGGCGCCACGAAGACTGCGACAGTGCACCCTACCATCGCGTATTTGCAGAATGTGATGCCTGTGTATGCGCGTGTCCTCGGTCGCTACATCACGTCTTCGGTTGCTGAGGACTTCCTCGCCTCTTTCACGATCACGCTTGTTTGGCGCGGCCTTGTTGCGTTGTCCAACCGCCCTTCGCCTGCTGCTTCGACGACACCACCTGGCTCTCCGCCAATGGGTGCTCCAAAGGCAATCAAAGACAATAAGCGTCGCGGATCGACCTCGACGCCACCGACCACTCCTCCTCCCAGCAGATTCACGCTGAAGCTTCCACCTTCTCGGCCTCCTTCGCCTCTCTCTAATAACAAGGTGCCCGGCGTTGTTACCGATGCGAGGGCGCTCTATGACCTCTTCAGCCCAATTCCAAGGCCCAGTAAGGAGCTTGCACGCGAGGCGGTCCAGGACGCCTTCGACTCTTTGAGCGCACTCGTTGCCCTACTCGAGTTCACCTACTTTCACAAGGTCGATGCAGGCAACCTCGCGTCGTTCGAAGCTGAACTCGACGCGCTCACCGACGACCTTTCTGTGCTCATTGCGCTCCCCATCCTGCTCAGGGCGTACGTCTTCCCTCCAGCATCCGACCGTACCATCTCCCGCATGCTCGGTATATCTGAGGCCGCATACCGTACTAGTTGGCTGTCAGGCTTTGCGCGCGCGGAGGAGTGTGTGCCGGCGGTCGGCCAACGCGTACTGAACATCCTGCGCACGATGGACGGCTGCGAGCCGGGCAAGGAGGTTGTCATGCGGTGGCTGCAGCGGGAGGTCATCGAGGCAACAGCTGAGCAACATTGACTATTTGCAGGTCACTGCGCCGCCTCTGAGCTCACCCTTTTACAACGTAACGGCGGGTCGCACATCTCGACTTGCTGTCGCTCTTCCGCTTCAACGGCATGCAACATGTCTGTTAAGCTCTGTTCTGTTGCTTATTTTTCTTCTCTGAAGGACGGACTAATCTCGTTAATGTATTCCATTGCCCCCACAATTATCTTATTCGTAATTCACTACCATCATTGCAGTGATCTCGTCTCGGGCTGTTCTGGTCGGATTTCACCGGTGTTTCGTGTAGACTGCATCATGTCATACGATACCATACTTAAATTAATTGTTCCGTCTCACACAAAGCTCAGCTTAATCACTGTACTAGATTGGTGCGCAGTGGGTATACGTAAGTGCTTCGCTGGCTTGCCGATATTGGCGAGTTGCCCCATTCATGCAGAACCAGAGTATATTTCAAACTTGAGCTTGAACTTGCAACAGGCGTAAGTTAGTAATAGCTACAGTATCTCTGCCGAGTTTTGACACTGGGTAGACATATAATCCACTCGACCTTGTGTGTCAGACAGGACTCGAGGCAGGCTCTTGGCGTTCGGTCCGGAAGCCTGGATCTTCGGACGACACGCCTGCTCGAGCAGTCTTACGCATTATAACGCCCAGCACCGATGCACGTAAATCTTGTAATTGCCCGCCTTAACTCCGAGCAGAGTTTCAGCTGTCCCCTAAAGGCAGGTCCGCGGAGCCCCGGCCGCCGCTCCACAGGGCGCGAGTCTGCCAGTGCCACGGGCCTTGGATGAGAGTGCAAGCATGCATCGTTAACGCAAAACATAACTTCTTGTTGCAAACCTGGCGCATCCAACCCGCCCTACTTCTCTCATCTCAGTCTCAGACGACTATCCGACCCGAAATATCAAAGCGGAGGGCGGGGACCAGCTGACAAGCGCCTACGCCACCAATTGCGCGTCTGTCGGGCAGGGCAGGTGACCGGGAATCCGGGATAAATGCCGTTGTTCGCTTCAGCTACCGACACGCCCTCCTGATACCTCCGATTCCGTCCTCTGCGGTCGATCCCGCTGTACTTTGTGCTAAACGTATCTGGCTTGGGTAACCAAAACGTTGGACGCGCCAATTGCCCAGCGTTCCTGACGAGCTGCCTGCGCGGCGGTACTAACTTCGAATTCGTTTCAGTATGCTCGCAAAACCAAAAGACTGTTTATTATGCTTGTAGAGCCCAGGCAATGAGGGTATGTTCGTTAACTGTATGTGGTTGGTACTCGCGACGCGCCTGCAGGCCCTCCTATTTCCTGGCAGCACCCTGTTCCAGACGCAAGGCGCCTTCGACCTAACTATGGCAATTTATTTTGCAGAAGAGAGAAACAGTGCTCTGAACAAAACTGTCGTCGGTCGGTCTAGAGCAATATCTGGCGCTGCAGGAATCGAGACCTGCAACGTCATTGGTCGTCAGCCTGTGTGGGTACGTTTCGGGCGTGGTGGTCTCAGCTCTTCTTTGATTCGCTGTAAAATTCAGGGACACTATATTTCTCTGCGAGTTTGCCGTCAAAATGTATACTATACGACCGGTTCTATGGAAACGCCGGTACACATGAAGGCCGGAATGCAGCACTCAGCAGACACCGATGCCTCCGGCTTATATCATCATCTTTCAGGCCCACAGTTTTTTTTCGATTTTTCTCGGTCCCGCCTCCAAAAACGCGTTCAAAAACTTGAAGAGAGCTTTTGTCTCAGAGCGACCTGAGATCGGATCGACTGGCCCAAGTCCTTTTCGGCTGCAGTAATTTATTTTTTCTTCAAGGAATTTTTGCATGAAACTTGGCTAATAAAACAACGAGGGTCCTCCCCTTCTTGATAAACATGGACGTTGAATTTTCCTGTGCCCACCTCCGACTCGATCGCCCCGATGAAATTCGCTTCGAGTCTTGTGGCGTCGGCAGCGCCAAGCGCTCATGGTCTCGCGGGATATAAGAGCTGTCGCATGCACGTCAATGACCCTCACGTCCGAGCAACGTTTGAAAACCGGCTCACGCTAGACAATTGCCTCGGCCTTCGCTCTCTCATCGCCCTCTCTTGACGCCGCTTGTCTCAGAGCCTCCGCTCGTCCCACTCCCAGCACCCGCACCCAATACACCCCGAACCACTGCTTCTCACCATGTTTGCTAAAATCTTTGCTGTCGCCATCATGGCTCTTGCAGCTTCTGCTGTCACTATTCCCTCTGAGAAGCGCTCTGTTGACCCTTCTGGCACCCACAGTGGTGATGGTAAGTCCACCGCGAGTGCGTAGCATCGTCGGACGTAAGTTGATCTTTCTTGCCTAGGTACATACTATGAGACCGGACTTGGTGCTTGTGGCATTACCAACAGCGATACCGACTACATTGCTGCCGTGTCGCACACTTTGTTCGACAACTTCCCTGGTTACGGCGGCGGTAACTCGAACTCCAATCCTATCTGCGGCAAGAGCGCCACCGCCAATTGTAAGCCTCACATGCACTGTCACACTTCTGGACTGTATGCTCACACCCCTCGCTCCTATAGACGACGGAAAATCTGTCAGCTTCACCATCACGGACCGCTGCGTCGGTTGTGCGGAGTGGGACCTTGACTTCTCGCCTACAGCCTTCTCGCAGCTCGCGAACGAGGATGTCGGTCGCATCTACGGCGTGACCTGGTCGCTCGACTGAGCAGCCACGCGCTTTCCACTATTTATCCGCGACGCGACATCGCTCTCTGCATCCATTTTTACTCCTCAACGCCAGGGCGTTCCCCGATACAGTTTATTGTGCCAAGCGTGCGGCTGCCGGGGGTTAAGAAGATCTCAATTGTGGTTACATCTTTACATTACTCTTACCTGGCTTACCCTACTAGAATGCGTAGCTCCGGATAGCTTACGCGATAATTGTGCTTTGCTACTCGATTGTATCCAGAAATATCGCGCGACTGTATTATTATAGTATGTATTGTACTTAGAATTGGTCAGTGTCTGCCCAGATCTTGATCATCACTGTTTTGGAATCTATGTCGGTCGTGATCGTGTTGTCTCGCTACAACGGTGGTGACTTGCGGCAGTGAAGAGAAGGCAATGCGCTCGACGAGCATTCAGAATATGCATATAGCGTCTTGTAAGTATACATAAGATTATCTAGCTGCATAGTCCCTCTGCAGATGCGCGTCCTGAGTAATCTCTAGTCCCTATGACTACAAAGATCTAAGGGCCAGCCACCAGGGCCATAAAACTTCAATATTAGCAATAAAGAAACGGCATCTACCTCAAACCGGGCTGTCATTGCTTGGGAGAGCACCCTCTGGAAAACAAAGAGTCTCCGCCATAGACTCGGCATCGTTCGATCCCAAAGGAGGAAGTACTTGGATAGGCGACGGATCAGCGCGCTCGAGCCTATCATCGCCGGCCTTATCTTCTACCCCATCCCCCACTGACTTGGCGGGAGTCAACCCCGACTTGTCGAATGCCGACCCGTCCCAGATCGCCATGACGGTCCTGATGAATGTGGCTACCCAGAGGGAGAGCGCTGCGCCCGTCCACACGGCGCCGAACACTCGAAAGAACCCGCTGTCGAGCGCTACGCCAAGCTGGAGCGAGAGCGCGGCGAAGACGGCGTTCGGGACGACAATGCACCAGTGCGTGATGCTGAACCGCGGAAGGTCCCGCGCGCACGTGTAGATCGAGCAGCAGGAGACCGCGATCCACGCGAGGCCCATGCTCCACATCATGTATGCGCCGCAGGCGCAGAACGAATAGACGGCTCCGCCGCCGAGCGGCGAGACCGAACCGGGCGCGATGGGGAAGAGCTCTGCGGCCACTTTGCCGTTGAGCAACATCGAGTAGCCGCCTTGCCCAAGCGGAGTGACCGTCGTGAACGTGCTCAGCACGACCGTCGCGTTGAGAGGGCCGTAGGTGTATAGGCGCAGTAGGAAGGCGGTGGTAAGCATCATGGTGAACGACAGGCCGATCGCGAGCATGGTGAACGATGCAGAGATGGTCAAAACAGCCATGATGCGGGAATGCGGAAGTAATGAGCGGGCGAACAGGCCTCCTGTCACTGACATGCCGACGAGCGTGATGATTGGGATCATCCACACTGGACGGACCTCAGCGAGGTCGTGAGGTTTCTGCCCGATCATGAGGTGGACAAGCCCCAAAGTAATGAAACAGGAGAGTGCGCAGTCGAGCCACCAAAGCCCCCAAAGCGTATAAAGGAGGACTTTGCTTCCCGTTCCCCAATCGCTGTTTACAGACTAAACTAGAGTCAGCGCGATTTTAATACACACGACGGGTTACTAACGAGGGCTGCGTTTATGAGCTGTGCCGCGCCATTCGCGAAAAATCCAATGAACAAGCTTGTCGCCGGGTCGGTCCACATGAGTCCGCGATCCTGCACATGTTCACAATGAGCAATCACAGCTGGATAGGGAAGACACAACTCAATACCTCTGGAGATATCATGCAGCGCGCAACGGCCCAGATGCCCAGGAGGATAAAAAACACGAAGTCGAACAGGAAAAGCGAGAGGGCAGCGATTTTGAGTGCGTTGTTGTGAGGTTGATACGGAAAGTTGTGTAGCAGAGACGAGCACACGCCAGTAGCCATCACACTGATGTGCCAGTGCCACGAGAAGTTGCTGCAAGAGAGATTAATTCACGGCCCCGTACAGACGACAGAAGGTGTACGACTTACTGGATACGCTCTCGCCATTTCGTCTTTCTGGTATAAGGCCTAGGTGGAGGGGCAGGATGAGGAGGTGTGAAGGGAAGTGTGACATCGACATACGCGATCTCCTTCGCCTCCATGATGTTCCAGTATGAACGCAGAACCGAGAGCAATGCTGGGAAAGCAGGCCAGGTTGCATCCTGAGCTTCCTGAAGGCGAAGTTATAAGGACTTGCTGCGAGCTTTGCAAGAACCTCGCAGCCTAAGTTCTACTTCTGCGCCATCCGGGGCGTCCGCTAGCACTGCACGAGATAGTCTAGCCTCGTTGCAAGTCACGCGGAACAGGAACGTGAAAGTCGAGGTATAGGGAGATATTGAACTCATCTGGACCAATGTCAAGGATGCAAGAATACGGTTGGCTTCTAGGCTCCCGGAGTAGCATTCCCCCTGGTATCCAGTGCATACGCCGCTGGGCACTCGGACGACTCTCCAGGGAGCAGCACCGGGCAACGTCTACAGAATCATTGTCAGCAGTGAATGAAGACTTGTTGTCACTCCGCATGGCAGAAGGCTGCTCATGCAAACCATTAATATGAACAGTAAGCCAGGCTGCCGTGCTGCTAGGCTTCATTACACTCTATTGCACCGCCAGTTGGCGCATTGATACGACTGAAAGATTTGCCAGAGACTAGTTTTGCGGCGGGTTAACTTAGCAGCGGTGGGCCTGGACACCTGTCGTGGTACTCGATGCGCTGGAATGGCTGGCCCTGGCCATTGGAAGACCAGAGCCTCAGAGGAGTGTGCAGAGTTTATCAGGAGAGCGCCTGGTGCTACAGCGCCTGATAAGATTAGATCGTTGGCCATCTGCCTCGCTCATTCCTCTCCGCGTCCACATTTCCTACTCTACTCAACTTAAGGGCTCTGGCTTTAATGTGTCCTGACGTCTGCAAAGCACATGCTATGCGACCTCCACGGACTACGAGCACGCACGATTCCAGCTCGATGAACATCAGCACGCCGCGATTGCGAAATCTTCCGGCATTCAGACTCACTGTGCAACCTGCAACGTTAATTATCCGGAATCAGTACAGCTGTTGCGTCATCGCGCACGAGGAAAGTTCCGCAAAGAAAGCGCGAGGAGGATCTTATAGATGCAATTGCAGATCTTCCGGTAAGTCTTGCCGCCATGCCCAACCGCTATGCATGGAGGGTTGAGTACGTGCTATGCCATAAGCACATTCCAGAAATACAACCACTGCAGTCTCAATGTCCCCACTCTCCTCTGCTTTCAATTTTATTGGTATTAGTCGACCCTAGACTCCTCCGAGAACAGTCACATTCCCCCCAGCACCGTGACTCTGCCGACATCAGTCCGTGCTGCCCCAATAGAATTGTCTGGGCAACTCAGCCGTCTGACCACTAGACCTTACTTGGGAAAACGGTTATGCGAATGCCGCGGCGCGTGAATGTGAGAGTGCCAGTCGACCGGGCACCTGGCTCGATCTAGGACACCTCAGGCTGGCGATACCACCAACATGGTTCAACCATATCGAAGACCCTTTGGGTTATTGGAGGTAAAAAAGAGAGAGGGCGCCCTGTTCATTCTGCAAACCATACGGCTCATGGATCCGCATCCGTGAAACACGTCTACCGTGCTTGCCAGAGGCACTGCACCTCGTGGAGAATTGTCGAAAGTTTGGCTGTAAAGCTTCAAGGTACAAGTCACGCATATCATTGCGAAACTCAACTGACGGTCTTTCCAGGCACGTTTTAGACAAGTGACACAGCTCCGAGCTGAAAACTGTTCGCTTAGTAGAACACGCAGCTTGACGATATAAGTCGGGTTGTTTGATTGTTGATCACTAGTGATACTGACAGTCCTCGGCACATTTTACCGTCGTATATGAAGGGGAAAAATACAGGTAAGCAGTGCATATATTCAAAAAGCGTAGCATTCATTGACTCCAGGCTAATCTAGATGCCTCCTCCTCGATACAATCGACGCTGTGTACGGTGTAAAGGCTGCCCGGCTGGCGGCTCTCACCAACCGGGTGATCAAAAGCAAGCAGAATAGTAGTCGGGGAGGAAGCCAGATCCAAGCCGCGTCGTCGCTATGATTACACGTTCTCATTCCAGACCAACTGGGCTGGTCGAGATCGCTCGGCAACGAATGTGAGTATATTATCCTACTGTTATCCTAGAAGGAAGAATACGTGTGAATATACATATATATATAGCTACATAGTCCCTATATAGAGGTGTCCGGAGAAGTCGCTATCGATACAACATCAAGAGTCGACAGTCAAAGTCATAGAAATATGATACAGTGAATATTAACGATAAATACCATATTAAATCGGCAGCAAATTAGAAGAAGATAAGGGTGCGAGGAAACGGCAGCTGTCTCAGACCACGCTGTCGTTCTTGGGCGAGTCGTCCTCAGAAGGACAAAGAGTCTCTATTACAGACTCAACGTCACTCGGCTTCAAGCTGGGCAACACCTCGATATGTGCTGGACCACCTTCGTCGAGCTTGTTGTCAGCGGCCTCGCCTTGCATCGCTGGCTTGGCAGCGGCCGAGCCGGGCTTGTTAAACATTGACCCATCCCAGATTGCCACAACGCTCCTGCAGAACATGATTATCCAGAGGAGGAGCACTATGCACGTCCACACGGCGCCGAAAACCCTGAAGAATCCGCTGTCGAGTGCGACGCCGAGCTGGAGGGAGAGCGAAGCGAAGACACCATTTGGCACGACGATGCACCAGTGTGTGATACTGAATTGCGGCAGGTCTCTCGCACGCCTGCATATCGAGAAGCAGGCGATCGCGATCCACGCGAGGCCCATGCTCCATAGGACATACGCGCCGCAGATGCAGATCGAATAGACGACGGCGCCGGCGAGCTGGGAACTGGGAGCGGGCGCAGGGGGCTGCGCGAGGATATCCGCGATATTTTTGCCGCTTATCAACATCGAGAAGCCGCCCTGTCCAAGCGGAGTGAGTGTTGTAAACGTGGTAAGCACGACCGTCGCGTCGAGAGGTCCATGGAGGAAGAGGCGCAGCAGGAAGGCGGTGGTAAGCATCATGGTGAACGACAGGCCGATCGCGAGCATGGTGGCCGACACGGAGGCGGACAGGATAGCCATCAGGTGGGAATGCGGAAGTAATGAGCGGGCGAACAGGCCCCCTGATGCCGACATGCTGATGAGCGTGATGATTGGGACCATCCATACCGGTCGGAGCTTGGAGAGATCGGTGTATTTCTGTCCGATCATGACGTAGACGAGACCGAACGCGATGATGCATGCGAGGACGCAGTCGAGCCACCAAAGTCCCCAGAGAGTATAAAGAAGAGCTTTGTCTCCTGTTCCCCAGTCTGTGTTCACGGACTATGCAAGAGACTAGAGTCAGTGCGACATCTAACACGGATGATATATAACTCACGAGAGCAGCATTTATGAGCGTTGCTGCACCATTCGTGAAGAACCCGATGAACAAGCTCGTCGCTGGGTCAGTCCACATGAGTGCGCTGTCCTACAAGCGTTTCGAGTTAAGTAATCAAAGCTGGATTAAAGCAGCTGACATGACTGAAATACCTTTGGGAACATCGTGCATCGTGTAATGGCCCAGACACACAGAAGGGCAAATAACACGAGGTCAGAAAGGAAGAGCGAAAGCGCAGCAATTTTCAGCGCATTGGTGCCGTTTTGATACGGGAAGTTGTGCAACAAAGACGAGCACACGCCGGTGGCCATCACAATGACGTGCCACTGCCACGAGAAATTGCTATAAGAGATCGGTCACAATCCCGTACGGATGACAAAGAGTCAGAGGACTTACTGGATACGCTCTCGCCATATCGCCCCTCTTGTGGAGGGCGTCGACGGAGGGGCGGGCTGAGAAGGTGCATAAGGGAGCATGGCCTCGATATACTTGATCTCCTTCGCCTCCATGATGACCTAGGACGAGCACAGCACAGAGAACGGTATTGAGAAGGTAGGCTAAGTTGCATTGAAGTTCACGCTAGCTGACCTAGCCTATATGTAGGCCTACCGGAGTGCCAGTCGAGTCCCCTTCTTACACCACGGGCACCTTCCGGTGCTGCGCGAGCTCATTGCAAGTCGCACGAGATGTGAATGGGAGAGTCAAGGTGTGAGGAAATATTGCACTCACCCGCACCAAAGACGCAGCTATACCAAACAGGACCTCAAGAGGATCGCTTGCTTGAGCTAGTGGTGCAGCATTTGTCCTCGCTTCTCGTGCACACGCTAAAGAAGACCCCCTAGGAAGCATGCGGGAATATGGCGATATGTCCATACACGAATATCGTCGGTAAGCGGCGGAGGCTTTTTGGCTCGGCATGGAGGAGGGCTGTACTTTGCAAGCAAACCATTGATGGCAAATCTGCCGTTATTGTGATTCAAGGCTGGCTTCGAGTGGCTGGGTGAGGCAGCCTGAACTCCCCGCGGCATGTTCCGGATCACCGGGCTTTGTGGCGTTAGAGCTGCTCCAGCCCGTTCTATGCCTCGAACTCTTAGGCTTTTGGAAGATATTCTAGTCAATAATCGCATTTACAGCCGGTTCTCAGTGCAGCGTGAGTGCGAATTTCAATCTTGGACTTTTGCGGTGATCTTCGTCGCCTGATACGCGGCCGTGTCGATTAATCGGGGTTACTGTTATAGATCTTCCTGCCTCCGGCAGTCAGTGACCATTCGTACTTACGGCAGCTTTCTAACACACCTACTCCCTGCGCATACTGCCGTACTCCTTCACTGTGCTCCCTGGCTCCAACATTTATGAGAGCGAATGAATGACACCGCGCGCTTTGAGCCAAAAACCAGTGTTTTAGGCAGCATTCTCTACAGAGAATTCTAACGAGCGGTGGTGCATCGACTAGTAGAAAGAAGGACTTAGGGAGTTGAGACCGTCAGGTGTAGTTGCACAGAGCACCCATTCCCGGAGCGGGCGACTCGTCCATATATAGCAACGTTTGATGCGCCATCATTATTGTTCGGGGCACATCAATCTCGTCAGCACTTTGGCATGCTGCATCATGTTGCTATACTGCACGTCCCACGAGGATAAAGCACGGTCAGCCAACACTGTTCCCCGCCGTCACATCTATCATTGTACAGGCTTGCGTCGATGGGAACGAAGATGGTTGAGTTACTGTGATGTTGGCAGAGCCGTACCGTATATATCTCTGGTGCGACGTGTTGGTTAGTTCCTCGTACGTCTCTCTCCGTCCACTCTTCACCGAAGGCTCCCAGGAGCTCTCGAATAATCTGCAACGACTCACGTTTTCAATGCTACCAAAATTCTACCCATGCTACCTGATATTTGTCTTGTCTATTCTGACCCTCGTCGCGCAGGCACAGCTCAGTGACACCCTATGGACCTCGTGGGTCCCACTCGCTGTGCGTAGTCCATATCTCAGCAGCTGGATGAACACGACGAACCTGCGTGTCGGTTCCGGAGCTCCTCTCGCACCAAGGATTTGGCCTGTCTTCTGGAACAACGTGAGCATCACTCTCCACCATCAAAACTAGCAGATGCTGACCCCGCCTATTCTCTGAGGCCATTCTCGGATGGGCTGGTCATATACGCGTCGACAACGATATTACCTACATATGGCTAGGGGACGCAGGTAGCCCCGCAGGATTGAACTCCTCCGTCCTCAACAATATCCAAATCACGCCGACGCGGACGGTGATGAGCATAACTTCGGGACCGATTGATCTCAATATAACATATCTGTCCCCGATAGAGGCATGTTTCACGACTACGTTGCATTTTGTGCTCCACACTGACTCAGTATCAGCCAACCGACCCCGTCAAGCAGTCCTTTCCATTTTCCTACGTCTCCCTGACAGCAACATCCAACGACGGACAGCCTCATGCTGTACAGGTCTACTCTGACATCAGTGGAGGTAGGTCGAACAGCGAGTTATTAGAGAGAGGCTCTTATCGTATGTGCTGCAGAATGGGTTTCGGGTAACCGTGGAGACGTCATGCAGTGGCAGACAGTGCCAACAGATATCATCCTATATCATCAAGTATCGCTGGAGATCCCTGAGGCGTTCTCTGAGAAATCAAATCAGGCCGAGGATGCTACAGTCTATTATACAACATTGCTTGTAGGTGGCTGCCTGGGAGGTGGATTCGCGCAAGAGCTGAGACTGGATCCAGGCGCAGCAGATGACCTACATGGTAGACTTGGATGTGAACTGCAGAGGCCAGTTCAGCAGTGCTGGGAAACTCAAAAATACCGTCACCTCGGGTCCTGCAGCTATTGCAAAGTACGTGACATTCTTCTGAGCGATATATGTTAGAATTTAAGCTGCCTGTAGTCCCTTTCCCGTCTTTGCTATATCAATGGACCTTGGCACTGTCACAACTACAACGGACCCTGTCGTGTGGGCGGTAGGAATGTTACGGGATCCCGCAATCCAGGCCGTAACTGCCTCGGGCGCGACAGAGATGCGCAGTCCCTACTGGCGCACTGAGGGCGTCGCTCAAGACGTGGTACGGCAGAATGCTCGAGTGGTAGTAACATTCAGCACTCACACTACCTGGCCCAGATGACCTCGTTTTTGCAAGACTACAGCTCCGCCGTCGAACGCGCGGAAGCCTTGGACGCAGCACTCGCAAAGAACGCATCGTCGATCTCGCCACACCTCGTTGACCTCGTCTCTATCGCTGCACGACAGGCGATGGCGGGAACAGAGCTTACCGTCGGAGGCTCTTCAGGTAGCTACAACACGTCGGACGTGAAGATGTTCATGAAAGACATCGGCCCTAGTGGCAGGGTGAATCCTGTGGAGGTGCTATACTCTGCGTTCCCGTTCTTCTTGAGTGTCAATGAGTCGTACGGCGGTTGGCTGCTGAAGCCTATTCTGGATTATGCGAGCTCGCCGGCATGGACCCAGACATACGCACCGCGGGACATCGGTATGTGTCTTCTGATCCCGGGACGTATCCCGCCCTAACGCCTCAGTTGCAGGTCTCAATTATCCCAACGCAACTGGAGATTCTGCGAGCCATGATCAGGCAGTAGAACGTATATTATTCTTCGTTTCATACCTTCGTTGCATCTTGCTCACCTATCTCCAGAATCCGGAAATATGCTCATTATGACACTTGCACACGCCCGAGCGACCGGGGATGGTTCATTGATCAGCGCATATGTGCGTGCACCGCTCCACTTTGCGTTTCTATGACCTCTGACATCAGTCACCAGTACTCGCTACTGAAACAGTGGGCAGACTACTTGGTGAATAACACGTTACCTCTATCAGCAGACCAGTACGTACAGGTATTATATGCTCAGGGATCGAGCATTGACTTACAGTCCGCAGGGTTACCGCCGACATCAAGTCGAGACCCAACTCAACGAACTTGGTAATTAAGGGTGTCATTGCGATCGGTGCAATGTCACAGATGAGTGCAGCGATGCACCAGCAGCAAGACGCGCAGCATTACTCCGTACGTATGCCTTTAATTTTACTGTTAGCATCATATTCGGTGTCTGATGCACATGTAGAGTTTGGCACAAGCATACACGAACACTTGGAAGTCTCTTGCTCTCTCCTCCGATAATCACATCCTATCGAGCTTTGGAGACCCTGGCTCATCCTGGGCCTTGGAGTACAACTTGTACGCTGATAAGTGGCTTGGGACTGATCTCCTTGACAACTCGGTTAGTGGCGACTGCTAAAATTCGTTAATAGATATGCTGACAGAGGTCACAGGTGTATAACTCAGAAACGTCATTCATACAAAGCCTTTTGGGCTCAAACCCGAGTCCGTACAGCCTCCGCGCGTGGTGCTTGGGTACTGACAAGCTTGTTCGTTCACAGACGGTCTGCCGATCGACAGCGACTCGGGCGCTGACGGTGACACAGGTATACTCGCATAGATTTGCTCGCAATCTCCCGAGGTTGACTTTGGATCCAGCTTGGACCTTGTTCACAGCCATGACCATGGCCAACAGCAGCGTCCGGGACAGTCTCATAGACCAGATCTGGAATATTGTCTCCAAAAATGTATCACAGACGATATTTTCGACAATATTCGCGCTGGATGGCAAAGGGACAGCTTTGGGTAGCTCAGAAGCGAGGTATGGAGAACAGGAGCTTAACAGTGTGCCATGCCCTGACAATTAATAATAGTCCTGGAGTTGGTGCAATGTTTGCTCCCCTTGCGTTGAAGTGAGTGCTGTTCATGATTTTGTGTTTTCTTTTTACGAATGCGCTCTATTTTCCAGTATCCCCAATGTCACTATCAATATTGCTCAAGCGGGGGGAAGCTCAGCCCCAAGCCCCAGCTCCAGTCCCGGATCTAGTGCTGGAAAGAGTTCCGGAACGTCAAGACACTTAGATATTGGATCTATAGTAGGCGGTGCTATCGTCGGAGTATGCGGCTTCATGCTCTTTTTCGTTTTTGGTTTCTCTTAAATGTCTCATGTCTTGCGGGATCAAAATTCATAAAATTCATCACAAATGCCGGCGTGCATTCTTCGGGAGTTTTCTTACCCGCGATACCTTAACACGCATGAAGAAGGAGCCGAAAGGAAGTCGAACCTAGCCACAGCTGCTCGGCCACTTCCTTACGACCACGGGCATCTCCCAGAGACCACATAACAGGCTTTTCTATCTGTTGACGATTCGGATAAATCACTTATATATCGGTCGTCCAGTATGCAGCAGTCAAAAATCCGCCTCATACATCTTCTACATGGGTTCATATGTCGAGGGCGGCTACAGCGTGTCCGTCTAGGAATGCCACGCCATCGTTTTGGTCTCGGTATTTCCTGGCGCATCCCCTCCATTTCCAACGGCGACACAGGCTTCGCAATATCATTTCTCTGTGCGACAGTAGGTGGCTCCCCGCTGGACACCGGGCCGTTGCTTAACCCCCTCGTGAATAGTACGTGAAGAGCCCGCACCATGAGTGGCCCGGCGTTGGCGTTTCCTGGCGCTGTTGAACCTCAAGGGACATAGCCATTGTAAGTTATGAAGGCGCTATGTTCTCTGCGGAGGGCTGCCCGGCTGCCCTGGTTTGGAGACTGGCTCGAGCTCTGCGGGGTCAGATGAGGCAGGCGTCGAAAAGTGAGACATCGTTGACCTGACCTCACTGCCATGCACGGTCGACTTCGCCTGGGGGGACTTGGTGTCATCGAAGCAGATGAGTGTCGAGTGCCAGGGTCATCATGCTCAGGTGGGTGCACATACACGCACGCGCGAGGCTCCTCTCCGCGTCCTCGACAGGCTGACGATGGTGGGGGACACTTTCTGCGTGGCGGCTCTCGAAGCGAATTCGAAGTTAAATTTTACTAGTAGCGATGGATGACTATTTCTCGAGCCAGTATGGACGCTCGCCTGTATGATCCTGGTCAACCCGAGATGGGGCCAGGTCAATTTGACTCTCGCTACTCTCTTTGCTCAGAATACCACTGCTAGGACTAGTAGCTTCCTGCTCGGAAGGTGCAGCGCCAACACCTTCACTGAAACACGAATAGCCACAGTCACTGCATGTCTGACCTTTCTGTATGACTTGAGTATAGTGAGTGTGTCAGGAGGTAGAAGTAAAGGTATTTCTAGGAATAATATAATATGCTCAGTACAGGAGAGAGCATGATGAGTATGAGGGCGACATACAGATGGGCTGGCCGGAGGTTAGTTCAGATGGTGCTAGGGCACCTAAGTCGGGCTAACCAAGCCTGTTTGCACAACCTTCAGCTCGCCTATGCAGAGGCTCGAGTAGGCAGCCTGTAAAGAGCTGGAGATGCTTCAGAAAGGTTACCTAAACACTTCCGCAGTCTTTGAAGCTGACGCACTTTGCCAAATGCAGCAAGAGTTTTTTTCTCTGTCATTTACTTCTACCACCGCCTCACACGCCTTGCATGTCGTCAGGCCGCAAACGTACCTCAACCAGGAAAGTGAGTATATTTGACCTATAATCTTTCTACTATATCTAATTGAGTAAGATGTACAGGCAAAGAGTGTACAGCAGCTTGCACCCTGCTGGTGCTTGGCGTGCAATGGCAGGCTCGTGCCATGCCACACCCGGCGTAGCCATGCGAAGCGCAACTGTGGGGTCACATCGGCGGGTGGAGAATTGAGCAGCGAGAGCGATACAGCCAAGGAAATAACTCGACGAGTTCCTTGCTCAACGTCACATGAAGAAGAAGAAGAACGCTGCCGTTGCTGCTAGTGCCACAGTGCCAGCCCGCCTCCAACACAAGCATGCTTGCAGCTCCTCCTCCACCCTCAATTAGTTCCACAATCACCAACGATGCTGCACCTCATGTGGGGAGTGCAGCTATGGCCCATATAGTCACCGCAACCTCAACGCCTGACCGTGACCAAGGCTCTCCACTCGGCAGTGTCATACCACACAATCCTGACCATCTATCCACGCTGCCGGCTTCTTCTACCGTGGAGTTGTTGCCAGGTAAATTCTTTTCATTCCCGAGTCATTAATTCTCACTACTCGGCAGCTTAAGATAAGTGAAACAATATTTGTTTACGCGCCTCTCACTGATGAGCAGCTCATTGACCGTTGTCTCAATTATTGAACCACTTCTCGGCTCTAGCTGGGTCCTTCTTCTGACTGTACAACATCTTCCAGATCCGAATGCGCCATTTCACCATCTCCTGGATGTTGCTCAGAGTAAATCTGGCCTTCTTATATATGTATTCTTACTCTAGCCAAGTCAGTGAGTGGCTTTGTGTTGTGTATTCCATCCAATGGAATGGACTAACCATTTGTTTCTTATATACAAGCTGCGCAATTTGCTTAATGATAGCCCTATTTACCAGGTGGTCGACATCTTTGCCCCATGCAATAAGAAGACAGTTGGAGCCCAAAGTGGGAGTCGGGGGCTCGGGATCACTGCGACGCATGACGAAAGGATTCCTGCCAAGACCGGTAACGTTGTAAAATTCTACGTTCACCTCTGTCTGTTGATGTTGGAACCGTAGGTCAGCATATATGCACATATATTGATAGCAAATATTAATCATGGTGCGTACCATGAGTTCTCCCTTCACCTCTTGTTCACTCAGGTTGGATTTTGGAGCTATCAGAATGAGGCGCGGCTCGTC